TCGCGTAGTATCCCTCAGCATCCATCCACTGCCTAGGCGCCTGTCCCCCTAGCCATGCCCCACTGTGTGACCGCCGGTTCAGTTCGGAATCGTGAGTTCCCAAGCCACGAGGGTTGGGGTGGGGGTGATGGGGTTAAGGGATATACACTGGTCTAGGCATCCCGTCCTCCCATGTACATATATACATGTTTGCGGTGGTACGGTCTGAATAGGATGGCCACCAGCGACGTGTGACTGCCGCTCACTAGGAGCCTCCGGCATGGCCCAGCTCGGCGCCGCAACGGAGTAAGGAACAAATCAATCAATCAATCAATCAATCAATCAATCAGGGACCACCACACAGCTCTGAAAGACCCCACGGCCTTTATAGCAAGACACGCAACACTCATTACCTGACATTAGCTTTCCTCGAACCTGGAGCAACGATGCTGAGTACTGAGCAGGCGTCTTGATGCCCCGCTCGACGGCATTGCCCTCCTTATTCCGAGACCAGTCAAGAGCTCATACAGGGTCCATTAATTTGACAACCGCAATGTCAGGCTGCGTTAGTTTGTTTTTGGGCGCAACTATATCGATTAGCATCCAAAAGGACATCGAGGAGGGATAACTTACATCTTACAGCCTCATAAAGGGCACCCTCCCGACGAGGAACAGACAAGGAAGACATAGCTGCGAAGGAAAATCAACAACTGACTCTCTCAGAAGTAAACTGCTCTTCCCGATTAGAGAACAGGAATAATGATGATACTCAACAACAAAGTGAGATGATATGAAAGATGATCGACAACAGCGAAACGACGTGGGCGAGTAAAGGAAACCAACGCGGACGAAGAAGAGAAGAAGTGAGAGAGGGTTGACGAAGACAAAATCAAAACAAAGAACTCGTGATCTTTGCCTCAGGCAAAGACTACGCGCCAGAACCCCCACAATAAACCATCCTTTGTTCACAACCATCAAACTGCTCACCAATCTCTTAGGCAACGCCTGTCTCGCTTATTGCTCAATGAAACCCATACGATATTATATACGAATTCAGGTCGAAGTCGTGGACTTGACAAAAACAGGAACTATGAAGTTATTCCATAGTGCACTGTGGCCCGTGCGGCCCGATTTCACCACATCGAGCGGACGACGCTCAGGCTACGCAGGGGAGGATGTGATTCCGACGGCAGTTCGAATTCGAATGACTGCCGATTTGAGATCAACGGGATTCCTCTGGATAAGGATGAACGGCGTTCGACCTATCCGGATACTGATCTTGCATTCCTATCTGCGTGCGAAATGTTTCCTATACCTAATATTGTTTATGTTTATGTTCCCCTTTCTACCCCTTGATTAGATAGATAAATAGTATAGAATACTATAAGTAGCGGTGAGGAACTGAAGGAGGAAGAGTGAATGTCTCTAGACGACCCCTAACGTCAATCACCGACTTCGACCGCCAGTCTACTATGGCGTATTGCATCCATCGGCGGTCCAAAATCCGCGCCGCCCCTCAGGCCAATACATCCTCAAAGCAATATACAACAATGTAGAGGCCCTGGGAGTGCAGGTACTGTCGCCAGCTAACGTACAGATACGCTGGGTCCCCGCCCACATCAGCGTGGCGGGGAACGAGGCCGTGGATGAGGCAGCGAAACACGCAGCCGCACGAGGTGGAGACATTGACGTCAAAATAAGCTCAGTCGGGTCGGAACAACTAATTATCCGGCTGGTGGCGGCTGCCAAGAGGGCGGATCCAGCAGCGCTGGAAGAAACAGTGGGAAGCAGAGAAGGGAGCAAAGCCGACACAGAGATTGTTCAAGGCCCCTAATAAGAAGAATCTAGGCTTATATAAAGGCCTGTCCAAGCTGCACATGTTGTTTATCATACAGATGAGGACGATGAGGATTGGGCTGCGCCACTTCCTCTTTAAAATTAAAGCTTCCGACTCAGACCAGTGCAGCTGCGGGGAAGGATCTCAAGACACTTGGACATGTCCTCCTGCAGTGTCTGCTTTACCAGAGAGCCCGCAAGAAAATGATGAACAAGCTACACAACATAGAGTGGATCCAGGGGAAGCTGTCAGACTACAACACTATCATATCTGACCCGCAGACGATCTGCTACATCGCTGAATTCATGCATCAAACAGGCCTACTCAGCCAGTTCCGTGAGGCGGATCTACGCGAGCCCGCGAAGCCAGACTAGGAACGTGGAATCCTCCTACGAGGATTTGGAATAGATGTGGAAGACGATGGTTAAATGGATCGAGCAGCTGCCTAGGGAGGGTCTCTCTAGGCGCGGAAATATGTGAAATGGAAGCAACTACATAGATTGGAAAGGGATGGATGTTTAACGCAAGAGGGCGGCGCAAGGAGACACACAGTCCAGTGGCAGGCCGCTTTGGTTGTGGTGATAATCACTCTTTTTGATATTTCTTATGTCTTTTTCTGCGTTTGGGATTATGGGATGGCGTACGGACACTAGATTCCTGCTTCAACTGATGAAGCGCCTGTATAGCTAGTCATTCCAATAGATAGACTCCAACAGGTTAATACAATATTGATTGATTGATTGTCGGGTATGTTCCTGTCGGGCAGGGCATTCGGCGCTGTCGGCAGTGTGGCGTCCGTGGCATACCGCGCATCGGTAGGCATATGGGTTTTCCTTCTGAATACAGCGCTCAGCACGGCCTCTTCTATAAGGTTCGGAGTCTTTCAGCACCCAAAATTCGAAATCGGCGGTGATTGGACCGACCCAATCCTCTACTTGCACTACATCATCAATCTCATAATTCAGTCCTCTAGCCGGGGCACTGAAGTCTTCCAAAATCTTAGCAGCACGGTCTCTAAAGGAGCCGCTCTTCTGTTGTTTCAAGAGCTGTTTCTTATCCTCGTTAAGATCTGCCAGGATAACAAGCTGAACTCGGCCACGACTGTGTAGGAGCCATTGCTTCATATCCCTTATAATATTGTCATTTGTTTTATTGAAGCCCGCTTCAAAAATAACAGTACGGTAGCGGCGGCAGGTCCGTGGGTCAGAGAAAACAAATGACTGATCGGGGGGCTTTTTTGATGCCTGATGCTTGGTGCCATTGCCGTTGATTCTGCCGTCAAGACGAACTGAGGCAACTCCAGCCCGGAGATTTCTCGCTTCTTCTGGCATAAGGATCTCATTCTTCAGTCGATCGAGACACGAAACTGCAAATGAACCCAAGCTTTCATGGATAGAACTTGGCATTGCGTAAATAAACAGAGTATCTTCGTCAAAGTAATATCTCACTCCCGCCTTGTCAAGAAGCTGGATGATCTGTGTAGATTGTATCAATTCGTGATCGAGTTGAAGTTCTAGATTGGATTCCCGATGGCGGCTTAGGAGATGGGCCTTGATCGTTCTGATGGTCTCGTCTAGCCTCCGTTGGGCTTCATTGCCGGGTCTGTATTGTCTGGTGACACCTCGTACAAGTATATGTGCCTCGGATATCGAGGCTTGAGACGGTGCTACCGGCGACATTCTTGAAGGAGCTGACGAGCAGCGAAACAAAGCGGACTTGGAAGAAAATGGCATGAAGGTCAATAATCGCGGTATGCAAAGGTGGAAGGAACGAGAGAGGCTGAGTTGGCGTCAGGCTTAGTTACCTGGCGGAGACACACCGGCTGCTCCCTGACAATCACTTTGGGGGCCGTAAGGGTCAGGGTACGGAAACAGCGCTCCCCACAGTGCTGGAGGCCATCTACGTGGGATGGAAAGATGGTAAGGTGGTGTTCGCGTTACTTCTTGACATCTCAGGGGCCTTCGACAACGTCTCTCACAACTGGGCCCTCCACGATCTCCGCGCACGTCGGATTCCCGCGCGGTATGTCAACTGGCTTAGCAGCTTCCTTCGCGACCGATCCACGTCGCTAGTGCTGCCGGAATTCACCCTGTCGACCCAACGGGTGGACATAGGTATCCTCCAGGGCTCGCCGCTGTCCCCGATTCTCTATATCTTCTATAACGCTGACCTGATGGCCCGCGCGGGCACGGACAACATCGGGTATATGAAGCCGATCGGTCCGCTTGATGCGGCAGCTCACTTCCGTGGCGCTGGGGTCCAGCCTGGATATATCTGGGTGTCTACCTGGACGAACACCTCTCTGGCTCAGCCCACGCTGAACGCCTGCGGAAGAACGGCGCCCATATGACGTCCGCGCTTAGTTCGATAGCGGGCTCGACATGGGGAACAGGGCTACTTCACCTTCGACGCATGTATACTGCGGTGCTATGGCCACAACTGTCATATGGCTGCTCCGCCTGGTTTATCCAGGGGGCTTCGGCTTCAAGAGCGGCGTCCGAATTGATTGATTGATTGATTGATTGATTAGTTCCTTATTCGGTTTCGGCACCGAGCTGGGCCACGCCGGAGGCTCCTAATGAGCGATACTGACTGCAGCGTCGCGGGCAGCCATCCTATTCGGACCGTACTGCTGCGAGAATATATATATATACAAGGTTGGGGGATAGGGCGCCCAGACACACACATGCTTCCTTCAATCCCTTCTTCAGCGGCCGCTGCTGCCGCTACTCAGTGGGTTCCTTTCACCGTCATGGTTCCCTTATTGCCCTTATGCCTCGCGTGCCCCCTGCACTCATCCAGGCACCGTCCCCCTTCCCCCGCGCTGTCATCACCCATTCCGGATAGATCCACGGATTCCCAAGCCGTGAGGGTCGGGGGCACGCCAGCGACGCGCGGTTACCAGTTGGCGCCTGGTGCGGCAGATATCTGTCGGCCAGGGCCGCGCGCGCTGACGCCCCCCACTGGGAGTGTAAAAAATGAGAGAGTATAGTGAAAATAGAAAGTCAGCCGTCGTCCGCAGGTGCCCTAAGTCAGGCGTCGCTGGGGGCGCCTGGCTTGAGCCAGCCCGGCTGGGTGGCATCCGCCAGGTACGTCAGACGGCCGGTGTTCAACATAAACTGCGCGGCGCGCCTGGCGTTCCTTGCCTCCGCCAAGGCCACTGTCATGTCGCGGGGGAGCCCATCTGTCCACGTCTGCCGGCGTAGGTCGTCGTAGTGGGTGCAGTTGAATAACACATGGTGGATTGTCTCGGGAGCCCGTCCACATGGGCATGTCGCGTCGTCAGTCCGGTTGATAGTTGAGAGGTAGTGATTCGGTCCAATCTTACCCGTCTGCATCTGCGCCAGCACGCTGCGTTCCACGGGGGATAGGCCGTCATAGATTCTCAGGGAGTGGGTCGAGACCTCTGGAAGGACGCGGCGGAGTGAATTGCCCCGTTCTGGCTGCCGCCACTGCTCCCCCCAGCGGTCCTTGGTATGCTGGCGGATCCATGTTTCCAGGGTGCCCCGCGTTGGGTGGTCAGGCATCATGACTGCGGCCAAGCCCCGCCGCTGTCCATCCTCCCGCCACCCAGTTGCTTCCTTGGCACACAGATCCGCCAGCTCATTCCCTGGGACCCCGCAGTGGGCAGCCAACCAATAGAAGGAGATGTCCGTCACGGGGTTAAGTAGGTCGAGGAGTTCGATAGCGATTCGGATTAATACTGTCCAGTCGTCTGTTGGGGGTTCCCTAGTGTGCGGAGGGCCCCTTGGTTGTCAGAGTATATTTCAATGCGTTTCCGCGCGGCTTGGCGGGCCGCAGTGATGGCTCCATTTGGGATCAGCTCATATCGAATAAGACGTAGGGCGAGGACCAGCCCCGCGATTTCCGCGACGGCCACGTTGTGTTCATTTGTCCCGCCTAGATACCATTTGTAGCGGATTGGTGGATCCAGGCATACCGCCGTCGTTCCAACATGGCCGCCAATGCCTGATCCGTCGGTGTAGATCCGGATTGCTTCTGGGTATGCCACCGCGTGAATCTGATGGTGGAGAAGAGAGAGTTCTTTGGTCTCGTCGATATCGATTTCCGGGGGGGGCCACCATGGCGGCACCGCCCATGGTGACAGCTCATCTTCTGACTCGCTGTCGGCCTGGCTCCTGTTCTTAGATATCTTAGGCACCTGCGTGAGGGCCCGACTGAAGGGGGTGACCCCCCCTTCCTCCTCTTCATCCTCCTGTGGTAGGTCCGGCTGGAACGGTTCTTTGTTTTGGTTGATTCTGGCAAGGCGACGGGCCTGCCGGCGCTGCTCCGCCGGTGATTCCATGACTATGCCGTCTTCCGTGACCGTCAAACCAGGGGCCATCAAGCGCTGGCGCTCCATCGGGTAGATCAGTGGCTTGGTTGTATGGGGTCTCCATGCTTTCCGCGTTTCTCGCGGCTGCTACGCTTGCTGATGTGTCAGGTCGTTCGGAATCGCTAGGCATCTCTGCTCTCCTTCATAGAGCAGCGTTCCAGCGTCTGATTGGTTGATATCGTCTCTGGATAGTATCACGATAGCCTAAAACGGAAGGTAAAGAGAGCTCATAACCTGTCATAGGGGTCGATTCTCCCCCGAATTGGGTGCTTAGATTTCTATCTAGGTGCCAGCGGTGTGATGCTCACCTCGGTAAACGTCTGGCAGGCGGGTGCTCACTGATAGTAGGGTAGGCCTACCTACAACAAAGAATATCGACCTCTGGGATTTTGATGCGGGCTTCTGTGGGTCCCCCTAACTGACGACATTTTGATAGACAATATAATGTCCAGTACGGACCGGTATGGAGCAGAGGGCCCACTGCCGTCAAGTTGTTGTTCGGAGCAGCCGGCGATCTGTTCATTGGCGGAGGCGATGTGCGCCTTAGAGGATGAAGAATGGACCCCCAGCTATCATGATTGATCTGCGAATTATTCCTGGAACCAATCCACCAGTACTGGTATGTGAATGAGTTGAGCAAAGATTGGCGGTGCCGCCTCTTCCCGCCTGTGATGTTAGGCTATCTAGATATATATATAGGAACTGGGCCATGATTTGACATAGGGTCAAATCATTGTAGGTCTTTTGCCTCAGTGGTAAGTAGGCAGCCCAGTGTCTACTCATTACATGTGATCATTGACGAGCTCACTATCTAGTTGAGCACGAAGAGATCCGATATTGGGCTGGCCACTGCATCCCCACAGTTGGACTTGGTCTTTCCGATAGCACCAAGAACTACAAATCCGAAGCAGTTGTGTAGGACCCGAATATGAATGACAGTGATGTTTCCACGCCAGAGATCACTGGAGAGGTAATCAACCTTGTGGCCCACAAGTTCCCAAATCTCGGGGTGTTGGAAGTCATCTCTATGCCATCGAACTCTAACAGTGTCTGGCTTGAAGGCAGCCTGATGGATGCCTCTGTTTGACAGGCTTATAGCCAGGTTCACTTTGCCTCCTCTGATGCAATTTCTGTTGTGGCTATGGAGAAAAGGTATGGTGCCCATGTATTTTGTTTTGGATACCACCAGTTCTCCTGAGAAGCTCCAGGAGCTGGCGAGGTTTTCCAATCTCTGCCTGCTGTTTGTTGAATAAATACTAATTAATGGTACAGGAATGGCCACCTCCAATGGCGTTCCCTGTTAACGGAATGGTGAGCAACCCATCGAAACCCAGTGACAATAGGTATATTATCTCTAATACGGTGCAGATTGTACAGCCCCATGCCAGTTGCGAGGATGTTTATTGCTTTTCTGCGACAATGGGTTTCGACAAGTACTTCGCTCTCCCGAAGGGTTCAGCGTCCGCGTACTTGCTAGTGGCTAATACGAATGAGTCCGCTGGGGGGGGGGCAAGAATTTGCCATATTGATATTCGCATGCATGACGACGACGGTCATCACAGACTGAAAAAAAAAGATCGAGCAAATAAGAAGATCTGGGGAAAAAATAAAAGGAACTGGCCCGAGCCGCGGATCGAACGCGGGACCTCTCGCAGATATGCTTGGGTTAATCCCTAAGCGAGAATCATACCACTAGACCACCCGGGCCTCGATGTTTTTTTGGCAAAATTATGATACTTGTGGCGTATGAAGAGATTGTCATGTAGAGATGATATCCTATCGCATGTCAGCCAAGCTGACACCAGCCAGCCTGCGACCTGGAATAAAGATCACATGCTCAGTCGCCGGCCAATGCATGATGTGAGCATGTGCCTGAAACCATGGGCGGTTCTCGGCAAGTTCGTAGTCCCCGATTCACATGATTTCTGGCTGATCCATGAGTGGAGATACCTATATAGTATATATCTACACCCGCCGACCAGCGAGTCAGTGTATACCACCAGAACCTACCATCACCTGACCGCTAGCTGACCGAAACACTTTACTCATCTGTATCATTGAGGATACCATTTTGAATCCTTCCTTGGGATAGCACTCCATAACCATAGTATTAAATCACCTCCTGCGGTGAATGGATCTCATGTCACGTAGTTCAAATCAATTAAATATATGATATAAGTTACATTTTTGTTCCTACAAGTACATACGACCACAGGGTGTGGAGAACAGGGCTTCCCGTCCGCTCAGCCATACTTAAGCCACACGCCGGCCGGTTAGTAGTTGGGTGGGTGACCACCAGCGAATCCCGGCTGTTGTATGTTTTTTATCATTTTTTTTATAGATTATTCTACGTGCATCCACGAAGTGTATCTTGTCCCTCTCCCGCTCATTTCGGGATTTCCGTTGAGACCTCCCTATATATCCAGAAAAGGTCGGGATACCTATACATATAGTTTTCCAGCTTATTCCTGCATCCTCTCGTAACTTTGGAATTTGCTGTGCTTCATGCGTGTTTGTGGATCTACTCCATGTATAGCAATGCTCCTTGACAGAAGGGAGATTTAGAAGCAGGAAACTCATCGGTTAGGCAGTTCTACATACTATGAGCCGGCAATGGCTGGTATCAAGCTCCACCGAAAAGCCAGGTGTAATTGATATTATGCCACTCATGTCATTCCCCACCCTCCCTCCTCTTCAGCTACACTGCTGATAGCCGTGCGGTATGCCTTTGCAATGAATTCCTGTTTTCTGGCCGAATCATAGCGGTGCTATTCCATTCTGGCATTAGTGAGGTGAGACGACAGACTTGAGCAACTATTGGCAGAGAAGACAACTGTGAAGCGTACGTCAGATCATCTCCCAAATGGTAATTCCGACCAAATACCTAAAGACGTCCCCGCCCCCAGGAGATCGAACTCAGCTCAGCTGATGGCTGGCAGTGTTCTGAGTCACACCTTGCCGCATTCTCAACGATGTTGACAAGATTCACCAGCTAGCGGATAGCCCGAAAAAGACCCCGTGGCATCGTTCCAGCTTCCGGTTCCTGAGCGTCTAGCTAATGAGATCGCCACAGGCGTGCGTCCTGGGGATCTCACGCCGGAGCGCCGAGGTCCAGTGTACTAGAATTGACACTTGCTACGCGTGTATTGAGGATGCTGCCGCAGATGGCGAAGGTTGAGGTCCGTAGAAGCCGACGAATCGTACAACAATAGTGGATACTAGCCATAGCCCCTGCATCCTGGTTGAGGGGGTGCTTGTAATATCCTACCTCGGCCAGACAGGAGAACTGAGAACTGTCCTTGGCTGACGTACTACTTCAAGCTTAATCAATCTACGCCCATCTGTTCCGCAGTGTTTCTCGGCCCTTCTCTTATTGTAAAGCACCAGACGCGCATGTACTGCGCGGTCTTTCCATCGGGTCACAGCAAATTTCATTAACTATGATGCGAAACGAGATCTGTTGTTAGGGAGGTGCCCATTGTTATCGGTACCCCGGGATAATTTTATATCTTGATCGATCCAGGAGTTGGTAGTGTTCTCTCTGCTGCCGCCCTTGTATGTCAGGTTCTGCTACTAGAGTTGAAGATAGATGTCGACCTACATTTTTACACGACTTGGAACACTCTGAGTTTGGTGGGTTTGTCAGGATGCCAGAGTTCTATATCTGGCTGATGTTAACGAGTCCAGTCTCTAAGAATGCTCTAATCAAGCTATTCCCGTCCCCATGTCCGAGCCAAATCCCTCGCCATGCAGAGTCAAATAAAAGCCCAGCAACTTTGTTCTCGATAGGACACCTAATGGCATAATATGGTCTCGGAACCTTTTATTTTTTGCCATCCCAATTTATAATGTCTATATAGAAAAGTTTGCTGTGAACACAAGTGCTACTGAACGGAACCTGGAACATGTACCTGATTAGCTGAAGAATATGTGACATTAAGCCTTTCCGGCTGCAATCCTGCCAGGGATCATATGGTTTAGACTAATTTCTAATGAGAACATCATATGTTTAGAAAGGCCGTAGTGAAGCATTCCACTTGTGCTGTAAGATCTGTCATTAAGGACTGCAGACGCAACAAATAGCCTAAGGATAGATTCTTCTGTCATTCATGGCTTGCATCAACGCACGGGACATCCCACGGGAATTTGTAAGATGGTGTGGCTTTGATAAAGGAATGCTCTGAGCTGTGCAACAACATAATGGGCTTTCTCATATAAACACCACCAAGTAAGCTCAATTCCATATCAGCTGAAGTCACTCTGGCAGTGCTAGTGTTCCAGAAGATCACCAACATTCACGGCAGCTTCTAGCTAAGTGATACAATGGCTAAGGCAGTCACACAGTTGGCCTGCGAACAAAACAACAAACCAGCACTTTACCCATGCAAAGACGACCAGCTGCGTTAAAAACTCATCCGCTGATGATATGTACCAGAGGGACCTGACCTGAATCAAGTAGTCAGGACTTACAGGAATATATTTTTCGCCCATGAAGCTTGATCAAGCACCCCAAGCCACTTGCCTTTACTGTTTCAACATATCAAGCAAGAAGATATCAAAGCAAAAAAAAAATGATAAAAAACATACAACAGCCGGGATTCGCTGGTGGTCACCCACCCAACTACTAACCGGCCGGCGTGTGGCTTAAGTATGGCTGAGCGGACGGGAAGCCCTGTTCTCCACACCCTGTGGTCGTATGTGCTTGAAGATGTATAGAAAAAGTATATATTGCGTTGATTCACGCTTTACCGTTGAAGATGGCAGCGGCAAGCGTAATGCTGCACCGAATCCACCTCGGACCAATTTTAATACCTACATATTCGGCCGTGGAATAGGACAAGAATGCCTCACTGGAGAAAATATGCCTATGATAGTCGGCCTCCCTTCAGAGACGAGTGTTACCGCCAATGTCTACTGCGTGTTTTCTATGATCATCCGCCAACGTTTACCCATAGAGACTTTCAAAGAAAAAAACATCACCATTGAACGCAAAGTGAGCGAGACCGGATTCGAATAGGAATAAAAGTTGTTTTGCTGGACTGGGAGAAGTCCGGCTGGTACCTCAGTTACTGGGAGTATTGTCTGGCCGTTTGCGCCTCGCGGTGGGATGATGACTGGTGCCTTTGGCTGGAGAAAGCACTGGGCCCATCGGCCACTCAAGCTGCCTGGTTGCAAACGTTGCGTCTCGAGCTAAGGTCATAAGAGATTAGGCATAGGAGTCTGAGATTAACTGGTTATGGCGGCTTTTAATATTAGTGAAAGTGACAGCGTTATAATCTGGACTTCTTAGTAAAGTAAGCCATCCTGAGACACCTTTCCCCTAAAGACAGAAGTAGATATATTAGAAGATTAGATATCTCACTTTAAATACATAGAAATCATCCTTGACCTTTCACTTACTGGTCTTGTGGAGATGTTGCCAAGAGGACTGGATGGAACAGAAGCGGATTCCGATTCAAAATACCGAATGGCTGATTGGAGACGGTTCGCGAGCCAAGAGCCGAAACAAGGACCTTGCGAGTGTGGTTCCGGTCTTTAGACACCGAGAAAAAGACCCCCTCGACAGGAAACGATGTTCTCGTCGTGAGCGTCCAGAACGATGGGAATGACGGAAAAGCAGACTGCGTTGGTGCAGGCGATCCCTACCTCTACGTGCGAAGACGTTCCACGGTCGCTTGAGTTCACCAAGGAGGAACACTCGCAAGCGTTCTGGGATGCGGTGCGACGACACTGGCCCTCCGTGGCCTGGGGAATGTTTATGAATCTGGCCACCGTGCTCAAAGGCATCGATGGCGGCATCGTGCGCAGTCTGGTCGGACTCGATGTCTTTAAACAGACCTACGGATACGAGCGCGATGGGAAGTACCTCATCGCCGCCCGCTGGCTGTCGGCTTTCAGCTACGCCACTCTCCTGGGCGCCGTCGTGGGAGCTCTGCTGTCCGGTCTCGCATACGATCGCTTCGGGCCCCGGGTGATGATCGCGGCCTGCTCGTGCCTGTCCATTGCGTTCATCTTCATCCAGTTCTTCAGCCACACGCCCGCCCAGCTGTTCGTCGGCGAGCTGGTCAATGGCTGCATCATCGCCTTCTATCCGATCTGCGCCTCGGCGTACGTCGGCGAGGTCACCCCGCTCGTGCTGCGCGGATTCGTCGCCACTATGACCAATCTCGCCTTCTCCATCGGCTCGCTCATCGCCTCCGGGATCCTCAAGGGCACTGCATCGATGGACAGCACGCTCTCGTACAAGATCCCGATCGCCACGCAGTGGGCCCTGCCGACGCTCATGCTGGCTCTGATCGGGTTCTGCCCCGATCCGCCGTACTGGCTGTGCAAGAAGGGCCGAGAAGACGACGCGGCCACCTCCCTGCGGCGCCTCACAACCGCCCCGAATGCGGAGATCTACGTCATGCAGAAACTGGCGCATATCCGCGAGACGCTGCGGCTGGAAGAGAGCTTCCAGGGCGACCGCCCCACGTACCGCGACTGTTTCCGCGGTCCCAATCTCCGCCGGTTGGTGATCTGCATGATGGCGTACAGCATGCAGGCGTTCGTGGGCAATGTGTTCTTCATCAACTATGCGGTACACTTCATGGAACTGGCCGGGCTGGACTCTGCGCACGCCTTCTCGATGAACATCGGGCTCACGGCCATCGGCCTCGTCGGCACCTGCATCTCGTGGTTCCTGCTCTCGTACATCGGGCGCCGGACCATGTATTTGTGCGGCTGTGCGTCGCTGGCCGTCCTCCAGCTGGCCATTGGCGCGGTTGATCTGGCGCCGCGGCAAACAGGCACGGTGTGGGCACAGTGTGGGCTCATGCTGCTCTGCACGTTCGTCTACGACCTCACGCTGGGGCCGTTCTGCTACGTGCTGCTGGCGGAGGTCTCGTCAGCAAAATTGCGCGGGATGACCATCGCCCTGGCGAATGTGAGTTGCTACGTGTGGTCGGTGGTCTTCGCGGTGGTCATTCCCTATGCGATGAACGAGGACGAAGGGAACTGGAAAGGGAAGCTGGGGTTCCTCTTCGCCGGGACGCCCTTTCTGTGTACCATGTACTGTTATCTGTGTCTACCAGAAACTCGCGGTCGGACGTTTGAGGAACTGGACATCCTGTTTGAAAGAAAGGTTCCGAGTCGGAAGTTTTCTGCTTACAAGGTCACTATAAACATTGGAGGGAGAGAATCCTAAGCTGCTTATCTTCAATGTAATTGCATAACTGCATCTAGTTACATGTTCCCGAAATGACAATAGCAGCGGGTCAAGTTCAACCGAAAGTGATACATGAAAGAAGACAGGACTACAGCCCCGAGAATGATGAATGTAGCCGAAAACGAAGAAGCACAACTTTTAATGGGCTGAGAAAGCCAGGGAGAAATAGAAAGGCAAAATAAGGATCAGTCGAGAGAAATGGCACAAGATGAAAAAAGACAGGAAAGGCAAGGTGACTTGAAAACAGGACATCGCACAAGATACAGACAATCACAAAGTTTTGGGGGGCGGGGGCGGGGGCAGAGAAGAGAGCACAGTGAAGCGATAGACGATATAATAATCACACAACCTGACAAGCTTTGGTGGAACGGAAGACAGCAATGAAACAATGAAACAAGAAGTGGACATGCAGACTTGAACAGAACACAGGACGCAGGACAGAAGAACAGTGCATGAGAAACAAGGACAAGAGTACTCATGTCACTCAAGCCGCTCAGGGAGTGCACTTACGGGCAAAAGTCTTCGTCCCTCGAATCCGAGTCCGAATCCGAACTTTCCTCCGGCACCGTCGAGGACTCCTCGCTGTCACTCCTGGGAGGCTCATCCGAATCGCTATCAGGCACCAACTCGGAGATCCGCGCATCGACTTTACTCGCGAATATCCACAGCTCCTGCCGTGCTGCCATCAGCACTTCGGTGTCGGTCAACTTGAGAAGGCCCTTCGACCATCCCATAGTGCGGCCGCGCTTCACTGGGCGAGGCATCGTGGTCGTTGCCGAAGTGGTAGCCTTGCTGGGGGAAGAGACAACCACGGTGACCTTGGTCTTGCGAGCGCTTGTCGGCTCGGCCGTGTGACGCCTCTTGCGGGCACGCTCCTCCTCGGCTTCGCGCTCTTGCTCGCGCTCCCGTTCCTGCTCTTCTCGCTCGCGTTGTCGTTTGAGCTCACGCTCACGCTCGCGCCGGCGTTCGCGTTGCCGCTCGCGCTCAGCGTCACGAGCTTGCCGTTCAGCCTCAAGTTCAGCTTGGCGTTCGGCTTCGCGGGCCTGGCGCTCGGCTTCGATCACTGCAAGCAGCCCGCCTTTTTGAACGATCTCACTGTTCCTCCGTTAGAAGAGCGACCATCCAGAGGATTCCACAAGGGCTACCTACTTCGTCCGAGAATCATCCCAGTCACGACCGCCTTGCTCCTGAAAGGCAACACGCAAGGAACACTCAGAGGCTCGTCCGGAGAATATGCAGTTGGCGCACGCATGAAACGCAATCGCGCTTCCCTCGTAGACCGGGCACACCACGCACTTGGTCCACGCGCCGCCGTTCCTCTTGCACTGTCGACAGCATGCGTCTCCCTGAAGCTCCTCGCCGCACTGGAACAAGGTGGCCGCGGTCAACTTGCAGGCCTTGTCCAACGCCCTAGCGTCTACAGTATATCTAGTCGACCAGTAGTTCTTGTAATCGCGCTTTGACTCAAGCAGAAGAAGAATGTTGATATCGCTTTGCCGCAGAGCACGGGTCGTTCCTCGAATAACCGTGCCTGTTGCTTCCAATCAGTCATTGGCAACAGAGAACGGCCAGGGGTACTTACTGGCCACGAAACGACTGACGGCCGTTGCACGATTCCTGCAGAAATGGGATGGGACGGGCATCTTGTATTCCTTTCGATCTTTCGAGCACAAATGCAATGAAGAATGATACAATGGAAACGGTTGACAGGCAGTTCGAAGAAGGATCGCAGGAATAATCGCTGAGTTGAGAATGGAAAGGTGGTCTTGGGGGCAGCGAAGAGGTCCTATTTATGCCCGTCTGCGAGCGGCTTTGGGAGAAAAAAAAGTCAGGAGTCCTCTATTCATCTCGAGGGTGCAAAAGGCGTACCTGAGGGTACAGGGGTATGATACAGCATCCTCTCAGCCAAAATCGCTCTGTCACATTCCCTACATGGGCGACAGTGAATTGGTGAATTCCGATCACACCCTCCTCTAATTGATTCTCAAGAAGAATGCATGGATTAGTAGACGGCTGATTCTATCACTACTTCGTGCTATTCCAAGAAATTGTATGCCAACATTGCAACAAGGGGGATTCATTTGTTGTTCATCATCCATTGCTGTGCCATTTTGGCGGTTCGACCATCGGATGTGCCGTTACCAGGCAGAAGACGGACGAAAAGATAGTCAGTGTAAGGATGCCATTTTGGATACCTCCAATTCCGGTGGGAGGGTGTTTTTCTTTTCTTCTTTCTCCATTGCTTTTTGCCGTGGTTGCTGCATGAATTTCCACACAATTGACGGGAGCAGCTCTGCTCGTTGCTTTTTACACTCGCATTAGCCCGGACAACGAGTCCTCGCTCCTTGATCGTGAACTCACTGCAGTTTCTGTACCTGCCGTCTGCTGTAACGGAGAATTGACCACCGGACTATCTCTCTCGACCTCAAAAGAACCGAGAGCATGGATAGAGCGACTGAACGGCCCGAACCGATGTCAGCAGAAGTGGCCGACAACAGGCTCACGTCTCCTGGACCGTGATGTATGCAATCTGTGACTGGAGGTCGAAGGCTCAAAGGCAGTCAATACTGTGGTCCATAAATCACTGATCCTCATGCAGAACTGTGAAGTGGACGTGCAGATGTGTACATGGCTGGTGTTTCAAAGGAAGCCGCGCGGGTCATTTGCGCCTTGGGGAGTTGGAAGAGGCTGGCAACCGCCTTGTGGCTTTGTTATACATCGCCAGACACCGAGGGATCTACGAGGAGGCCTACTTGGCAGTGCGACTCGGCTCTTTCCCCGAACCTCTGAGGTCTCAAAGTGGACGTATCTCGTTTTTGGCGGATGGCCAAGCCCGCCTCCGCATCTGCCGTTCAGTATCAAGTTTCGACTGAGAACACTTCCTTGTCGCTATCATTGTCATCGGAATTGTTATCCAAGCCCGAAATTGCAGTAGAATTGAATGGACAGCGGCGGCATCGCCCCCAACCAACCAAATGTAATGTGGTCTCAAAATTGGAGGCTCCGACCTGTCCATTTCTGCAGGACCACCAAATATCGTGCTTTAAAAACATCATCGAGTGCAGGAGCATCCCTGTCCCCCGGAGTCCATACATCCTTCGCAGGATTATGTAGGAACCAAGCCACTGACAAGGCCTGCAGACGTTGCTTCCCCGAGACACCACCAGTTTTGATAGATCTCAACGCGGTCAATCGATCGAATTCCTTGCACCATTTGCTCGGCACTTCTCATTCGCAAGCCCAGCCCTGCATTAGGCTCGTCCCGAAGCGCGCTGGTAAAGCAATCGTACCACTGCGACGTGTCGCGTCCTACATCGCGTTTCGCGTCCCTGATTTGCCTACCTTGATCCCGCGAAAGATCCCTCATATTGCCCTTTTTAGACTTTCCATAGAGTCTTCTGATGAACGACCGCAGACTCCTACATCCCAGCCTCATCCCCCCCCAAAATACTGCCCGGAAAGTCGGTGTGCTGATTGTAGCCGCCCGCTCCTCTTGCAAGGCCAATCGGGGCTCGAGGACGTCCTCCGCGCGCAGAGATCGATAATTGTGCATCGGAGGAGTCGAGGAGGATTCAATGATGACTTCCAAGCACGATCAAGCTACAGATGGATGTGTTCGATGGAGTCTTCGGGGATGGGACAGGATCCTCGTCTGTGAGATTCTGTCGTTGAGTTGGATGGGGAGCGCAATCGATCACGACGGACTACCATGGGCCGAAACAGGGCAGAAGCGACTCCCACTTCCTTCTCAATGTGGAAGGCCGTCAGGGCAGATAGTCATGACAGGCTCTATCGTCCATAAATGGTTCGATGACAATGGAGGCTACAACTTACTCAACGGTTTACGAAAGAAAGAAGAACATCGGCTGGACCAGAGAGGCGGATTGCGGTCAAATGTAAGTATCGTGTTCAGGCTCAAGTCCAGATTCCGGGCTTTCTGGATATGTATCTCCCTCAAGATACAACTTCTCGAGGCAAATGATACGCTCAAAAAGCTTTCCCTCAGATTCCTGTCGGAAGAGAACCTGACGTCTCATCTCAGAAACCCAATCCTTCTCGCGATACTGCCGCCATTGCCCCGAACACTCCTCTTTCACCGAATGAAGGCTAATAAACCTACCAGGGAGACTACACCCCCTTTTGATCTCATCAGCCAATTCTTCCTCCTGGACCTCGCATCCTATGTTCTCAAGGTCGCCCTGAACGTCATCCTCCAAAAGCTCCGGGGTATAGCGCGGCGGTTGCTCCTGTTCACCTCTTAATTCCCATATGTAGAGAGTATCCATCATACCTAACTGGCGCACATATCGAGGACGGTCGATCTTCCAGGATGTCGTTGGCGCCCAGGCCAGAAGAGACAAGAGTTCGATGACATGGGGTGGGCGCAAGTGCTGGGCCATGTCCTCGACAAAGAGCTCCGAGCAGACTTCAAGGAAGTCCAGGTCAGATAATTCGGCTGAGTAGTCCCGAGGCTCCATGTCGTCATTGACATGCGAAAGCCACAGATGAAGAGGGGAGGAGAGGTCAGCAGGCGTGTGTGATTGCGAAGCGCTATCAAACCAATCCAGGAGACATGGACGATCTTGAAAGATGACATTTTCGACTAGCCAGTACCGCAAGAAATCCACCACTTCGATGATGTCGAACTTCTCTTGGAGTGCTCGATCCGGATTACAGGACCACATGTCGTAGACTTCATCGAAAGCCATGATGTGCTCAGCCGCGATCTCCGATTTGCAGATTCGGGCCAGCCAGGCAGACTCTAGATTTGTCCAGTGAACCATAAGTGCCCGGTAGAGTCGTTGGTAGGCCCGCTTCTTCTCCGCGGCTGGAAGGCCTTGAATGTTGGGAAGAGTCTCGAGCGGCAACAGTTGATTCTCCGGTTCGTCGTATAGGGTGGCCATGGTTCGGACGCCTATATGGCCACCACTGTGCAAGAAGTTCAAGCTATTGGGCATATCGCAGTATACATCAAAGAGCACCTTCATCGCTTGCCATCTGCAGACGACTTCAAACACCACCTCCGGCGACGACAGTAGCTGCTTCGTCGGTGACCGCAGCCGCTTGAATTTTTTGATGATGGTGTATTCCGGCCGGCTAGACACAGGCAGTCGGGGTTGATCTGCGTAGATTTTCATGCATTCAGCGTGGAACTGGCTCATATGGGAGACCTGGAGATCATATCTGTGGTACGGGGATTGTATCTTGGGAGGGCGCCAAGTCAGTATTGCGCGTAGATTGGGGGAGGCCGCTCATCCTCTCCTTTCACAACCGTGGGGACTCTAGCCTACAATGATGGACCTCATGATGGTAAACCGATGACCAGGACGATCTAGAATCTGATACAAACGCCGACAGGAACGACCGAGATGGAATGCATCGTCGATGTTGTCCAAATTTTGGAACACGCGGAGTAGCACCTCTGCGGGCAGGTCCTCCAGATGTGTTCCAGACATTCTGAACCTTCCATTGCCCAGGGGAAATGATTGTCAACCCCCACAGGGGAGAGTGATTTCTTTTGCGGTACAGAAATTGTTGCGGATACCATCACATGATCGGGAGGAAACTCGTGACCTCGACGTGCGTTCGGACCACTTTGTCTACAGGAGGATGACTACGGACTGTTCGTAGTAATGATAATAATAATAATATTGCTCGGGGATGGTAGTAACTATCGAGAGCACAGACTGACACCACTGTAGAAACGACACCTTTGCATCTTTCTTGATTCGAACTGCCGCTGTTGCTCAAAGGCTGCCATTCTGAGCCAATCCACAGAGGGAGATTGCTGCTTCTCTCTGCCTCGTCTCCTCAAGGCCTCGAGTTCACCCAGCGCAGTGCTAACCAGTTGGCCGGCGGTCTGGAACTACGCCAGAAGTGAACAATACAAACTAGAATGCGTCTTATGAAAACATGGTTTCTAAGACATAATCAAGACCCAACCTGCTCGTTAGACATTTGCCTTGATCCACAGGCTTTGCGAGTTACAGTACGCCGTCAACCCACTCAGACCCCATTCGGTGCCAATTCCACTAGACTTGTGACCCCCGAACGGTACATTTGGTGCGAGATCGAAGTGCGAGTTGATCCACACGCTGCCCGACTCGAGACGGTCCGCCATCCGACGCGCTCGCACGGGGTCCTTGCTCCACACCGAGGAACCTAGTCCGGTCTCGGTACCGTTGGCCCGCGCGAGCACGTCGTCCTCATCCGACCATTTCATGATGGGCAGGATAGGGGCAAAGGCCTCCTCTTGCACCACTCGAGCGGACTCGGGTGGGTTGTCGATAATGGTCGGTGTGATGAAGTAGCCCGCCGAGTCCTGGATCGTGCCGCCGAGAACCGCTTTGAGACCCTCGGTGGAGATGCTCGAGTAGAGATCCTTGGCCTTGTCGTATTGCATACTGTTCTGAACAGGGCCGAAGAAGACGTCGGGCTGGGTGCCTTCGCCGACCTTGAGGGATTGCACAAATGCCACCAGTTTGTCCCGGAATTCGTCGTAGATCTTCTCGTGGACGTACAGCCGCTTGATCACCATGCAAATTTGGCTCGCGCACAGGAAGGAGAGAATGCCGACCTAGCGTTTCGTTAGTTAAACCAGCACAGCCTCTGCGAGACTGACACCACGAACCTTGGGGACAACAGCGTCGATATCCACATCGTCGCAGACAATGGCCGGGTCATTTCCACCCAGCTCCAGTGTCACTCGCTTCAGGGTCTTGGCACAACTGGCCATGACCAGCTTTCCGGTCGGAATTGAGCCGGTGAAGCTGATCTTGTCGATGCCTGGGTGCTCTGTGATCATCGGGCCCAGGTCGTCCCCGCCACTCAAGGCCTGGACAACGCCTGGGGGGAAACACTGAGCGGCCAGCTCCGCCAGCTTCAAGCCACAATAAGGGGTCAACGGCGAAGGCTTGAAGATGATCGTGTTACCGGTGTAGACAGCGGGGACGATCTTGCTCACAGCTAGCAAGACAGGGAAATTCCACGGCACAATGCCTCCACAGACACCCAGCGGGGTGTACCGCTGGATGATCTTGCGTTCTTCCGTCTCCTCGATGACTGACTCGGGAATCTCGGTGGTGGTAAGGGTCCGTGTCCACTGCGTGGCCATGCCCACTTCCACTGCGGACTGGCTCAGGGGCTTCCCTTGTTCTTGGGTCAACAGCTGAGCTATCATATCCTTGTTCGCTTCCAGCTTGTCTGCGAAGGCACTGAGGGCAATTCGGCGCTCATCGAACGAGGTCTTGGACCATTTTTGGAAAGCTTGGCGGGCCGCATCGACCGCTCGGTCGAGGTCGTCTTGAGTGGACACGGGGACTTCGGGGTTTGGTTCACGGTTGGCCGGGTTGATTCCGTAACGGGTTTGTGACGTCGAGGTCAATTCGTTGTTGATGACATTGTGGAAGGTCTAGATACAAAGAGTCAGTTCCGGTGGTGTCGCAGCATGAGTGACAGGGATATGGGAGTCGGGTACCGTCGCGTTCAAGGACATGGTGGCAGTTCCGAGTGCAACGAGAAAGGGAGGGAGTGGTACAATGCCAGTCAACAATAAGGAATTTGTCTGAGAGAGCAAAGAATGCAGTGCATCGTGCCACTTCTTATATCCAGACAAACCGCATCCGACCACCCAGGCCTGAGACCACCCGATACTACAGTACCCCTCATTCATACATCCCATGCCAGGATGATCAATCAGCTAGAATGCTCGACAGGATCGGGGAATGGGCTAGAACAAATTGATTGGTGGTGATAGCCTCGTCGGCTTGAGCACTTAATCACTCGATAGTCAGGACTAACCTATTTGAATGCATTCAAGTGAGAATTTCACTGAATGAATTGCTTTCATCCATGGTTGACCGCGGTGAAGTGCACGTCGACTGGGTAACTGGTCCAGCGCATTTCGAGAGGGAATTACATTAGATCAACTGCTTGGAATGTGGTACACACCATGTAATGCACCGAGTAAATCGCTTTGAACGTGGGCAACTGAGCTTCGTTGGATTATCTGCTTTTGAACGCAAGGGAGCCAGAAACTACGCATCACATCACACTGTGGACGGCTTTTCCAGATGCCTCCCAGTGGCTTTGACTCTTTCCCTCGAAATTCATTCAGAACAAGGAATCTTTAGTGATCGACGTAATTCTGATGCCAGGTATAATCCCGATTCTCCAGCAACAGATTCCGAATCGCCTCGCGGGGCTTCATCGGCTCGCGTCCAAGCACGTCCTTCATCAACGGGTCGGTGTAGCGCACCTCCCCCTGGGCCACGCTGTCATACCACGACACCAGCGCTTGGAAGAATTCTGCGGGCTTCCCGCCCTCGTCGCTCGTCGCGTTCAACCGCACATACTCCTCCGGGGCGACCAGTTGGAATTTGACACGTCGACCCGTCGTCTCGTTGATGACATCGACCACCTCGGCAAAGCTGATGGTCTCTTCTGCAGTCAGGAGCACGATCTCGTTGTCGTGGCCTCCCTGCAGCATCAGACGGGCATTGGCTTCTCCGAGCTCCTTCCGCAGTGTGAAGGCAGTCCGGCCGTCCGCGGGAAGCGAGACCGTAGTGCTGCCGGGATACCAGTTCAAGAATAACGGAAAGGCATCCGTGTAGACTCCTTCGCGGATGGACGTGAAGGTGACACCCGATCTGGATTGTTAGCGAAGTCGTAGTGGACTTGGTTTGCATCTCCAGAACGCTTACTCTTTCAGTAGATCTTCCGTCTGCAGATGGGCTTTCTGGATCGCGGCTTTCGAGTCGGATTTCAATCCTCCAAACGCGAGGGAGGTATACCACACCTGCCCAGTGAATGCTTACTTAGTAGAGATGCAAAAGGCGATGTTGGATGAACATACATGCTTGACACCCGCTCTTTTAGCTGCATCGACAAAATTTCGATGTTGCTTGATCCGCCTCTCATTGTCGAAGACGTTGGTACTGACGAAGAACAGATTCTCCACCTCCTGGAAAGCCGCATCCAATGTTTGCGGGTCATCGTAGTTGACATGGCGGAAAGAAACCCCGCGGTCCTCGAATTGCTTTCGATTTGACTCCCGAGACGAGGCTGCTGCGTATTCGGAGGAAGGCCGATGGGCTTCGAAATACGAGAGGACTTCTTTGCCGAGTCCACCCGTGGCACCGGTGATGAGGTATTTTAGAGTCATTTTTCTAAGATCCAAGGATGTTGGGGGATTTTCAAGCTTTCCCAGTCTTCGCGAAATGGGAAGATCTCCTTATATAGATTGAGAATAATACAAACTGGATTTGTAATCGGTCGTCGTATCATGCATGACGAGTGTCGTCGAAGAGGCCGAAATGGTTGATTCATAAGCAATAAGGATGCCAAGCAGCTCTCTGTCTCTCTAGAGATGGATGTTGAAGCCAATCAACAAGTGGCCTCCACAGCTAACGGAGATCGACAGAATTGAATGGAACAATTTTTTGTCGAAGAAAAGGGATGAAAAGGTGGAAAAGAGAGCGTGCCCCAGCCAATATATGACTTCAAACAAAGATGCGGATTTAGTTCATACTCAGAAAATCAGAAATGCACCGCCCGATCACTACAAACATGTCCGCAAGTATTCCCCCAACGCCATAATTGCCATGGCCTGCCCGTAAGGCATCGCTGTAAGCGGAATTTCCTTGTAGAACTGCAGCGTGTCGCCCATACCGGTGCCGAAGCTGGTATTCTGGAGCTCTCCGTGCTCGTCTACCGCGCTCAACACCGCGTTGATGGCCTTCCTTGCCATCGGGCCATATTCTGGTCCAATGTACCGCTTCCGCACGGCCTTCAGAATGCCGTATGCAAATCCGGCGGTGGCAGATGCTTCCACGTACGAGTCTGAATGGTCGAGAAGAGTGTGCCAGTAGCCGGTATTTTCGTCTTGGAGTCGGCGCAGCGCCTCGCACTGCGCTTCGAGAGTGTCAATGAGGTGGATACGGATCGGGTCGGTCGGTTCCAGGTCCAACAGTTCGATGATCTCGGGGATGACGATAGTGATCCAGCTGTTACCACGGGCCCAGCGGGCACCCGCAAAATTGTGACCTTCGTCTTCGAACGTCCAGCCATGGAAGAAGAGCCCGGTTTTTGTGTCGAAGAGGTATTTGATGTGTACGAGGAATTGCCGCTTGGCCTCGGCTACGTACGCCGGCCGGTTCAGCAGCTTGCCGATCTTGGCCAGCGGCATGACAGTCATCATGAGAGTGTCATCCCAGAGCTGCTGGTAGTTCTCGGTTAGGTAGGTGGCGTGCTGCATCCCCCCATACCGCGTACGAGGCAGGTCGTGCATCGCCCATTCGGCCCAGGCGTCCAACCAGGGCAGGTAGGCGACGTTGCCGGTCTTCTCGTACACATAGGCCAGCGTCAGAAAGACAGCCATGGTGTTAATATTTTTGGTGGTGCCGCCCTCAGCGAACCGAGCCGCGAACCAGTCTTCGATGATCTGGAGAAGGGCCGCATCGCCGGTCATCTCGTAGTATTTCCAGATGCCGTAGAGTCCAATGCCGTGCGTCCACTCCCAGCCGGCCCATGACTTGGTGTCGATGATCCGACCATCCTCCAGATGTAGCAGGAACTTTCCCGTATCATCTTTGATGTTGACCAGATTGGTGATGAGGCGGTTGACGGTCTTGTGGACCTCCGTCTGCGAGGGCGTTTTCATGATGATTGTGCTTTTGTCTATCGTGTGCAAGCACAATCTGGAGCTTCAGCGTCTCCTCATATGTTTCTGACTCGTGCATCTGCCTATAAATCCTGCGGGGTGGAGTCTCCGACTCATGATACGTGGAAGAACTGGCTGCATTTACCCGGGTGGGATGTGGTCCATCGGGACAACGCCCCCCGATAGCGCCGCGTTGATCAGAATGCCCATTTGGAGCGAGATCATGTCTCATTGGCACTTCTGGAGACTTGACAGGGAGTGCAGCCCTCAAATGGACCGCACTGCCATTGCCCCTCGGGCCATCACCCCCCGATCTTCCCCTCTCCTCCACTCCATTCCCCCGTCGCTTGTCCCATGGGGAAGACAAGCCAAGAAAACCGGGGAAAGAGTCAAGTCAGCCAGAAAAGCCATGTGGATCCCTGATTAAGTTCTTGGGGAGTGTATCTAGACGAGGTTGATGGCCTCTCGAAGCAAGGAACTGACAAGCACATGGTGATCTGGAAGATGTCAGCGTTGACTCGGGCCTGTCTCCCCCCTGATAAAAAGGCCGGAGTTCTCTATCCTCCTCCTCCTGCCTATCTGTCGGATTCTCTGTCCCTAAACTAAGCTACCGGGTGTTTGATCCCACAAGGTACCATATTCTGCTCGCCTCGCCTCATACCACGGTTTAGCTTCCATCATCATGGCGCAGGACGAGTCCAAGATCGCCTCTGCCCCGGTGGCTACTGCAGCAACAGAGGCTGAGGATGACACAAAGGACGCCAAAGATATTTCTCATGTCGAGCGGGTGCTCTCTGATACGCTCGTCAAGGACCGAGCGGATCTCTCCCGGATGGACAAGGAGCTGCAGGAGTATGCAGCTCGTGGTCAGGTCGAGGTGGATCAAGCGACAAGCAAGCGGCTGCGACGCATGATCGATCGTCGCGTGTTGATAATCATGATCTGCACGTACTTTCTCCAGGCCCTCGACAAGGGCACCATGTCCTTTGCCTCTATCATGGGTATTCGAGATGATTTGAGTTTACAGAATGGCCAAAAGGTTGGTCACAGCTTTGTCGCAGCATCAAGTCCGAACGGATACTGACGCACGTCGCTCTATAGTACTCCTGGCTCACGACCTGTATCTACATCGCCGTCCTCATTGTCGAGTATCCGACCAACTGGATCATCCAGCGCGTCCCTCTCGCCAAATATCTCGGCATCAATATCTGTCTCTGGGGTGCCGTGTTAGCCCTCCACTCTGCATGTCACAATTTCGCAGGGCTGGTTGCTGTGCGGACCCTGCTGGGTATCTTCGAAGCCTGCTGCCAGCCATCCTTCGTGTTGCTGTCCAGTATGTGGTACAAGAGAGAAGAACAAGCTGCCACGGTCACCTACTGGTGAGTATGGCGTTCGTTTCCACCTGGGATGCTCGTCTAACCTGCCAATAGGTATATGATGAACGGCGGCCAGCAGATCGTCGGCGGGCTTCTAGCCTACTGTTTCAGTCTCATCGGCAAAGACAAGGCCATCCACTCATGGCAAGGGCTCTTCATGTCCTACGGCTGCCTCTCCGTGCTCTGGGGCCTCTTCGTCATCTACTGGATGCCCGATTCGCCCATGCGCGCCAAATGCTTCTCCGAGGAGGACAAGCATCTGATGGTCGAGCGAGTGCGCGGCAACCAGACCGGCATGCAGAACCGGAAATTCCGCTCCTATCAGATGTGGGAAGCCTTCCGGGACCCGCAGATGTACTGCTACTGCGCCATCCAGATCTTCACGACCCTGCCCACCAGCGGTCTCGGCGCCTTTGCCAACATCATCATCACCGGCTTCCAGTTCACAGAACTGCAGACGCAGCTGCTGGCCATGGTTCTGGGCTTCTATATCATCATCGTCCTGCTGAGCTCGGCGTGGCTGGTTAAGAAGACCGGACAGAACCTGCTGATTATGCTGGGGTTCGTCATCCCGTATGTTTTCTTTCCCCCCTCCCCACTCATGGCATGCGTCCACGCATAGCTAACTGACCCCCGGCAGATCTTACGTCGGAACCATCGTCCTTATGACTGTCGAGAACAAGAACCTCGGCACCAAAGTTGGCCTCCTCATCAGCTACTACATCACGCTGTCGTTCTGGTCGGCCCAGACCCTCTGTCTCTCCATGGTCTCGCGCAACATCGCCGGCGCCACCAAGAAATCTACCGTCGTCGCCGCAACCTTTGTCTCTTGGGCCGTGGGCAACGCTATCGGTGAGTCACAGGAACATGCCATGCCATCCAGGTAGCAAGGAGAGTCACTGACAAAACAAAACCATCTTGCAGGGCCCCAGGTCTTCCTCGACAGAGACGCACCGCGGTACTTCATCGCGTTCGGAGTCCACTTGGGCTGCTACACCGTCATGACTCTGGCGGTCATTTTCCTGCGCTTCTACCTCGTTTCGCAGAATAAGAAGAAGGATTGTCTGCTTCGGGAGAGTGGCCTGTCTGCGACAGATAATAACCTGACACATGCGTTCGAGGACAGGACGGACCAGGAGAATCCTTACTTCCGGTACATCTACTGAGGGGGGGTTATATATACATATAATATCGTCAATATCAAATATATTTTGATGAAAATGAGCACGAGAGGATGACTCTGTGTCTTTACACGTACGAATTCGCTCAGTTCCGTAGAATGAAGCAGCGTGTACAAATATATAACCCGAGGAGTTTCGGTAAGCATTACGCACAATCGAGCTCGTACTCCGCGATCAAGGCCTCCGCGCATGTCAGACCGGTCACATAAGCCGTGGCCTGGGTGTGGTTGTTCGTTAGGACCGGCACGACACTCATGTCCGCCACGCGCAGATTCTCCGTCCCAAACACGCGGAATCGACTGTCGACCGCTGCGTCCACGTCGCCGGATTTGCCCATCTTGACCGTTCCAGTCATGTGCCAGCTGGAGCCGAGGGTGTTCTTCCAGTGCGCGAGGAGGTCTTCGTCGGATTCCGAGGCCGGCACGAGTATCGGGGCCACCGTGTCCTTCGTAAATGACTCATGCTTGGTCACTTGAAGCGCGTCACGGAGGATTTCAATACACGCACGGCGATCAAAGGGGTGTGAGAAGAACTTGGGGTCAAAGAGAAGCGGGTCGTCTGGGTTGGACGACTGAAGCCGGAGCTCGCCGCTGGACTGCTCGTTCATGAGGAACACGAGGAGACACATATAGCTATAGTCGGTCATTTGGGGGCGGATGAAGTGCACAGGAAAATTCGTCATGAACTCATAGTGTGGCACGGTCTCACGCTTGAGGAAGTCTTGGACGGTCGGCGGTAGCTCCTGAAACTCTGCCGATGCCAAAAGACCGTCCGACTTGAACCATCCGGCCGCGAGCTGGCACGAGTACCGTGCCCACGGTCCGGTTCCGTCCTTCATCCACTGCGTCATGGCTTCATCCATAGCGTTCTTGTCACCGAAGAAAGCGTTCCGGTCGTTCGTCTCTGGACTGCGCTTGAAGGACAGCGGCGCAAAGAAGTGGTCTCGCAGATTTTGGCCGATTGCAGGAAGATCATGAACGAGTGGTATCTGGAATTTGCCCAGTTGCTCGGATGGCCCGATCCCCGAATGCATCAGAATCTTGGGAGAGTCAAGTGCACCGGCTGTTAAGATGACATCTTTAGAAGCGTAAACTGTAGCGGAGATTCGATGTTAGTGCGTTGCACTGAAGAATATGGCGCGGAGAATGGGAATAGACGAGCCTACATTGTCTGCCCTTGGATTCAACTCCAATCGCTTTCTTCCCAGACAGAATGACCCGCTGCACGGGTGATTCGGTGATGATGGTCAAATTTTCTGGAGCACCCTCTAACAGATCCGTTGCAGCGACTCTTCGCCCTTGATGGAATGAGTTGATCAACAATGCCATGCCAAGTGGATTACCAGAATTGTGGTCCGGATTGCGGGCGAAACCGGCCTTTTCAAAGACATCCATCATCAAAGGTAGATCTCGCTCCCATTCCGCAGCGTAGCCCACGTGAAGGGCACCCTGGGACCCATGATCCGACGGCCTCGAGGATATATACTTTTTGTGGTCCGGATCCACAACTGCACTGTCGAAGGTCTCGAGATTTCGGAACCGCTGCTGCATGCGATCCCACCTGTATAGGTCGTCTCCGACCACAGATGCCCACTCGTCATAATCGTCGCGCGCACCCACGGTGTATAGACCAAAATTGATGGCGCTGGTGCCACCAAGCACTTTGCCTCGCGAGTAGTCGATCTGGCGATTGTTGCAGTGCTCCTGCGGAACGGTGGAGTATCCCCAATTCACCCCTTTGGCCAGAAAGGTAGCCCATCGTTGACCATCTACCCTCAATGCTGGATCGTCATTCCGCGGACCTGCTTCCAGTAAAAGCACTTGGGGGCGTTTGCTCGACCGAGCGAGTGTCGCTGCGAGGGCACAGCCCGCGGGGCCACCTGGGTCAAATTAGCTCAGGAATTCATCCACGACACTCCACATTCCTTGAGGACTGACCGCCAACGATGACGAAGTCCCAATATGCCTCGGAAGCCATGTTGTGCTTGGGTGTGAGTGAAGCTAGATGAGGAATTGCTAGCAAGGGTGCTGAGAATGAACCAGGGATAAATCAAAGACAGCCACACGCCGCAACAAGCGAAAACTGAAATTCTTTTTACAGTTTGATCAGCGGCGGGATTTATATGTGTCCAAGCCCCGCACGGAATATTGTCTGTTGTCCTGAAACATTGAATAGTAATCACGATTATCGTCCACAGTCACCGAAAGGCAGAATCCAGAGTTAGGAATGATCTAGAAGCGAGATTGGTGCCCTTATTAATCGAAGGATGTATCGGCAACTTCCAGGTTAGGTACCCAGAGCATTGCTGTCATTGTGATCCCCGGCATTAATTGCACCTCGTTCACAGTCCGAAAGCCGAGTTGTTCGTAGAGGGATGTGCCTTTAGCACTCGCTTCAAGACCAACCGGTAGCTCTTCCTGACGGGCTTTCTCTAATCCCCATTCCACCAGACTTCGGCCAATTCCTTGCCGCTGATGATGGGGATGAACCGCGAGGACAGATAGATACCACACGTTCGGATAAGCAGCCCAGGGGAAGCACTCTGTGGACAAGGCGTTATAGGCCGCCAAACGAGCATTATCCACGCTGCGATCGGGAAAAAGGCGGGAGATGTAAGGGTCTGCGGAGTGCAAAAGTCGTTCACGAAGAGCTGCCGGGGAGCGAAACGAAATGGCCCAGCGTCAGTTAAGATCTTTTCTTTTTACTCCTTTGCCTCATGGAGGAATGTCATCCTGTTCTACTGACCATCACACCAAGGCGCCTGATCCGACTCCTTCCACTGCCTCACGGTGTCCTTCGCTCCCTCTCCAATGCGTTCCCAAACCGCATATCCCGTGATCGACATTGATGAGTGTGGGCCGTCCGCGACCGGCGCCGACGTGTCGACGGCCACAATGACCAGCCATTCGGGAGATAGGAGCTTGGTGCGAAGTCTGCGCATAAAACTCTGTCGGTACTCGGCGTAAAACTTCCGCCTCCTTGGACACAGGTATTCAAACAACTCATCATCCAGCATGGCCTGAGCAGCGACTTCTGCGATGGCGGGGAGGTCCTGCGCTGTGGCAGGACGTAGCAACATCGCGTTGACGCGGGAATCAAGGCATGTTCGGGTGCAATCAAAGAAACAAAGAGGTGATGATCATTCGTCGAGAACGGCGACTCGATTTTTGTTTGACGAGGTTCTTATCGTGTTTCACATTTTAGATTTGCCTGAAAGGAAGTTGGAACAGATGAAGTGGAACCAGCAGGCTTAGCAGCCAGCTCCAGCCTCCAGGGACTCAGGGTCCAGGGAGGAGACCAAGTGGAGCGCGGGGATTCTTACCCTGGTGGACTCCTGAGATTGGAAAGTGGAAATTCGAACGGTCAGTTGAATCTGGATGATCCGGTCATCCATGCGCGACAAGGCCAAATCATAGTAGATGATTCTCGCTGGAGTGGAGGATATCTGTCCGCCATACAGAGGAGTAGAACAGAGGATTGACCTGGATATTCCCTGGATTCCAGGTGTTTGACCCCTGGTAGGCTCTTCAGCGTGGGAAGTCCCGTGATCCCAGCAGAGATCACATGATTTGAGCACTGTTTGTTCCTTCTTCCGAGGTTCTGATGATGTTTCATGTTAATTATGGAGATTCTGATGATCCTGATGTAGAGCTCGGCACCAAACGTGTCGATAGTGATCTGGCAGTAGTAGTATGGAAGATCTCACGAACGTACAAGTGACAACCATACTCCGTATATGACCGAGAGAGGCAGGTTTGTGGCCTAAGGCCTTCCGTGGCCAGACCCCAGTGGCCGGTAAGCCACATCTCTCCCGAACAGGCCTAGCGGGGGTGGCACCCCTTCCGCTCGGGTGGTTCTCACCCCGAAACGAAGTGTCTATTTGCTGGATTTGGCTAGTTTGGTTGGTTTGCTGGGTTTGGGTCCCCAGAACCAAACAGGAGACACAAGGAAGAATCAGCGACAGGGAGAAGTTCACTCCAGAATTATTATTGAGATTATTATTGCAAGATCAGAGTCCACCAGATGCTAGGACTCTACCTGAGGACAACTAATTGACCAGCTGTGACTGGTTAGGCAATTTCAGATCCTGCCAAAAGACCAAAGTGCTAAGAATAACTAATAACTAATAACTACAGAGTAATAATACTATGCTAGTTTAATCAAAATCATGGCTTTGGTTCTACTGTAGTAATTTCAAACCCCCCAGCCAGGCCCGCCCACGGCCCATGCGTTCATTTTAGGTTCACTGATTTCTCCCTCCTCCCTTGACTCGCTCTGCTCCCCCACCCCCTTCCTGTCTCCCATCTCGAGAGACTTTCCCCAGTCTCTTCTCCTGAACCTCTTCAGCATCGGCTTCCAGTTCCTTTTTGTGTTGCATTCGGTCTTTTCCCCCAGTCTTGCGTCGCCGCTCTACTTTCCACTCCCTTGTCGCATAATCCTCGGTTGCTTGGGGAGAGGATCAGAGATCCCCGCGACCACACCCATCACCACAGCATCACAGGGAGCAGTGGGAAACAGAGAAAATCTAGCCTTCGCCGGAATCCTATTTTTGAAGGCGCGACAGCTGAGATTGAAGGTCCATTGAGAGAGTCTGTATCCCGTACCGAATCACCGCACGTCTGTCGCAAGTGATGCGACTGCCGACAGGGAGCCGAATGACACCGACCCGGGTATGACCCAACGCTGCCCTCGCTGATTTCAAGTCCAGCACCTGCCAGATTGCGATCCATCTGGTCCTGAAGACGGATCATTCAGATCAAGAACTCTTGGGGTTAGCAATTCGTGTTTGGATAGAATATGGCGTTTGGCTCGTTCGTGCATTCCGCCCGTCCTGTGATCGTCGGTCCGATACGAAAATATCACCCCTTGTCGATATCGTCGCCTCCACTAACCTCGTCTATACCGCCGTGATTTCCTTTGTCAATTGATGTCGTCGTTCTTTCCCGCCAACGCCTCTTCCCACACTCTTTACGGGAACGGCCCGCAGCGGGTCATGTTGAACTCGCTCTCAGAACTTCCCGAGGGCCTTGGGAAGGGCAACCGCAGCCACGATCTCACCATTCGCATTCTCGTGGTGGCGTTCAACTCAATCGCTCTTTACAATGCCCTTGAGCTTATCATTCTCATTTTTCTGACTTTCAACCGCTATAGCGGTCTCTACTTCTGGTCGCTTCTGCTCTCGGGAGTCCCGGGCGTCATTCCCCACGCCGTGGGCCATCTGCTGGAGTTCTTCGACGTTGGGCCCATCGGGCTGGCCATCTCCATCGCCACGGTGGGCTTCTACTTCATGGTCCCCGGCCAGTCGTTCGTCTTGTACTCCCGGCTTCACCTGGTGGTGCAGAACCAAAAACTCCTGCGCCGCATCCTCTACCTCATCATCATCGACGCCGTCATCCTCCTGATCCCAACGACCGTCCTCAATTACCTGACCGTATACGTCGGCACCGTGCCTATCATCCGCGGTTATAATGTCATGGAACGGATGCAGATCGCCTGGTTCGCCGCGCAGGAGATTCTGATCTCGGTGATCTACATCGTGGAGACGATCCGGCTCCTGCAGTTGAGACCGGACAAGGCGGCCAGCCGCAACAAGATCATGTATGAACTGATCGCCATCAACTTCATCATGGTGCTCATGGACGTGGCGCTCCTGGTGCTGGAATACTTGGGCATGTACACGCTGCAGGTCACCCTCAAGGCCGCGGTCTATAGCATCAAGCTCAAGCTGGAGTTCGGCGTGCTGCGCAAGCTCGTCTCGCTGGTGCACACCCAGCCCGAGGTGTCCAGCTCCACCGAGCTGGACGAGTACCCGGCCTTCGTCGACCCGACCCAGATCACCGGCGACCTGACGCACGCGGCGCTGGTCACGCGCCGGACCTCGCGGCCCTGGGACGCCATCTCCATGGATAGCTTTCTTCGGTCGGAGCAGAATAGCCAGCACGTGGAACATGCGCAACCCCCTTGACTCGTCGGCTCGTCCCGTCCACCTCTTGCATCAATTCCAAGCAACGTCGCATTTGCAAAAATGATCCGACCTCGATCGTGGATTTGGTCCACTTTCTGCGCCGATTCGGAACGAGGCAATGCCTCGTCTCTATATATTTGGGCTAGATAACGACCCATTCGGCGGCGCGGTTTTCCCTGGCGGCATTGCAGCGGCATTGCAGCGGCCTCGACTGCGCAAACAGCCAGTCGGCCACGCGCGGCTCGCAGAATCATCATGAATCGATAGCATGCACCTTGACGGCGGGTGCCGTCCTCCGTGGATGCACCCTTGGTTGCATGATCCGTGTTGCATCGGCCCCAGTGCTCTTGCACCGCTCTCTCCCCTTCCTCCGACTGAACATAAGCCGTACAATTTTGGGCAGGGTTGGTTTGTGTTGAGTATACTCTGTATGATATTCCCAATCTAGTGTAGATACGCCGCATTTCGAGGTGTCAATAGTGAAGTGATCACAGCCTCTTGAAAATAATGATCCTCTATCCTCCCCTCAGTATGACCGTGTACCGCCACGAGTGGCACTTACTGGCCACCACGGGCACATACCAAAGCGCAACGCGCCCCAATTGTCACAGCAGGAAGCGTGTACCACTAATCCCGACAAAAAAAACCTACCATCCAACCTGTGTATATCGTCACGAAGGGCCCTACGATGATGATAGGCACGGCGATGCGAGATGATGCTGGTGCGGGGCGCTGGGGATAACTGCCGACTCAGAGTCACAGATGAGGTAGACAGTCTCTATTAGATCGGGGATTGTGGCTTGCAATGAACGCATATGATGCTATTCTGTGTGAATGATCAGCGTGCCTCTCCGTTCGTGTCCTCGGCGGGCCCGTGCCGTCTTCCTCTGTCAGACTTCAGGGGTCTCTGAGGCGGTAGAAGCGGTGATGTCATTATCCATTTTGCCAGAAAGGGCAGGTTCACACCTCAGGCAGCCACCCATCCCGGGTGTAAGAGCCGTTCAACCGTTTGATTGGTCTGTGCCAAGTTCTGCTCATGCATGCCCCACCGACTAACCACATCAGGCAGGCGACTTTGTCAGGCAGCTTACCTCACCGGGACGCGGCTCAGCCACTGACGGGCACCAGTCACTGCGTCGTCCCTCCAGCCTGTCCACTTGGGAGTAACTACTAACTACTAACTACTAACTACTAACTAGATGCAGCTCCACCAGCCAGTGTGGAATGTGGATGTTGCTCCGTCGCTCTGTCAAGCACTCCAGTTAAGGCTGCTTTTAAGGTCCTATCCGTCACTCGGTCTGTCCGCCAGCAGATTCCGTCAGTTTGGGTCGATGGAGAACAAGGCTTTTTTTGTGCTGGCCCCTCAGAGCCATCATTTCTACTACGACGAGTTATGTAGTCCAAAGTGTTGGCATTGACACGTTCAACTACACCACCCACTCCATCCATCGAGGAGCGTCTTCTTTCCAATCCATAACCCTTGAGAGATCGTTGATCGCATTCTCTTCTCTTTTTCTCGCCTTCTTTCCGTCGTTCATTCTTTTCGTCCCTCTACTCACACAACCCCAGTCCACCGGCCTGACTTTGAACCACTGTTCTACTCCCTCGGACGGCAACTACAACATCCGCTAAACGGTATTCTTTCTCTCCCTCTTGCGCCCTTTCCCGTTTCCTGGTTCTGTGTGTTGGCTACTTGGCTTTCTCATTTTGACCCCGCCCAGGGTGATTATTATCATTATTATTGCTAACGGCTCGAATTTTTTCACCCTCCAGAAATTCCGTTCTTCTTCTTCCACGTGCCCCGCACTTCACTATCAACCATTCTCAATCCCACCCCGGTCGTCTTCACCACTGCCCAAAAAAAAAAAAAAAAAAAAAAAAAAGACGGTTCGAGCGCGACAAATCTCCCCCGTGGGGTGCAGGGTTTCGGTACAAGGTGTCCAGCCGGCCGTGAGATCCGAATTCATCGTACTCTGCCTTTGCCGCAAAAACCCCCTGCCTTCCCCAAACGAACTCACTCGCCCGATGCGCGTGGGACATTTTTTTTTTTGATTAGTGTTGTTTCCGTTCCCCAGTGATCGTTTGTGATGGCGTCGAGCTCTGGTACCTCGCCGACGAGGCAAAACACCAGCGATAACCCTGCAGCGGTCACACCAGGAGGGGTTGCCGGAGAGGAATGCAGTGCCCCTCGTGCAGAGCAACCGGGCCTCGGTCGTTCCATGAGCTTCGACAGCGTCGACCGAGTATATCCAATCCGGTCCGTCATTTCGGTAGATCCTGCGTCCGCCGCCCCAGCACAACCGCAAGCGCCAAGCAACCTGAATTCACCGGCTACGGGCGCCAGGGAGTGGTCCATCATCACAGCAGAGACGTGGGATCAATTGCAGTCACAGCCGACGACGAGTACAGGGGATCCGGCCCTCGGCCAACCGCCCCCTCCACAACCGCCTCCTGACGCGGCGAGTCCCACGTCCCGTGTCCCCGAACAGACCTGTCCTCAGAGTCCCAGCAATGCGTCAGCAGCCGAATCGGTGCTCTCCAAGAAGCAAGAACCCGATGTCGATCCCGACCATGGCCTCGTCACGGCACGGTTCCGCCACGTGGCCACGGACGGGGGCCATGCGGTTATCACCGGGCGTGACAACGATGGCGTCTTCCAATCCTGCGAAGACGAACCCATTCACATCCCGGGCGCGGTGCAGAGCTTCGGTGTTCTAATCGTGTTGCGGGAGGAGCCGGACGGGAAACTCACCGTCCGTGTGGCTAGCGAGAACTCCGAGACGTTTCTGGGTTACTCGCCTCGGAGTCTCTTTGCGCTGCCGACGTTCTCCGACATCCTCGATGAAGATCAAGCGGACATCCTGTTGGATCACATCGACTTTGTGTGCGAGGAGGGGTACGACCCCAGCCTGGATGGCCCCGAGGTGTTTCTGCTCGCCATCAACCTCCCTGCAGGAAAATCCCGGCGGTTCTGGTGTGCTACCCACGTCAACCCGTCCACCAACTCGAAGTTGATCATCTGTGAATTGGAATTAGAAGACGATCGCATTAACCCGCTCTGCGTATCCGGAGAAACCACCCCGATGATGCCGACCGATACCCTGGGAGTCGAACCCACACCGGCACAACTCGAGCACAGTACCATCAACATCAGCCAGCCGTTGCGGGTGCTGCGGAACGCACGCCGCAGACGGGGCGAAGCCGCCGCTATGGAGGTGTTTAGTATTCTCTCGCAGATCCAAGATCAGCTGGGCCGTGCAAAGACGTTGGATTCACTGTTGAACACGACCACCGGTTTGGTCAAAGAGCTGACCGGGTTCCATCGGGTCATGATCTACCAATTCGATGTCAATTGGAATGGAACCGTCGTGGCGGAGCTGGTGGACCCCAAAGCAAGCGTCGACTTGTACAAAGGCCTCCATTTCCCGGCTTCCGACATCCCCAAGCAAGCGCGGGATCTGTATCGCATCAACAAGGTCCGCTTATTGTACGATCGCGACCAGCTCACCTCCCGATTGGTGTGTCGGACTTTGGACGATCTGGAAACGCCCGTCGACATGACCCATGCGTATCTCCGGGCGATGTCGCCCATCCACGTCAAATATCTGGGCAATATGGGGGTTCGGGCCTCCATGTCGATCAGTATCACTGGTTTCAATGAGCTTTGGGGTCTGATCTCCTGTCATTCCTACGGCGCTCACGGCATGAGGGTCTCCTTCCCGGTGCGCAAGATTTGTCGCTTGATCGGTGACACCGTGTCACGGAACATCGAGCGTCTCTCTTATGCCTCGCGTCTCCAGGCCCGCAAACTGATCAACACGGTGCCCACCGACGCCAACCCCTCTGGGTATATCATCGCTACGTCGGATGATCTCCTGAAGCTTTTCGATGCCGACTATGGGGCTCTCTCAATCCGCGACGAGACCAAAATCCTAGGCAAGATGACGCACTCGCAGGAGATCCTGGCCTTGTTGGAATACCTCAAGATGCGGCAGATCAATTCCGTGGTGGCTTCCCACCACGTCACCAAGGACTTTCCAGATCTCTTCTACCCCCCGGGCTTCAAGCATATTTCCGGAATGCTGTATGTGCCCTTGTCCCCGGGGGGCACGGACTTCATGGTCTTCTTCCGCCGGGGGCATCTCACCGAGATTAAATGGGCCGGCAACCCCTACGAGAAGAAATTCACCCAGGGCCACTTGGAACCACGAAAGAGTTTCCAGACCTGGCGAGAAACGGTCCTCGATCAGTCCCGAGAATGGACCGAGTCGGATGTCGAGACCGCAGCTGTCTTGTGCCTGGTCTATGGGAAATTCATCAAGGTCTGGCGACAGAAGGAAGCGGCGATGGAGAACTCACAACTGACGCGCCTGCTCCTCGCCAACTCCGCGCACGAGGTTCGCACGCCACTGAACGCGGTCATCAACTATCTGGAAATCGCTCTGGAAGGCTCCTTGGACAGCGAGACCCGCGATAACCTCACCAAATCGTATTCCGCATCCAAGTCGCTGATCTATGTCATTAACGACCTTCTGGACCTGACCAACGCCGAGAAGGGCCAGAACCTCATCAAAGATGAGATGTTTGATCTCCCAATGACCTTCCAGGAAGCCGCTGATATGTTTGCGGGAGAAGCCAAACGGAAAAAGATCGACTACCAAGTGGTGGTACATCCTGGACTCCCCACCAAAGCCATTGGCGACCAACGGCGTGTCCGTCAGGTGTTCACAAACCTCATCTCCAATGCGGTACACCATACAAAGACAGGCAGTGTGATAACAGAGATCTGGCGCTCTCCCGAGCAATCGCAGCCGGGAAGCGTGTTAGTACAAATGATTGTTACGGACACCGGCTCCGGGATGTCTCAGAGCACCCTTGAGTCATTGTTCCAGGAACTCGAACAGGTTTCGATGGAAGATGACAGTCAATACTTTGACCCAGAGGATGAGACCTCGCTGCCCGCACCGGATGGCCAGGAAAAGCGTGTGTTGGGCTTGGGTCTAGCGCTGGTCGCTCGGATCGTGCGCAACCTGCATGGCCAGCTGAGCGTTCGGTCGGAAGAGGGTCAGGGGAGCCGATTCAAAATCTCGTTGAACTTTCCTATTCCAGCAGATGGAGAAGCAGCACCTGCCAAACTCGAATCTCCACTAGTTCCCGACGCGGCTGTACCGGCCGTCGGGAGCCGGACGGAGGATGAATTTCTGCTCGTTGATGGCAAGTCTCCACGTAGTGATCGACGACGACATAGCCTCGGTAGCAACCGCAGCGGGGGAAGTTTTAACAGCTCTCGCAGCAATAGGAGTAACCGGAGCGAGGCTGATCGCTTAATTAGCGCCATACAAGAACCTCCTCTGGTGCATCGGACGGCTAGCGAAGGAACAGACCGCAAAGTTTCCAAACCTGTTGAACATCCCCCAACTAGCACGACAGAAAACAGACCTGCTACATCCACCCAATCGCTCCCGACCTTGAAGGCCACAACTAGTCCTCAGCCGTCGCCGCCGGTTCAGGGTCTCCCGCTCACGGGCACGGCACGGACCACTATGCCGGTTACCTCGCCTCCTTTGCCAGGCCAGGAGCCCGTCACTGACTCTGGAGTGCCAATCACCGCGTTGCGCATTTCGCCCCAAGATGTCGAGAGGCCTTCATCGCCGTCTAGGGGAGTTCTTCCAGGCGAGCAAGTTTCCATGCCAGCGTTACTTAGCCCTCGTGAACCATCTTCCGCAACGGCTGCGGAGACTGGACTGACTACTCTTCGTGTCCTGGTAGCAGAGGACGATCCCATCAACAGCAAGATTATTCAGAAACGGTTGGAGAAAGTGGGGCACAGTGTCTTTCTAACAGGGAACGGCGAAGAATGTGCAACCGCTTACCGGCAAGGTCATTCAAACTTTGACGTCGTCCTGATGGACATACAGGTGAGATGAACGTCCCGAGTTATCTTCAGAGAAATATCAGACTAACTAAAATCGCAGATGCCCATCATCGATGGCATCGAATCCACCAGGTTGATCCGGCAGTTCGAGGGAGAGTTTCCCGAAGGCTCACTATCCGATAAAGCGAGCAAGAACGGCCGCGTGCCGATTTTCGCGGTCTCGGCATCGCTTCTCGAGAAGGACGCGGACCTGTACATCAGAGCCGGCTTCGACGGATGGATCATGAAGCCCATCAACTTCAACCGATTGGGTGTCCTCCTGGACGGCCTCGAAAAGCAGGACGTCCGCAACGCCGCCGCCTACCGACCAGGCCGCTGGGAGATTGGCGGCTGGTTCGAACCTAAACCTCTTCTATAAAATCTCCACGACTTCTTCCCCCGTGTCCATTTTGTTCGTCGCGACGGCGGCTTGTTACGAATGCGTCTCATTTGTGGAATTGCCATTTCAAACCATCAGCGGCGGTGTTGTGGGTTCCTTTTTTTTTCTTCCTTTTTACGACCAGGCAAGGTCACGATCAAAAGGGACGAAGGTGCCCTATTCCACGTCTTTTATCCCTAACTTTTCGGGGATTTCGGTTTTGTTCGCTTGTGCTTCTTCAACCCGGCCGAGGAATCCGTTCATCTTTTTCATGCGCCACCGATTGATGATAGACCATGTCATTGGGCAATGATACCATGTCTGCATTGTATTTTTGTTTTCTTTTTGATGCTCACTGGCTTCCTCGGTTTGTCTTAGATTTTACCTTTATACCACATGTAGTTTTAGACGGCCTGATTTTCGGTCTTAGACATGCTTTTTTTCTCATTGCTGGCTAGCTATGTTGGGTTTGGAAATGGAAAAACGTCCTGGATTTGCGAAGAAACTGGGACTTTTGTCAATGATCAGAGCAGAGCAGATTACAAATGTGCATGATCACGAGTAGACCATCAAGCAAGATCGTCATGCAAAGGCAGAATTGGCAACAAAGGACCGTGGCGTGCGAGATAAAGCAAAGAGCCACCCATGCAATAAAATGTCCGGGTATCATTATGATCTAAAAAATACAGGGAGCCACCAGAGAGAAAATGGAAGAGACAAACGAGAGTAACACAGAGAGAGAGAGAGAGAGAGTTGAAGAAGGACGGACTATGTCCTCAGATGCGACGGAACCTCCGCAACCGAGTACGATGTGGCTTCTGCGATTTCCAGGACGGCCTGGTTGTAGATGAGGTGATCCGAGGATAGGGCCCGGGGAGGCTCCAAGACGGAGACTGAGATACTAGGCTGTGATTCGAGCGCGGCCATTCTGTAGCACGACTCGTCGGCCCACAGTCCAGGAGGTTCCTGGGAGAGCCTGCGGACGGGATGGTCCGATCCACGGCGGGTCTTGCTGAAGACGGAGGTGTGCTCGTTCGGAGCCGGGCTTGCGGTCGCGGAGGTGGTTTCCTCAACAATATGGCAGCCGTGCAAACTGTGCTGACAACTGGAGGGACTCTGGAGCAGAGTGACAAGTTTGTTGAGGATGTTGAACTCCAGCTTGAGGTTGACGCTTTGGACAAAGGGGATGAAGAACTGCCTGATTTCGACCTCGAGAAAGAACATGACGACGAGGCTGATGATGGACATGACGATGAAGACGTTGATGCCGATAAGATGCAGGAGCACTCGGCGCGCGGCGGGGCCCTTCATAGCGACGATGGGCTTGAGGTTGCGGATTGCTTCGTAGATGTAGATGCATGCGATGATCAGCTGAACCACGCTTTTGGCGACGGCCGAAAACTTGGCGAAATTGGCCCCCGGTTCTATCAAGTTTGAGGCACCGGCATGGATTGCGATCAGGAATACAATGATGGGGATGTCGCAGGAGCAGATATTGATAATGATCAACCAGAGCACCCAGCGGATGCGGCGCGCGTCCTCAACAATGAGGTGTAATCGCGAGTAGAGCATGATGCATGACCCCACGGACAGCGCAATGGAGCCGAGCACTAGTCCAATGTCGTTCACTAGCAATGGGGCCAGCGAGAAACCCTGAAGAATTAGAAAGACTGAGAGGGTGGCAAGACCCCATGTTGCAACTTGCATGCTCCAAAAGTACACGCCGCGCCAGGTTTGGAAGAAGTCGAAGATCAGGACAAACATCTCCAGGCAGTTGTAGCAGGCGACAGAAATGAATCCTACCATTACTAGAGTGGATGCGCCATACGGCTGGGTGACAAGCCCCGTCGCTGGTGAGACGAAGGTCGGTGGCATAGTCCCTTACCTCGTCATCTGAAGTTCTTTAGCACAGAATCGCCAATGTTATAACCTGGAGTCATTGAACGGATGACGCAGCGAAAGCTTCCAAGATGCGCACGATCGACATGACATGGTTGGGTGACAAAACAGGGGCCCGTGAATAATAATATACAGCTGATAAGCGTGCTAGACTATGCATGGTTTTGTGGACAAAGGGGCCAGATACGTCAAGACATTGCATCCCAGGAAGATCTATTGGCGTCTCGACCCGAGGACATACTTATCGTAACGGCGTCAGGAACCTCCGAGCACAGATCCAACGGTACGAACTGTTCTTCTCTGAGTAAAGAGCGGACTGTCTTAGTCAGAGCTCCCCATGATGGGAGACCAGTGACGGAGGAGTCTAAGCGAGTCAGTGCTGAATTAAAGTTGTGTAAGACAGACAAAGATCACCCGTCATTTCTAATCACTTAAGCCTCGAGAGTCGAGCTTGACAGAGTTACAATCCTCGGCGAGGCCGATTAATAAGGTTCCTCGCGACGCGGTGATGATCGGAGTCCTCGGAGGAATCCATTCAGTAGGCATCTCGGTGGGAGGATGGACGGGGACCATGGTCCCGAAGCCAGATGTCTGAGGCACGGACGGCGGCATTATTGCAAACAAAGAAACTCGGTCGTATCACGCATCGTCGAGAGTCACGGTTGGCATTCCCATAGACGGCAAATCATGCGACGACAAAAGGAGGTTATCTGCTCTCATACTCATAGCAGTGTGGCGTCTTGGCGCCTGGAGATGATCGCTGTGATTGCAGACCTGTAGCCACTGGGATGCTGTGCCGTTCTTGCGGCTGTTGGTCTATCGGTATTAGTTTCAGCTCCCCTCCGTGTGATTTCTGGCTATTCCACAATAGTTAAGGAGTATCGATAAGCATGATCAGGGGAGGAAGCTGGGACTTTTCGCTGTCCCTTTTTACTAGAGCCATTGTCTGGCTGTGATCATCAGAGGGTCCCTTCAGGTGTACGTAGCGAGAGTCTTATCGGATAACAGCGAGAACAGCTTCCAGAATCACGAATAGCACGGATATTGCCAGAGACGAGTCATTTCTCCGTGGAGTCGGGAATGGGCTCGAGTCGTCACATCATGAAGCCGTTTCTTTGTTCTCCCGGCCGCTGGAATGCCAGTGCCGCCAATAACAGGACCCGACCAGCACAGGAATTAAACTCAATGTTTCTGTTAACAGACTGTCGGGTCCACGAGAAATTGATCCATCGATTTCTCTCGTGGTGAACTGAATGTCTAGAAACGTGGAAGCGCGGTTGGTTAGTCTATGCCTTGAGGCTGAATGCAGCCTGATTCGCAGCGTCCCAAAGACAGACTGGGAATGTTTGATGGGTGGCAATATCACTTTGATCGAGACCACTGATCTTGCAACAGCAGCGTAATTGTAGGATCGAGAGAGGTATACAGCGATGCAGAGCTGCAGCAGAGAAGAAGAAGAAGGAGATGGAGAAGCAACCAAGAGGGACCAGGAAATGGTCCGTGCTGAAGCTGCCTGGACCAACTTCATCGTCGTCATCGTCACCGCCCATCAACTTCCCCAAACACTCCTCCTCCTCCTCCTCCTCCTCGCCCCTGTTAGGGATTGCTGTATCCCTCATCCTCGTCCTCATCCTTTACAGAATGCCTCGGTGATAGTACAGAGTATCTACCGCCTTATATTGATAGATATAGAATCTCCCGTGTGATCCCTCCGACCGTCAGAGACCGCCGCGATGGTGTCCCTGTGGCCTTGGAAGGTAAGTTGGCCGCTCTGGAGAATGGCAGCGACCGACACCTCCATGTTCTGATTTGACCTCTAGGGTGAAGATAACTCTCCTGCATCATTCGAGAAGGCCCTGTCGACTCTCTCAACGAAAATCACCCAAACCACAAATCGTCTCGACTCTCACCGCCAGCAGGCCCGTCGCTTCAAGGCTCTCTGGACCCTCTACACCACGTTCGCCTACCTGCTTTATTCGATCATCTTGGCGCTAGTGCTAGGCTGGCAGAATTGGGGTGCTACCGAATATGCCGCAATCGTTGGGGGCCCGGTGCTGTAAGATTCCCCTCGTGAGACTTGTAGATGACGTTTTGTGCCTAACTTCAGCAGGATTTACACAGTGCGTGCCGGAGCCAGCAAGTTCTTCGATTATCGCATCAACAAAACACAGCGGTATCTTGACGACCTACAAAAGCAGCAAGACGAGACGATCGAGAAGCTCAAGGTCGCCACGAAGTACAACTCGACCCAACAACTGCTGGAGAAGTATGGAGGAGGGTCTCCCAAGCCATCGCGTCCCAAGGGCGGCGACGAGAAACGCAAGCCCGAGACGAAACGCAAGCCATCAACACCCCAACAACCCGTCATGCGTACCGGACTTCCTCCACCGCCGACTGCGAACATTCGACGACCGAACCCGGCCCAGTCTCCGGTTGCCTCCCCTGGTCCATCCCAGTCCCCTCCACCGTATCCACCTCAGGGGCAACCACAAGACCTCCCCGCTCCGCCCCCTCCTCCAGCTTTTGACGAACCCGGTTTCGCACCCAACGCGTTTCCGACCGCCCCTCAATACGCCGAGCATTCCCGCTGGTACGATCGCCTGCTGGACGTCCTGCTCGGTGAGGACGAAACACAGCCGAAGAACCGCATGGCGTTGATTTGCAGCACATGTCGACTTGTCAATGGTCAAGCCCCACCGGGGGTCAAAACACCGGAGGAGCTGGGCCGTTGGCGGTGCGGTAGCTGTGGGGCCTGGAACGGGGAAGAAAGCGAGACGAAGAAGGTTCTCGCGGGAATCCGGAATCAGTCCCGGTCTGCGGACGGGGCGTGGGAATCGGTCGCGAAGCCGGACTCGGATAGTCACTCGGCGGGCGATGTCACCGACGAGGCTGTCCTGGTTGCCACCAGCGAAGACGAGCAAATTGAGTCGCGCAGCTCCGGGGCGGAATCCCAAGGTGAGACAGCGGAGCAGCAGGAGGAAGTGACAAAGCCAGTGGCTGGCGGCAAGTCGGGGCGCGGACGATCCAAGGGGAATAAGAGGAAAGGCTGAGCGAGGTGGTTTCGTGGCTTGGTTATTCATTCTACCTACCGGTTGATGTGGTATCTTTCTTGGAAATCTATTTCTATCATTGTTATTCATATGTAGATATATTCATTATCCAATTTCGTTTTCGGCCTCCTGGCCTTCGTCATCAAGAAGCAACGCTTGCGCTCCCATTCACCCTCTCCATCAATAGATCAATTGCATCAATGGCCGCCGTCACCTCCGCCTCTTCCGCCGTCAAGCAACCCCGAACCACAAACGCCTCCACCTCCTCAATTCGAACAGCGCACTGGTAGCTCGCGCCGCCCTCCTCGTCCGGCATCCGCTGCGCGAGGAACTGGATATTGCTCTTGGCCAATTGCTGCGCCACATTCCGCGGATGCGTCACCTCGATGTTCTCGTCCAAGATGCGTCGCAGGTACGACATAAGCCCAATGCGCTCGACGAACGCCTCGCAGGGGGCAAGATCGCCACCGGAATCGACGAAGATCGCGCCGAGAATGCTCTCCATGATATCCGAGAAGAATTTGTCGGCGCTCAGCCGCGACAGCGCCTGCCAGGGGTAATGCGGGTCGTGCTGGAGGGAATGCAGGATCTCGTCTCGGAGGGCACGGTGACGGGCGAGGGATGCATCGCGGGCGTTGTTCAGGTCCAGCCCGCGATACCGCATGAAGCGCCAGAGCTCGACCAGTTCCTCGTTGGAGATCACCTCGAACTGCAGGGTCGAGATCTGCTCGACGGAGGCTCTCTCCTCAGGGATGGCGAATTCCATGCAGAGGAAGGCGAGGAGGTTCGCGTTGACGAGTGCGTGCTTGATCTTAGTCATGTGGCCTTGGGGCATCTGCACGGGGTGGTTGAAGATCGCGGAGACGATGATCATGTCGAGGACCGCGTCCCCAAGGAACTCGAGTCGCTGATACGACTGGGTGGATGCGTCATAGTCGCATGAAGGATGGGTGAGAGCTTCTACCAGCAGTGACTCGTTCTCGAATGTATAGCTAATATGCCGTTTCAAGCGATCATGTATCGTCTGTCGTGCACCCTCGGGAGCTACGCTTCGGCTCAAGGTTCGAGTATCCAGGGAATGGAGATTAATCTCGGGTAAGAACCGGCGGATGCAGGCTTGGGCTGCTGCATGGCCCCCGTCCATGTATGCTGCCCCGATCAGCGCCTCGACAACATCCGCCAGCACCTTGCTGGACACCTGGCGCTTTCCAGCGACGCGCTCTAGTCGCTCTGAGATAAGCGGCGCGGACCATTTGCGTGGAGTGAACATCTTGGTGATGACGAAGGCGTCAAGGCCGGTGTCGAGCGCTGCTTTGGTGAGCCGAGGGTTCTGCACAATTTCGTCCCGACCCTCGGACAGGTAGCCTTCGTGCCAGTTTGGATGCTTAAAAAATAATTGGCACGAGACAGAGAACTTGAGTATCGAATCTCCCAGAAACTCGTATCGCTGGTAGTTCGTTAAGGCCTGAGCTGATGGGGCGCTGATGGCCGTGATGATATGCTGTGTACTGGTGAATCCCACATCCCGGAGTATTGTCTCATAAAGCTTGGTTGCGATCAGTTCAGTCTCCAGCTGTTGCACAACGACGGATATGAACAGGCCAAGGATGGCGTTTGAGAAGGGAAGCCGATCAATGGTACACTGGTCTGCAGCGACGGTTCGCATTTTGTTCACAGGTTCAGGGGTGTCTTCTTTGTCATTTTCCAACTTCTTGGTAGCCAATGTCTGGCGATGAAGAAGATTGCGCCGACGCGGAAATGGATCACATTCCATTTCGACGACTGAAGTCGTAGGGCTGTCACCAGACTCGACCCATCTGCGAAACAGTAAGGGTTCGTTGTACCGTGAACAATCTCGCACCACGCCCATGAGCATTGGATCGCGTCGACGCGAATAGACCTCCACGGCAGGTTCATTCCCCTCGTACATTTGCAACCAGGCCTTCAGGTCCGTGTGAGGGAGATCCGGCCCGAACAGTGCAGTAAAGTCTTGCTTGGTGCTCAATAGTCGTGAGCTGGTTGCCTGAAGATAGACGACCGTGCTTGTCCTCATGTCCTCCACGCTGCTTAAAGGTACGTGTGGCACGCGTTCTGGGGCCTCAAATGCCACGGTAAAGGTAGTCTCACTATCCCAAAATAGGGTCATCGGCGCAAGAGGAGGCAAGACCGTGGGCCCTGCCAATCTCATGCACAGTTCTCTATCCTTAGCCCCATTCAACCGCACGACAACGCGGCTTTGGTGGATATCGGGAGATGACCAGGAATACGCCCAGTCAACCCACGGGTCATACTGTTCCGATGCTTCCATTATTGACGGTATGGACCCGAGCTTGTTCACCTTCAGCTCCGGCTTGTTCGTCAACGGGAGGAGGTTATCATTGACAAGGCCAAACTCGTAGAGGGATTTGTATGCTTGGAATGCTGCCTCTTTCATTGCTGCCCTCTCCGTACGCCACCATCGTTGACCTTCACTTCGTCGAACCTTTGGATGTACGCAGTTAGGCAGAATTACAATGCCTCTCCGAAGGTTCGCTATATCTGTCTCAACCGAGAACACGGGCCGCATATCCACGTATGGTTGGGAAGGCAACACCGCGCAGAAATGGTGCAGATGTGCCATGGCCGTGTCAGCTGTGAGGACAGCACTAGAGGTGAGAAAGTGAGTACAGAAAACGATATGAGGTTGGAAAGCAACACACCTTGTGGACTCCACAGTAAATCGCTCCACGACTTCTTCGTTGACCCTCTCCAATTCAATTGCGCTCTGAAGATGCCTTTCATCATCCTGATAGGCTTCTATCATGGCTTGCTCGAGGGTCTGCCACTTAGCCAGGTCAAAAGCCGAATCCTCTGCTGGAAACATGATCGCATATGTTGATTGCTTCTGGCGTGCCCGCCCTCGACGTTGAACGAAGGACTTCAGGTTCGGTGGTTTGTCGTAACAGACAACCACGCTACAAGCGCTGATGTCAATCCCTTCTTCGAGGACATCGGTGGCTATAATCAGGTTCTTGTGCCCGCTCCGGAAATCATCCAGCGTACTTAGCTGCCCATGCATGCTCAGTAGATTGCCGAGGAAGTCTTTGCTGCCGCTGCTGTTCGACCAACCAACATAAGCAGCACTGCGGAACCTCTCGCGGGTTCTAGGATGTACCGCCAGAAGGTCGGTCATAACGCTGACAGTCGCCCGCTGTTTAACAAAAATCAGACCGGAGAATTCAGGATCATCCATGGCATCCAAAAAGCCGATTAGAGCTTCAAGCTTCGGGGAGATACGTAAACAGGCTGCATCACTCAAGGTAATCTGAATATCCGCAGCAGGAAGTTTCGACAGGAAGCTGACAAGATACGCTCTCTCCGCTTCGTCCCAATCACCAGTCATATATGAAGTCTGGACGCGGGTTTTCAAGTGCTGGATGGATGTATAGATGTAGTAATCGGCGGCCCATTCCCCTAGCTCTTCAAAAATGTGACGGCTGCGATCGACAAATCTCTTCAGCTGTTCCCTGCAAAAAGTCTTTCCCGTCATCAGTGCTTTCTCCAGGGCTCCACCATCCAGAGAGCTTTTCCTGAGACGCTTTACATAGGGATCATCCTCAATGTCCAAGGTTTCCCAGGCCTCTATCAGAGCTCTCAGAGTCTGGCTTGATACTTGCAAGCCCATGGGATCTGGCGGCTCATAAAGCAGTTGCTTGAGTTCCGGCCGATGGGAGAACTTGAGAAGCTCTTGTCTATGCGCGCGCGGCGTTTTGCAGACCGCATCGAGATTTGTCTCAATAGTACTACGCCCTGTCAGCAACGAAGTAGTGTAAGATACGGGTTATGCACTGACAATAGCTCCTCGCGATTAGAGCGGACCACCGGACTCGCCGTGAGACCCATAATGCGAGGAACAGCACTGGGGCCAAACTTAGAGACGGTCGGATGGTAGAAGTCCTGCATGATTTTATTTGCCGCATGCTTTCGCATACAATGATGCGCTAACAAGGAGTCATTCATCAACACGATATCATTTACCGAATCAGATAGTCAAAGCATACCTTCATCAAAGATTATCAATGCCAATCGGGACATTCTCATAAACCCATGGCTGAGAGCATCCGCCAGGACCGCATACGTGGACACAACAACCCGTACATCCTTCAGAATGGCATCCCAGATCGCCTGCTCGGTCCATAGCTCGACTTTATCCAGCCCAGTGAGCGTCCGCGTTTGCACGGCCGGCAGATTGGAAGCGATCACTTTGTGCTGTTGTGTACACAAGGCGACCGTCGGAGCCAGGAACCAAATGATCTGTCCCACAGCCTCGATCAGTAGACGGTTCCTGACATCCACGGGCAAGAGGATCGTGTATCTACCTTATCCGGAGGACAACTGTCCAGCTCCGCCTTGATCCGCAGTACTGCTCTATGCCCAAAAGTGTCAAATTTAAGGTTCGGGATCGGATCTGGGGAATGCAGAGGAGAAACCAAGCTTGAAGAAACGTACATGTGCGTTTTCCCACTCCCGGTGTCCATCTGGAGAAATCGCCATCGTTATCATTCCCTCGCTGTATTTGCGGTCTGGAACATACCGCAACAATGATATTCTCCTTCATGCTGGCCTCCAGCATCTCGAGCTGATAATTCCGCGCTTGATATGCAGCGGCATCGCTGTTGGTGGGGACGGCGGATGACATTCTGGGATCGCAACATGCCATGGGAGGCCGAATGGTGGAGGGGAAGGGTTCAGGTCTTCCATTTAAGTAGGAAGAGGAATAGATTTAGACCATAGTATGGTCCCGTTTGTTATGGACAAACCCCAGAAGAAGACAGCGGCTGTTGGTGTTTGGGCTGGAAGCTGAGGGGAAAGAAAGAGTGGTGGGGTCCATCAGGCTCGCAAACAAAAGCACTGGAAACTAGATAGAGAGCTGCGGTGCACCATCAGGCTGAGAACCATCCTGCCTCATCTTGTACCTGAAGCTTTGATTTGAAAGACATTGCATTCAAAAAGAAGTCCGTGAGAAAGACAATCTTCGTAGTTACAGCTGACAGAAGCGGCACGTGTATTTCCAGCAAGTACAGTCGAGTATACTACATGCAACAACAAATGCACATTCCTATGCTTTTAGGCAGGATTTTCCTGGGGAAGAGAAAAGCAAGACACGGATGACAGGTTTCGATAGTGCATACTTAGAAAACATGAGATCATTGCGACACAGAACGGCGCTACCCTTCAGTCTAAGCTCCCGAGAAAGAAAGAAAAAAAAGTGACAAAGAAGCATAACTCCGCCCTGACTAGGGCCAGTTGTGAAGAAGAAAAAGATAGGGGAAATTGATAAGATCGCGCCGTACACCAGAAACGAAGAGAAGGGAAGCGAACCAATGGCTAGGAAGGCAAAGAAGAGATCACGACACATAATGCCAGAGCATCGAAACAAGACTTGCACAGGATCACGGAAAGGCTTTGGAACAGACTATAGAACAGAAGAGGACTATGATATGAGCGGTAATCCGTGTGTGGGTTCCTGCTTGGGCAGGGTCAATTCGGACGCGTCAGGTTGGCCATCGTCGGGGCGGACACGCCTTGCCTGTTGTTGGAAGCTGTTTCCAAGGTAGTTTGCTTCTTCCGTCGGCGGCTTGCGCATTCCAAGTCCTGCAACGGCTATGCGATTCAACGAGTTCATGTCATCATTCGGTGCGGAAGCCTGGTTCTGTGCTGGCTGAGGTTGCTGGGGAGCAGTTGGAGGTGGAACGGGAACAGCGGAGGTGCTGGTTCCTGATGTGGGAGGAGCGGGTACCGGGATGTCACCCCGCGGTTGGCTCAGATCAATGTTCCCTGGGAGCTCCGGAACCTCGCCTTGCGTATCCAACAAGCGCGACTGCAAGTTGATGATGTACTCGCGAAGCTGGTAGTTCTCCGCTTGTAAAGCCTTGATGGCTTCTCCCATGGTTTCATATGCCTTCACCTTCCCCTCCAGGTCGCGAATGTGTGCTTCCTTCCGCTGACGGAACGCCCGCTTTTTGCAAAGTTAGCTTGATCAGCCGTCTGGTTTAAGAAGGGGGTGTTCCGACGCACCTGCGCGGCACGATTCTGCGCAGCCCGCTTGGAGGTGGACAATGGCCGCTTGCCGTAGGTTTTGGGAGACTCCTGGCCCGACAGGTCCGGTTGCGGGGTCTGGGGCCCGGCCAGCATCGCTCCTCCCGAAATGGCAGGATCAATGTTATTCTGGTCGCGTGCAACCGGTGTCGTGGGTTGCATGTGCGGAGGCTGTGGTGGCGGAGGTGGAGGGCGAGCTTGCTGAGGATGTGACAGGTGCTGATGAGCAGCTAGTAGCTGATCATGGAGCACTAATGAGGAGGATTCATGTCAGCTCTGTGAACCTTCCGATGGGTAAATGGGGGAGAGTATGTATGCGACGCGGCGGGATGGCGGCCCAGCGACGCGTGTTTCGATTTCGAACTTGTGCCAACGAGGAGAGATCTTACCCTGATCAGCATGGTCCTACAGTAGCAGCGCCGTCATTAGCTTTCATCATCTCAACACAATGCTATTCTGGCCCCAGACAGGGGATGCGATCGGGGGTGGAGGGGAGGCGGCGACTCGAGAATCCATGACGTGCATCGCTCCCAGGAAGACGCGTAGAAAGCAAGCCCAGCAACACCGCAACGATGAAGACCAAGAGAGTCCTCGGGTGATGACACAACTGCTGAGAGAATACTGGATCTGGGGAAATGGGGAAAAGACGATCTTGATGACAAACCGCGACAAGAAGCTGCTTACCTGAGCAGAAGTTTGCATGCTTGGATGCGGTGCTGGAGCTAGTGTAGGCTGCATTGAGAGTATGAAAATACACAAGACAACAAAGACGCGCCCAACAAACACACACGGGACGCGATCAATTCGAGACGGTCCGCGAGGAGAGTCTCAGAAGCAGGTTTGGCTATATGCAACGATACTTCGGTCGCGCAAGATGGGCGATGGATGATGAGGAAGAATGGGCGAGCGAACCGGATGAGGTAAGCAGAAGGGTATCGGAAATCCGTTGTTGTTTGAGCTATGTCAGCAACATGGACACCTCAGGTATTTGATTGGTGACGCGCAAGGGGGGAGGAAAAAGTTGATCTCGTAAGCAGACAAGAGGAGGAGGGGAGAAAGAGGATTACTTAAAGGATCATTAATCAAGGCGGAAAAAGTGACGAAAGAACAGGGAGCGAAAGGAAGAACGCTTTTGTCCACTGTGGCTGGGCAAATTATGTACTCTGTATTATTACCTATTATTTCGGTGACTGCAACTGTGGAGTGTGGACGGTGGACGGATTGTGCAGCCGCATGACTAATCCTCGTCAAACGGTAAGTTACTAAGGTACTCCATCGTTCGCTCATATAGTACGGAGTCGTCCCAATGCCCGTATCGGCATTTGGTCTTTCTCATCATGCAATTAGCAGGGTCAACATCAGTTTGATTAATGAACATCGCGTACCTTTGATTTGTCTATGCGCATGGATGCCATAATGTCACTTTGAGGCAGGCCAGAAGTCTGGGAAGTCTGGGAAGTCTGGACAGCGGCTCAGGGATGGTAAAGATACCGTAATGATACAGTCAGATAGCATAGCCGCTTCCGAGGATTGCTGACTCATGCTTGTGCAACCATGCATAGAGCGCCAGTGCCCAGTGCTGACTGCCCACTAGTGAATGCTGAATAAATGCTGACTACTCCGATTGTCATCCACAACACATGTCGATCCTTCATCAGTCAACAACACCTGCACGTTCTCTATGAGAACTGCGAAATAATCCTTCTCTCAAGGGGGAGAATACCCATGTACGGACTAGACGCCTTCTTTCGCTCAAAGACTCAACAGATGACAAATTTGGAATGCTAGTCCGACTGTCAAACTGTCTTAAGCCTTGGCTCGCTATCCACTGCCAAGAGGGCATACGAGCTATGGAGTAATATATATAACATCATGAACAGCAGAAGCAAGAACGAAAGCACTGGAATGCAACCAAGGCTCAAGAACCAGATAGAAACATCATCAGTCATACATAAACCTAGCCCTTTACAAACAAGCTGCCGCACTGCGCCATCGAAAACAAGGAATATCAGAATCGCAAGATTCAGACCATGAATACACCCCCCCCAGCCAGAACTTGGCTACTCAAAGTCCGCTCTACCCGTAAAAGTCAATTTCAAGCCTGTTAGTCCCGTCAAGTCCAGTGTCTCAGGGTGCGCAATGGTAATCGTCCACTCCGTGAACGGTGTCGGTTCAGTATGATCCGTAGACGGGTAGATTGCATGCACCAACACCCCGGCCATCTCCCCTGTTTCCGTAATGGTATACTTGAAGATCTTGTGCGACGGCTGACTGGCAAAGTGGAAGACTTTTTCACCCTGAATGTCAGCGTACAGCCCGGAAGTGGAGATCTTGACTTCCACCTCAGCGAGTCCGTTCTGGAGGGCGGAAGGTTTAGGAACGATTCCCAGAAGAGCTACTTCCAAGCCATCGAGACGGAAGTGGGATCCTTCGTTAAAGGGCCCAGCGAGGGCATCATCCAAGCCGGGGGTGAGTGTAAAGCTGCCACTGTGGGAGCTGTCTTTGAGAGAGCTAATGATTGCCTGGCCGTAGTCGAGAGGGAGCTTTTGTGCCGATTATCTGGTTAGCGGAAATCTGGAAGTTGACTTTCTGATGGGAGCCATACCTTGCTGGAAGGAATTGGGAATGAGAATGCTACACATTGCCCGATTCAGTCAGTTGAGGTGTTGCCAGGTCCCGGACGCTTTCCAGACAGGCACTTACGCTGGTAGTCATTGGTATATCTTGAATCGGATGTTTGCATCTCCTCCGCGACGGTCAGTAGATCGGCCTTATATTCCTCGATTCGCTTCAGAGGATCGATTGTGATGGCACTGTCCTCCAAGGCGTAGTATTTAAAGGCCCAAACGAGATTGCGCATCTCGATGGCGACGCTGGTTCTCAATGCCATCATTCGGTCGTAGAACTTGACAGCGGCCTCCTCTGCTGCCTTCTCTTCACCCTGGAATGTCTTCTTGAGGTCTTGAAGATCATCGATGTCTTTCTGGCTCAGGTTGAGCTCTAGCTGCGCCTGGATGAAAGCCTGACCAGCCTTGATCGCTTCCGCCTGAGTCTGGGCGAGCTGCTTCCCATTCACTGCGTGCTTACGAAGCGCCTGCCGGTACTCAATCGCACCGTCGATGTCGTGATCAACCGCAAATTTCAGCTGGTCGTCGGACTCGATAACCCACTTGTCCCATGCAGCCAGGGACTGGATTGCTTGTGCATCGCCATCGCCCGCGCCGTTTCCCGTCACGTCGTCGTATCCCGGGATCTTTGCCTTCGGATCCCGGTCCAGCACTTTGATGTCCTGCACAGCTTTGTCGATCATAGGGTAGAGCTTGTATAGCGCCATTGCGCATTTTTTGAGATTGGACAGAGTCAGCGACTTCACCAACTCGCCCCCATCCGATGCCAGCTTCTCAGCTTCCTGGACTGCCCCCACGGCCTCGTCAGCGGCCTTTGCTGCTGTAGGGCCTGCCGAAGGATCGCCTACGCAGATCATCCCGATGGCGAGCGCAAACCCCACAACGGCGGTGATGATTTGGAACGCAGCCTGAAAGGCCATTTTGGACTTCCAAGCCTCAATCCCCGCCTTGAACCGCAGCTGGGCGTTATTGATGTCTAGTTGGTCGAGGTCAAGCTGCTGCTTGGTGCTTACCACGACCTTGTGCGCATCGTCATATCGCGATAGCGCACTGTCTCTCAGGACCTGGTGCATCCCGCGTGCGTTCTTTGCGTGCTCTAACATCGTTCCCCAGGCCGCTAAGCGGTCTTGGAGTGACGCCTGCCTGTCCTGAAACCGGTCATACTGGTCTTGAAACGCAGATGCGGCGTCGATGGCGAGCGTCACTGTGCTCATGTACTTGTCGATCTTCAAGACCGGCATGTAACTCGTGTTGGGCCCCGTCAAGGCCTGCGCAGCGAGCTGCTGGCCAAGTGCCACTGCCTGAGCGTTCAGCCAGTTATCCGTAGAAGAGCGGACAGTAGCAAGTGCCACATGGGAGGCAAGGGACGTGGCCACAGATGGCAGTTTCCAGAAGAGGACGGAAGCGACGCGGAGTTGGGTCTCTAGGCTATTCAGGAACACAGCCGGGAATAGCTTCAAGGTGTTGTATCTAGTGTAGTAGTCGGTCTCGGTGACACTTCCACCGCTGATACCAAGGTCGACCCCGACATTACCAGACTCAGCGCCCAGGTTCAACCGTGTCGAGCTCCCAGAGCCGACAGAGTAGGTCACTGGCTGGTCGAGGACAGAGGCAAAGATGGTGACGACGCAGTCGCTTTGCGCTTCCGGTTCGAATCGCAAATGGACGGGCGATGAGGCCGTCAGGACTCGCGCGTATAGACGGCAAATTCCATTCTTGGGAATTTTGAATACAACGTCTGAGCTGGTGAAGGCAATCACGTCTGCGATGGCACCCACGTCCCTCCCGTTGGACCCATTGAACAAGTTCGTGACATCGATGTAGACATCACGGTGATATTTTTTTCCACCTTCATCAAGGAGATCTGCCTTCAAAGGAATCTTTGAGACGGCCTCTGAATTGGCATAGGCCTGCCAGTCTGCCGGTGATGTTGGCTGAGGCTGCATGTTTGCTTTCCTTTCCCTTTCTCGGAGAAACGAAGGAGGGGCAATCTAGTCGGTAGGAGAAAGATTGGTATGTAATGGGGCCCTATGGCCTCTGTTAGTCTTGCATGTTCTATTTAAATCTAATGGTGACAGCTCGGAGAGAATGTGAACACGCATGTATCTGGTGGCTACCTGAAAGTCAGCTACTTTTGTCTTACGCGGAGGCTAGAATAGCAACTATGATTGATCTAGTATTAGCCCGACAGTCTACTGCTGCATATCGGCAATTCTGGCATAGACTACTGCATGAGAAGGTTGACAATCCCGGATGGACTGTAATATCAGGGTTACTATGAAAAGCAGTCTCATCACACATGTTTACCTCCTCCTGCCATGGCTCCAAATAACTAATCAGCCTACAACGCATGCTTGCCATGTTCAGCCCGTCGTTTTTCTCACAGCTGGTGTGATAACATTATTGGTCAAGTTTCTCACTAGAGCGGTTCAGAGTAGCGTTCACGAGGTCAAGGAACTGGAAGAAGACTGACCTTCGGTTTCGAGATTCTGCCACTGGTCAATTATAGCATTTTCCTCCAGGTTTGCCAGCAATCCAGGAGCTGGGTCAGTGTTGTTCAGGATGAAATTGCCCAGGTTCGTGAGATCATTGGATAGAGCATTCCATCCACCTAAGACACCCTCAGCCACACGCTCTGCATCCCCCTCCCCTCCCCTCTTCAGGCGCAGGGTAACTCACCGAGCAGTAATTGAAAGTCTTTGATCACAGCCTTGGAAAAAATAAGGTCAATTACCGCGGACATCTAGATTACGTCGGACGTTAGCCCCAAAATCTGGCTGAGAGTGACTGGCCAAGAGCTGCCCACCTCGAGGCGCCAAACGGGATCCCCATAGTTTCCCCAGAACCCATCCCTCTTGGCTTTCAGCTCTGGCGTATTTTCAACCCTCTGCTCTATATCTGTGACAATATCGGTCAGGCGATACTTATGATCTGCGTTTGCGTTGTCCCAGTCGTTGATATTCGAGGTCGCAGTGTCGACGGTACTCGCTAGCTGCCGGATTTCAGCCAACCGGTTGTCAACGTCCTGTTTTACAAGTCGGCGGAGATAGTCGGTGTCCCCTTCGTCCTTGAAGATTTTCTTGAGGTTCGCGAAGATAGGATCTTCCGGTTGCATCTCGTTAGTAACCAAATGCACGGTTGGAATTCCTCCTTACCGTAGTCTTGTTTTGCGCGCGAGGATAGCTCAATGAGCTTGAGACATATGTTCTCAAGATCTTTGAATAAGCCCTAAATCGTACTCAATACAGACCCCCCAATGTAGCCAGTCAGTGATCGTGTGAACTCACAGAGTAGCGCGCACACTCTTGATGAATCTAAGTGGAGTTAGCTACCCAGTCAAGACACTCATATTCGAAGGCTACACCCACATTGCCGTATTCTACCAGCAACCGCTGGAAGATATCCGAAAGCTAGCCGTAAGTACCGGTCAACCTTATGGGCTAGGCACAAGCGATTTCAGTGCGCGGCTCGGTACGACCACTCACATCATTGTACTGAAAATCCTCCACGCCGAAGCGGTTCTTGAGCTCATCCCTAGTAAGGGGAAGGTCGCCGGCGCGCAAGACAAAGGCCAGAAGCTCAAGGACTGTCCGTTCCTCGATGCAGAATGCACCATTCACGAGAAGGTCCCTGGGACCGAGCGAACCACTGTCGAACGATTGCATGATTTCGTTCTGCGGTGACTTTGGAGTCGAGTCTCTCCTGAGAGTAAGCTGATTTTTGACCCATCCAATAGTCTGGACCAGACCATCTCCGGCCTTTTATGCATCACTCAGTAGTTACTGATGAGTGGTGACTGATGCCGCACGGCGCCCGAACACCCCAAAGCATGTTCGTTTAACGCCACTGTCTTATTCCCTGCATGTGGGTTTGTCTGGACTCTGGAGGGAAACAGACGTGAGCACTGCGCAGCTGAAACGAAACCTGTGGGGGGGAAGTGTTATTAAAAGCAGCAAATCAAATGAGTGATCTGCTATACGGATGTGGTGAAGGTCTGTGCTAGTTGCAGGCCGAGGCTTCCGGGCGTTCGTACATCTGCAGCCACTCCAGCCAGACAAATAACAGCTGGCTGAAGAACGTTGATGTCCGATGCACAATGCCCAGAACGGTTCGGTCCGGACGTCCAAGCGAGAGACTCAGTACACTAGCCGTCCAATCGTAGTATTGATTGAACAAATACAGTAGAGTTCAAAGGATTCAACACCTAGCAGATTGTTAGATACTCGTCACCTCTGGGCTTCTGTGTATTGTCCATGCCCGAAGCCAGACGTTCTTACAGCCAGCCACGTCGGGGAAATCCCCGCCATGTCAAGAGCTTGAGGAAATGGCGAGCTGAAGATAACCCCCCCTTCGTGATGGGCCGGGATCCATAGGAGGAATACTCGAGAAACAGAAGACATCCTGAGAGAATGCAGCGACAACCTCCCTCAGAGCACCCGCGAGACTGAGTACGGGGTTTCCTTTTTAAAAAGGGTCTCCTACCCCGTTTCTCCAGAGACCGAGCCCTAAAGCACCAGCCAAAGTAGACTCATCAACAACTCGAAGTTTCTCCTTTCTTCATTTTGCTTGCCCTATCAATCACCAGTCATGACTGATTTTGACCCAAAGAAGGCTCTGTCCGACAAGACCTTCTGGTATCCCGATGGGCTTTTCAACGACCATGGCGTATTTACCCTTCAATCGGATCAGAATGCGTCTGTGATGAGATATGTGTGGCATGGCTGTCTTCTCCCCACGACGGTTGAAGACTATGCGCGGACCTTGGCCATCCCAGCAAGTGACTTGCCTGGGGAAACTGAGACAGAGCTCAAGGAGATTGTCGGGGTTTTTGTGGATGTAGGCATTGATCCAGCCTACAAAGGCTAGCAATGAAGCGTCTCTGATGAGCTAACCTCTCGTCCAGATGAAACAATCATCGACGGTCTTCCGAGATGTCACTTGGCCGTCCATGGTTGCCATAGTCGACACAGTCTTTAACTATGCCTCCAGGGCGGGTGGGAAAGACGCGGGCTCTTATTACTTCAACATGCTTGACTGGGTGAGGCAATACAACAAGGAGTCATTGAAGGACAACCCCGACCCGGACACTCTGGAAGACCTGAAGGAATCCATCATGGGCGCCTGCAAGAAGCAAGAAAATGATATTGATGCCCTCAAGCTACAAAGCGAGAAGATCAAAACTGCACTTGGGAGCTTCAAGAGTGCCTGCGTGGAACATGAGAACAGGCTGAATCCAATCATTCAGACTATTCAAGAGAAACTGGGCACGCTGGACGGAGATACAGGAAAAATTGCGGAAGAAGCAAAAGATATCAAACAGAAGAAGAAGCTTCTTGATCAAGAAATCAAAGAATATGATAAAGGTATGTTGTTGACCTGCGGCTTGCCTTCTATGACGGTCTTCTCATGTCGTTCTTTCGCTAGATGTCGTGATCGCTGCGACTACTCCCTCATACGCTTGGCTGTGAGTGCGAGTCCGAGTACCCTTGGGCAATATATGATCAATGAATTAACCTCCTACAGGGGTCTGATAGGTTGTGTGGCCGCAATCACTGTCGCTTCGATCTACGGCGACAAAGCCCGCAGACTCGAAAAAGCCATCAAAGAACTGAAAGCGGCTATCGAAAAAGAGCAGGGTGAGTTGAAGGCAATGATTGCTCTGGAAGCACATTTCACCAGCGTTCAGGTACACCTCCCAGGCTTACACTTGTTGGAGTTCCCTCAAGACTGACTCTCCCATGCTAGACTCATATCACGGGGCTCCATGACGAAATTGACGGGGCCATCCAAGACTTAGGGAAGCATGAAGGCGTCTGGGAGTCCATCAAAGGTCGTCTGACAGGCCTTAGAAAATTTGTTGCAGACTTGGAGACGGATGTTGAGCCAACCTTGCTGGAGAAGGTGGATCTGGAGAACATCGTGGAACAATGGAATAACTTAGCCAAGTCAGGTATGTTCCTATTCAACTACGGCTTCTCGTGCTTGATCCCCAGCAGCTAACAGTGCAATATCTGTCAGCGGATGATTACCGTCTCCATGCCTTTGAGAACGACACTCCTCAGTCCATGTCGGTGGATGATTATCTCCAGAAACTGCGCCAGAAGTTTTAGCTTCCTGACTTCATTGATCGATAAGTGATGGGAACATCTGTAGCACCCGCTGGATAGGAACTTCATTTGCTCTATGTATGCTGGAATGATTGGATGAGTCTCCTCTCTCGCATCGGCGTCCAGAATGAGTTTAGTGTTTCTTGTAGTCTCTCTCACTTAGGCGGCAATATGATGATGTCTCAAGGTGAACCAACGATGCTCAATGATAGTTCCTTCATCAACTTTGCTGAAGCTGCAGAATGGAGACAGAGATACGTATCCTGCACTTCAACGATGTCGTAAGTTCTCGGGATCTATGCACCGAAGCGTTATGCTGCTAACAAGCGAAGTATCATATCCACGATGTCGAGGTCATAGCTCGCTTCGCGAGTCTGATCCGATCCTTCAAGCCCAAGCCTCTCGTTATATTCAGCGGAGATGCCTTCTCGCCATCCTTGGAAGCATCGGTCTTGAAAGGAGAGCACATGGTCCCCATTTTGAATCACCTCGATATCGATGTGGCCTGTTACGGAAACCATGGTCTGGGATGAAAGATCGATCGTTCATCGCGTGAGCTGACAAGGCATAGACTTTGACTTTGGCGAGAAAAGACTGGAAGACCTGTCGCAGCAGGTGAAATTCCCATGGGTTCTGTCTAATGTCACCCGGTTGCAAGAGGACAGCGATAGCGATAGCGAGGAGGTCATCGCTCGAGGTGAGCGGTATATCATCCGCAATGTGGAAGGTTACAGGATTGGATTCATTGGCTTGGCTGGAACGTAAGCAAATCCTGAACAGGCCCATGAAGACTAGGTCTCTGACAAAATCTGTTCAGAGACTGGCCATCAAATTGCCAGAATCTGCCTCCGTTGCGAATCAAAGATCCCGCTCTGGTTGCCACAGACCTCGCAAGGCATCTTCGCGTGAGTGAGGAATGTGACTTCGTAATTGCCATCACCCACATGCGCCTAGCAGAAGACCTCAAAACCGCAAATGCCGCCGCTGATGGGCTCACGAAAGTTGATTTGATCTTGGCGGGCCATGACCACGAAGTCCTGCATCGCTTCGCCGGGGACACAGAGGAAGACACAGAAGTCATTCGGCAAGGCTCCAGGAACGAAGATCTCGTCCGCGACGGTGTCATTGGCGAGTTCAGCGGGGACATTCGCATCGTCAAGAGCGGAACGAATTGGAGAGGTCTCTCCATCGTTCGCCTGACAGCGCAGAGGCTTCCAGACCGACAGGCAAACATCGCAAGCCTCAAGCGTGAGTGCTCCACATGATGACACTGCCCATCTAACATCCACAGTAAAGCAGTACATCGATACCAAAAGCAGTCCGGTTTTCGGCGCCCTCCCAGCGTGTCCCCAAATACACACGATCTCATCTCTCATTCAGCAGCGTATCGGCACCCTCGTCCAGCAGCCTCTCCTGTACACGCACTCCCCACTCGACGGCCGCGGCACCGTCATTCGCAGCTCCGAGACAAATCTCGGGAACATGCTCGCAGACGCCTGTCGAGCCTTCTACGGCACCGACATCGCCCTCATCAACAGCGGCTCCATCAGATGCGATCGGATCATCGAGCCGACGGCATCACCCCTCCGCGTCAAAGACATAATCGGTTAGCCTCACCTCGCGTGTCTCCGATGCCGACCCTATCTAACACTGTATAGAGATTTGCCCATTCGAGAACCCACTCGTCGTCAAGCGAGTCAGTGGCCGCTCGCTGCACGCGGCGCTCGAGACCTCCGTCTCGGATCTCCACGTCGACGGCAGATTCATGCAATTCGCCGGTCTGCGTGTCCTGGCGGACTGGTCTCGGGAGGAGGGGCGTCGAGTCCTCGAGTTATCGCTGGTGACGTCCCCGTCGGCGGTACCGGAGCCGCTTGTCCCCTCGCAGATGTACACCGTCGTGATGTCTTCGTTCATCGCGGCGGGGTTCGATGGATATACCTGCTTCCTGGAGGAGAAGACGCTTGTCTCCGAGGAGGCTGCTGTCACTGATTCGGGGCTGCTGTTGCAGATTTTTGGGCATAGCAAGGAGGATTCAAACGAAGATAATACAATAGCTGGTGGTGAAGCCTTGACTCGCGACATTGAGAGAGCTCGGAGGGCGATTATTGTGGGAACACATGAGCCGGACGGATTACCGGTTGTGAGTCCATCGCTAGATGGGAGGATCAAATTCGTGGGTTAGCTGGAGGATGATCTGGCGAATGCAACTGCAACAACCAGTCACACATCTGGATAGAAGGAACTGTGGGTAGAGTGAGCATATGCCAGATTCAATATCACTGGTGTAAAAAAGTTGTCGAATCAATTCAACACCACAGAATGCATGCATCTTTCCACCAGTAAAGATAAATTAGGGGTGTAAAACTTCTATATACGAAAAGTTATAGCTGTTGAACACAGTATCCCCAACTCCTCGGCCAACAACAAATCAATATACAATCACCATAAACAGAGACCTCAACTGTCGTGCGCTATCTACTGCTGCTTCTTGCTCTCGGCAGCCTTGAGCTGCGTGATGAGACTCAACCCAACCTCCGCGGACTCTTTCCAGCCCCTTTGTCTCATCCAGAAGCGTTCCGTGGGGTCCGTGCCCTGCTTGGACCAGTTCCTGGCCTCTTCCTCCAGAGTTTCCCGCGTAATCTGAGACGGAGGGACAGAATCCACCACATCCTTGACATTGTCAGGCTCGTCGCTATCGCTCTCCGCAAGGATTACAGAGTCGATGTATCTCTTGCGGATCATGAAGCGGTCCGTGCGTTCACGGCGTTCGTTCGGGCCTTCAATCTTCCCCATGGCAGCTCGCACGGCGTACCGCACCGCCAGGTAGATATGCTCAGAGAAGAAGATGGTCAATAGCAGAGCCCAGCCCTTGATCGCCGCAGGCTCGCCATTGGGACCCTCGTGGCCGTTGCTGAACATGTAAACGAGGGCTGCGCTGGTGATGCTTCCCACCCATGACAAGAAGCCCAGGCTGTCCAACCAGGGTCCAATGGTATCCGCGCGCTGTGGCCAGGGTCTCTTGCACTCGACGCAGATCTTGAAGAAATCGGACCGGAGTTCAATCCAGTTGTTGACTAGGAAGGAAACAGGTACGAGGGGCCAGACAGGAGAGAAGAGGGCCAGATATCCAAACTGAATACACATCTCGCGCAAGTCGTCTGTGACGTCATACTCCGACAACTCGGCTTCGTTGCGGACGCGAGTGAGGAACTTGGCTTCCTCTTCATCATCCCCGAAAGAAATGCGCTTCTTCTCTTCGGAACCTTTGCCGTTGCCCGTCTCGGTCTTCGCATGCTGCTTTTGGGCATAGGCCTTGTACTTGCGGCAAAGACGCTGCTTGACAAAGGGGACGATGTTTTCCAGTGCAAAGCCGACAATCTGGGCTGTGACCGTGAAGTAGATAACTTGCTTTCGAAGGCGGTCCGGATCAATCGTAAAATTAGTGCGTAGTTTTGTGGCATGCTCCTTTGACACGAACGGCCGAACTGTCATTTGGAACACATCGAGGTATGGCACGATACGGCTAGCAAAGGGCACGTAAACAAAGGCTGTCAAGAACACTGGGAGATAGGAGGTGATGAAATTGACCACGAAGATCTTCTGCGTCAGTGCCGCATTATAAGCATCCTGCGTCTCGTAATTCTCATAGTCGTTGAGTTTGGTCGCCACGGACAGCAAAACGGCGCTCATGGTGGGCACAAGCGCGGACAGCAGGACAGTCGGGATGAACACCTAAAATAGTTAGCCAGAATTCCCCAACTCTTTGCGAGGAGACTGACCAAATACTGCTTGAATGGGCCGCTGTAAACCTCCGAAATAAAGATCTCGATTGCAAAACAGGTGGCGATGATGGCGCCCAAGGCAATAACGGCAAGCAGGGCAAACGGAACCTGAAGGAGCTGGCGGTACATCCGCTTCATGGCCGGGAACACCCCGCAAACTTCGCCGGTACTTTCATCAACGACCTGCCGTTCCGGCGCGAATTCTCTTCGTTTCTCTTGGACCGCAGAGACGCCCTTGGTCTGCCACCGGCAACTGAGATCGTTCTCCTGGCGCTTCCAGTACTCGATAAAGACGATTGTCCAGAGACAGTTCACCACGGTATAGATGATAGAGAAAGACCCCAGCAGCAGCCAGCAGGAGAAACCGAACACCGCAGGGAAAATCAGGAACCGGAAATACGACTGTAAGAAGGCGAAATAGAAGCCGACCTGTACCTGCCTGTCAGCGCCCATCACATATCTTGTCCCTGACCACCACCTACATGCTCTCCAAAGGTGTTGCGAATCTGATCCAGGTCCTCCGTCGACAAGAACGTCTTTTGGCTCCAATCTCTGATGCACTGTCTATTGGTCTCCTCGTCGTGCAGCGGGAAAATCGAATCGACATTCTGCCATTCTCCGTGCTTGGGGGTGATTCCTGCACCGCCCTCCTCCTTGGATGCCGTGATCATGCGGTAGATAACACGCAGGCGCTCGGCCTCCGAGTGAGGCATAGCAGAGCTCGCTGGTTCGGGTTCGACGCTCCGGACGCCATACAGCCAGTCTCGCACACTGGATCAACAGGCAACAAAATCAGCATGCGGACTACTCTCTTGGTATCCAGATGAAGAGATCGGAATAGGAATATGTCTGTACCGTGACTGATAGACTGCCCGCTTCAGCTTACTCTTGCTTGCGGCGCGGACAAAAATCAGGAGAGACGACTCGTCACCCTGCCGCACCTCGGTCTGCAAGCCAACCTCGGAGAGCTCCAGCAGAAGCACCTCAAACCTCTTGACCGCCTGCGAGACGTCTGCGACAATCAGAACCCAAGACTCATCGTGGGCTCAAGCAAACATACCGGTGTCTCCAAAGCTGCAGCGGATGACGTAATCCACATGGTGGTTCTCCTGAACGGCCTTGGGGGCCGGGACGTTAGCCATTCTCGCGTGGACGGAAACTATTTACAATAGCATGAGGCTGGAGATAGAGAAGCAATATTAATGGCAATTATTATAAGAGAGTCAATTCGAGACAGCAGCAAAAGGAGAGCTGGAATCGTCATCGCACTCACGCGCTTCAGCCGGTTGAGCGGCAATGACGACACTGGCAGCTTCGCTGACGCAGGGTTAGCCCTACTTATGGCTGGAAGGGGAATAGCGCCATCTGAGCCATCGGAGAGTATCAGAATGAACTCCTCCGTCGGGGTGGTAATCAAAATGTCAAAATGACCAAAATGACGTGTCATTTTGACTTTTACTACAGCCACTACCGCCGATGTTGCCATATGCTGGTGGATAACTATCTAAGCAATGGTATACATATTTTGATGAGGTGTAAGGTAGTCTCGTCTCCTAGTAGTCATGAATTCTAGGTACCTATTTAGTAGGTAGTAGGTAGTTAACTACTGGAATCAGGTGACAGAGAAATCTATACCTATAACCTGATTGGTTGAATTTTGACATGTTGCTCTCCCATTGGTTACAGGGTGGTATTCACTTCTTTCACGTGACATTTATCATTAGGTTGACATTTTTGGACATTTTTGACATTCACCACCCCTAGAATGAACTCTTGGGAGTCGACGAGATTTAATAATGAGATACCAGCTGAACACGGCACAGCAGGTCCAAAAGAGAACACAAAGAATCAGAGGGACAGATACTGCTGCTGGCTCACGATAATCCAAATAAAGGGTATCATAGTTATCGCTTTAATATCTATCTACGTAATCTCTATCGACATGTGCTGGCTGGCCTCAAAGAGACGGGACCCTGCGATATCAGATCCCATGCCATGCAAGGGACCAGGATCATGAGAATATATCCGAAGCCTCCTTTCACAACACCCTCTTATACTCCTTCCGCCAGCTTGGTCAGCGCATCTCCATCCACCATCATCTTCATCCACTCCTCCATGGCCTGCGCCCCAACCTGCTTGTAGAACTTGATGCTGGGCTCGTTCCACTTGAGAACACTCCACTCCAGCCGGCGTCCATTGACCTCCAAAACCTTCGCGGCGAGCCACTTGAGCAGCTTGAATCCGTATCCGTTGCCGCGGGCGCTGGGCTGCACGTAGAGATCCTCGAGGTAGATGCCCGGAGCCGAGCGCCAGGTGGAGTAGTTGTAGAAGTACAGCGCCATGCCGACAGGTTTCGGCGACGCGTTCTCCAATGTGGCCGGAGGGACGACCAGGGCTGTGTACACGGAGCCTCGCTTGGGAGTGCTGTCGGGGAAGGACAGGGTCGCGAGGAGAGATTCTTCGGTTGCTTCGACTTCATGGAGGGCTTTTTCGTAGTCGGCGAGCTCGCGGATGAACTGGAGGATAAATGGGACATCTGTGACCAGGCATGATGGTCAGTAGTAGTTCCATTGCCAAGTATTCTTTATGGTTGAAGGGAGACACTCTGGGTGAGAATGCGGGAAGAAGGGAGAACTTGCCTTCAGGCGTCGCCAGGCGGATGGTGGCTTCTCCCGACGACATGATGGCAATTGATTCAAGATAAAAGGTTCTGAATGGCTCTGCGATTGATGGATTACAGCAGAAAGAAGATTTAATTAAGAAACGGTGAGAATTCTCTCTACTGGATGTATGTATTTATACTTACATGGTCCGACACCAGAATCTCGGTCCACTACCCCACCATGGATTCTGGAACTGAGAGGCGCGCCCTGTGGATGACATCCGAAGGAAAAGGGGGTGTATGCACACATGTATGAGAAGGATATATTTATGTACTCTACGAAACATGACACAAACGCTCAAAAGACCAAGGCATGCTCAACCAGGCCGACTGGGTTCTACCGCGAGGTAATGGCCGCCATCCACTTTTGCTCATCCGTCCTATACACGGCTGGTTAGCATCAAGTAGCGCGCACGCGAGAGAGAGAGCATTGCAACCAAAGAAAGACTTACCGATCGAAGTGGAGCAGCATACCCAGAACGGGGATGAGCTGCTTCTGGTAGTTCTTGTCCTTTTGTTCCAGGAATTGAAGAAGGACATTCTTTAGGTAGATGTAGTCAATCGGCGCCCCGGCCCCCGTGGGTGTCTCGCTTCGTCGGATCGACGGACTGCGGTCCTTGGCTATAGGAGACGCAAGTGCTCTCCTCGAGCCGGAATCGATCGACGATCGCGACGACTGGGGGTTCTGAACCGCACGGGTATCCTCCGACAGCATCCGGTTGGACTTGCGAAGCTTTTCCAAGCGACTGTTTGTCTCTTCGACTGAGCGACGCAACTCGGCCCTCTCCTTTTCCAGATCACGGACTTGCTTCTCGCTTTCATCCAGGGCATCGCGCAGTTGGGCCATGGCCTCGCGGACATCATTCAGCTCATTCGCGGACCTTTCAGATTCCTCTTCCAGCTGATCCCGTCTGCGCTTCCAATCCTTCTGAGAACGCTCCAGTTCTTCCTTGTCCTCCTCCGCGGTGCGTAGCGCCTTCTCTGCTTCCCGAACCTTGGTTTTGAGTTCCTCGAGTTCTCGAGCTCGGCGCCGACCTTGCGCACTAGCTTCGTCCTCGGCCCGATCCCGCTCTTCGATGGCGGTCTCCATCCGCTCCTTGAAATCGCGGACCTTGGCCTCGGCGCGACCCTCAATATCGTTCAGCAAGCGCCGCATGGTTTCGCCCTCGCGGGTCCGCTCGTTCAGCAGACGATGCGCATCGGCCAGCTCCTCTTCCAAACTCTCGCATCGTTCCCGAGCCTCCTTCATCTGCATGGCCAGTTCGGCGCTCTGATCGCGCATGCTATTCATCAAGCTCTGCGCACTGGCATGCTGTGCCGTCTTCAGTTGGATTTCCTCCCTCAGGCGGCTCAGATCCTGGTTCAGCTGGGTCACCTTGCCCTCCATCTCCCGAAGCTGACCGCGGGCATTCTTAAGCTCATCCTGGGCTCCAGAAAGATCCGCTGCAAGCTTCTGCTTGGTCTCAATGGCCTCTTGTTTCTTGCTCTCGGAATACCGCAAGTCAGACTGGGCGACGGTCAGATTCTCCTCGGCCTTGAGGCGACTATCGGTTTCCTGTCTGATCTTTTGGTTCAACGTCTTCACTTCTGCATCTCGTTCGAATATCGTCGATTTGAGAGTCTTCAATTCAGTGCGCAGGTCGTCATGCTTTCCCTCTAGGTTTCGCAGTTCAGCTGTCTTGCTCGTGAGCGCTTCCTGTGTCGATTTGAGTTCGGCAGACTCCGCGCGTAGATTCTTCAGCTCCGGCTGCAATTTTTGCAGGGTCTCCCGGAGATCCGTTAAATCCTTAAATCTGGTCGCGGCCAATTGCTGAGCGGCGGAGAGTTCTGTTTCAAGGCCAGTGAATTTGACCTTGAGATTCTCATACTCCTCTTTTAATTCGTCATGCACCTTCTCTGAGTCAGCATTTGTGGAAGCATGGCTGCTTCGAACGTCGGTCAGTTCTTTCTCCAGTTTGGAGATCGTCTCCTCCAACGCTGTCTTCTCGGCAGTCAATTCCTTGATTCTGTCCTTTGCTTCAACGTGGTCCTGGCCGAGGTTGAGGATATCGTCACGGAGGGATTCAATCTCCTCTTTCAGGTCTTCTTCCCCTTTGAGCTTGGCGCAGAGACGGTCGATGGATGCTTCCTTCTCTGCCAGTTGGTGCGTAAGCGACTCAATCTTTTGCTCAAGCTCGGTCAATTTCGCAGCGGACTGGTCCGGTACTGCCGTCGCCGCCTGTGTTGCTGAGGGAGTAGTCGCATCGGTAGCCTTGCTGGTATCTTCTCCAGCCTTGCCGCCCTTCTTCTTCTTGTTCTTCTTCTTCTTGCCACCTCCTGCGCCACCAGTCGAGCTGGGTACCTGAGGCTCAGGTTCAGGCTTGGGCTCCGCAACAGCTGCAACTCCTTCCGAGACCTTCTGTGAGGGCGCCAAGCTCTTCTTGAACTGGTCAAAATCGGCCTGCTGTCCGCTAGTCACCTGGTCTTTGGTCTGTTGCCATTCGGCATTGTCTTTCAAATTGCTGTCAAGGAACTGGACAATGTTCTGCAGCTTACCAAGGTCCTCCACTTTGCGGCCCATGTCAGTCTTGAGATCCGACACCATCACTTCTGTATCCTTGAGCTGGGTTCGCAGGTTATCCACCAGCCCTTGCAGGACTCCCAGTTTTTTCTCATTGGCGTCTTTCACCTTCGTGGCTTCGTCCAATTTTGTCTGCAACGCTGCGTGCTGGTCACCGTCGGTCGACTGGGAGACCTGAGCCTGAAGTTTCTCGATCTCATCTGTCTTCTGCTGCAGATCAGTCTTTAGCTTCTCAAGCTCCTCACCCGCCTTGGTCGCCACATCCTCAGATGTTGCAAGCTTGGCTTTGAGCTCTTCAACTTCGGCTTGCTTGGTAGTCTTGAGTTCCTTGATCTCCGAGTCCTGTTTGTCCTTATGATCCCTCAATTCCACAAGCTCGCGGGTTGCAGATTCTAGATTTTGCACCATGCCCTCCGTTGACTCACGGGCCACGGCCAGATCACGCTTGAGAGATTCCGTCTGCGACTTGAGAGTTTCGACCTCTTCCTGCTTCTCCTTCAGCTCACTCTCCAAGCGGGGAAGCTCATTCTCGAAGGAGAAAAAGTCTTCGGTTTCTTCTTTCTTTGCCTCGTCCTCTTCCGCAGGAATGTCCTCGGTAGCGGCCGGTGCTTCCTTCTCGTCCTTGACTTTCTGCTCTCTCTCCTTTTTGAGATTAGCGACTTCGTCCCAGGCCTCCTTGGTCGACTTTTGTGCTTCCTCAAATTTCTTCTTGTAGTCATCCCGCTCGGTTGTCACCCGCTTTAGTTCCTCGATGACCATGTCTCCTTTCAATGTGATCTGGTTCAGATACTCCGTGAGAGCTTTCGGGTCGCCGATGGAGGTCAGAGGTGTATTTTCTCGTAGAGCGCTCTCGAAGGGTTCGATGGACAGGACTCGCGCATGGGCCATGCGGTAGGCTTTGAGAAGCTCTGGGTGCGTAAATTCCAGTCAACGACAGTTCCTTTCCGGTGGGATCGTGAGCCATACCCTGATATCTAGCCTCCAGTTTCCCCAGACGGCGTATCTTCACCCTAATCTCGGGCGGTAACTCCGACGACAGCTGGACTCCCTCAGTCGCAGGTGCCTCCTTCGCAATCGACGATCCCTCCTGAGCTGTCTTGTCCTCCCCGGCGTCCTTCGCCGAAGTGCCTTCGGAGCCGCCTCCCGACTCTAACCGGGGGGTAGCCGACCGACTCGAGCCCTCATCCTCTCCGATCGCAAACTCCGCCTCGAATTCATTGGGATCCGGGGTGCGAACGGGAGTGCCGGTGTTGCGTCGGGGCCGTGCTTGTCGTCGACCAGGGGAAAGAGGACGGGTCGTGCGCCGGGCGGAGTTGGAGCGCGTGGGTGCATCCTGGGAACCTTTCTGGCGGGCTTGTTCCTCGGCGATCCGGGAATCGATCGCCTCGCGAATGCGCTGTGTGCGGTAGCAAAGCCACGGGTCAGCTCCTGGAGCTCTCGAGACTTCGTGGGAAACCTAAGCACAGGGACGGGGAACGCGACAGCTACTGTACCTGAAACATGACCGTGGTAGGCTCGGAAGCCGAAACCACAACAAAGTCGACAAACCAAAAACAAAGGTAAACGAGATGAGAAAGGAAGATGAGGAAATGAAGGAGAGGATCCGGAGGAACAACGAGGGAGATCATGAAGGGGAGGCTGAGGCTCTCCCATCTATCTGCCAACGAATGGTTATCGGGGCGGCCAGAGCTCGGGACAAGCCAAGAAGGGGCAGAAAACGGACTACGGGCGAAGCAGTTAACTATGGCGAAGCGATCACTGTACAGAGATACAGGCCGGCTGAATAGCTCATTTTATATGGATTTTTGATTGTATTTCTTTATATCAAGCACAAAGAAGCGTTTCATTGATGTACATTTTTGGCTGGATGTCAGTACACAGACTGCAAAAGTCTCAGATCACCGTAAGGACTAGAACATGAGGGAGATTAGATATTCAGGGGAGAGGATCCAAAGCTCAAGAATAAAATCGAACGATTTCACAACAGGAAGAAAGAGGAATAGATTAAACAGAGTAGAGTAGAGATCATTAGTATAGACTTCACTTCAGGACTATCTATTCTACTTGGTGGTGCTAAATGCGATGCAAGCCTCAGGCACGATTCAGGCCCCAGCCATTATGTCTAGAAATTGGGTCGAACCACCAGTTGGAAACAAGCAGATATATAATATAAATATGTATTCACACTGCCCAATCTCTGCCAATGATCAAGTTATATCTAAATAGTTAGATATCTATTTGAATGTCATCGGTGGTGTCAGACTAGCCCATCCCATCCCATCCCACTGACTGACAGCTGCAGCCCAAAACTGCTGATCACAAGCCAAACCGTGCTTACTTCTATCTTTCTCCAACCATCTTCTTCCATCCTCAAACGCTTCTTCTTCAACTCTCAGACAACAACCAGCGAGATCGGACTCTGCTTGCACGTTTCCATCTCTGTGGATCAGAATGAATCTGCTTCTGATTATCTCATGAATCCATGATGGACTCTCTATAGAGTCTCTTTGTTTTCGTCTTGTACGGAGTATGTGTGATGACGTCGGGCGCAAATGCTGGCCTCGGAATCTTGGCTGTGCTAAGGAAGAGTGGATTCTCTCCAACTTGGTCTCGAACCGGTGTTGGCCTCGGACCATCACCAGCCAGCCAGCCAGACCAACAAACAAGAGCAGAGATAGAGATAGAGAGAGAGAGAGAGAGAGAGAGAGAGAGAGAGAGAGAGAGAGAAGATCAAGAACCATGGCTGACGGGAATCTCCTGGGTTCTTCCACCAGCCTAACTGCACTTCTCCCAACTCCATCTTCCGCATCCCTCTCTGCTTCCCTCTCCTCTTCTTCACTTCCCGTCTCACCGTTTCTTGCACCAGCACCCACTACCGCCATAACCGCCAGTATTGCTTCGCTCTCCGCTCAACCTCCCCCGCCTTTACCTGCGACGCCTGCAACTATGGCGGGGTGGATCGGTTGGGTGTTTTCCTTCTTTTTCCAGTTCATTCCAAGCGTGTTGTACTCTGTTATCACTTTTACTACCATCACTCTGCCCACATGGCTGTTCACTCTCTTTTCCATGAGCCTAACGTTCACAATGAACTTCACGACCCTGTAGGTTTCCCCCCTGAAACCCATAGTGTCTTTGTTTCTGGAGAAAAACCACTAACCGTTGCCATGATTCAATGTACAGCTTGTTGATCCTCCTGGCGGTGGTTTCGACCCTCGGCTGGTTCGTCCGGTACCGCTTCCTGAACATGTACAGTCGACTGCCTCCCGAGCCCCAGCGCAAGGAACCTCAGATCGACCTCTTCCCCGATGTACAAGGAGGAGACTCGAAGCCGGGACTGGCCAATTACCTCGATGAGTTCCTTAGTGCTATCAAGGTCTTTGGCTACCTGGAGCGGCCCGTCTTTCACGAATTGACGCGGACAATGCAAACGCGGAAGCTGATCGCGGGCGAGACGTTGATGCTGGAGGAAGAGAAGGGATTCTGTCTGGTGGTGGACGGGTTGGTGCAGATCTTTGTCAAGTCCACCAGGGACGGGAAGTCAGGCAGCGATGATGAGCTGCACCACCTTGGGGCCGAATCCTCGGACGAGGAACACCACATTGACGGGAAGCAGGGGTATCAATTGCTCACTGAGGTCAAGAATGGCGCATCCATGTCGTCTCTGTTCTCCATTCTTTCGCTCTTCACCGAAGACATCCAGGTGTGGGACTCGCAAAGTTCGACCTCCAGCTCCTCTAGCATTGCTATGCGCGCCGCCCGCGTGCCAGATTCGACCCCAAACAGCCCTAGGGGTGGCATGGACAGTCCCACGCCAATTTTTCGCGATGTTCCCGACCCCGTTTCGCTTGTAAATGAGAATGGGGACCTGCCACTGGTACCTCCGCTCCATCTGGAAGAAAGTCCGATCCCTCCCACCAATCATGCCCATGACCGTCGCCAGCACGATCATCGGAAGCATCATGGCAGAAAACATCGGAAGTCCGTCCACCCGGATATTGTCGCCCGGGCGATGGTAGATACGACCATTGCCATCATCCCCGCCAGTGCTTTCAGACGCCTAACCCGGGTCTACCCCAGAGCAACTGCACATATCGTCCAAGTTATTTTAACTCGTCTTCAGCGGGTTACCTTTGCCACGGCGCATTCATATCTCGGCCTCAGTAACGAAGTGCTGGGCATTGAAAAACAAATGACCAAGTTCACGACCTATGATCTGCCGAACAACATGCGTGGGACCGCTCTGGATCGTCTTAAGGATAAGTTCATCAAGGAACGGGACCGATTGGGTACCGAAGAAGTCACCAAAGGGATTGCGCTGCACAACCCGTCTGCCGGCCGGAGGCGCCGGTCTAGCAGCTTTATGAGGAAAGATGCCGTGCTCCACGCCAAGATGATGTCGCCGAAGCGTGCCGCTACCGTCATTACTTCAGACAATTCATATGATCACGACTCGGCCGGAGTCAGCCCCGGAGATCTCCTGTCCACAATTCAGCAGTCGAGGTTTGGCCCTAGGTATGAGCAGCCGACCCCCCGGCTTCGGTCCCCCTTGGCCGAGAAAGAAAATTCCCACTTCCGGCTTCCCGCCATGCAGGCCCGGAACGCGTTCCACCGAAAAGAGTCTCTGGACGAGGATGCGCTATTCCGAGAATGCATATTGGATTGCATCATGAAGGCAATCGGGCTCACCAGTAGCACCGGAGAGGTGTTGCGTAAGAGCAGCCACTCTGGCGAAGCGTCCCCAAAGCTCCTGTCCTATGATTCCCGGCGCCAGAAAGCGGTCTTCTCGAACAATGCCTTTGGCTTTATTGATCCCTACGAAGGTTCCGGCGACGGCGAAACGGAGTCGATGATGTCCATGTCTGTTACAAGTGCAGGAGGCACCTCGCCTGTTACAAGCCTACGGGAAGAGCTGCGGAACGATATTGAAATTGTCTATTTCCCGCAAGGTTCAGTCCTAGTGGAGCAAGGAGAACGCCATCCGGGGCTGTACTACGTGATTGACGGGTTCTTGGACGTGGGCATGCCAGTCGTTGACAAGGGAGAAGACCTCGTTGGCGTTTCCAAACCGGCGACCGCACGCGAACCTTTCCCAACCCTGAAGCGCACGACAACTGCATCCTCCATTAAGCCCAGCGCCACTGCCGCGAACGATCCTCGCCGGAGAAAGCAGTCCCGCAAATCGCTGTATCTGATCAAACCAGGTGGAATCCAAGGCTATGTCGGAGCTGTGGCGTCCTATCGATCGTATACCGACGTCGTTGCCAAAACAGACGTCTATGTGGGCTTCCTTCCACGGGCGTCCTTGGAGCGGATCGCAGAGCGTTACCCCATTGCTTTGCTGACTCTGGCGAAGAGGCTGACCAGTCTCCTTCCCCGCTTGCTCCTCCACATTGATTTTGCTCTCGAGTGGGTCCAGGTAAATGCAGGACAGGTTATCTACCACCAAGGTGACGAGAGTGATGCGATCTACCTTGTACTGAATGGGCGGCTGCGATCAGTCCTGGAAAGCGCGGATAACAAGTTGACGGTGATTGGCGAATATGGCCAGGGAGAAAGTGTAGGCGAGCTCGAAGTGATGACCGAGTCCACTCGTCCAGCGACTCTGCATGCAATTCGCGATACCGAATTGGCGAAGTTCCCACGGTCTCTTTTCAACAGTCTTGCGCAGGAGCATCCCGGAATCACGATCCAGGTTTCCAAGCTGATCGCGCAACGGATGCGGGACCTGGTCGAACGGCCGGTGACGGAAAAGGGAGCTGAGCGCAGCAGCGCTGGTGGCGTCCAGACTGCAACCTCGACCCTGAATCTCCGCACTGTCGGTATTCTCCCCGTGACGGCGGGTGTTCCAGTGGTGGAGTTCGGTAACCGGTTGTTGCACGCTCTGCATCAGATTGGGGTGGTCAACGGGGTCACTTCTCTCAACCAGTCCGCTATCCTGAATCACCTGGGGCGCCATGCGTTCAGCAAGATGGGTAAGCTCAAACTGGCCCAGTATCTAGCGGATCTGGAAGAGAAGTATGGGATGGTTCTGTACATTGCGGACACGAATGTGAACTCTCCCTGGACGCAAACCTGCATTACGCAGGCGGATTGTATTCTTTTGGTGGGCCTGGCGGAATCGTCGCCTAGTATCGGCGAGTATGAGAGATTCCTCCTTGGCATGAAGACTACAGCCCGGAAGGAGCTTGTGCTGCTTCACTCGGAGCGCTATTGCCCACCGGGCCTGACACGACGGTGGTTGAAGAACCGGGTGTGGATCAACGGCGGCCATCACCATATCCAAATGGCATTTCGATTAACAGCGGAGCCTTCGCACCCAGAGACCAAGCGCTTCGGCACCGTTCTCAAACAGCGAGTCCAGGTTCTCCAGGCGGAGATCCAGAAGTACACCTCGCGAAGGATTCGTCAGACACCGCTCTACTCCGCCCAAACCCCGTTCAAGGGCGATTTCCACCGCCTCGCACGTCGCCTGTGTGGCAGAGCTGTTGGTCTTGTACTTGGTGGTGGCGGCGCGAGAGGTATCGCTCACGTCGGCGTGATCAAGGCGCTTGAGGAGGCTGGTATTCCTGTCGACATTATCGGCGGTACCTCAATCGGGTCGTTCATCGGCGCGCTGTATGCTCGCGATGCGGATGTGGTTCCCATGTACGGTCGGGCGAAGAAGTTCGCTGGACGGATGGGCAGCATGTGGCGGTTCGCGCTGGATCTGACATATCCGACCATTTCATACACCACCGGGCACGAGTTCAACCGGGGCATCTTCAAGACGTTTGGTGATAGTCAAATCGAGGATTTCTGGCTGGAGTTCTACTGCAACACGACCAATATTAGCAAGTCGCGCCAGGAGTATCATTCGTCCGGCTACGTCTGGCGTTACGTGCGGGCATCCATGTCGCTAGCGGGCCTGATCCCGCCCATCTGCGATGAAGGTAGTATGCTACTGGACGGTGGCTACATTGACAATTTGACCGTCGACCACATGAAGGGTCTCGGTGCGGACGTGATTTTCGCAGTGGACGTGGGCTCTATCGATGACAACACTCCCCAGGGGTATGGCGACTCGCTTTCCGGCTTTTGGGTGGCCTTCAACCGCTGGAATCCGTTCTCGTCGTGTCCCAATCCGCCAACCCTATCTGAAATCCAAGCACGGCTGGCATACGTCTCATCCATTGATAACTTGGAACGCGCCAAGATCACCCCGGGCTGCCTGTACATGCGTCCTCCCATTGATGCCTACGGCACGCTGGAGTTCGGCAAGTTCGACGAGATCTACCAGGTCGGCTACAAATTCGGCAAGCAGTTCCTCGAGAAGCTGAAGAACGAAGGGTCCCTGCCGCTGCCGGAGGAGACGGAGGAGGAGAAGAAGCTGCTGCGGACGATGGCACCCCGGCGAGCCAGTATTTGATTGTTTCATCCTTTTGTTGGATTATGCGTGAGCGTCCAGTGGGAGCCTATACCACACAACAACCATCTTGCATGCATGACATACTCATCTGGTATGATGTGTGATTATTAGACAACTTGGCTAATTGAGTGTATGATAAGAGGTAGATGTACAATCCAGATGATACTGGGGCTATGTTAGTCTATGGAACTGTGGATCTAGTCATTCTGATCTTATTCTACATTCATTGATCTCTTCGTTTTTCACATTTTACTGCCTAGAGAGATTGCGAGATCAGACCATCTAGGGAACTGACGTGGCTGATGAGGCAGAATAATGGAGACGGAAGACGGGAAAGCACCATGGGTGAGAACGACATTAAAAGTTGAGTACAGCCAGCCCGAATGGAACTACACATGGCACTAATCTTATCGCATAGATAGTTCAACCGGATACAAGGAACCTGGAAGTTCTGGCACTTTGGAAGCCATGCGAAGTGGGCCTCCTATCTGACCAGTTACTTGGCTATGAACTTATGGAGTATGGACAACAGCTGCGGGTACAGGACTCCAAGCGAAAGCATAACGACCGAAATTATTCCCGGCTGTTCGCTCATCTCCGAGTCCACTATCTGAGAAAACAATAGTCAGTCAGCTCTTCCGCGTCATCCGCCTATCGCACTCTTGGTTTTGGTCGGGTATTCTTGCTGTCAGGATCTAGGAATCCTGCCCTAACCTAGGACCCGCTTTCTGAGGCTCTCCAAGGCAAACCCAGCCGATATATGGAGATCAGGTGGGCCATAGACCCAAGATCGAGGCCCCTGACTTGGTTCTTGCGCGGTGGTTATAATGCTTATATATAATCCGGCTCACACTCATACTGTCGAAGGGGTTTGCAACGTGCATCTCGCTTCATTATTGATTGCCTCGTTCCAGGGCCGTCGTCAGTCATTCCTTCGGGTCGGCAACTGGTCAACGTTCGTTCCATCTTCTTCGACGCCCCTTTTCTCCTTTTTTAGTCCTTCGCTTATGCTTGAACTTAACTTGTTTAATTAATTCGTCTGTTCATCGTCGATTTACCCGACATGGGCGTCCCTTCTTTTTCCTGGAGGCGTGTTCTCCTCCTGGCCACCCTCGTCCCTGTTCAGTCCGTCACAGCCCTCACGATCTCTGCCCTGCCTACTGCAGCCAACACCGTCCCTATAGTGTCCTGTTCCACCGCCAGCGGTGAAATGATTGAGAATGGGTCATTTGAGGACAGCTGGGATTACTGGTCCTATACCATCGACTACCCCTACAGAGGAACCGTCGGCCTGGTTGAAGCTGGCGCGAGTGGAAGCGGCTTCACCACCGCAGCCGATGGCAGCCACTACGTCCAAACAGCCGGTAGCTCGCAGGCGTTCACCTTAAAGCGGACAATCACCGGCCTGACACCGGGAAAGACATACACAGTCTCCTTCAACTATGCGACAAAACCGGATTCCTGGATGAATAGCGGGCTTTGCTGGAGCTATATCTATCAGGACTCCCTCAGCAACCAGATCCTATATTATACGATTACCATGCCCAATAAGGTCGTCCCCTGGACTAAGTATACATACTCGTGGACGCCAACTGCTTCCAGCCACACCTTGTTTTTCAGGTATAATTGTGGTTTCTACAGCGCCGGCTACATGGTGGGATGGGACAAGTTCAGTGTGCAAGACCCCGAGCCAGCCACGACCTGCACCACTTCATACTCGACGATTGCAGTTCCGACACCAACTCCGATCCCCTTAGATGTGGTTACCCCTGTCGTGACTCCTTCCCCTGTCGTGACGCCGAGTTCCACCCCGTTGCTGTCGCCCTCGTCTTCCATCCCTGTGATTCGGACTTCCTCTTCTTCGATTGTGGTTTCTAGCTCGACTCCGGTGTTGATACCATCGGTTTCGCCTATTCCAAGCCCTAGCTCGGCTCTTCCGTCCAGTATCCCTTCGTCCAGCATCCCTTCGTCCAGCATCCCTTCGTCCAGCATCCCCTCGTCCAGCCCGGTTTCTCCAGTCGGATCTTCGTCCTGGCCCCCTGTGCGTCCTTCGAGTCTGCCCCCGATTCGTCCGTCTAGCCGACCACCATTTGCGTCTCCAAGCAGCGTCATCCCACCTCAATCATCTTCGGTTCCTGCCGCGCAGTCTTCTGGTACCCCTGTGATCAATCCATCCAGCCAATCTCAATCTTCGATCCAAGCTGCGGCGACAAGCAACAGCGCTGGAGCTGGGACCCCCGGCACCCCTGGCACCCCCGGCGCCCCTGTGATCAATCCATCCAGCCAATCTCAATCTTCGATCCAAGCTGCGGCGACAAGCAACAGCGCTGGAGCTGGGACCCCCGGCGCCCCTCCCCTTCCCACTGGCAGTACTCAATCAGGTGCCCCGTCCTCTGGAAACGAGCAAATGACCACGTCAACCGTCCTTAGCACTCGCACCAGCACTGTCACTGCGTGCCCAACCTCACTAACCGACTGCCCCAAATCCTCTCAGGTCGTGTACCTGACCACGGAAACGATCGTGGTGTCAACCACCGTCTGCCCCATCACTGCTGTGCCCAGCGCAACAGGAAACCCCAGTGGATCCCAGGGCGAACCGGTCACTACGAAGACCTTTTTCACCACGCGCGTCTCAACTATCTACGAATGTCCGGGCACAGTCACCGACTGCCCATACCGTTCCAAGACTGCCTCCGTCACCACGGAAACACTTGTGGCGGGAACAACCGTCTATACCGTTCCTCATGCTCAGGCGACTGCTACTGGAGTATCTCCCGTCGTAACCGCTCCTGCCGGCGGTTCCAGCCAGCCCAACAGAGAGACACTCACCACCGAGACGGTCTACAGTACCCGAACTTCGACCATCTACGCCTGCCCGTCGACAGTGGTTAATTGTCCATACCGGTCCAAGACTGCGTCTGCGACGACGGAAACTCTGGTGGTCGGAACAACGGTCTACCCTATCCCCGTGACTGCCACCGCAGCGCCAGTTCATTCCGCTGGATCTGTGACCACGGAGACCATCTTGACAACGAAGGTCCAGACAGTGTACGAATGCCCTCCCAGCGTGACGGATTGTCCGCTCCGTCAGAAGACGGCATCGTTGAGCACCGAGACTCTTGTTGCGGGCACAACGGTATATACAATTCCTGGAGCGGCCGCTTCTGCGACGGCGCAGGCAGCGCCTCATTCTCAGGTTGGAGGGGTTGTCTTGACTGGATCCCCTGTGATCCAGACCCTGACGGTCGCATTGAACGGTCAGCTTACCACCGTGACCGTGACGGGAGTTGTTGCTTCCCCGACTGGCGCTGTCGGGGTCTCGGCCGCAGGTAGCTCTCCATCGGACGACAATGCCGGTTCCGGATCTTCCATGGATGCCACCAAAAATGGCAACGCTGGCAGTGTCTCCAACTCCGCTCCTAGCTCCTTCCACATCGTCGTCAGCTCTACCGAGACTCCTACCACGGGGACTGTGACAGCTAACCCGGCTCTGTTTACGGGCGCTGCTCCGTCGAGCTATGGCTCCAAGGTGCTGGGCGTGGTGTTTGCTCTTCTTGCTGTTGTGCTTGGCTTGCTGTGATTGGTTGTGTTGATTCGTGTAGACTAGTTCGGATACAGCCCAGTGACTATTAAGCGAAGTTTCCGACTACGGTTAGGCCAGAGTCACTTACATCCATCATAGTTACTGCTATAGATCCTCATCAATGACTTCCATATCAGATTTCCTTCCCGGAAGTGCTCTATCACCATGGGCTAAAACCTATCCTGGCGAGACATAGTTGAAACATGGCAATAACACGTCGATCGGTTAAACGCAATGTATTCATCGAGTTCTCTGACGCTCCCGGAGAGGTACAAGGGGGCCTGGAGCTCGGATGCAGACAAGTAATATACTCTTCCACCCTCGTACACTGTCGATGGCGAGCACTGGCTGCATTTCCAAGTTTCCTGAGCATGTCCAAGAGCGCGACGGGCGGCGTGTCATCACAGGCGAGATTGACATTGATGCGGATGTAGGTTGGTGGGTTGGCTATGAAGCTGCATATATTGCCCCCCTATCCCTAGACGAGATATGTATGGGACGGGGCTTCTCCAACATGGTAACATACAACGGTCCTCCTGACATCAACTCCCCGCAAAATGGAATCTTACCTCTATCTAACATCCATCAGCTATGGGATAATCATTCTACTGCCGTCAATCCCAATGCTGGTTACAAAGTTATGAGTTTTCAGCCCCATGCGTGGCAGTATCATGGGTACCTTCTCGACCCCGTTTGTCGCCAGCCTGATGATGCAAGGCGAGTCATTGACGGACTGCTCCGTTGGCATTTCGAGCAGGCGGTCCTTTATAATATGCGGGGTGTTGGCGAGGCAGCTTTTGAGTTTTGACTTTCCTGATGGAAGCGACATCATGGGCCATATCCAGAGTGAGGAACAGGGGCCGCAGCGAATGGAGGCAGATTCGTTCAACCGACTGTGGGGGCACTATGGCTCGCCGTCGCTTTCCGGGATGTAAATTCAATTGGCATGCCTCTTGAGCTACCAGGAGAAGTTCTCGATCTGTGGGTACCAATAGCGCGGCAGCCTTCACAAACACGCCGTTGTTACAATGAAAAGATATCCGAGAAAATGCGAATCAATCCGTCCCTTTCTCATTTATCCGAGGTGAAAAAGCGACCAGGATCTAACCGCATATACAAGCTATTTTCTATACCATCATGACCGGATCTTTTCCCATAAACTCCAACCGTCTTTATGTCTAGTTGCGCAAGCCATTCGGATAGCCATTGACGGCAATCTCCCTGAACCCGTTCAAAATCCCATCGCTAAAGACACTCTTCTTCTCCTTCCCATCGATACCCGTGACCAATTTCTGCGCATGCGTCTGTGGGTCCACCGGCTTATTGTTGATCGTGTATCCCGTGTCGCTCGCATCGACGTAGGCCTCAACACCCGCGCCCACACGCGGGTACTCCTTCATGAGCTTCTTGTGGCGGCGCAGCGCCGCGAACATCTCTTCATTGGTGACGTCGTTGAGGAACTTGCAGCTGCCGAGGGGGCTGGGCACGGCCGCGCGCAGCAAGCCATCCCGGGTCTTGAGGATGGCCTGTGTGGCCTTGTCGAGGATCTCCTCGTTGAACAGGTCGTGGTCCATGGAGAGACCGGCACGGGAGAACAAGTTCAGGAGTCGTCGGTGCTCGTCATCGCTGAGGAGGCCGCGGTTGTTGGCGAGGGTTGCGGAGTAGGCCATGTCGATGGAGATGGCGTGGCCGTGGCGGAGGGGGACGGGGGGTGTGAGCTGCCCGGTCGTGTCAGTCCGATTGGGAGTTAGCATGATACGGAAAAGTCATGGCTGACCTCGTGCAGCGGTGACCAAGTATGTCCATACGCAATGACTCGGTCCAGTCCGATCTCATGCAAGTTCGGGGTCTCCAGCTTGAGCATCTCGTAGATGCCGTTACGGTTAATCTCATCCGCCGCCTTCTTCACCTCACCCTTGTCATCAGTGGAGCGCCCGAATTTGGTTGCGATCAAGCGCTCGCAGAACTCGTCGAGCAGATCGAACGTGCGCAGGTGCGCACAGCTCGAGATCTTGATTAGCTCCGCGAAGCCGTTGCGGACCTGAGCTTCCGGCAGCGTGCGGAGGAAGCCGAAGTCGAGGAAGGTGTGCATGGGGGCATGGTAGGCGCCGAGGCGGTTCTTGTAGTTGCCGTAGTTGACGGCGACTTTGATGCTGACACTGGCATCGATGAGGCCAATGACTGTCGTGGGGATGCGGATGTAGTTGGTGTTTCGGCGGTAGGCCGCACAGGCGAATCTACCAGCGTATTAGCTGAGTCTACAAAGTGGGAGCTTAAAGGGGCTGTTTGAGCACATACCCAGCAACATCGGTGACCAGTCCTCCACCCTATCGCCGGACGTTAGTAATTGAAATGTACGCTCGGGATCTGATGGACGCACCACCACTAGAACAGGCTCCTTGCGAATGATGCCGAAATCGGTCATCGAGTCCACAATACTGGTAAAAGTCTCCAGGGACTTGGCCTTCTCGCCAATCATGGTCTGGTGAATCTTCAACTCCAGGCCATGGTGATCAAAGTACTTCTGCATCCGATCACCGTAGAGAACATAGATGTTCCGATCCATGACAGCCAAGCAGCGACCCCAGCGCTCATAGAGATTCGCCAGCTGCGGGTTCTGGGGCTCGAAGACGCCATCGAGGAAAGTGAAGTCATACTCGATCTTCTCGTAGCCCTCGACGTGGAAGCCGTCTATGGTCTCGGAGACCGTTGCCTTGAGATCCGACATGGTTGGATGTGGTGTTGAAACGGAGAGATGAAAGAGGGGGGGGAGCTTGTTGGTTGAATGAGGACTTGCTGGGCTAAGAGAATCCAAACGAATGGCACGGAAGTGAATCCCTGGGCTATATAGAGGATCCAGCACCATCCCACCGGTCTTCCCCCCAATACCACGGGTTGGATTGAGAGCTTGATCACTCACTCCCCTTGGATAGGGATTCCCACGCCAAAGACCAACATCTCCCCAGGGTCTCTCCCATCCCAGCGCTCGCGGCTCCCGCGCAGACAGCAGACACCACAGACAGGAGAAGCCAGATTCACCGTGAACGGCATGCAACCAGCATGCAATGGCGTTGGATGATGGGCAGCCAAGCACGAAATACAAGCTGGATCTGGGAAGAACCAACCCACGACCATGGACAATCCGGTTGCCATCGAGCAAGATCAGGATTCTGCAGCTGCGTGGACAGTACAGCACGACAACCGCTGGGAGGGGCTATTTTTATGTCATGGCTATGCAAGACCGCCCCTGTCAGGGAAAGGCATGTTGCATTGATTGGGGAAGGGGGAAATTGGGGGAGAATTGCTGGGACTCATGAGTCATGTCCGATTTTAGCGGCCGCTTTGGGAGACGATAGACTATAGAGTTAGGGCTGTTTCACCAGGAAGATCGCCCCGATCGATCGGATTGATCACGGAAACTAACAACAAGATACTGTTAAGTGTTAACTGTTTCCGATAGATGGGGAGTGGGTCCCTATAGTATGTACCAAGCAAAAAAAAACCGGATTTCCATGGCACCCCCGGAGATCGACATTCGACAAGTCGTTGACGACGGGTTTCCCACCACGTCAACGACTTCAAAGCTTTGCCCTGGAATGTTCACTCAGCCCGAACACGTGTGAATGTGATGGATCATTTAATCTCTTACCGATCCATGCACGCTTGGCCTGTGTTTGCTTCGCGGCAGAGGACTCGGTCAGGTTTGAATGCCTCATTACGGTATGATTGTTGGGCTAATGTGCGCGCGTTAAGAGGCCTCCCATGTCGCTCTTGTGGACACAAGACCGCTCTTGCCCCTCGCAGGCTGAGCAGAATTCACGACAAAAATCCACAAGAGATGAAATGACCAAGGAGGAATTTGATCCGTCCAAGGCCTATGCGCCGCAGGAGCAGGGAACGGGCTTCTTCGACGACGGTCGCGAGATCGCGCTTCTGCACTTTGTGTATTTGCATCCTGACCTGGAGAATATTCGGGGCTCGCCGGAGAAGGTGCTCGCAGCCATTGATGAGTATGGTCGGACGAAGAAGTATCTGATGAATGTCGGCGAGGACAAGGGCCGGATTGTCTGCGATCTCATCGCGGAGGTCCAGCCGAAGACCATGGTATCTCGCCCATATCTCTGAAATGTCCCATTGCAATCACCATTCCCACAGGCTAACGGTAGTGTGCAGGTTGAGCTGGGAGGCTATGTTGGCTACTCGTGTATCTTGTTTGGCAATGCCGTGCGGAAAGCGGGAGGCGAACGCTACTACAGCCTGGAGATGAACCCCGAGTTCGCGGCGGTGATCATGTCGCTGGTCGACCTGGCTGGCCTCTCGGACGTCGTGAAAGTGGTCGTCGGCTCCAGCGATGCTTCCCTGGCGCGTCTCCACTCCGACGGCCTGCTCCAGCATATCGATCTCTTGTTCCTGGACCACTACAAACCAGCATACACGACCGATCTCAAACTCTGCGAAGAGCTGAAGCTGATCACCCCGGGCTCCGTCCTCGCTGCTGACAACGTCATCAAGCCGGGAAACCCACCGTACCTGGAGTATGTCCGGAGCAGCGTGGAGGAGAAGCGGAAGAAGCTGGGAGCGGACGGGAGCAGCGAGGGGATTCCCGGGCATACGGTGAACCAATATCAAAAGAGGTATGGGGAGATGAAATTCAACCAGAGTCCTGGCAATCCGAATCTCGTGTACGAGAGCAAGCTGGTGAACAGCTTTGAGCCAACTGGCCTGCCGGTAAGCATATCCCTGACTGTATAGACCGCACGAACTGATTAAAGTATAGGATGGCATTGAAATCACTCGGTGTGTGGGAGAAGAGAAGAGGAACAGTAGACTACACTAGACATAATATCCGTCCATATTCTCAACCGGTAGTAATTCCATATCGATCACTATGGACACAAGTATGGAGAGCCAGCATAGAAAGCGCCCGTCACGAATATCCCCAGATAAAGAACGCCAGCACTTAATTGCAAAAAGACCAGGCACAATGCTGCATAATCAAGATTCGCTGGCATGACGTAGACCATGTATGCACGGCCAGCAAAATACTGGTCCGCCGGTTGCATCGCGATATCCATAAACAATACATATGAACCGCAGCTCTCCCGCCACACCTTAGCATTCATCCTCATTTCTATTCCCTTTTCTGAATTACAGAGATCACTCTAGGGCATGTTGCCGCGATGACAGCTTCATCACCACCACTCTTCTTCTATGAGCATGTACCGAAGAACATCCTCCTCATCATTCTCAGCGTCCTCTGTCTCCCCATCTCCGCCATCATCACACTCGTCTCGCTCCTTTTGAGCTATATTACAGAAGATGGAATGTCGCAATCGGTATCTCCCAGTGATGTATCTCGAAAAACAATCCTTGTCACCGGCATCTCCATGACCAAAGGACTCACAATCGCCCGTCTCCTTGCCAAACACACATCACACCGCATCATCGCCGCAGACACGGAGCCTATCTACTTCACCTCGCCGGGGAGATATTCTCGTTCGATAGCCGAGTTCTACCGTCTGGACTCACCAGATGCAAAGTCTGTGCAGCCCTACAGTGATTCGCTACTCTCAGTAATCCGAGAGGAGAGCGTGGACTTATGGATCAGCTGCAGCAGCGTCGTCGGCGCGCTTGAGGATGGAGAAGTGATGAGGTCAGCGCAAACAGAGAGAGGAGAGGGGTTTCGAGCGGTGCAGTTTGACAGCGAGGCCGTGGAGAAGCTGCACGAGAAGGATGCCTTTATGGAGTATATTGAGAGTCTGGGGTTACTGGTCCCGGAGTCCCATCGGTGCACGTCTGTCGCAGAGGTCGAGAGCATTCTCGCTACCGACCAAAATGAGAAGGGTCAAGAAGACGACAAGCGGTTTATCCTCAAGCCGGTCGGCATCGACGACAAAGCGAGGAGCCAGGTGATGACGCTCCTCCCTCTCTCCACAGGGGCCAACGCCACATCCTCTTACCTGGGGACCCTGAACATCACCGCCTCCAACCCCTACATCCTCCAACAATTCATCAACGGCCCCGAATACTGCACACATGCCCTCGTCGTCCGCGGCAAAGTCCGCGCCTTCGTCTCCTGTCCATCTTCCGACCTTCTCATGCACTACGAAGCGCTCCCCGCCAACTCCGCGCTGAACGTGAAGATGCTCGCATTCACGAAACGCGTGGCCGAAGACGGCGGCCCGGGATTCAGCGGCCATTTGAGTTTCGATTTCCTCGTCGAAGGCGAGGGCAAGGACGCGCGGTTATATCCGATCGAGTGCAACCCGCGTGCGCATACGGCCGTCGTACTGTTCCAGGATATTCCCGAGATGGCGGATGCGTATCTCTCCTGCTTTGACTCCGAGCCCTGGAGGAAACCCATCGTGGTACCTCGAAAATCCGCGAAGAGCTACTACTGGATCGGCCATGATATCGTCACGCTACTTCTCATCCCGCTGCTGACATGGGGTTGTGGAGAAGGGGGTGTGGATGAGGTCACCGGTGGGATCAGAGCGTTTTGGAACCACCTCATGCACTGGCGGGACGGAACGTACGTGGCGTGGGATCCGGTGCCGTTCTTCATCCTCTATCATGTTTATTGGCCGAGCCGGTTCGTTGAGTGCATTCTTCGGGGTCGGAGATGGAGTCGGATCAATGTCAGCACGACGAAGATGTTCGAATGTTGAGTGATTCCTGCTGGTGGCTTAGACTGCAGAACCTGCCTTGAGCTGCAGTATACCTCTTGCTTAGTACATGCCATCCAGCCCTGTCTTCATACCTAATGAAGTTGTTGTAGCTTGGGCATATAAATATATATATATATACCTATATATATATTTTCAGGCTCTCGGTGATCTTCTAGCTGCTTGGATGTTGGAATGTTGGAGATCAGAAAGTCGTAAGCCTGTCCCAAACAGGCAACTTCCCCGGGATGATCGGCACACTTTCCCCGATTAGCGTCTTGGCGTGTCTACTGTCCTAATCTGGTAAAGCGTCCCCTGATCCTTGATGCCCTAATCCCAGCGTGCTATTGATGAGGGAGATGGAGAGGAAAGGACGTGCAGATTGGAAACGATGAATTAGTATTCTCATAGGGGCATCGGGGTTGCTGACTTCTTCTTTCTATCTGGTTTACTTCTGAGGGAGAATGTCTCGTTAGTTCATCAAATGTTACCTCTACTCGGGGGGAAAGAGGCATATTACTGACTGACTCGCAATCAACTAATACATTTCCCACGTGAAATTTCTTCACATAAGACTCGTCAAAGAGTGGGTAGATTTGTTCTCAAATTAGGCTTTATTCAGTAGTCAAGACAGAAAATAAGATGAGGCAAGGCTATCAACAAAAAAGGATTCACTGTTGGTCACCCAGCCCAACCAGGGGGTCCATCTTGCTCCAATCTTTGGTGGGTTTCCCCCCCCAATGCACGTCGTGGAAGGCTTCGAGATCAAGCTGTCCGTCCGTTCAACTTCCAAGTCTAATCGTCCCGCGCATACGGACTCCGTCGGCGCAACGCCGGCCCATAGTATCGCAGTAGGATCGGTGCCGGTATCCCCACAACAATGGCAATCAACGCGAGCGTACTGTTTCCCCATCCATATCCAAGGTTGCCATATCTGATCCCGAGTTAGCTACAGTTCAGACGGAGCCCCAGGGCAATGAACAAACGCAGCCTGAGAGGGGAAAAACCACTTACAGACTCGGAGCGGCCAAAGGCAAGGCAAAGGCCAAGATACTTCGTAGACAGATGATCGCAGCCATTGCACTGGCTGCGTACTTCTGGTATGTGTCGATAATATACCCCATTACGCAGAGGATCTCAAGCACGGTACCTGCGCCGTAGATAGCGGCGCCGATGTTTCTTTGCCGGAACCAATGTAAGCGAGCGTTCCTCGGATTCGGTCATTGGGGGGGGGGAGGGGGAAACAAAAAACGCTTACGGCATAATCCAGTGAACATTCGAACGGGCAGACCATCCATACCAGAACAGCCCGATCGGCACGATGCAAGCGCCTATAATCAGGACCGGCAATCGGAACTCGGGCATGCTGCGCCCTCCATTGGCGGCACATAGATTGCGATAGTACCGATCGGCCAGTCGGGTGCCGCCCTGAGAGGCGAATCCCATGCCCACAAAGAGAGAGATATAGTTGAGGGAGCCGATAGAGACCGACTCGCCGTAGATATCTGTCCATACATTGGGAAAAGTGGCGATGAGGATATACAAGATCCCCCAGAGGAACGCGCAATACAGACTCCAGACCTGCACCACCGGTTGAGTCGCCAGGAGGATGAAAGGACGGACGATGCTTGTGCGAAGAAGTTGTAGCAGCGAGACGCGGTCGTGAACAGTGTATAGGTCCGGGTTCTGGGTACTCTTGCGTCGTTTTTTGCAGCGGCGCTGGAGAAGGACCGGCGCGTAGGTCTCGCGGAAGAAGGGTAGGCCTAGGATCTGGATCGCTGCACCAATAATCGAAACCACATAGAAGCACCACTGCCAGGTTGTATATTGTACCAGAAAGCCGCCGGCAATGGGGCCCACGACAACACCGATCAGAGGTGCAAGGGTGTAGACGGCAATAGCCTGGCCGCGTTCGTGGGGAAGAAAGAGGTCGGCATTGATACCACTTCCGATCTGGTATAGTTACTATTATTTAGCCTCGCAATGTAACACAGAGTGCTTATAGGAGAGGGAAAGAAACACAAAAAAAAAAAAAAAAGGGCTCTACCGCAAAAGGGCCCGCGCCACCCAGACCTGCCAGAAAGCGAAAGACAATCAGTTGATTTGGGGTCTTTGCCGCACCGCACAGAGTATTAAAAACAATATAGAATAGATTTGCCGATTGGAGGACCATGGACCGCCCGAAGACCTCTGACAATGGTGCTGTTACCATAGGAACAAAGGCGGTTCCTAGCAAGAAGACCGTCAGAGATAGCACGCCGAGCATGTTGGATGAGAAATGGAGATCGGCTTGGATGGCATCCAGAGCCGGGGCCATCGTCGCCGAACTCATGGAGGAAAGGAAGTTGAATAAAGACATAGGCAGAATGGTCGTCCATTTCTTGACTTGGGGCCAGTTTTTGGGATTTTCTGGGTCATCCGGGCCATCCCAGGTTACCTGGGTCTGCTATCAGACTGGTGTGTCCAGCAACGATTTCAGGGGGCAGGGGGGACCGAAAGATGGAAGGATAAAGCGTACCAAGTTGGGATCAGGATCTCCTGGCGGTGCTGATGTGGGCATAGGAGCCGGCGACGATGGAGCTGGAGCTGGAGCTGGAGCTGGAGCTGGAGCTGGAGGCCCATCGCCGGTCAGACTGGTGACAGCCTCTTTCTCTGCCATATTTCGAAGTGGGAATGATGAGAATGAGAGAAATGCCAACAAGCAATTGCGATGAGAACAAACAAAGAGGAGTTGCCGGGGGGGGAAAGAGATGACTCAGCCGTGTGGAATACACTGCGTTGGCCAGCGATTACTACGTATACTGTGTAGAGTATAGGTCTTATGCTGGTTGATTGCTTGAATAGCTAGTCTAGTCTAGTCTCCCGTAGTCCAAAGTACGGCTGCTTATCCTCATCGCTAAGCCGAGAGCCCGAGACCCAAAACAAACCCTAATTGGGTTGGATTTCTGCCGGCAGAAAAGCAGCAGCCAGTCAAAAGCCATCAGTACAATACGGCCCTAGACCTAACTGAACTCATCTCACTCATATAGCCTATAGAGTATAGGCTTGCGCTGTGGAGGATGGAACGGCGGAAATTGCCGTCCCCGGCGTCCCGCAAGTCAAGCTAGTGCTAGTAGTGTGTCTTACTTACTCCCTCGACCTGTCAAAAATCGCTCAATCAGTATTCAGTCACTTACCGTGGTGGTTAGATAGTCTGGCGAGATTATGTATATGATTATATCTGACCCCCACGGCCAAGTAGCAACGAAGTGAGCCGAACTTCTGATTGACCCAATATCCCAGCGGTCCCCCCGTTGTGTTGCTTTCTTTCACCCCGTCTCTAGTCACCATGTGGCAGTATCTTCTCGGGAGCATTCTTCTGCTAGTCGCCCTGCACCTGGTTAAACGCGTCGAACAATGGCGGAACAGGAGGAGGTACGCCCAGAAATATAGCACCAAAGACCCCGTCAGGATCTCGGACATCCGTCGCCCCGAAGGAGGGAGCTACACCAAGGAGACCGTCCAGGCGTTTCGAAAGCATCAGGGCCTGGAGTTGCTCCGGAAGAGACACGAGGCGTGCGGTTATACCTTTGAATCCCACACACTGGGGGGTCGCATCGTCAATACCTCGGAGCCGGAGAACATCAAAGCGGTCCTGGCCACTCACTTCCAGGACTACTCTCTGGGTTTCCGACAGGCCGCGCTGGGACCGCTGCTAGGCAAAGGCGTCTTCACGACGGACGGACAGGAATGGAAACACTCGCGCGGACTGGTGAGACCCAACGTGGAAAAGGCCCATGTCACCGACTTGAGTATCCTAGAGAAACATATCCGTCAGTTGTTGGCGCACATCCCGCGAGATGGCCGCACCATTGACGTGCAGGACTACTTCTTCAAACTATCGTGTATGGCCGGCCGCCCCCCCCCCCCTTCAGCTCCAGCTAGCACTGGACTAAAATGAAATAGTTGATAACTCCACCGAGTTTCTGTTTGGGGAGTCCGTGAGGTCGTTCGAGGCGGCCGAGAACTCGGAAGAAGCTCGCTTCGCAGCCGCCTTTGACTTTGCCAGCGGCGAGACGATCCGTCGGTTACAGTACGGACCCTTCCTGCCCCTGTACTTTAATCGCGACTTCACCAAAGCATGCAAGGTAGTCCACCGCTTTGTCGACAACGTCGTCGCCAAAGCTCTCGCCCGGCGGGCAAGTCGCAAGGCGGGCGAGAAGACCGGGAACTATAACTTCTTGGACGGCTTGATGGATTCAGTGACGGAACCCAAGCGCCTGCGTTCCGAGACGCTCAATCTCATGCAGGCAGGGCGCGACACGACCGCTGGCATGCTCGGGCATGTTTTCTACCTGCTCGCCCGGCGATCGGATGTATGGGCCAAGCTGGAGGCGGAGGTGGCGACCCTCGAAGGGAGGGCTCCCACGTATGAGGACCTCCAACAGTTGACATACCTCCGCCAAGTCATGAACGAAAGTAGGTCATGACGTTCTGGGTTGAGGGGCTTCCACAGACACTAACTACCATCCACAGCCCTCCGCATCTATCCTGTCGCACCTATCAACAGTCGTGTCGCCGTCCGGGACACGATTCTCCCCACCGGAGGAGGGCCCGACCACAAGTCCCCGATTTTCATTCCCGCAGGCCAGAAGTGAGTCCTCTCCGTCCTCGCTGTCGAGGTTCCCTACACTAATTGCAACCAAGAATCTCATTCCCGGTGTACGTTATGCACCGCCGGAAGGACATCTACGGTCCCGATGCGAATGAATTCCGCCCGGAGCGATGGGGGGAGCCCAACTTCCGCCCTGGTTGGGCGTACCTGCCATTCAACGGCGGGCCCCGGGTGTGTCTGGGCCAACAATTCGCCATGACCGAAGTGGGATATACCATCGTGCGGCTGGTGCAGACCTTTAAGGCCGTCATCCAGCGAGACTTCAGCCCCTATAAAGAACATGTGAGGATCTCGGCGAGTGTCTACGGCGGGGTGCAGGTGGGCTTGATCCCGCGGGATTGAATCGACCGTGACAATGTCAAATCATAGATCAGTCCAGAGATGTATAGAAGGTATATCCATGGAGTAATTCACAACCAGTACTGCTTCATAAAGTCCAATCCTTCCTGCACCCATTCATCCTCCACTGTATGCATCACCTCAAACCCGTGATCGCCAGGCTGCAGACTCAGGAGAACGGGCACTTGGGGACAGACCTGCTGCATTTTATCGATGAACCCGGTCGAACAGATCGGGGGTACCTAAGCCCATCTTAGTACCCGGTCCACCTTTTCCCTTCCACCTTGGGTGGGAAGATAACATCGGGAAGAAGAAGAAGAAGAAAGTAGAAAAAGGAAGAACAACTGACCACAGAATCTCGATCTCCCTGAACCACCCACAGCGGCGGCATCCTCACCACCTTCTCCGCCACCCTCTCCAAGCCCGCCATTGGGTTGATCTGCTCATGCTGGCCGGGACTCCGGTTGAAACCCAGCCACCGCGGCAAACACGCCTGCTGCAACACACAGGTCAGGAGCTCCCACATTTCCACCGCATCGCCGCTCGTGCGCACCGCCCCCGGCCGCACATGGCGGCGTACATAGTCGCGCAGGATGCGCTGTGCGGCGCGCGGCGACGGCGGCAGGCGGCCGAGAATCATCTTCGGTCCCGGAACGGTATAATGGGGGATGTCGGTGTTCAGGGCCCCGGCAATCGAGAGGAGGACCTTGATATTGCTCTGAGCAGGGAAGAGCAGGGCTGACTGAATGGCGAGGTAGCCGCCCGCGGAGGTGCCGGCGCACGCGAGGCGGCTCAAGTCCGGACGCGCGTGCCAGGTAGCTGTGAGACTGGGGAGAGTGGTCTGCATCCAGGTCCAGAAGGTGTCAAGGTCGGAAAGGATTTCCGTGGCGTTGCTCTCGGGAAGGAGGCGGTAGTCGGGAGCAATGAGAATGGCGGGCATGGTGAGGATCATTTCAAGGGCCCTGCATCCCCACGGTTTAGGTTTATGTGCAGAGGCAGGGGGGGGAGCTGTGTGAAAACAAGCAGGAATTGGAGGAGAAGGAAGAACAGAACACACCAGGGAGCAAACCAGCCTTCATACAGCCGGTGGCCAATGATGAATCCCCCACCGTGCCAATTGACCAACACGGGGTAATCGCATGCGGGTTGCGAGGCCAGAGCCTTAGGGATGAGGACAGAGGCAATCAACGGCTGATTGTGGATGACCTTGTAGGTCAGATCCACACGGTCAAATGGGTCGAACTTGCTAGTCATGTTGTATCAGACACTCGGCGGCGGGGAAAGAAAAATAGGTAGGCGAGCAGGGGAATTCAGAGAAGAAGGGCTTGGGGACCAGAAGGACTTTTTATATGTGTTGGGCAAGCCCTGACAATGGAATGGGGCCTAGTGGCCCAGGAGCTCGAGGCTGACTGTCCAGCCGATTGGCATGACATGACAAGTCTTGCGTTTGCGAGATGCGTAATCGCCTATAGTATATACTAGCTACTAGCTACACGGGAAAGCGGCTAATCAAGGCTATCCCTATTGGCCGTACTTATCTTTGAGCCGCTTTACAGCCAGCTCGCCCAGATGCTCGATGCTGCCCCCATTCATCAGTTCCAAGACCGACACATCCACCCCTAGATGCTGTTTCCACCAGTTCCTGATTTCAATGGCCACCAGGGAATCTACACCCACCGTCTGCAGCGTGACAGAGACTTGGATCTCTTCGTCGGATCGCATCAAGAATCTTGAGACACAGTGCGCCAATTCCCGAGCGACGGTCTCCACCGATGACTTCTGGTCTAGCTGGCTCGGGTCGCTTACGATACTGGACAGGAACTGCTTCAGCTGATCGGCTGATTCGCTACTCCCGCTATCCGATGTCTTTTGGATGTTGCGGTAAATGGCCATCCGCGGATCCCGTTTCCACATGCTGCCATTCTGGGGATCCATAATCGGAATCCGAGATTCCAACGCCTGCACGACGTGGCTTGGGTTCTGGTACCCGCTGACCCTGGAGACCGATTCCTGGGGAGCGTACCGAGACGCCGAGCGCGTGATGGTAAGCTGCAAGCTATCCAGAAAATCTTGCTCGGTCAGGAGTGTCTGGAGATTCGTCATAAGGGTGTCTCTGGTCGCTGCGGTGCGGCTCACATAGCCAACCTCGTCAACGGGGCCGATATCGATGACCGAGGCAGCCAGGCCGAGGTTCTGGCGGTACTGCACAAAGGAGTCCAAGAAGGTGTTGGCAGAGGCGTAGTTGGATTGCCCGTAGTAGCCAAATGTCCCGCCGACGGAAGAAAACAGCACGAAGAAGTCCAGATCTCGGGGGAGGGCATGATGGAGATTCCACGTCCCCTGGACTTTGGGCCGGACGGCTGTATGCCACGATTCAATGTCCATACCGAGCACTCCAACATCGCGCAGGACCATAGCCATCTGCATGACTCCCGCAATCGGCTTCGCAGCCTGGTCAATGGCACTCTTAACCGCATCCGTATCAGCAACATCACACGGAAAGCACTGAGTGGAACAGCCCATTTGGTTGAGTTCCCGGAGGAATGCCTGATCGTCTTCGGATTTGCCCGCTGACCGTGAAAGGAAAACCAGGTTCCGAGCGCCATGGGATACCATCCAGCTAGCGATGGCTTTGCCCAAGCCACCCAAGCCACCCGCCAGGAGATACGAGCTGTCCATGCGGAACTCCGGTGCGGGAACGGTGGCTGCCAGGGGCAGCGTGTCCTGCTGCGGAAATCTGATCACAATCTTGCCGGTATGGGTCCCCTTTTGCATGAAGCGGAAGGCATCTTCGACGTGCTCCGCGTCGAAGGTAGTAATCGGCGTGATGGGCTTGAAGTTGCCCTCCAGGTATTGCTCCATGGTGAGGCTCAGCAGGCGCGCCACCGTGGCCTTGTGTGTGACGAGTAGACGAGCGACATCGCCTCCGAGAAAGGTGCGATTATCTTCAAATGGGTCCAGAGCCAGCTTGCCTCTGCCCACCATGTCTCGCTTGCCGATTTCAACCATGGCCCCGTAGGGCGCAACGCACTTCCACGAGGCGTGGAGCAGCTCCCCAGACAGAGAGTTGAGCACTAGGTCGACCCCGACACCATCCGTAGCTTCCAGGACTCCGTCCAAGAAGGTGCTAGCACGCGAGCTGAAAATGCGTGCGCGAGGGATGCCGAATTCTCGAGTAAGGAAATCAGCTTTCTCCTCGGACCCAACTGTCGCATAGATCTCAGCACCGATCCACTTGGCTACATAGATGGCGCAGATTCCGACACCTGCCCTGGTCAGAAGCTGTACGTACCGGACTTGTCCGGGGGAAGGGGTTGCTTACCTCCAGCAGCACTGTGAATCAAAATGGATTGTCCCCGTTCGAGCTTCCATTTCTCCACCAGGAACATCAGTACTGTGATGTACGCCACAGGCATCGTTGCCGCTTCTTCATCACTAAGCTGGTCCGGGATCTTAATGCAGAGGTTGGCCGGCCGTTTAATGGTTGTTGCCATTCCAACGGATTCGCACCCGATCGACATGACACGGTCTCCGACAGCAACATTTGTGACCTCGGTCCCAATCTTGGTGATGTACCCTGTGCCCTCCAGACCAATCGGGCTGCTGCCATCTGTAATAGTATCGCCGCCTGGGAGAATGCCCATGACAATCATCACGTCCTTGAAATTCATCCCAACGGCACTCATCTTCACATGCACCTCATCCGGATTGAGTTTGCCGAGGGGCTGGCTCGTCCAGTGCAATGTCTGCAGGAGGCCCGGCGTGCCAATTGCAAGACCCTTCGTCTCCGGCGGCGGAGCGGTTTCACACAGAGCCTTCTCAACTGGGACCCAGTGGAAGCGGCCGGTGTGCACTGCGCCATTGGTCCAGGCGTACTCCATGTCGGGATCGAGCTCGCCGAAGTCATCCTTGACCTCGTACAGCGATCGCATAACGTTGACCACCGCCTCAGCCGCGCCCACGCCCGTGTTCTCCAGCTCGAGCGTGGCAAAATTCATAGCCAGCTCGGACCGGATCGTCCTGGCAGTGCCCAGAATCTGTGCCGCATGGGGGTCGCTCGCATGGATTTGCGCCGCGGGGGTCAGCCAAAGCACAGTCGATAGCTGAAGCAAATCCACCAAATGCAGGAAGTGCATGAGGTCCTCCTCCTTGACCTCTTGCAGTAAGGGTTTCACGCCAAGGTCGATAAATGAGATGAGATCCTGGTCGGCTCGGGGTTCCTGGCCCCATTCACAACGCTCTAATTCGGCTCCTTGGGCACGAAGGAGGGCCTCGACCTCCGCCACGAGCGGATGTGCCTCGGCCCCGACGAGCAAAGTGACCTGCTGGGAAGGCGGAGTATCCAAGGCGGGCTTAGCGATGAGATTGGCATTGTATGTGTACGGCTGTTCATTGTCAAGGATCACGGAATCACAGCCTGCAAACCCGGCAAGCCGCAGCCTTTTGTCCCACTCTTCTGGACTGATGAAAGGACAGCCAACTCGTCCGTCTTCCTCACTAAGCCACCATCCGGAAAATTGTCCCTAAAAATGAAGATTCAGTTGTCAATGCTGTCCAGGTAAGTTGGTGGCAATAACATACCATAATAAAGCTCATGGCCCTCGTGACTGTAAATGGTTAGCGGTTATGTTAACAAACCCTGCGCGAAAGAACCCTTGTACTTGCCTGGACACAGTTCTTGCAGAAACAATTGACCTTGAGGCTGTAGTAGTTCGCGAACATGGGTCAACGTATCTTGAAGCCACGGTGTCGCGTGCAAAACCTGTCGGTGTTTAGACTGGCCCTAAAAAATAAAGGTCAAGTACGTACGTTGGACGCGATGATGAGATCGTATTCGCCAGCAGTGAAGCCCTGCTCCATCGGATCCTTGGCGATATCGAGCGGCTTGTACTCAATGCCTTCGTAGTCCTTGAATCGCTCCTGAGCCTGAACAAAGAAGCCCGAGGAGATATCAGTGTACGTATACTTCCAGTACAGACGCTCGCCAAAGTCCGACTTGAGCTGCTCCAGGAACTTCGCGGTCAAACCACCAGTACCCGCGCCGATCTCCAGGATCTTCATCTGCGGCCGCGCATGGCCGAGGAGCTGCATAAACTCGGTGAAATCCCAGAGATCGTTGTACCAGCTGTATATTCCCGTGAGAACCCCGTCTTGCAGGAGAAGGTCGAGATAGTCAGTCGTGCCTTCAAATACATTCACAACCTGGTCGTAGGCTCTCCAAATCGCGGTTGCCGGAGCCCAGCCCCCTGTTGCCTGACATGCCTTCAGGAGCTTTGCGATCAACTCGCGGCGCTCGCTCGAGTCCATGGTGGCCAAGTCCTTGGAGTCCTCCACCAACGGATAGTCTGGCTGCTGGAACCGCTCGCATTGTTCATCCAGCCAAGCGCGATATTTCTGCATATGAGGCATCTTGGTGGAGCGGCCGACTAGTGCCCCTTGCGCTTCAAGAGCACATAGAACATAAAGCCGCTCGAGGTCCCGGACTTGATCCTTGATGTCATACTTGAGCTTCATCATGTTCACGGCATCCTGGAAGTCAAAGTGCGGCTTCCATTGCAGCTGAAGCAATTTCGCCTCAGATGACTTCGCCAGCCCAGAATCCTCCATTGCCTTACCCCTGAAGCCTTTGAGGTAGAAGACCGTCTCGTCGCCGGCTCTACCCTGTGAGATACCTTGCACAATGCCCGGCTTTCCAGTAGCCGCCGTCTGCACGCGGATGGCCTTGCCGGTTGCGGAGCCGACGAACAGCTCCTCAATGTAAGTAGGCAGAAAAAGCGTCTTGAAGCTACGGTATATGCCTTGGCACATCGCCACGGTCAGGGACTGGAAGACGAGATCCAGCGTCGACGGGTGAATCATATACACCGATTCGGCTTCTCCCTGATTGTCCACAAGATCCGCTGCAGCTGAGCGATCCACCACACTGGCAGTGATGTTCCCCAACCCCTTGAATCGGGGCCCATAGTTCAGACCAGCTCTCGCCATCGTTGTATACCAGCGGTTTGAAGAGACGTGTCTGTCAAGACTCTCAGTCTTCCAGGGTGGAGTGGCTGAAGCGCGACCGCTACGAACAAGGCCGGAGCAATGTTTGTTCCACGCAGCTCCGTCGTAGGATACGATCTGAAACTCGTACCAGGCACTGTCCAGCGTGGCAGTGAGTCTCTGCGGGTGCAAAGTAGTCATGATCTCGACGGGCTTGTCATCGTAGAGTACCAAGGCCTTACTGAGTTCCACTTCACGGACCGTGTACTCGCGCACATCGTTGATTTGGAAGATCGCCTCTCCGGCCATGGCAACGTAGCCTGCACCAGGGAAGACAATGTCGTTGCCCACGCAGTGATCCTTCAGCCATGGCAGATCCATAAGCCGTAGCTCGTTTCTCCACGTGGGTGAGAGCTCGCTACCCTCAAGAATGCGAAGTCCCAGAAGATCATGGGGAAGGTGCTTGCGGAATCGCCAGTTCTTCATTACCCGGGTCTCGGCCCAATAGCTCTTCTCGTAGTACCATGGGTATGTCGGTAGGTCAGAAAGTACGATGGCGTTCTCCGAGGGATACGTGATCCTTATTCCTAAGGAATGCAGCTGACCCACGGCTTCGAGAAAGGACACCGTAGCATCCTTGCCACGGACTAAGGTTGAAACGTAGTGAACCGACGTGGAGGTCTCGTTGTAAATTTGTCGTAGAGGGCCGCTAAGAGCTGCATGGGGTCCGATCTCGAGATGCACCAAGCACTCGTGTGATCCTGCTAGGAGTGCCTTGACGGCAGAGCGGAACAATACTGGGCTTTCCATGTTCTCTTGCCAGTACCTCGCTTCAAAATCAGACGCTTCATGCAGGGCCTTGGCCCGGACACTTGAGAAAAAGGGAATACTTGGCGCACGAGGGGAGATGTGTTTAGCAATCAGCTCGCCGTATAATTCGCCCGCAAGGTTCATATGATCTGTACGGGTCAGGCCAATTTATATGTCAGTGTCGAGGGGCACTCACCGGAATGATATGCTACTTGTACCTGAAGCTTTCTGGCAAACACATCAGGCTTATCCGCCTTAATTTTTGCAAGGACATCTTCAAGGACATTCAGATCACCGGACAGAGTGACACTGGAGCCACTGTTCTCACACCCTATCCGAACGCCTGCAGCAAGGTAGGGCATGACCTCATCCCTTGCCATTCCAACCGCAGCCATCGCGCCAGCCTTTTGTGGCGACTTACAGACATACCCACGGTAGTAGGCCGCAATAATAGCTTCGCGCGCAGTTAGGACACCGGCAGCATATGCCGCTGCGATTTCGCCACTGGAATGACCCACAACCGCGGCTGGAGTGATATTCCAAGTAGAGAGCAGATTCACTAACGCCACCTGTAGCGCTGTGCAGACCGGTTGCGAGAATTCTGGCTGGCCGATGATCGCTTTGTCATCGCAGTTGAGGAGCACATCTGCCACGGTCAGTCCGAGTCATTCCCTTGAAGTATGCGGGAGATACCTACCTTCAATTGTCCATGATGGCGCGTGCTCTAGCTCGCGAAGAACCTGATCCATGGCCCTGATATCATCTTGGAACGATGCGTAGTCTAACATCAGCTCTCTGCCCATATGTATCCTGTTAAGACGCAGTTAGCCTTGGCCACGGTAGGCTAGACTACCTTACTTCAGGCACATACCATTGAGCGCCCTGGCCCGTGAAAACGAAGGCTGTTTCTTGAAGGTGGGCCTGGGATTTGGTTTGAGGTGAAACAACTAAGTTTGCTGAGCCCCCTTCAGCAACAGCGTAGCTCCTCAGCTTCAGATGCTCTCTCCTTTGCGCAAGAGTATATGCCAAACTATCGAGTCTGCCAGGATGCTCTCTCAAATATTCCTCCATGTTCTCGGCAACCCTTTTCAGAGACTCGGGATGATTTGCGGAGAACAAGAGAAGGCTCTTACGAGATCTCCCGTTCTCGTCGGGTGACGATGGAGCCAAAACTGGCGCTGGGATACCTAAAGAAGCAGCAGAATCAATAATGAACTATGGAGCAACATCAGCACAGAAACTACCAATTTCTTTCGAGTGCAATTGACTGACATGAGCATTTGACCCGCCGATTCCGTATGAATTGACACTGATACGCTCGGCGCGTTCAGCTGGCCAGGTCTTCGGCTCGACAGGGACAACCAGCTTGGAAGTTTCCCATGGAACTGTGATTGTCAGTGCCGAAGCAAAAACATAAGCTTCTTACAACTCACTGGCGGGGTTAGGGGTATTGAACTTGATGTTTGGGATGATGGTGCGGTTTTCCAGAGATAGGGCGGCTTTCATAATACTGGTAATTGCAGCCGCACCTTCACTGTGTCCAAGGTTCGGTTTGATCTATGTATTGTCAATAACTGAGGAATCTCCAAGAGAGGGTGCCGTCCACATACCGCACCAATATAGACCCCTTCTTGGAAACAATTTGCAATCGCTTTTGTCTCGATGGGGTCACCAAGACGAGTCCCTGTGCCGTGGCATTCTACCATTGCCGTTTCCGATAAATCGAGTCCGGCATTTTTGTATGCTTGACGGATAACTGCATCATGCGCTTCCGGGTTAGGCAATGCGAGTCCGTTGGTCTTGCCGTCAGCATTACTCGCTGAACCTCTGATGACTGCCCGAATGGGATTTCCGTCCCGTAAGGCCTCATCCAGTCGTTTGATATACAAAGCGGTGACTCCCTCGCCCCGAGCATAGCCATCCGCCGACGCATCGAAGGTTTTGGAAGAGCCTTCCGGTGATAGCGCCATCTGCAGGCTCATGCTGATAGTCATGCCCGGAGCCATGATCAGGTTGGTTCCGCAGACCATCGCGGAAGAAATGCCGCCTTGCCGAATCTCTTGTAGTGCCTGATGCAACGCCAGCCCTGCAGACGAACAAGCACTTTTGATGATCATGCTACAACAGTGGTCAGACTCCAGCGCACATCAGATGCCATGATCGCCAGGCTCATTAGACGTACCTAGGTCCCTTCAAGTCATATTCATACGCGACCCGATTGGGGAGCGCAAAGTCCAGGCCGCCAAGAACACGATATGGGTTGTACTCGTGAGTGTCCTTGTGCTGGAGATCTTGCCAGTCCTCCGAGAACATCCCCACATAGGTTCCGATATTCTTTCCACCCCAGTCGGTCTCACCGGCGCTTTCAAAGGCCTCCCTTACTAGCTCGAGGACAAGTCTTTGATTGGGGTCGACTTGTTCTACTTCAGCCGGCGTGAGAGTAAACATCGAGAGGTCAAACTTGGAAAAGTCGACATCGTTCAGGAAGTAGCCATGTTTCGTGCTGATCGTTCCGTGTTTGCCATGGGGACTGTAGTAGGCATCGACGTTGAAACGGTCCGCTCTGATAGTGGACCGAGCATCGCCCTTGGTGATCAGGAAGTTGTAGAGCTCTCTGTCGTTGCGGATTCCGCCAGGTAGCCTCATTGCCATACCACAGATAGCAATTGGAACCGGAGCTTCATTGGTCGCATCTGATGACTGTACTGTGCCGTTCTTGGAGCCATTGCGCTGATGGGTTGAATGTTGATGAGACCCGTTGACCTCGTTCAACCCATTTATCCCCTTAGTACCGTTGGTGCCGTTGGTGCCGTTGATACTGTGAGCATCATTGAAGTGATTTTCCACCCCAGCCATGCTTCCGTTGGTCTCTATGTGTACGTATACTTCTCGCTACCGTATGGAAATCTCACTCACGAATCTGCCCGGGGTATCAACGAGAACAAAAAGGATTGCCATAACACTCGACAGGGTAGGATCCTTGAACGCTCTAGAGCCTCCTCTTTAAATAGCCTGCACCGGACGGGTAGATAGTGAGCCGATCCGTAGATTGCAACACTCGTTCCTTGCCTTTCCGATATCATACCGCGCCAACGCTCCCCCTCCTGCTCGCTATCTGAATCCGTGCTTATTCCTCCTTGTGGATTTTACAAACGGCCCTTGGTCATAGGATGTGACCTTAGGCCACCGAAGCACGGACCGAAGTGGCGAGGCTATCTATTCCTCCGGCTGTGCTCGGTGATGTTGTGAGTATGGTAGGAAGGTACGGGGATACGATTCCTTTGAGGGGTAAGTGTCGCTCATATCGCATCGACTTCCAAAAAGGACCATATACAGGCTGTAGCCAACGCATAGTAGCCTATCAACAACACATTAACCGTGACACAAGCGACAGAATAAGCAGGATATATATCCCTGTACTTCTCCACCGTGGCAACAACATCAACGAGGTCCACCGGAGTAGGATATGCTGGAACATGAGAACCGATAGCCACGAGAGGTTATGTTGCATTCCATTGGTATAAACCCCCAACCAACCTGCAGGAGACGGGGGGGAGGGATCTTGATCCTCTCCGGTCGTGTCGGCCTTTTGGCGCACTTTAAGCAACGCCAAGAAGGGATAAGGCGAGTCAAGAAGAGAACGTCAACACCGAAACTGCTTAGTCGAAAGATATGCAGATCTACATGACTACATCCCCCCAAGGCTCTAAGGATCTTCCGAGTCAGACCGCCCAAGGGGGATGGCCAGTGACAGACCGAAGCCTGTGACCGCCTACTCGAAACATTTTGTTAGTGCTTACGGGAGGCTCGCGGTTGAAATGCTGGAACGGATTTGATACCGGCTCTCGGACACTCCGAGGGGAACGAGGCACCAACAGTCAGTCATACAGTCATACTCTTGCTGCGCCATTCGTTCAGATGAACAGAAGCGCCAAATCCGTGCTCAGACCGGGGAAATGGAGTGTTTGCTTGAAACCCCCCGATAGGCATCTTGTAGTCCACAGTCATTTATCCGGTGAGAGATTAATTGTCAGCGGGAGAGGCGGATCAGGTTTAATCATGCGGATACACATGCAGACAGACCTCTATGGCCATGCTGCGATTAGTCTGGGCGTGTATGATACTGACGTTGCAATCAGGTCTCGGCGAGGTCTTTGTTGGCCATCGGTTTCGGCTGTCTTGTCCTTTGATTTACTTCCGGAGTAAGCTGGCATGAGGCCATGGGTTTTCCTCCAAGCATAGTTGAATCGCCATTTCCCCCCGCGAGGTTTCCTCCCAAGAGTACACAGATCCTCGAGTCCAGGTGATCACTATGTCGTTTGAGCTGACTCTGGAGCATGCGATTCGCCTTCTGCACTCTTCCCTGACCCTGTTGACCTCTCTGGTCGGCTTCATAGCGATTGTGGCCTTTGCCACACAACGTTCTCCCGAAATCTCGTCCGCTCCGCTATTCACACCGACCAAATCAGCGGCAGGGAACCGGAAGAGAAGATGGATGTACGACTCCGTCAATCTTCTTCAGGAAGGTTACAAAATGGTGCGCGGAAAGGGGTTCGACGAAAAACGAAGAGACCACCACCACTGACGATGCGCAGTTTCAGGGCAAGCCGTTCCAGATCTGGACCACCGAGGGAGCTCAGGTGGTCATCCCCCCGGACTTTGTGGATGAATTGAAGATGCTCCCAGACCATACCTTTCCGTCGGCGCTTCGTCATGTAGGACCAAATCTTGGTTGGAAATCTAAAAGAGAGGACTGCTAACGAAGCATGTTTAGTTCTTCCTGCACAAGTACCTGTGGCCGATCGACCAGCACAAATTGGATTATGGACATGTCGTGATCAAGAATGACCTGAACAAGAGCATGAGTGAGATCGAGTGGCCGCGACCCTCCAACTCTTGATAACCAACAGTTTAGGTCGAGTTTTCCCCGAGCTCTGTGACGAAGTCGATGCCGTTTTCCCTCTCGAATTCCCTGAATTCAAAGGTCAGATCTAGCTTTCACACCCCTTGCACAACTTTCGGCATATCTAACCGCCGCGAGATCTATTTTATAGGATGGACGCCCATCCAAGTGTACCCAAAGATGCTTCGACTGGTCAGCCGTATCAACGGCAAGATCTTTGTCGGTCCCTCACTCTACGATAATGAAGAATGGATCACCATCAGCTGCAACGCACGTAGTTCCCCGACGCGGACCCCACACTTTTGACTTGATCTAACAGCCTTAGGGGGAAAAACAGTACACCAAAAATCTTTTTCTCTCATCCGCCAAACTCCGTTTCTTCCACCCGTGGCTCCGTCCTATGGCCCAGTTCTTTATTCCCGAACTCCGCGCTGTCTGGAAATGCAATGAGCGAGCCCAAGCCCTCCTGACCCCCGTGCTCCACCAGCGTCAAGCTCAAGAAGCCAGCGCCAGTAAAGGGGGTGGTGGGGAGTACAAGAAGCCCAACGACTCCATCGAATGGCTTCGTGATCTCGTCCCTGGGCCAGACAAGAACGACCCGCTCTTCCATGCTATCTCGCAATTGGGCATCGGGGCCGTGTCCGTGAACACCACATGTCAACTCCTCACTAACTCGCTATTCAACCTCGCCGCCTATCCGGAATATCTCCCTATGCTGCGGGAGGAGATCGAGTCCGTTTGGGCCGCCAACAATCAACACTGGACCTTAGCTAGTATGGGCCAGCTGAAGAGGTTGGACAGTTTCATCAAGGAGACGTTGAGATTCAATGGACATCTGACGGGTTAGCATGTCCCCTTGCACATTTCCGGTCCACTTTCGATCCCCAGTGTGCTTGCCCTGTAGTCGGTGTCATCGTGTAAAACTAATGCACGCATAGCAACTTTCCAACGTGTCGCCCTCCGGCCCATCACCTTGTCGGACGGTACGACCATCCCTCCAGGAACCTACACATTCGCACCCACCAACGCCGTTAACTTCGACTCGGAGGTCTATCCTGATCCGGAGGCTTTTGACGGCCTGCGTTTCTACAAGCTGCGACAAGCTTCGTCCGCAAACGAGAGCAAGTACCAGCTGACATCAATCACGAAGACAGAGCTGCAGTTTGGTAGTGGAAGACATGCTTGTCCTGGACGGTGGTTCGCGAGTCATGAGATCAAGCTGGTGCTAGCGGCGGTGATTCGGCGCTTTGATTTGCGGTTGAAGGGGGAAGAGCGGCCAAAGGGAATGTTGTTCCAGACAAATCAGTTGCCAGATGTGAAGGCGGAGATCCTGTTCAAGGAGAGGAGGATGTGAGGTTCTAGTACCGTAGTATTGATTAACATCCTAGCTCTGGAAACCTCCCATGGGGTATAGGGATGTGCTAAGCTATAGCCTATAGGTTTATATATATAATACATAGGTATAGCTATAGAAAGTAACTTGAAGTTAAGCATAATTATAATCATATAACTAGTTAGCCATCAGACTCCCTAATATATAGAAGTACAATTTGCATTTACCAAGGGGTGGCCATTTTGATCTTCTTCCGCCCAATATCATCATATCCCCAGGGCGGAGCCCGAAAGTGGCCGCGATCGTCGACTGGGCCCAGGCTGGATGGTATCCTGCATACTGGGAATATTGCAAGGCGCGGTGGGTAAGAGTGAATCCGACTCACTTTAATGATGCTTTTCAAGAAGATTGGCGCGTGAAATATCTGCCAGTGATTTTGGATCCGGTGGATGACGAGACATACTATCACCCTTGGCTTTATTTCCTCTTGTCGAAAGGAATTTAATCTGATCGTATCCGTACAGTCATAATTGATATCTACATGACTACTTAATCAGTCAAGGCTGATCGTAGAGGCGCAAGAACCGCCGCGGATCAACTTGCATTGATAGCCAACAGTCGATTGAGGTAATAAGCAATCATTTAAGAGAATAGATCGGCCAAAAATGAACAAGACCGAAACATCTGGATTCCAGCACAAAGCCTAGGTAACCTTGCTCCCAGTCCGCGCACTTGGTCACTGCTGAATTGCGGAAAGGTAACTGGCAACTTCCCTACCGAAGATACGGTCCCTAACGAGTTGCTCAGCAGACTCTACAATCCATGTCTGGCAGTTTCTTTGTGTGACTTTCTTGCCAACGTTTCCGGCCGATGCGACCTGGAGATCTCTAGGTCAGCTGTATTCCAACAGTGTGCCACGGAGAGGTATCAGAGGACGGGAAAAATATGGTTCTTGAAGCAGACAAACAGGAGCCACAAATTCCAAGGCAAGAGGCTCGGTGGAAAATGCGGGGGAACTTGCAGTATCACTAGTTGCATTCAGGCTCTTCCCAGGGGCCTTCATCTTGTGCGCACTGGCCTCGAATCGGCATACAGGGACACCATCGACTCTAGTTAGACGACGTCTACGGTCTACCCCTTAGTCCTTACTCAAAGCTAGGTCGGATTAGAGAATTCTCTACTAATAGTTCTAAGCTCTAACCTTAGCCAGCTTCTAACCTCGGTCAACTGCATCCCCGTTAAGGCTCACATGGGATTCATGTGTAGCTTAAGTGAGCTGTGTACACCAGGCAAGCCGCAAAGCCTGAGGCAGCGCCATCACGGTCACCCTAATTCTCATTCTACACAACCCCACAGAATCCACACACAGAACAAATCTTCCCCCAAAGGCGATTTAGCGTCTTCGCAGTCGAACCGCGACTTTGCGCGTCGGTGGTGACGTTCCATAAGGAAACCAGCGCTCGTCGGGCTTGACCTGCTCGGCCTGGCGCTGGTCAACTAATTCACAGCTAAACATCTCCAGCAGCAGCCCCAGGGTGCCGATGATTTCATTTTTGGCAAAGTGGCAGCCAGGACGCATGCGCTGACCGGCCACCGTAGGCCATCCAGCACTCGGTCAGCCCCTCCACGTTGAAGGTCGCTTCCTTGTTCGACCCCCGGTGCACGAGGAGCCGCTCCAGCCAGAACTCATCCAGGGGCCGCTCAGCCGATTGAGGCTGCACTAACAACCAAGCCTCCTGGTTTTGCGCTGTGATTGATGAGAAGATAGTCGTGGTCATGTCCTGGGGAACAACGTAGTCCGGCCTGAGCTGGAAGTCTGAGTCTTCCTTGGTGCAGGTCATGGTGGTCGCCGCGCGGAGTCGCAGCACTTTTATGTAAGTTGACTGGAGGAGAGGCTTGGTGGAGAATTGTGTGAGATCAAAGGTGCTGCTGCGGAGGCTGTAGCATGCCTGAAGCTTGGTTTGAAGGCGTCCCTGGAGGTTCTGGTCCTTGAGGGCCTCAAACACGTACCAGAAGACGGCCTGAACAGCGTTGGCGTTGGATCTGTTAGGTCAGTTGTGAATACAGCCACTTACTGGCGGGCGGGAGGGGGTCCCACGTCTCTGAATAAGAGTCCTAGATTCTCCGACGCAATGGCGTTGTTGTCCAACCGGTGTTGTTTCAGGGTCTCTTCACGGGCCTTTCTGAATTTGGTCCTGAAAAACTCATCCCACTCCGGGTCGCCCGCGCCGGACTTGCTGCAGTCGGAGTGGGGGTGCGCGAACTGATTCCATGCCTTGATATTAGCCAGCAGTTGATCCCGCGTCCTGTAGGCGGATGGAATCAGCCAGCACCCCAGGCCCGGGGGTAGTTAGCAATGTTAAAATTAAACTCCCAAAAGTCTTCAACTGGCTTGGGATACATTTCCAGAATACATGAACCCATCATGGCTTTAATCACCAGGGGGGTCACCTGGCTCTGAAGCCAGGTGAAGAAATCCTCAATTACCAGTTCTCCTTTCTCAGGGATCTCAACCCGGGCGCGGCATCGCTTGAGGATCGCAAGATACCTCTATGACATCGCCAGCAGGGATTGGCCCGATGGGAATCAAATACTAATGCCGGCCTGTAAGTCCTGCAGATGTTCCTTTTTTGAGCCCGCGGCGTAGGGATGCATGGATTCCAACGGGGTGTAGAACCACTTCCGCATTGCAAACATCATCATGGGTCGATTAGTGAGCACCCGCGAGAATTGCAGGATATTGCGGATGTGACCTAGACTGATGACCATGGTGAAAAGCGGTATCAAGCAACCCATCGTTTCCTGGGCAGAGGTTTAGGTGCCAACATGTCCCGCGTCGCTTAGTTGGCGGATTTCATTGTACAAACAGTATTCGAGGCGGAATGCATGGCACAGCCAGGGAAGGCTGTGGTGCCTCGGTTGTGCCCAGGGCGGCACTTTGCAAAACGCAAGATGATTCTCACAGCAGACATCATGGTGACCTTGTTCGACGGCGAGATCCTTGCGGACGTCCGTACCCTGAGGATGGACATGAGAGGGTTTGGATTCGGAACATTAGGCGTCGATGGTCCAGTGCCTGTAAGGATCAGACGGCGGAAGATTAACGAATAGCCGGAATGCTGGAATGGCTACTACGTTTCGCAGTCCTGACTGGCTAGCTAAAAACTCCCATACGTGTAAATCCTGGTCCGAGTTGCTCGATTCTTCTTTCTCACTGACCGGTCTTTCCAGCGGAAATACGGAGTAGTTACATTCAGCCTCAACAGGAGTCAATTCGAAGATTTGGGCAACAGCAGCGGTAACTCAAACGCCGAACGCTGATAACCCAACCTACTTGCACATGGCCATCTTGATAATGCCTTTTAAGCGCCCCCCTCCTTCGGCTTCGGGCTTGTGTAAGGTATAGGATTCTGTCGGAAATTAGACCACTCGACTCAAAGGAACATCCGTAGTAGTCCAGCGAAACCCCAACGCACATTCAATTATGGAAGTGGATTGGCATAAGAAATCAAAGCAGTATAGTTCCAACCACCCTCTTATAGATGTAGAAGAGAAAGTATCAGCCAGTATGTCGCGAGTGGATGCGCACCGTCCAGGTACCTAGGCAATGTCTGGTTTGATGCATCCATGCTAACAGATGCGGGTCATGCATCCGCTTATCACGTTGTACGTAGGGCCGAGCCTGGATCACTCCCTGGCTCTTACTCCGTACATACTACATTGGCGTCATGTCTCGGGGGTGAATTGGCTATCACATAGTGGGTCATAATAGGGTTTGAACTTTGAACCTGTTAGGCGTTGGGCTCTTCTGCTCAACATGAAAGCACAAAATGATAAGAGGGCTAGCCATGTGGACATATCATTCCTACGCGGGATATGTGCATCAAATCTGACCTTCTGATATCCACTCTGTGCCCAGTTGGTGTAATTTCACTAGTGTATCATACCTGATTCTATTGATCCGGGAATGTATCTTTGCGGATTATCTTATATTGGTATAGTCTATCAATCTAACCCTAATGAAGTTATAATAAATTTGCCAGGTACGCCAATATCGTGGAAATCCCCCCCCGGCATCTATGGGATAGTTTTCAAGCATAGAGCCACATTCTTACATGCTGAGCACCATAATAAGAGCTATCGGAAATGTATTCCCGTTTTTTTCACAAACTCTTTTTACCAGAATGACCAACAGATTGTCGAAACGCTCCTACCATTGCTGTGTAGCTTTGGTAGATATATACTATGGCGACGGTTAGCAGGCAATAGCACCTTGTCCTGACGAGATAGTGTCGGCCATAGCCTCTTCAGAGCAGCTGAGGTGACGCTGATCACGACAAGGGTCGCAAGAGCGAAGCTGCTGAGAAGCGCGGAAACACTCATCGTATTGGAGGCATAACCAATAGGATTGATATCAGGGGGATAGAAAGGGTGAGCTGAAGTGTTCGCCATGTTGGTCGGAGCCAGAGATCTGGGAAGCAAGGTATATCAGTGGCACCACACTTTTTGGAGGGCATTTGCGAATGGACAGGAAAGAAACTACCTGAGATCATCTCTTAAGACGTTGGCGAAACGAGACCTCAACCCGCATCCAGATGTGACACCAAGCACGATAAAGCAACAAAACACGCTACCAGGCTGGCGACGGTCCGGTCAGACGCATCCACATCAATCAGATGGGTCACGGCTCGGATGATCCTGTTCCAGTGCAAGGAGGATTGAGCCTTGTTTCGGGACACTAACTAGAAAGGCTTCACGGACTCGGGTTGAATAGTAGTTGCTAGCATAACTTCCTTAAGTCTAGTGCGTATCTTGATGTGATCGATCTGCGGGGTACTCCGTCCTACATCCAGGGTTGACAATGATCTCAGCCGTTCACTGGATTTACTTTGCTAGTAATCATGCGAAGGTTTGACTGACTCCCTAAGGCTCAGTGGAGTTCCCCGCTACATACTCGAAACTCTTGCTCGAAAGTTACAAGCACTTGTGTATAAAAAGGTCTCCATAACTCAATCCAGAGTGTCTTGCAAAGTGCCGCACCAGGACTGTTGTAGACCAGCGCCCTGATTGGGAAAGCACCAGGGGAGTGTAAGATCAGTCATCTGGGCACTGGTTTTGCAACCGAGTATATCACCCTGTATTTCATGGCTGTTGACTAGTCACTCCTCGGCCTGCTGACGGACGGGGAGCTCATTGGGCCACGAAGGGGAGAGAGGAAGGGAGGAGATCTCGCAATCATATATGTGTATACATGAGCCTGCAAGATATTCAGCGTGGTGTTGTGAAGCATGGCTCCATCTCTCATTGACGCCTTGGCACCCAGGGACAGCTATCATCCCACGATTGTTCTTCCCCTTCTTGGTCTGTGTTTGTGTCTGCTGTTATGGCGCTTCTGGAGGTTTGTTATACGCCCAGTGCTGCGTCCGGATGATCTAAATTCATACGAAGCTGTGGATGGATCGGCTGTAAGGGGCTCCGCCTGCCACCGCAAAGCTGGTGCAATCGCCAGACTTCGCACCCGAAATCGAGAATAAGTCGATAAAAGACATGACTTCCACGGCATGCAGCTATTTCCAGGCGGTCATCTCCGGAAGTCACGGCCATCTTCAAGGATTTCTTCGAAGACGCATTGCGCATACAACGTCTATACCAGGAAAACCCACATATCACAGCCACTGGACAAGATTGGGTATCCCTCGAACTTCTTAAATTCGTCTCGGACTGTCGCGTGGATGCTGGCCAAAGGACATATTTCGGTAAGCTCCTGGGGGACATTGACCCCAATGTAATCTGGACGTTCCTCAGGCTGGAGGACAGGACTGAAGCGGGCAAATCTTTTATGAAATACCTGCGCCAGTTGCGCGGAAAGCTCATAAGGCAAGAGATGGTATCATTGATGCTATACAGAAATGGTTCGACACGACCCCGAAGATAGGCAAGACGGGTCATGGTGGATGAAAACAATGAAAGCAGAGGTGAGATCATTAGGGGTTAACTCTCGCGGGATGGCCACAACTATGGTCCCTATTTACATTGGGTATAGTGGAACTTTTATTTATCATTTTTTTTCATCCCCATACCCTTGAAAGAAAGATTCTCATTAGAATACTATGGAGCATTCCACCCATCTTTCTATTCTTCTTCTTCTCCTTTCTCAACCGGAGTATACGCATCCACTGCTACCGTATATTTCCAATGAATGAGCTGTGCGTGATACTGAGCCTTCACTTAACATTTCCCGAAGTACAAGTTAGTATGTACCCGATGTTCCGAGTAGAGGATGGAAATCCCAGTATATGTAGGAAAGATTTCCTATGTATAGACTATATCTCAAAGCTGAAGCGGGCAGGGCCTGCAAAGTGCTCGAGTCCGCCTATGAGGCACTCGCGAGGTCATGTACGTCCTGCTCCCACGGTTGCAGTTACAGCCATCCATTTATTACCTGAATGACTGGATCATAAATTCATAATGCATGAGTTTATGCTGTCCCTGACCCTTCTGCAAGTATATGAGTGACAACCTCACTAGACTTTCCATCTATTTAAGTGTTCTAGGAACCCATCCATAAGAATAGACGGCCAGCATTCTTCAGCTGTATTCTCGAGTCACAGCTCTCAACATCCTAAGATTGTGCCAGCTCTACACCTGTTAGTTAACTATGTTATCTTATTAATATTGAGTATGCGCTAATGAGAGCAGTTCATCCCCTTAAAGTTAGCCAAAATAGGCATAGCCTCCACTCTCTTTACTAGAGGGCCCTAAAAAGCAAAAAGTCCCACACCCTCCTATTAAAGTGACGTAGAACCGTACTACTATAGGCTGCTGAGTTATACCTACCCCGATATATATTCAGATTGACAGGGGCATATAGGTTAATAAATATATTGAAATCTATATTCAACCTAGTGAGTATATCAATAATTATATAATTAAAGCTTGAAACCCAGAGGAGGCTGCTCCCAATAAGACATTCTAATAAATAAAAGACATATAAGTTGATAACCTGCTCCCAGGATTTGTGACTCATGTGCCATGATTGTACAGAGTAGTCACTCATCATTCTTTTCTGCGGGGCCCCAAACAGGCAAGGACTATTCTTCTCTAACACCTTTTTGACTGGCCAAGCGCTCGGATCGTGGATGTAGCCTATTGGATGAGCATATTATCTGCTCACATCTGACCATCTGCAGACAAAACACAGACCAATGAATGAGGCCAGGCATCCGAAGTGGCTGGAGAGCTTGAGGGGCTTATATGAGGGCATATGGTTGGTCCTGCTGTGTCAGTCAGGCCCATGCTGACTAGATAACCAGGTGCATTTGAATTGAGTCACTCAAGCATCAGCAGTGCCTCTGACCAATCCCGGTTCTGCGCTCGTAAATCCACATTGGGATTCGTGCTCTTCAGGCGGAGGCCGTAGTGTACAACCACTGTGGAATTTGCAGTCGGTGGAGATACTGTGGCTAATGATCCCGGACACTTGAGGGAATTTCAGCTGGACTTAGTCAGATGAATGCATCCCTCCGAAGGGATGACGGGATAGAAAAGTTATATAAAGACCATATGATATCTATACAACTCTTAATTTGAATCTCAGGTCATCAACCTGTACAATCTACGGATACTCTTCTGCAATATGTATTCCACGACACTCACCGTGGGGAGCTTTCTGGCCTTAACCCTAACCGCCCTTTCAGCATCCCTTCCCCAGATCCCCCAACAGCAGACCGGATCACCCGCAGCAGCTCTACCACCCTCCAAGGATGCGTGGTACACGGCACCCGACAATCTCACTTTCTCCACCCCCGGCACTGTATTACGCGTCCGCCGCGATCCATTGAACCTCTACGCCCTCATCGGCACGAACATCTCCTGCGCGAGCTACAACATTCTCTACCGCACGACCAACGTCCAGAATCGGCCCACCTTTGCTGTGACCACTCTCTTCGTCCCTGCGAGCAGCCAAGCCGCATCTGACCGACTGCTCTCATACCAAATACCATACAACTCTCCCTGGGTAGACGCAAGCCCCTCATACGCTCTGGCAACCGACCTCAACGGTACATTTGGCGACATCGCAGCCGCCCTGGAGCAAGGATGGCATGTCTCTGTACCAGATTTCGAAGGCCCCCAGGCCACATTTGCTGTCGGCGTGAATGAGGGCTATGCGGTGCTTGACTCGGTGCGAGCCGCAACCGACTTCTCTTCCTCCCTGGCCGGTTCACCGAAACGATGGCAAGCCGCGCTCTGGGGGTACTCCGGCGGTTCGATCGCCAGCGTCTTTGCTGCAGAACTGCACGCTGCGTACGCGCCCGAGCTCACCATCGCTGGAGTTGCGGTCGGGGGACTCCCGGCTCTCTTCGCCAAGGTCCTTGACGCTGTCAACCGGTCTCCGGCCGCAGGGGTTATCCCATTGGCGCTCTGGGGCTACGCGAATGCATACCCGGCTGTGGAAAGATATCTTCTGAATCGACTGACCCCGGAAGCTCGAGCAAGCGATGTCTTCACCAAAGCGCGCAACATGACTGGCCTGGAGGCGGGTGTCGCATACCTAGGGGCAGATGTATATTCGTATTTCGTCGGTGGCAGGGATGACATCCAATCCTCGCCGCTTCTGCATTTCCTCTTCGGCACCCAGGGCACTATGGGGCGGCATGGCCTGCCGCATATGCCGGTGTACGTGTATCATTCGATTAACGACAAGCTGGCACTGGTGAACTACGTGGATGCCCTGATTGAGCACTACTGTGCGGAAGGAAGTCTCGAAAGAGGTAAAGGAGGAGTGAGAATCGTATATGAGAGGAATTCAGTTGGGGGGCACGGGGCAGAAGCGATTAACCAGGATGCGGATGCGCTCAAGTTCTTGTCTCAGGCTCTCGATGGGCAGCTGGGGGCAGGGTGGCCAAACAGGCAGGGCGAAGGTTGTGTTATAAGGAATGTTTCCGTGGGCACAGACACGAGTCTGGACTGGTAGATACTTTGGTGTCAAGGGTGTAATCCAAACATAACAAGAGTAGGCTAATATTGAACCGCTGGCCTGAATGGGAAAACAAAATTATTGACGAATTCAATCCACGAAAGCAAAACAAGATCTAGGATCTTCTTGATCCCCCTAAGGACCGGCAGTCCTTAGCGGAAAGTGTGTCTAAAATCAAACGAGGATCACATGAAGAAGCCACCTGCTACAAGTGCCAATGGGTGGTGATGGTGAGAGGTTTCACATATGTAGGAAGAAGGCATCGACTATGGCGAAGCGTTTGCGTTGTACTACAAAGCTCTGCTCGGAATTGCAGCTGCCTTAGACCTCAAAATCGAACGGATTGATGTCAAACCGGCATTCTTGTATGGAAATACTGGCCACCAGATGTATGTCGAACAGCCTCACCACATGACGGATGGTACCACGAAAGTCTGCAAACTTCGAAAGGCACTCTACGGCCTGAAACAAGCACCTCGTATCTGGTACCAGACCCTCACAGATTATCTACGCCATCTCGGCTTCGAGCCTACCAAGTAATACTTCAAGGTAGCTGGGCCTGCGGCATTCCGCAAGTCTTGCGTGAGATCGTGTATCTGGTCTTCTCTCTTAAAGGGTTTATAGCATGCCGCTCACCTTCCACTCCTTCAGGTTTTTCCAACCTACTTCAATTCGATACGTCTGTTCAATTGTATTGGTTTCCATTGGTCAAATAGCCCCATTTAGCATACGAGCGCCATCCTGTTTTATGCTTGCTTAACACATACCCTAAACTCAGCGATGTTCAAGTCCAGTAGCTGGCGGCAGCTAGATACCTTTTCCACGACGTCAAGCTGGAATTGAAAACACGCTATGCCGAACAGGATGCGTGTCATCATGATTCTGTCTTCTGTTTAACTTGATGAGTTGCTCATTACGCCGCGCCTGAGCATCTTCATTGAACATAACCACCCCACATTATGAAGAAATCTCTTTCCTCCGCACCCGCAGCTTTGCCTTCGGATTCGTGACATATTCTACGAAAAAAGGTGTCGCGTCCTTCCCTGTATCCACCCTTTCAAATTCATAGTTCTGCAGCACGTGGTTGAGCAGCAGCTTAATTTTGCTTGATGCGAAAAATCGTCCGGGACAGGCGTGACTCCCGATGCCGAACCCTAGACTTTCCATAGTGGTCGTCACGAACTGCGACGAGTGCTCCTTGCCGGGCTCCTCACGCCGCTTCAGGTATCGATCGGGCTGCCATTCTTCGGGGTTCGGGTAGAATTCCGGGTCCCACATGCGCGACATGTTGGTGGCGACGATGGCGCCTTTCGGAATGAGCGTGCCGTCGGGGAGGATCACGTCGTCACTGACATGGCGGTGCGATAGAACTAACTTCTGTTAATTTCGGCTACTAGGCTGCATGGAAGGGTAGAGAGGGAAGACTCACGGACGCCTAGGGGCTTGATGCGCTGTGTCTCCTTCATTACGCTGTCGGCGAGTTTCATACGATAGAGCGACGTCTTCTCCCAGCCACCTTCACTACGTACTGATTGTGCTTCCTGGAGCAGCGGTTCAATCCACTCCGGATGTCGGCAGAGCTGGAGGAGGATATTCGAAAAGAGATCCGATGTTGTGTGCACGGATGCCATGCTAAGCGACAGTTGAATATGCGCTCCATGGTAGTCCTTGCCCTTGCCCTGGGCGACTTGGTGCATCCATGTGATAGCGTCGTTTGGCATTTCTGCGAGACCCTTCTGGGCTAGAGCAATCTCTTCGAGGCGCTTGGCGATAATGGGTTCGATGATTTCTTCAGCGCGCTTGACCTGTTGGCGGATTCTGGAGCAGTCCTTTAAGAACCATTGGACGTAGGGACGAGACCATGCAGGGAAACGGCGGATCGATCTCACAGCTTTAAAGACATTATCGGTGTATGCTTGGGTATTATCCAGCCATTCTTTGTTCTTGCAGAGTTCGGGTCCCAGGAAGATGCGGGTTGACACCTGTGTGACGATGTCGCGGAGACTGGCCAACAAGTCAACCTCGTGCCATTCTAGTAACGTTATCAATAAGTGATCCTATTCATCGGGCCATTTGGTGATATACCAGTGCTTGTTCCCCACTTCTCATCGAAAGCAGCTTGGGTTTCTTCTGCAAGATGTTGAGTGAATTTGCCTGCAAACGAACGTTAGTGTGGTACGCCCACTGGTGGTCTCACAATAGAAATATACCAAGGTTCGAGGTCAATTTTGAGCGGATCATCTGGATGAAAACATTGGGCGCGCCGGCCTCCATAACTGGCAGCAAGCCTTCAAACCCAGGTAGGGAGCCGGCCATGGTTTGTCTTACCACCTCACTAGCAGTGAAGCGAGGATCCGTCTTAACATGCTCACCCAGTTCGGGAGGAAGAACAATTCTTCTTCCAAAAGAGCCGATCAGCTGGAATGGACCAGTGTACTGGTGCTTTTGGTCAGTAATCTTGCTTGGTACTTCTTCAACGAGCTGGAAATCTACCTTTTCATGTCCTTCTTGAAGAATTGCTTGAGCATTGTGGGCACACCGTTTCACGGCATTCGAATCGGACCATTCGCCCTTTTTTTTGTTTATTATGGGAATATGCGAGGTTTTCCATTGGAGTCTCAGCGATGGGAGGGCGACACTCAGAAAGTAGGACAGGAGTATGGCAGGCAAAGCTGTCAGGAAGATTGGTCCAAGATTCTCGCGGAACATGATGGCTGCTGGTTTCCGCAAGGACCGGAGGTCAGGACCAGCTCTGGACTGTTTAATGAAAAGATTAGCCACATGGCATATCTTATATACCGGGGGATTTGTGCTTATTCCAACCTAGCCGGACACCTGGTAGATTCGCGAGTGGCTGCATTATCCGAAGGTAGAACTGCCCGGGCATTAATTACCATCGGCTTTTCCATTTTGGTTCTATCTTACACGGGGAATGCTGAGCTATCACAACATATCCATGGATACCATCCGTTCAACTCACGAATGGAGGGCAGTTCAGTCTTCGGCTTGGAATTTCGGTGTTCAGTGTTCGGCGTTTCAGTTCTGTACCGAATCCGATGCCCGCCCTTGACCAACACACCCTAAAGCATTGGCCATCACCATACTCAGAAAGGTGGTTTATCACTGTGCTCAAAGTCTAACAGAGTGAAGTTAATCAAGCCCGCCGAAGCTGGCAGAGAAGCTATGCTGACTTAGGGCCAGAATATCCTGGCTCCAAGGCCCTCTTTAAGGATATGCAAGGGAGGTGCTGGCAATGGATACGGATAATTGAAAATGCTAAGCTGCACACCTAGACAAGGCTGGAGAAGGCCATCTGTGGAAAGCAGCAACCTATATCTAGTTATGTGCCTGTGTGATGACTACGCAAGTATCCCTGCATTGGCCATTGGCATAGAAGAGGTGGTGGACAATGACGCAAAAGCTAAAGCATTTCTTAACTCGTTTTTTCCTAAGATGGTAGATGTAGACAGAGGACCAGAATGTGCAGACCCACCACTATAAGAGATATGCTGGGAACCTATCACTGAGCTCGAGATCTATAGTTGCATATCGCCGACGGAGTTGATTCTAAACCACAACCCACTAGGCTGGGTACGGATTCGTACTTTGGTCTAGTGGTAGATTCAACAGATGGCGAGGGGTCAGTGTATGAACTCATCATCATCATTGTCATTGACTGTCCGCCGCTGGCTCTCAAATTTTCACTTCTTTCATCTTTCCAGATCACTAATGCATCCGAGTAGCTCGCCTCACCACTCCACAGGAAGTGGAAAAGAACTAGAGTCCTTTGCGTCGCGCGCATTCATTACCGTGACAATGGCTTCTGCTCCCCTGGCTTTGGTCCAGATTACCGAAAGGGTCTCCCCGGGGAGAGCACAGTCTTCCGTCTCATCAAGATTGCGGGTGAGCTTGTTCTGCATGGCTCCTTTGCTGGTCCTCCCACTCGTCTATTCATGATTAGTGGTTTTACTGCTGGTCAATTTGCCATCTACGGTGGCATAAAGGCACCTCTAGCCACCCCGCTGTGGTGGGCTACGCGAAACGACCACGACGATGTGGCCGCACGGCTGCTAGCCAAACCGAATATTGATGTCAACGCCGTTGGCCAGTTCGAGGCACCTGAGCCGGATCGACCAACATCCCTCCATGATGTGACTGTCAAGCACATGGGGGGACTTTTGCCCTGCCGTCGAAGGCTCTGTGGTGTTGATCACATCGAATTTGCTGCACCGTGGCTATATCGCTACTTTTTCAGTCGGGAAGATGAATAAGATCTATGCTGATCGCGATAATGGATCGTCTCATGGCGATGTTGGTCTACCATCTTTAACTAAGTCCTCCCAGACTATATCCTTGACCCCCCTCTTGAATTGTGCAATTCCGTGCGATGCCTCTGATCCATGAGCTAACATGGTTTCAAATACTTCGCCGGCCATTTTGTCTATGTCGGCATTATGACCACTCACAGCCTCCCGAACCATCATCTTACATAGTGAAGCAGCTTGCCGAGCCGCAAGCCTCAGGTCGTCCAAGAACTCCTCCACAACCTTCTCCAAAGCATCAATATCCACCGCAAGAGCATGTATGATTCCTGCATCGTACAGCAACTGCGATTTCACCCTCCGGCCAGTAAGCATCGCCATTCTAGCGAAACTGATTCCCCATTCGCGTACCAGGAATTTTGATATCGTTGCGGGACACAAGCCAAGCTTGACTTCGCTTAAGCAAAAGAAGGCAGTGGACAAGGCTATGCGTACGTCGCAAACAGTAGCCAGGCCAACACCTCCACCAAAGGCCGGGCCATTGATTACCGCCATCGTTGTTTTGGGACAAGTATCGATAGTAGAAAAAAGTTCTTGAAGCGCATTGCACCGCTCCGCAACGGATATGAAGAGATCTTCCTTCAGATGCATGCCGGTGCAAAAGTAGCTGCCACGACCAGTAACAATGATTCGGTGCACCGAGTCGTCCATTGAGAGCTGCTTGAACAGCGAAGTTATCTCCTTGATCATGGTGAATGTTAATGAATTTCCCCGATGAGGTCGATCCAAGCATAACCGGACTGTGCCGCGCTTGCGGGAGACCTTGTATCCCTCATGGTTCTGTACTGTTGCCCAGGACTTTGGGGCCAGCTCGTCATCGCGAGTGCTGAAAAGGTTCAAATAAGACATGGATAGTTCTTGTCCAAGTAGAAGAATTGCGGATGAACTCACAGTCTGGTGTGGAAATATTGCATCGTTGCGAAGGTTGTAGATACATCAAGAATACAACTGCAATATGCACCCAACAACCGCCAGATTTATACCAAGAATCGGGTTGCTATTCTAAAATACAGGCCGGTGTTTTCACTCTACGATTTTTGCTGAAGTATGGGGAGCTGCATCGGCGATTTGCACTGGCTGCGTCGGCGATTGGGCACTCGGTTCGTCGGCGATTTGCACTCCTCGAGCCCTCGCTTTGCTGAATGAATCCTTCTGCTTTGAGCTGTTTGACAGCAAAATTGCATCGTAGTTTATAAAATAGCTAAGAGGAGGGAACGAACTATGGGGATTTTCTTTCTAGAAGGCTACCACATCTTGCCTGAGCTATTTTGACCCTTCGTCAGCTTTCGAATCCTATGTTCACCAATGGCCGAGTTTTTTGGATCCAGCACCCCTTTCGCGGAGCCGCTGTGGTACTCCCGCCCAGGAAATCCTCATTATACTGATTCGCATAGGCGGTTGCGGGATGAGATCCGCCGATATGTTGACACTGAAATAGAGCCGTTTTGTGCCGAGTGGGAGGCCAATCGTTCGGTCCCGAAAGCAGTAAGAGTCCGCCCTGCATATAGGCCTATATGTAACAATGAGAACATTCCAGTTGGCTTCGCTTGCTGATAGTACCCCAGGTTCGCAAACGCCACGCAGACCTAGGCTATACGGCCATCCTGTTGAATCCGGCCGCAATTGGGAACTATCTTGGGGCCATTCAACTCCCAGGGAGGGTTTCTTCGAAGGAATGGGATAGCTTCCATGACCTTATAGCTATCGACGAAATGGCCCGCTGTGGCTCTCTCGGGGTTTTATGGGCTCTTGGATGTGGAAACGCGATTGGCTGTCCTCCGGTGATCAATTTTGGGACCGAGGAGCAGAAGTCCAGGTGGCTGCCTCCTGTCATTCGGGGCGAGATCAGATTTTGTCTGGGCATTACGGAGCCGCAAGGTGAGTTGTGAGAATTCTCGGTTTTTTTTTTCTCTCGATTTCTTCTCAACTGTGAAGATGCATCAATTCGCACCGAATAACATCAGTGATGTGCCATAGCCGGATCGGACGTTGCTAGCATCTCGACTACAGCGCAGAAACAAGATAATGTGTTCATCGTCAATGGGACTAAACAGTGGGTTACCAACGGCCTGTTTGCACACTATTGTACAGCAGTCGTCCGGACTGGCGGTGCTGGGAAAGCCGGAATCTCATTACTGGTCATTCCCTTAGATTCCAAAGGGGTTTCTCGGACTGAGATACACAGCTCTGGTGTCGCTTCAAGCGGTATGCTTTTTTCGAACGCCATTGTAGTAACACGCTGCTGATAGATATGCTCAGGATGTGCTGCGCTCAAATTCGACAACGTTGAGGTTCCCGCTGAGAATCTTCTTGGCAACTTGAATGAAGGCTTTCAGTTGATCATGTCCAGTAAGTGTGCCACTGGCCTCGGACTCATCAAGTGCATCTGATACGAGTAGGCCCAATTAGGCCTGAACCATGAACGTCTCTGGATAGCTGGTAACTGTCTTCGCCTTGCCCGCATATGCCTCGAAGATTCATACAAACACGCGCTCACACGCCAGACGTTTGGAAAGCCTCTGATAGATCGTCAAGCTATCCGGCTCAAGTTTGCCAATGTCGGCATGCAAATAGTGAGCGCATACGCCCTGCTTGAGTCTCTGGTCCAGGTCAGAGAGAGCGGCTTCAAGAGAGCAACGGATATTGACGAGCTGGGCTCAAACATTGGCGGCTTGTGCGCCCTGGCCAAAGTTAGTGCTGGTAGGGCAACAGAGTTGGCCGTTCGGGAAAGTCAACAGATCCTCGGGGCACTTGGATATACACGAGCCGGTCCGGGAGCACGCGTCGAAAGAATAAGTCGGGATCTTCGAGTGCTCATCATTGGCGGCGGCAGTGAGGAGATTTTGAGTGAGATGTCAGTGATGCAAGAGAGGAAGGACTTGGAAAAACTGCGTCTCTCTTGAAGTTTTACTTGGTCAAAGTGTAAATTCGAAGTACCTTGGATTTTCCAAATCTCAGTAAGTAGAGTGAGATGTTGAGTGCCAGAAAATTGAATGCGAAGTATAGCAGAAGATACGCTAAGATCTCTTTAGCTAGAGGACATGGGAGCAAGTAGAGGATTAATTATATAATTATAATGAGGAAAGGAAGCTTCAATGGGTAGGCAGGCAGTCTTGTGTGCAACAGGGCTCTTGATGGAAAATCACCCCTTAGTTGAAACGATTTAGCTAGTAGTTGTATCGAGCCTCCTAACTCGCACACTTACGAGAAACTCCTCGAGAAGCAGGCTCCCAGTATATGACTGATCTCATCTTATTCGTATCATTTAGTGGTTATCCAGCTTAGGGCTCCAGGTGGTAATCCGTTGTATATCGCTGGAACTCCACATCTTTCATCAGTAACCTGTGCGTCTCCTCTGTGGCCGCAATAACGACCTCAATCACTTCCTTGCCGTGCGCATCAGTCTTCCCAGCCAACGGAAAAACATATGGTATCGGGGACGCTGGCGGACGCAACGCAGCTGGACGGCCAAATCCAAAATCCCAATTATGGTACTTCAGGCAAGCCCAGCTCGTGAAACCCGAATCAATCTTGCGCGGTGGGCTGGACAGCCATGATCGGGTGGAGAAATCATCTATACTGCCAACCCAGGCAAGGCCATCCTCGAGAAAGGTCGCGTCCACGTTATCGATGATGGTCCGCAGCGCTACGGCAGCATCGATTGGTCCTTCGGGTGCCTTGAGTCTTCCAACCGGCAGGACAGCTCCGCTCATGAATGTGGTGTTTCCGATGAAGTTGATCGGAAACTCGGGGAAAGAACGGGTACGGAATGTGACGGGGAAGACGGTCCAGGAGTCCATTTCGTTCTCGCCCTCGGCTAGAGCGGCCTTCGCACGGGTCAGCCCAGTCCAACAGATTGCGTGGAGACAGTCCGCCGTGGAAACTGGTGCGGATGGCTTCTGGGCTGCGATTTCAGCTTTCAAGGCCATGATTGCCTCGCGTGAAAAGCTAATCACAGCAGACTTGGTAGGTTCAGCCATGAGATTGGACCAGGGATTGTCCGGATCTGGCTTGGTGGAATTAACCATACAGCCACGCGCAGCCATGGCTTGTTCGAGCCCCTGGACCTCCGACGCATCGGGTCTCTTGAGGCTCGACAGGATGGAGCGGTCCGTGTAGAGCGGAATTTCGTTGTTTCCTTGACAGTGTGCGGCCCAAGCTCGGAAAAGTAGGTCAACACTAGGTCCATCGACGAGAAAGTGGTGAAAGGCAGCCGTGAGGATCAAGCCACCGTCGATGAAGTTGAGCTGAAATATACAGGCGGGCAAGCCGCCATCATGGCCTTTCCCTGCTGCTATAGGATTGACCAAAGCTTCTGGATACGCTTTGCCTTTGGGAAGCTTCCAGGGCGCAAAGCGTTCGCGTTCAAGTTCTGCATAGGATGGAAGATCGGTGCGGACAGCGTCAGCGCCAGTAACGAGAAGAAGAACGCCATCGTCATCGCCGATCGTTTTCATGGTGCCACGCTTCGATACGGCGTCGAAAGCTACTGTTGCAGCTAGGCATGGGACATGAGAGGCGAGTTTCTCCAGTCCGGTTTTGAGAAGCTGGACAATGTCCCTGCGGGATTGCCTGGTGGACTCGGAGAGCTGATAGTGCATTGACATTCGCGCGTGTACCTTGGGCATAACCTGGTCACAGCCAGAGAGAAGGAAGTCCTTGGCACCTCTAGCATTGGCATCAGACGGCTGGCACCAGTATGTTTCCACTCCACTGGGGAGTTGTTCCTCCCATCGTCGAGCCATGCTTCTCACCGATTCAGCTGGAAGCGAAAAGACAAAAAGAGCCTTGGCTGTAAATCCGGTCGGCGAATTGACGGCGCTTGTGTTGTTGCTTCTAAGTTCTATACCTTCTATCAGGAAGAGGGCCTTTCTCAGAGAGGTCGAGAGGCAGCGTCGCACCGAAGATCCTGTGATGCTAGCTAGCTATTATTATACCCATCAGCCGTAACCATGCTCAGGGCTCCACAATTGCTGGTATAACTATCGGCATAGGGTTCGGTGCCCCAGATCGAAACGCCGAAGATCGGACACCCACATCCAAGCCGAATATTTCGAAAGATAGATCCAAATAGGGGTCCGCACGAATCTGTTCGATATTCGTATTCGTTGCGAATTGTGGAATATCACGGTGGCCGTGATGTTCTGATCGAGATGTTGGTCTGGTTGTATACACGTAGATATGCAGTCCACCCGCCCCTCGCGATGAGAATAAGAACAACTTCATACCTTTGAACCTATCTCAACCATGACTCCTAATAAAGGACTACGCATACAGGAAGCTAGGAATCGTATCCAGGCAAGCTATGAGCAAGGTAATGAGGTTTTGGATTCATCTGTTGGATCCGTGCCTTTACAAGGACCACCAAAACGCGCTCCACCAAGGTGCTATACTTGCTTTCTTATAGGGGCATACTAGAGTTAGGTACCATACGTAATACTAGCTAGATCGGATAAAATAACATATTGTTTTGGTGGTTTGGAATAGCTCCAGGATTCAAAATTGTTGTGATTCAGAGGAAGGTTCAGTATTATTATTCTCATCTGACAGCATGAGGGTTTATATATAATCTGTTAGGCACGAGAGACTTGACCTGTAGCACCAAGTCGGCGATGGCACCAATGATCTCGCTACGGTGCTTTAATTTTATCTACTGCCCGTACCCCCAGTCTATCTAGACTTCTAGAGACGGCGCCTGCCCCAGGCGTTTCAATGTTCGATGTCGAGTAGGGACTAGGGCGTACAGACTAGAATGATACGCAATCTTGAAGTGCCCGTTCTCTTGCTGACGCTCTCGATTGGCATCTCAATACTGTACTAATAACCCACAAAAATCTCAGTGTCAAACGCAGAAAGAACAATCAAACGAATGCCATTGATAAATTGGAACTTCTGCTTCCGGCGCTCAACATCCTGCGGGCGAAGGAAGGTATACCACCGTCTGGGAGCAACCTATCCACCATACAATGACGTTGATGCATTTCTCTTAAATTCATAATATTGCCTTGGACGTATCGTATCATCAAAGCTATAATACATAATCTATCTATTCTGGGGAGTAAAAGAGGATGATAATGCCGGCCACATGGTACACTCTGATACCGGCCTGGTTTGTTGCATACTAGTCGAGTAGGTTTGCAGGGTCTGTACCTTGGTAAGAAAGGGCAGTGCAGTGAATAAAATAGGTCTGGCTACATCTATCTCTATACCACAACCATTTACCCTCCCGTCTAGAACAGAACAGGCGAAATTTGCATAATTACAATAGGGTGTTACTTCGCGATCTCCACACCATTAGTCGCACCTAAGGGTACAAAGTCAGCCTTAGTGATCAACCAAGAACGGAATCAGACTTACCAAGAGCCTTCTTAATGTCACCGTAGATGGCAAATTGCCCAGCAGTAAGACCACCAATCATGAATAGACGAGTAGGGAGACCAGTAAAGGAACCACGAAGACCAAGCTCACCCGCAATCTTGATGAGGCGGGAGACGGTGCTCTCCCCAGGGAGGCCCTTGGTCTTGTTGATCTTTGATAGCATAGTATCAGCGGGCTGAGAGATGATGGCAGCAGCGAAGCCAGCAATGAGACCAGATCCTAAGTTCACACCAGTCTGGGCGCCATTTGACAGCTTGGACTTGTCCAGGCGAGCAAAAACAGCCTCAGCAACCTTTTCATAAACCACAAACTTAGTCACTGTGTAGGGCACCCTATATCACGTCAGTCTATTGCTGTGTCTCTAAGCCTATCATTGAACCAACGTACTGCTTCAAGAGAATAGGACCAAAACCACGGTAGAAAGCACCAATGCCCTCGTTCTTGAAAATCTTGCCAAAACCGCTAAACAGGCCATTGGCGAAGCCAGGCTGAGAGACAAGACGGATACGTGTAGCCTCAAGAGGGCAGAGAGCGATAGAGGCAAAGAACTCCGCACAGGCAGCTGAGACAGAATACACAGCAGTACGGTTCTGACGGGCCCTTTCAAGACCAAGGACGTTGATGGATTGCTGCTTGAAAAACTCGTAACCACCGAATTTGAAGGCGCCCTGCATGAAGTAACCAGCAAAGGTTGGGCCAAACCCGGTCAAGAGAGCCCCAGCGCCCTCATTTTGGATAACCTGACGGAAGCCACCAATCATACCACGGTTGTAGGTCACTGGGTCGAGCTGGATCCTGGTTTTGACACTGTCGGCGTGTTAGTAAGTCATGAACAATAGATACTGGCGCTGAACCGGATGGACAACATACACATCAACCGGAGTGAAGGCACCATGAGTGACCGAACAGCAGACGGCACCGGCAAAAGCGAAGCGAGAGTACAAGGCTAGGCCCTCAACCTTGGTCTCAGGGACGGTCGGGGCTACAGCAGCGGGAGACGCAGCCATTGCGGCGGTGATGAATGCGCGCGACACGAAGGATTTAGGGATGGAAAAGGAACAGGTGTTACTGTGCTGATCTGGGAAAAATTGAGAAAAAGTTGGGAGAGCAAGCGGGTTGAGCGTCAGCGTCAGACTAGCGGCCCGCACGTGTTTGGGGTGACCGGCGTTTTTTTTTTTCGGCGTTTTATGTTGGTATTTAAGACATTGGACGCGCTAGTCGCTAGTGAGCGTAGGCGTACGGTGTATGTAGTAGCGATCTACGGAGTAGAGATATAGAGATCTTACAAGACGGGTGGCGCCTCTTCCCGTATTAGGATTTAGGAGTACTCTCCAGGGTGCTATATATAGCCTAGACGTATCTGCCCTACACCTTGACCACTTTGATCCCCATAATCCCCATAATCCTGGGGTAGTCAATTGGATGGTTCATGAAAAGTGATGTAGAAAAGTAGATTTAAGACCTTGCTGAGATACCAGGTCAGATGTCCTAGAGCATTTCCGAGACCCTAGTAAACTGTAACCGATATCAGGCTGATCCGGCCGAAAGCTTCTCGACCATATCCGCCTGATATCGGGTATACCGTAAGAGCAGGCACAGGGTGAAAGCCCTACCGCATTCGATTTAAAAGGACCTAGAGTGTGTACTAGCAGTTGCTTCGTGTATGTAGTTCTTCAACAGATTGATATTTTTTTGTTTTTTTTTTTACAGGGGAAAGCTGGATCTATCTGAAGGGGGTGGAGATCTTGAGAAAACATCGCTGTCACCGAAACTAGACAGAGCGAGAAGGGTAGAGTATATAAATACTACTTATACCTCCGATCCTATAGCTAAATGTAGCCTCCAACTCAATTCATACGCGCCCGATCTCCTACCTCGGCCACTGGCAAAAGGTCGGGCATTCAGGATCGGTGCATCAAGTGGTCATTGATTGAAATCGTATCTACCGAAGAACAGTATACCCTCGATCGCAGATACATCAAGCCCTCGATTTGGCCCCCTGATCCAACCTCCCATCCTCAACCCTGAGCGCCGGGTTCCTCGAAAAGATGCTGAAAATCGACAGGTATGCGTCCATGACCACCTCAGCATCCTTTGGTCCATACCGCTCCTTCTGCAACTTGACCGTGATCAACGGGTCCTTGCTAGGGTCATCGCTCATCTCCAAGGTGATATCATAAGGGGATCCGGCCCGCGGCGTGCGCGAATCAATAATCTTCGCCTCACCAATGTTTCCGCTTTCAGCCTGACCCTGTTTATAGTCAAAAACGGCCTGGAACAGCGGCGCGTGGGAGTGCGGGTCATCAGCGGATGGGGCTGGCAGGCCGAGCCGCTCGAGCATAGCCCCGTAGGGCACTGCGCTGTGCAGCAACGCCGTACGCATCTGTTCCTTGGCAGCTACGAGAACCTCATTGAATATCTTGTCCGAGTTGTAGTTCAGGCGCACGGGCAAGAAGTTGGCGAAGAAGCCCATAGTGGCCTGATCGGTGAGCGTGGGCCGGTTGGTGTCAGCGACGCCGATGACCACGTCTGTGCTGGATGTGAGGCGTGCCAGCAGCACGAGGTAGGAGGCCAGGTAGTAGTGCATAGGCGTCACCTTGTGCTTGCGGCTGCGGTCTTTGATGCGAACGGCGACCATTCTGCTGAGGCGTGCGGACAACTCGTGTTCCGTCCAGGTAGTTGGAGTGGCACTCGCCTTGGCCTGGGGGACGTCGAGTGCCGGGAGTCTTGCGGGAAGGGTCTCGAAGAGGCAGCTCCAATATTGGAGGTCCTCACTGAAGCCGCCGGATTCGAGCTGCTTTCGCTGGCGGATGGCAAAGTCGGCGTAGCTCGGCGCAGCCTCAAGCGGGACGCCGCTGTACAACTGACCGGCCTCGACGAAGAGATGTTCAGTGGTCCAGCCATCGCCGACAAGGCGATGGTAAGCAATGATAAGAAGGTGATCAGTGGGTGACCAGTGGAAGACGACGATCTTCAGGGTGTCGCCCTTCGCTAAATCGTACTTGTAATCTTCGAGATCCTTGAACCCTTGCTCAGAGGCAGCTTTGTCTATAACCTTGACGACTTCAAAGTAGGCTCGCGGTGACCGCATAATGGCTTGGGTGGGTTGCGCTGAGCCGTCCGGATCTGTGATGAAACATGTACGAAACGCGTCGTGCCGCTGCAGTGCCTGATTGAATGCCCATCCGAGGCGATTGTGATTGAGGGGACCATGCATGTGTATGCCAATAGTGCTGTTGAACGTCGTCGGATCCAAGGGAAGTTGTTGTTGTTTCCAAGCGTACTCTTGCGTGATGGAAAGTGGTACCTGCCGTTCAAAGCCATCCTCATCGCAGGAATGCGGAGATGGAGGCGTTGGAACGCCATCATAATCAACAGAGAACGTGGATTCGTCGGACGCGCCAACTGTCGACGACGGCGGGATAAGCTGCGCCTCAGTGACAGACTGCGCTGCATCTTCCGACGACGTAGAATGAGCCAGGGGAATAGCTTCAAGTGTCAAGCGGGAGACTGCCTCGTCCACCAGGTCAGCGACAGAGGCACCACCAAGGATCTTCAGAAGGGGAATGTCTATATTCAGGTTCTTGGTGAACCATGAGCCAACCGTAACAGCACTGAGGGAATCCACGCCCTGATCGATTAGAGGCACTGTTAGATTGAGCTCATCAGCAGGAGTAAGCTGTAAAGCCCCGCGGATCCTGCCGGAGAGGCCGTCGATGATGATCGCGCGAACGTCGTCCATGGTTTCGGCCTTGATAAGTTGATCCTTGACGGATCCGATCGCACCAGCGGCGTCCTCGCCCTTAATGTGGCGATCGGACAGCCTGAAATAAGCAAATCGCGGGTCGTCAAAGTAGGGAATTCGGTCATGGTTAGCAGGATCCATGTACGGCATACCGGTGATGACCTCGACATCCTTGGTCTCCCAGTTTCGACCGGCAACAACGGCCTCTGCAAAGAGTGCATGCAGCTCCCATTCGTTGACCTCATCGAAGATAAACCTGACGACATCATACTCGTGTTCACGGCCAGCTCTCGCAATGAAGCCGACACCGAACACGGCACCAATGTCGATGGTCGATGCAGCCATACCACGAGCGCGTCTTTGCTGAGCAAGCGCATGCGTGTATGCATTTGCAGCGCTGTACGCTGCCTGTCCAGGATTCCCGGAGACCATGACAAAGGATGAGAACATGACAAAGAAGTCAAGCGGGTTAGCAGGGTCCGAGAGACGCTCGTTTAGCAGCCGAGCACCCGTCACCTTGGGCGCAAGCACCATTTCCAGCATCGACAGGTCCATGTTCTTGAACATGACATCCTGGAGGACCAGTGGTCCAAAGGCAACACCAGCAATTGGCGGCATAGAGGCACGGACTCGAGCGAGACCTTCGTCGACCGAGGCCTCGTTGGAAACATCCCTCGAATCAAATTAGCAACAACACTAACATCGGAAGTGAGAGGGAACTTACATTGGTAGAACCATCACGCTTCCCCCAAGCAGGGCGATGTCGTCGATCCAGCGTTGGTCAATCTTGGGAGAGCGACTAGACAGGACCACATGGCGTGCGCCGCGCTCGACCATGAAGCGAGCAATAGAACGGCCCAGATCACCAGCCAGACCAATCAGCAGGTACGTCTTGTTGTCGACGAAGATCCGATCTGTCTCCATCGAGCGGATACGGCTGGGGATGATCTGGTCCGACTTCCAGTCGACAACCGCATTGATCTCAGGACCTTGTTTCAAAGACAATATCTCATTACCCTTGAGTATAGACACATTGTGGTCGTTGCTGACCTCGTTTGCTAACCGGACAGCCTCAACCAGACACTGAGACGCGTTTTGAACGCTTTCTGCGGACATCGGTGTAGCAACGTTCTGGAACAAATGGTCAATTCGGCGAATAGAGCAGCTAGACGGAAGACATCTGGCTAGCCTGTGGTTCAGGCTTGCCGGGCTCTTTTCGGGAGCCAAATCATAAAATACTGAAGCGTTTAGCGGCAGCTTCTGGCGAAGGTTGCGCTGCGTCTCTTTTTCGTGCAGTTGAATCCAGCGGATACCGCCCAATTTCGGAGCGGCCTTGGTGGATACGAAGATGAGTGGGATGCCAGCAGCCGCTGCTCGATGGCTCAGAGCCTCGACATAGAGCATGGGAGGCTCAAAGATAAGTACGGATGAACCTGCGGCGAAGTCCGATAGCAGGGTCTGTGCGACGAGGTCTCCTGAGATGGCTGGAAGCACAGACATAGTCAGATCCGCCTTGTTTGTGATGGTAACAAGTCGGTGGGAAGGGACTTGAACGGAGGAAGCGTTGGTCTCTGAGAGGGCGACCACCGTGCCGTCGAATCCAGCAACCCTGCCCTGAATGAGATAGAAATAGCCCAGCTGGCCCATTCTTAGAGCTTTTGCAAGAGAGTACTCCACCTGGACCGTCACAAAGGACTCATCAACAGCTAGTAGAACAAAGCGCTCCTCGTGGAACCTGAAGAAAGGCTCATCGTCATCGTATCCAAGGGTCAGAGTCTCCTGTCTCGGATCCAAGTCCACCAGAATGGGACGGCGGCCAGAGTTCAGTCGATGGTTTCTGTCAACATCTGGCTTGAGACGTGGCACAATAACCTTGCCATCAGACAAGTACAGTTCTGGCTCCTGTGTCCACAAAATACCGCTCTCCTGCCAGTCAGTACCATCTTCCAATCGCAGAATGGTCTCAACCAGCAACTCAGGTCTCAGATTTTCAGCATTCTGCACATCCAGCACCTGTATGTGGATTTCCGGATATTCCATACGGAGAGTGCGAAGGAGGCCGATGGTCATGGCTTGCTGCGGATTTTCAACCCAGGCATCTTCCGTCACCCACAAGACATGGTTGGCGGCGTTGAAGATGGTTTGCAAGGCATCAAGTTGCTCATCATCGAACCCAGCAAACGTATGCTGGTCCAGTTCAGATAGCACAACAAATGTGGACCCTGGCTGGTAGTCAAAGTCGATGATCTCTCGGATGGTGGGGACAGTCTCCCATTTGCGCGCTGGCAGGATGGCTGGAAGCTTATCCAAGAGCGCACTCGTCTTCGGTGAGGAACCCCCAATAACAACCAGTGGCGCGTAGGACTCCTTGACGGGGGCAGTCAGTGGCGAGTCCAGCCTTTGTACTAGATCGTTGACCGCGTGAGTAGCGAACACGCCGTTGGGGAAGACCCTGCTGTCCGGATCAAGAGTGCGGCTGTCGATACCCGAAAACCCAGTCTTCCTCAGCAGTGTGTCCCACTGATCATATGAGATAAAGGGTTCAAGAACACGCCCTTCGTCATGACCAGCCCACCAATCGGGGAACAAACCGAAGATGAATCCAATACGAGTGTGCTCACGGTGTGCAACTTCAATGACAACCAATCGACCCCCAGGTTTTAGCAGAGATCGCACATTTGCCAGAGTCTCTTCGAGCCTAGGCGTGGCATGGAGCACATTGGAAGCAATGATCAAGTCGTACGAATTGGGCTTGAAGTCTTGCTCGCTTGGAGGACGGCGAATATCGAGCGGACGGAAATCCATCTTGTCGGCATGCCGCTCAAACTCCTTGGCCGCTTGCTCGAAAAACGCGCTGGAGATATCGGTGAAGGTGTAGCTATTGAACGAGATCTGTTGGTGGTTCAAGAAATACCGTGTGGCACCCCCAGTACCAGCGCCTTTTATTTGTGTCAGTGGCTGTATTGGATGGGATGCGGTTTACTCACCAATTTCGAGAACATTCAGGTTTTGATCCCGGTGATTGATCTGCCCAAGGAGTCTTTGATAGTAGTGGTATGAATTCCCGTAGCTCACGGTGCCGCCGTAGAATTCGGTGAGCAAGCCATCGTGGTCCATCAGGTCAAAGGCGTTCGTATTGTTGCGAAGTGTGTCCAAGGCTCCTTCACCGACTCTCTGAATGAGGCGTACGAAGGGATGGGCCACATTTCTGCGTCGTAGGTCAGCCAATACCTCTTTCTATTCCAGTAGGAAGGCTTACTGTCGAATCATTTCTTCAATATCAGCTCTCGTGTCCTTGTCCCAGCCCGGCTCGTACCACACATTACGGCCCGCCTCAGTCTCCACGATGATATACTCGCACCACTGGATATGCTTCGTAAAGTGAAAGGCTGCCTTCTCGCGGTCCTCAGCCGTGAGGTTTGCGAGAAACCCTTTGATGTACCAGTACGTAATTCGCTCAATGACTGCAACGTCCTTCTTGTCCTGCTCCGTGGCGTGGTATTTGCTGTCATCGAGCAAGGGATCTGGGTTGATTGGACCCCAGCTCCACTTGGAGAACATTCCATGGTCATCAGCAGCCGAGAGCGGAGAAAATGGCTTGAAACTGAGGCCCTCGATGTGGATCATGGTGGCTTCGGTCTCAGGATCAACAACTTCAATGTCTCCTGCCACGGTATTTCCGACACTTGCCGCACTGGTTGAGATGAACTCCACCTGGCTGGACAGCGGGTGAATACGATCAGCGACCCACGGGTTCAGAGCAATGCGATCAATTCCAGTAGGCACGAGAAGGGATCGCAGGCGTCTGTCTCCGGGAGCAGTGTACGCTCCGATGAAGCTTTGAAAGGCAACGTCGAGAGTAGCAGGATGTAGGACCATGTTGCGGTGATTGTCTTCCAGCCGGTGGAAGGTGATGGAGCCACAAGCCTTGCTGTCGCCGCGTCTCAGGGTACTGACTCCTCGGAACTGCTTAGTGTAGCCGTACCCGATTTCACCGAGCATGTTGTAAAATCTGTCGATGCTAACATTGTTTAGGTGAGGCGGCTCGCCTTGAGGGGGTGGAAGGGTCTCAGGTGCTCCTGGTCCGTAAGTGACGGCGACCGTACCAGCCGCTGAGCGAGTAAGACCAGTTTCTCTGGCGAGGCAAGAGTTGATAACGAAGCTGTATACGGCGTATGTATCTGTGGTCTGCGATGGGTCGATGTCTAGACTGAGGTTGATCTCGACCATGCTGTTTTCATCCTCAAAGGTCACGGCCTTGTCGATGGAGAGGTTCAGAACTTCCAAAAGCCGAACCTCTTGGTCACCGGCCAGCTTCATAGCAGCCTCCATGGCCATGACAACGTATCCTGCGCCTGGAAACACAGTCTGTCCCTGTAAGGAGTGGCCATCGAGCCATTCGATATCACGCTGCCGGATAAAGTTCTGCCACAGAATCGATGAAGGACTGCTGTGGACGAGCTGCTTGCCGAGCAGAAGATGAGGGCTTTCGGCTCCAAGCCAACTGCGAAGCGCGCGTGACTCCTTTCTGTACGAGCGGTGATGGTCCCAAGAATAGCATGGAAGTTCTTTGGACAAGTCTTTGGATTTGGCATCCAATGAGAGGCTACTGTACAGGCTATCAAAGTCGATAGCAGCTGAGCCAAAGCGCGACCATATATAGCCTAGGCACGAAGAGAAGGCTTCAACGTCATACTTATTCCGCTCCATGCAGCCCACGTATGGGAGCGGAGCGCCGGCGCAATTTTCAATGGTCTTGAGACTAGGATTCTTCAGAGCCGGATGAGCTCCAACTTCGATGCAAACATCGAGCGGCATGTGCTTCACCAGCGCTTGCTCGACAGCATAGGAGAAGAGAACGGGAGAAAGCAGATTATCACTCCAATACTCAGCCTTGAGGTCCTCGGGCTTCATGATCTTCCCTTCATAGACCGACGAGATCCAGGTGACTGTGGGTGCGACATCCATACTGAACTTATCGCAGCCACAAGCTTTCAGAGCTGCAACATAGGGCTCGGCGCAAGGACGCATATGGTGGGAGTGGTAAGCCTTGTCAACCTTCAGGAGCCGGTTGAATCTTGACTCGTCGTTGAGGATCTCCTGAGCCTCGAGGATGGCATCTTTGTCTCCGGAGAGGGTAACACTTTCCGGTGCATTGCTTGCTGCAACGGTTATTCTACCCTCAAAAGCCTCGAGGGCGCATAATTCAGTTTCATCATCAAAGGAGGTGCCTGCAGCCATCATGGCGCCCTCCATGCCGTTCAGGCTACCTGCATGCCTCGAAGTGAGACCGCGAAGGTATGCAATACGGATTGCTTGGGACGCCGATATGAAAGCCGGCGGCAAATGCGCAAGCTATCTCTCCCGAGCTGTGGCCGACGGCAACCTTGAATCCCACCCCGGAAGCTTCAAGAAGCTTTGTGAGCATGATCTGGACGGCACAGCAGAGAGGCTGCGAAAACGTGGCGTCATGTACATTAGAGTCTGCCCCCTCGAGAAGGAGCTGGTCCATGAGCTTCCACGTGGGTCGGTATTCCCTTGGCAAGTCCTGCAAAGATTGGTCCAGCTCCAAGATGATATCGCGGGCGTAAGGTACTTCCGAGATAAGAGCCTTACCCATGGTTGGCCACTGGGCGCCCTGCCCGGTGAAGATACCAAGCACTTCGGGTTTGATCTTGACATCCGAGACAGTTGCGATGGTTTGCTTCCCTTGCACCAAAGCGGCATCGCGCTCGAGAGCCTCGCAGAGAGTTTGCACCGTCTTGGCTGGGATAGCATGGCGGACTTGGAGGTCCGATCGCTTTTTCAGCAGTGTCCAGGCGAGGTCTTGTAGCCGTAGGCTGGGCTGGCTTTTGATATATTGACTCAGCTCCTCCATGGTGGCCTTCAGCGAGGCTTCTGAATTGGCGGAGAGCGTGATCGGGGCAAGGCAAGGGGCTGAAAGCTCATTTATTGCTGGTTTCCAGGCGGGAATATAGGACTCCACAATTATGTGCGCGTTGGTACCGCCGAATCCGAACGAGTTAACACTCACCCGTCGTGGTTGGTTAGACTTGAGCTCGGGCCAGGCCTGGAGCTTCGTGACAAGCTGGAGATCCGAGTAGAATGGAGCCACTCTCGGGCTTAGGTCATTGAATAGCATATTTGGCGGTAGTAGACCATGCTGAATGGCCTGCGAAGCTTTGATCAGGCCGGCAATACCGGCAGTACCCTCAGTATGACCGATGATCGTCTTAATACTACCCACGTACAGAGGGTCTTCGTCGACAGCACGCTGCCTCTCCCCGAAAAAAGCAGAAGAGATGGCTTGGGCTTCTTGCGGATCTCCTGCCGGAGTACCTGTACCGTGCGCTTCGAAGTATTGGCAGCGGTCTTCGGGCTTTGTCACATCGAGGCCGGCTCGCTTGTAGACTTCGCGAATGAGAGCTTCCTGTGCCGCATGGTTCGGCATTGTAATTCCCGCAGTTTTGCCGTCCTGGTTGATGCCGCTCTCACGAATGATACACTCTATGCTGTCACCATCTGCGATCGCCTGACTGAGGGTTTTCAGGACGACAGCGGCAACGCCTTCGCCTCTGGCATAACCATCCGCTGCGGCATCCCACATTCGAGAACGGCCAGTGGGTGAGAACATGTTCAATTTACTGGCTGAGATAAAAGGAACTGGACCCAGGATCAGGTTCGAGCCGGCAGCAATGGCGACCTGACTTGAGCCCGTTCGAAGTTGCTCGATGGCATGGTGAACAGCAACGAGGGAGGAGCTGCAGGCGGTATCAAAGGTCATACTCGGACCGTGCCAGTCGAAAACGTAGGAGACTCTGTTGGATAGAATGGATGCAGATGTGCCGGTAGCGGCATAGATGTTCAGGGCATCAAGATCGTAGTTCTGGTTGTCGAGGAAATCACGTTGCATCATACCAACGTAGACGGCGGTGGGAGAACCTCGAAGGTCTTCTATCTTGAGACCAGCGGCCGAGAGACTTTCGTATACAGTTTCTAGAAGAAGACGCTGTTGGGGATCGATTGTGTCGACTTCGTTGGGTGGAATATTGAAGAAGGCTGGGTCAAAGGTGTATGGGTCTTCGTCAAGGAAGTAGGCGAATCGTGCGTTCGTGCGACCATGGTGGGCTCCATCGGGATGATAGAAAGCGTCCACGTTGAATCTCTCCTTGGGGACTTTCCTCACCAGGTCCCTGGGGGTTTTCAGAAGTTCCCAGAGCTTAGAAGGACTGCTGGCACTGCCGGGGAAGCGGCAACCGCTGCCAACGATTGCAATGGGCTCATTGCGACGGGCTTCAGATTGGGTCATGGCAGCGAGTATGGTCTCAGTGTGTTGAAACGATGAAGGTGCAAGCTCAGGCAGCGTCTGCCTCTACTCTTTAGTACGCCCATCATGAGCTTCACGAGGCCCAAAATCTCACCGGGCCTTTAGGGCAGTGTACCGGGGCAAGTTCGGCGTATGGAACACCGCTAGCCGTGCGATACAGCCATTCCGAACGTCCAGTGTATTCACCGAATTGGGCTATCATCGGCATTTGGATAGAAAAATGCCCTCCCTGATACTTTTATGGTGCCTATACTGAAAGGCGAGACTCTGAGAGGCTAGCTTAGCGCAGGTACCGGCAATCCACCGTAACCGGTGTCGCAATGATGAACAGCCGCCGTGAGGCGTTAAGGATACGGAGAATTAAGCCGAATAAAGCTGGAGGCGAGTGGCCATGCACTTCCACTCTTAGTCAAAAGCATCAATCACGTCGATCAAGGTAATACAATACGGTGTGACCAAGGGTGCGTAGATCGGATTTCCTGTGATTACACATGTTCACCCCTGATGCATTCTAATCTACCTTGCGGCTGCCTAGCTGACTAGCTAAAGGAGGAACTCGACTCTCTATCCACCTGAATTATCTCAATTTGGCGCGTCAATTGCTGAGATTTCCGACAGTCTCAGGATATGCTTCACCACCTCCCCCACCTCGTCTTTCCTTGTTGGCAAATGATGGGCGGTCTCCGTTTGAATGACATTGGCAAAGTTCGACCGATAGTGGTTTCTCACTAGCTTTCGTGCGCGGCCAAGACAAAAGTCTCTGTTGCCGTGTATGTGAAGCGTTGGAACGTTAATGTAGGCTTTGCTCAGGCCATAAGCCTGGGCTCTTGCGTTCAGCCACAAGGAAGCCTCGTTGGGAAAGAAACAGCAGCTCATTACGGCAAATCGTAGCTGCGGCATCCAGGGCACTAGGCCGTGCTGTTGCTGCCAGAGCATCATTGCAAGGGCGAGTGCACCTTCGGAGAACCCAATCGCTCCGACGATCTCTGCATCAGGATGATTTGCTTGCCATCCATCCACCGTCAGCTTGACCGACGCGTTGATTCTCTTTAAGCTGTTCTCAATAGTGGTGCCGTCGCCACCAAACCAACAGTAATATGGCTCTTGGCCGCTGAACATGGGCAGAACCCCGGGTCCTGCAGCGCATTCCATCGGCCCGTCAAGGAAAATGAACTCGAACGTCTCCCCCAGTAGAAAGCAAATTCTCGCCATTTGGACGTTGAAGATGGCTCCCTTCGAGCCAGTCCCATGGAAGCAAAGAAGGGCTTTGGACGGTACCCTAGACATTCTGATTCACTCGTTAGTGCGTAATCAACAGTGAGAGTGAGGGCATGATGTGTGACCAACGATGATGTATTGAAGCGGCTCTAGTGTTGGCGTTCTAGCTTTTCATTGACAGTTGATGATAACTACGAGCTTCGAAGAAGAGTAGCATAAAACACTCCTATCAACGGACACATCGGGAAATGTTCGCTCCCATGGGGCACCAATATCATTGGTATACTCGCCTCCACACGCAGGTACTATGGGGCCAACAGACCGAAACGCCGAAGAACACCGAACGGCCTAGCAGATTATGTCTCGCGGGCCGCCGGCAGTCTCCCGCTCGCTACTGCGCCACCTGCGTTGTTCAGTCGATGTGGGCATAATAATGTAATGAGGTAGCAGCCAATGGCACTCACAGTAAGACATCGGGCCTTCGATAAAAGATTTTGGTGGACCTTCACCTACACTGAGTTCAAAGTCGTGTTCCTTGGTACCTGTTCAGCTCAAGATCCGGAAGGACGCCTGCCATCCTACTGAGAATGGGATCGGTTGATACTGCGGCCCTTGTGCCTCCAACAACTCAGCGTGCGGTGATCGTGGAGGCTGGAGATCGGGTGCGCGTACGAGACGATGTGCCTTTGCCTACGCTTGAAAAAACCCAGTTCTTGATCCGAACGGAAGCCGTGGCTGTCAATCCCAGCGACACCAAAATGCGCGGCGCCTTCGTGACTCCTGGTGGTGTTCTAGGCACTGATTATGCCGGAACCGTCGTCGCTTGTGGGCCCGAGGTCACAGAGGTAGAGGTTGGCGACAGAGTGTGCGGAGCGCAGCATGCCATGAACGCTAACACACCTCATCGTGGATCATTCGGAGAATACAATATTTCTGCTGGCAAGGTCTGGTTGAAGCTACCTGCGTCCGTCAGCACTGAAGGCGGTGCTACGTTTGGTGCCGGTATCAGCACTGCAGGGCTGGCTTTGAAGCTTCTAGGGCTGCCTCTGCCCGATGCTCCAGTTCAGAAGCCTGCATACATTCTTGTGAACGGCGGCAGTACAGCGACCGCAACCATTGCTATACAGCTGCTGAGGCTGTGAGAGAACACCATTCCCGAGTTGGCATCGTGCTGACCAGTCCAGCGCAAATATGATCCCAATAGCAACCTGTTCGCCAAAAAATTCAGACCAAGTCAAAGCCTACGGTGTCGAAGCGACCTTTGACTATCGCGACCCGGACTGCGCCACTAAGATTGTAAGGCCATCATCTTCTTTCCATCCCACAACGTTGGTCGCTTTCGTATCCATACACCCAATCTTACTGACCGATCCTCCTGCCACAACCAGAAAGCCTACACGAAAAACAACCTGCGCTACGCTCTCGACTGCATCACGACAGCGGAATCCACCAGCCTCTGCTTCGCGGCCCTTGGTCGCGCCGGCGGCAAGTACGTTTCCCTCGACCCGTTTGCGCAGCACGCCGCCACGCGCGCCACCGTGAAGACCGACTGGGTGCTTGGCCCATCCATCTTCGGTGATGGGTCTACCTGGCCTAATCCATACGGTCGACCGCCGAGTGAGGAGATTCGTGCCTATGGCGAGAAGCTGTGGGCGGTGGCCCAGAAGTTGGTGGATGATGGTAAACTGCGACATCATCCCGTGCGGATCCTTGACGGTGGACTCGACCAGGTGCTGGTGGGTATGGAGTTAGTGAGGAGTGGCAAGCTTTCAGGGGAAAAATGTGTGGTTCGTCTAGTCAGCTAGTTGGTTGCATAGGCTCGAAGTCTCCATCAATTACCACAATTGACACTGCAATGTACGGGAAGAGACCAATCTCCCAAAGAGAGGAGGCAATCCGCCTTTCGGGGCATAGATAGAGTATTGCCCTAATCTTTTTTGTATTATCTACTTTGCGATGGCTAGAGAGACTTCTCCAGTATTGGCCTTTTTTCCGCACGAATATTGACTAAAGTACTGAAAAGTAATCATCCTAGACAATGAAAAAAACTAATTGACCAACAGGAAGGTCCTTTGCTCGTAACAAGATGATTCCCCTTCACTTCCAAAGTCAGGCAGATCCGTTTGTCTAACAGACATGTTTCAGAGACGCTTCCTAGCCTCCCTTTCTCAAGCATCCCCCTGTACGAGCTGGTCAAGACTTGCGCCAGGTCTGAAAGTAATTCTCGCCTCAACGCCCTCTTGCTTCGCTAGCACAGTCTCCTTGATTTTCCATTCCTTGGTCGGTTCAACAAGCTGAATCTGGCCGACTGTCAGTCTATTTCAGGAACAGCAACAGATATTCTAGTAGCAGAGACTCACGTCGAAGATGGAATACAATGTTGCAATTAGCTTGTACAGTTCACATTTGGCAATGTTCTTGCCCATACAAGCTCGGTCGCCGGCGCCCCATGTCAGGTCTGCCTTGCTCATCCTGTGTAGCCGCTCAGCATACTCTTCGTCGCTTTCTGAGGGACGTTTCAGCCAGCGCTCAGGTTTGAAGTCGTGTACGTCATCGCCATAGGCGTCCGGATCAAAATGGGTAGACCATCCTGAAACTGCCACTGCTGTGCCTGGGGGCAGGGTGTGGCCATCCGCAAGCATGAGACCAGGGCCTGGTGGAACCGCGCGTCGTGATAACATCGCTCCGATCGGATGACACCTGAATGACTCCCGAATTACCGCATCAAGGTACGGCATCTTGTGAATGAGAACCCAAGGAGGTGGCATCTGGAGTCCTGAAGATTTGAGTTCCGCGTGCAGTTTGGCTGCAACCTCCGGATGCTTGGCCACAAAGTAGACGACGGAAGTAAGGCCGATAGTGACCGTGTCCGCGCCGGCGAGCAGTGGTGTGGTAGCGTACCCGTGAACAACCAGCTCATCGACAACGTTCGGGTGCTTCTTTTGAGTGTCCAAAATCTGGGAGAGCAAGTCCTCGCGATCCTTGGTTCTTGCAGCCCCGTTGGCCCGCCTGCTCTGGATGAGTTCACGCGCTCGGCGTGGGAATGAGCCCATGCGTTTCTCGAACACTTTCGTGATGGGGCTGCCCTTGAGCAGAGAGTGAACCCACGGCATACAGGCTGCCTACGAAATGTCAGCCATAGCGCGCGGGATTTCACACAAGCGTCGCGTACCATCGCTCGATATGTTTGAGCTGCATCGACACCTCTAAACATTCCCTTTCGATCAGCTTCGCCTCGGATGAGTCCAAAGTCGGCAGAGACCGTAAGCTTCATGATTGTGTCATACGCAACTGTGATACCCTTCAGTAACCGCTCTCAGGTTGAACGAAATTGTGACCTACAAAAATGCATCCACGTAAACACGGGCAGAGGCTTCTCTTTGCCCCTGAATTCTCGGTCAACCTCCTTAACAAACTGAAGGATACATTCGTTGATGAAGCTTTCTGATTTGGTGACGTTGGACATCGAGTAGATGCCCGAGATAGGCCGTTTGAGAGCAGCATGGGTCTTCGTATCCTCCGTGCCTATGAGACTTGGATAATGGACGCCTTTCAGCTCAGTTCGGAGCGGCCGCCAGTGATAGCTCTGGGAAGAGAGAGCCAGTTAGAGAAGCTGTCAGCGGAAGGGGTGTATATGGCATACTTTAGGGAAGGGCGCCCTCGTAGCATAGACTTTTTCTATCATGGATGGGTTGGAGAAAATGACGGTTCGTGGACCAACTTGCACCACGGGACCATATTCCTTGTGTAAGCGCTGAATGATTTGGCAGGTTCGTCCATTGTAAGCATCAAGCGCCTGAAAAAAGTCTAGGGCCACATTAGACTTCTGAATGACGAGACGAAGTCTTCGATTTCACCTGTATAGCGGCGCCACCAAGGCCCCGGAATGTGCCATAGTCCTGTTCGAAAGGGCGTTGCAAGGAACCAGGCAAGACCAGCAGTGGCGAAAAACAGGAGCAAGACCCCAAGCATCTTTAGACGAGAAGCGACAGGCAGCAGCAGAAATGCGCGATGAAGGTCTTCTTCTTGTGTCGCAAGTCGCAACTGTACTGTCGGGGCTATATAGGGCGGTGGCAGAGGACCAGCCCTGCTAAATCAGTGAAACACCGAAATCGCCGAAGGTCGGTCATGGATCATGATTGCTGGTGCGTAGCATGGTTCTTACGGTGACAAATCTTTCTATTTAGACAGACTATCATGAGTATCAGATTGCCCGGTTCGGTAGACGTCGGGGTTGGCTATCTGATATGTGATCCTTGACTACCCAAGGAGGACATGGCCCAGACATCTTTTTAGCCTAGCTGTATTATCATTCTATAATACGCAAATCGAAAATACGGCACGATATTCGAGCAAATACCTAGCTAAGTGGACTTGTATCCTTGCAGCATTGTAATTATGGAGATAGTGGATGAACATGTATACATATACACATCTACTCCGTACTCTGGTATGATGAGTAAGAAATGTTAGATAGTGTCATATGTTCAGGGAAATCTGCCTGAAGATAGTCCTTCATCTAATTGCATACCATTTTCAGGCATGAAATATATCGACCTGGTGGTTTGCAGGCAGCGTCAAGAATGATTCTTTGTGAGGCCTAAGATTGCGGCACGACAGCGCCGGAAGTACATCACGGCGGATTTATTGTACATGCTTGCCTCATCCTCCCATATTAACGCGACGAAGCGAGCTGGCAAGGATGATAAGGATGATCTCAAAGAGCTTCTATCTCGTAGTGTATGCTGGTCGAGCCCCACCGGCTCTGGTGAAGTCCCGGACGACATGCTCCCACCTCCCAGCTCGGGAGGTATTCCAAGCAGTTGTTCCATCCTGTCAATCAATTTGCTCCCGATTCGGAGCATGTTGATGGCGGAATTGAGTGCATGACCGAAAGGGTCTGGAGGAGCATACAGGTCTCCCAGTCGGAGATTCTTCGGGATGTGTCTCGTGTGGGAAAAGTTGTCCTCTTGTGCTCCTAAAGCGTTCACGTTTTTCATCGCCTCCGAAGTGCTCAGATTCCCAGACGCAGGCTGTTTTGTTGGCAGTGGTAGTGCCAACAGGCTCTGAAGCACCTGTTCCGATAGGACCGCCATCAGTTTTATACACAGGACATAGCACTGCGCTGCCATTGACGCTTGTTTGCTCCGCAGGTACTCATCGAGTGGGCTCTGGGGCGTGCGCGACGTGGTGATTGCTACCATATCATCGAGCGCCAGCACTCCCAACAAGCCGTCAAAGTGGCTAAAGATTTCCCCAATCGGATCTGTTGTCAACCAGTCAGCTGTCGTGTCTCAATCTTTCACATTGCTGATAGTTTGGTATCATCGTCATACAATCTTGGGCGTCCCGGCCGGTGTGATCTCTTATGACCTTTCTAAAAGCGGCTTCCAATGCCTGGCATGCGCTGGCGAGAGACCCAGATAGGTCCGATGGTCCACCTCGGAGTCCAACCGCAGCTTCAATCGGGCTGTTTGAGGAGGGCAGTGCGGAGCTCATGGATCCTTCGGAAGTGCTTGTGTTCAGAAATTCTGGCAAAGCAAAGCTAGTAAGCGACGCGGGCTCGACAGTCGCCCAAGACGAGGAATCGCCTGGGAAAACATCGTTGAGATGTGATAGATCAGGGCCAAACACCGTATCCAGCTCGTGCAATGGATTCGAGGCTGGAGTCCCAGACTGGGTGGGCATGTTGTCACAGCCATCAACAATGTTCTTGTTTGTCTGTTTGCTGGACCTCACACTGTACACGCACTCGAGTCCGGCCCTCTGGCAGCGCACGCATCGGGTCAACGAGGCCTTGTCTCCGACACATCGAAGCTTCTGTTGGTGGCATCTGTCACACGACTTCCGTAACGTTCGGCCATCGGCGTGTCTAACAGTCGAAGTGCCTGCCCAGTCTCGGTCGTACTGGTGTTGGGCAGCCGTTTCCATTGTACTCTCACGTTGGTCGTTGGAAGGATTGAAGAAGCAAAACCGACACCATTGAGAAAAGCCCAGAAATAGCTTGACGAAAGTGACAACTGCTGAATTAGGATAGCCATGTGTCTTTCATGTAATTATGGGAAAACATGGCCTATTCTACATCCCTGTCGATCACAACCCCTCGCACGCCAGTATAGTGCCAGTGCTCTGTGAGTGCATGCCACTACTGTTAGACCGGTTTAGAAAGAAGATAGGACCCCGATAAGGCGCCCATCCCCAAATCCGTTACCTCCAGTCCTCTAGTCCTCTAGTCTTTTGTCATCTATATGACTGACTCAAACTAGACAGTCTTTATAGTATCAATATGGGATATTTCTCTATTTCTTTTCAAATCAAGAGTTGAATTTGAAAATAGTCAGAGTCCAAGTCTAGTTGAAGAAGCATGGATTTTCTTCGTCGTTAAGGCAGGTAGTATGGCCTCCCGAGTTCCTAACTAAATATTATTCAAGCATATGGCAATAGATAGATGAAAACTTTCTATAACTGGTTGAACAGATCCACTGTCGGCTAGACTTGGGAAGGATCCATTGGGGGCCAATCCCAAATCTGATCCTTGTTCATGCATGCAGCGAGCTCAATTGTGTACTGTGAGTCTGTGGTTGACCCCGTGGGACTCGGAGCTCTAATAGTTACCGAGGTTTTTAAATAGATGACGGCCTGCTCTGGTAGGTAGAAGTCTTAATTATTAAGAAGATCCGGAGCAAGAGATTGGCCAGAAATCAATACACCAATACCATGATCCCTGTATAGCGTGGGAATATAAAACATACTACTTAGCGAACCACCGGGTCAACCACAGTATGTAAGTTACTTTGGTTAAGTGCATATACTACTTTTTACTAAGTGCATAAGGAGAACCCTCGGACGGCGCTGTAAGAGGGACAAAGGAAACTGAAGAAGGCACATGCGTGCATGTCTTTATTTGATAGATCTAGCATGATATGCTGCCACACTACTCCATATCCAGGAGTTGCACTCAACCTAGCCTAGGTGGAAGCATATATACTATGTATATGTATACATATGGGGTCCAACAATGGCAGGCTGGCAGCATCCCCTACGAACACTAGCGTTGTCAAAGAATTAGCATCGACTGTGGATCACCACGCTGGAGCATGGCACGGATACATTGCACGTAGCGAAGATTTGACCCGGCCGAGACGATAAATCAGCTGCCCTGGTTGGAGGAATGAATTGTCCGTGCCTTGGGCGCACCCACTCCGGCTGGCATGTCTATCATGAAAGATTTGTGATGCTTTGGTCACCACAAGAGCTCCGGTGGAGGTTTGAGATGTTACTCTGATTCATCCAAGCGATGTCAGACTGAGAACTTGGCGCAGTCAGTATTTGCGGGGTCTAACTCACCTCACTACTCGGGCCTTAGCGCAGCTTACCAGCCAGCTTCTGAGTGTCGACCCCTCGCCTAGGCGATATGCTGAATACAACTATCGCTATCTCTATCTACATCTACCCACAGCGAACCATTACATCCCGACGAATTTAGAGCCTCGTCTTGGTCTATGGTGGCCTAAGTGCCTGATCTTCTGTTCTGCGGCGTCTTTAGGGCGCGACTTCGAAATCTCTCAGATGCCTCTGCAAAGTCCAATATATAAGTTAGGCGAATATGGGCATAAATATACCAACTTTACCCCTGCTTCTGCATATATTTGCTCTAATCTTTCAGAGTAATGGAAGGTGGCATTATCCATAATAAGAACAGATTTTGGCTCCGGCCATCTTCTATAATGACGTAGCAGCTCCTCAATCACCAGCTGGCAGTCCAGGAGCAAGTAAATTCATTACCCAAAATTATATCATGGATAAACTCCAGGGTCAATAGAGCTAGATTAGGGGCCAGGGGCCATCCTTGTTGCCCTAGAAGAATGATTAATATATGCAAGTGGGCCCTGAGAATCAACAGGCTCTTCGCTGTTTTCATTGGACGCTGGTCTCTTAGTTGGCACCTCAGAATCGTCAAGACAGCATACCCACGTCTCCTTCCGGGATAGACAGTTTCGACGAGGTTCTGGGGTCTCACTCATTAGCCTGCCAGTGTTTCGTGCACATCTCAGCACTGTCGGTACCACTTCCAGGTTAGGCTTCCACCGAGATAGATCACCTCCAAGTATAAATTAGTGGCATATAGCCGGCGACACCACACAGCTGTGGGCCAGGTACGAACTGGGAGCAACCCATTTCGAGTACCCTCTGGTCACTCCTCTGACGCTACGGCCCGCTGCCTCTAAGAGACAGTATTCCGTTGCTGACCAAGGTCTCCCTCAGCCAGCCGACCATGTCTTACAGAAGCCTCCAACAGTAACACCCCGCCAGCATGCTCCCGGTTTTATCCAGGCCCCCCACTAACCTATCTCGGTTCTAGCCATATGCTTCATTGCTCGGAGGCGGCGCGCTGTGTCGGACAGGCAGATGGGGTCTCCATCGGCAGTTCGGTCTCGGTGTAGGTGCCCTATCACTCCGCCAAAACAGCATTATGTCGGGTGGTTTTCATATGCCAGTATCCCTCTAGCGATCTAATAGCTCTTTGTCGAAAGAGATCCGGGAATAGTGGCGTTCGATAGATGGCAATGCGCCCAGTATTGCTCTTAGCTAGAAGGGGACTGACGCGTGAATCATGCGCCACATCAACAATCCAACCACAACACCACTATATTTAGCAAATATTTGTAATTCTTCTTGGAAAAACTCCCCAGGCACCTTTCAACAAATACATGGAAGGTTTCTCACACTGCCTCGAACACTTCAAGAAGTCGCTCCGTAGGCCTGGAACCTGCCGTCGGGGAAATCCCAACAGGGGATTTCCTCGGGTGGGAATCTCCATTGTAACTGTTTACCTTTAGATTGCAAGTTGCTTCCTTTTCGTGTTCTACTCCCTGCACTTTATGTCTAAGGCAACTATGCTAAAAGTGGACAAATCTGTCCACCATGTAAGCGTTAAAGAGATACTATGACATTCATGTGATACGCCTACTGAACCTCACCCTGACGCGGGGCAGTGACCCTGAGATGCTTTTGAACACACCATCAACAACAAACATCGACAACGAAAACGACCTGCAACCTGACACATTCCTGATATCTGATGCTATACGCAAAGAGAATACGTCTCAACGGCAGAAAATGGCCTGGCGCGACATATTGCTGATCAGCCACAGCAAGGCATCCGCTGAGCGAGTGACGCGGCGATACCTCGAAGACATCAATTCTGCTTCTTGCCTAATCCACCTGGATAAAGCACTTGATCAACTGCTGGATGGTATCAAAGATGTCGAGAAGATCTTCTCAAACTATGCAACGACCAATCCTAGCGGCAAACGCGTGTGGAACAGAGGCAGCTTTGCTAGATACATTAACGCCAGGCTACCTGAAAACCCAGCAGCGACTACCTGCGTACCACTACTCTGGTGCACTTTCTCTATCGGCGCCTACTTTCCTTTCTCGGCACCGTCAAACGAACGGGAAATCGATGTCAAAGCGTTCAGGAGAGCATTTGCATTCATTGTTTTACGTGGTTATGAGCTTTTAGGAGCCAAGTCAAATGGCCAGCCTTTTTCCACAATCACAGAAAAGTTCTACACCGACAAGGTGCCGCGACTCACACGTATCGTCTACAGGAGCTTGAGCACTCCTTGGCGGCAATCAGGGACCCAGTCTCAGGATCCCCAGGAATCGCTCCAGCTTCAAGATATCAAAGATACTATTGCTTTTACGCAACCCATTATCAAGGCGAATATGCACCATGGACGAGCTACGGTAGCCGATGGGGAGTTTGAAGCCGCTGCATATCGCCTTCTACTTGCGGACAACAAGCGGTCGACAGTCAGAGGGTCGTCTATTGCAGTAAGCAAAGCCGATTTGCAGATTTTGATTCAGCTCTTCTTATTGCAACGTGCAGAAGATAGATGCTGGAGAACTGGGCTGTCCTATCACGACATGTACCAACGCTCCGGAGACATTATGTTCTCTCGTCTGATTCCCGGCCCGGACGAAGTACCACGAGCTTCCAAACTTGCATCTGCCTTTTTAGCTTATCAATTCCCCGGTAGCGATGATTATGTGACATGGGAGCAGTTCAAAGCCTGTTGCTTGGAATGTGTAAGCATCCCCCGAGTGTTTTTATATCAATTCAGACTGACTCATTTCTGGTTAGCCTTCATTCATCTTCTCTTTCTTCCAGCTCTGGGCTACCATATTCACACTTACTACCGCACCGCAAGCTCCTCGTGCTGAGGGCAAGTGCCCTCTCTTAATCAGCACCACAAACATTCTATCCTTCCTGAATGTTGCCCACTTCCTTAGTGGAAAACTGCCAAATTACCGCTTTCATCACAATGAGTCCCTATTCCAGCTTGATCTGCAAGCCTCCACTTTGGTGGCCAATCTCGCCACGACGCCTGAGCTTAGTGTCGAGGAACTGCACAAGGTCATAGCGGCGCAGGACTGGTTCCACGTGATGCTTATCCGGGGAGAGGATCTGAAAGTCGAGGGGAAGAGCTCTAGTAGGCTCATCGTAGCTTTCACGAGTCCGCCGGAGAAGGAGATGTGGCGACCAGAGAGGAAGCGCTCAATGCAATACATCTGGCGGACTTCTGTGGCTCAATTGGAGCCAGATCTTACTGTGGCGGATAACGGAGGCATGAGTGCGAGTGTCATGGGCGAAGTACTGGCATTACGATCACACGGAGGGGCAGGAAAAGAAGACACAAGTATGAAAGTCGATTTGGCGGGGAAAATAGTTAACGTTACGGGGCTCGGTACTGGGCTTGCGGACAATGCGGAAAGTAAGAATGCGGTGGGATCGTCCGAAGCTACATCGACGTTGGTAATGCGGCTGACCAACTTGAAATGTTATCGGATGCCTGGTATGTCGTCGAAAATTACCAGGTCGGGATGAAGAGCAGCTGCGGCTGGCCTGGAAAGCAGTTGAGGTTATTTTGTTTTGACATATGAACTATGAAAAACCACCTCGACAAGGTAGAACGGTGATCTTCACTCTAGATCCAGGCTCTTTATCTCCTTTCCATGCCTCTAGTTATCAAAATTTCAACCTTGTAGTATTTTATGTACTTCCTACCTTTTTCAGGTTTCCTTATACTCTACTCTGTCTTCAAACTTCGGCAAATCTTATAATTAGATAAGAATATTTAACATCGAGTCGGATGCTATCCCTTGGCAAGAGCAGAGGTATCTGTAAGCTGTGGAAGATTCGATCACCGTGCTCAGCCTTTATGACCAGAAAGAAAACAAGGACTCAGCTTCTTATATATCCAAAAATGTTGGAATAATCCACTCAAATAAGCTAGACAAAAACACTCCACTTTTCTCCTTAGATTAAGGTTATTTATTTAAGATGCATCACGTGAAATGCTGGGATGCGAGGAAAATCGAAGACAAAATATATTATAGAAGAACACTGCTTATAGATAGGAAGAGAAATAATGGTTGAGCAGAGAAGAAGCCTTCATATTTAAGCTGGCAATAGAGGTACTAATAATGGGTTACAGGGAGTCTAGTCTCCGCAGAATCATTCTCTCACCTATGTAGTTAGATAGCATTACTTGGCTCACCTTTACTCACCTATACTCACCTATACTTACCCTGTGGTTTGGTATCTCTTACCGATAAAGTAGCAGGCCTTTAAGGGCGCATATAACTTCTAACTGCATTGATAATACTAGCTTAAGTACGGCTGAGCAGACAGGAAGCCCTGTTCTCCACACCCTGTGGTCGTATGTACTGAATTCAGCTAAAGCAAGACTTTTATCGGTATCAAGATATGACAGCGGACAGTGAACCGCGAGACTATATCACATCATTAGGGGTATGAAAAGGGAGGAAACATTAGTACTCGGTATTAATACTCGGACCGCCTGTCCATCATTACACCTATCCACCATTCCGTGTCGTTGTCTGATCTTTCATCGTTCATTGCACTTGCGTTCCTCAAACATCCACAACCAACGCCGACAGCATTGGCGGCGGATTATATCGACTACACAGTAGTGTTCGCGGGAGTCTCAGTCGCTGTACCGGGGCCGATGCCATGACCATTCTTCTCCCGGACAGGGGCGCTGTTCTCTCTTCTATAGGCCCACAGGGACATGAGCTCGAGCAACATACCGAGGAGAGTAAAGAAGCTACGCAAGTTAGTCAAGACACATTTACCTTGATGCCAGGGGAGTAGAGCATACAAAGCGAGAAAGATGAAGGCTTCATTAGCTCTCTTGCGGGAGCAAGCGAGGCCCGGGGGTGCGTTCCAGAAGCAAGCGTGCCAGCTGTAGTCTTGCGCGGCGAAGATGAAGGCCGTCAGCCAGCTGAATTGGACGTTAGTGGACGAATCAAGAATCAAACCTGAGGAAGGCAATGTGAGGAGGACATACAGGTAGGAGAAGATGACGTCGATAGCAAGGACGAATCTGCTCAGAGCGGATGGCATGAAGGGGGAGATGAAGGCCGGGAGGAAGAAGACGACGGACAAGGTGGCCTGGTGTTCACTTTTTGTTAGTCGGGTTGGGTCAGGACGAGTACTGAGCAAAGGGGAAAACGCACAATGACTTCCTGGTAGATGATGTGCTGCCCGCGCGGACCTCGGTGGATGAAGTAGGAGGTGATGCCCATGACGATGACGGCGCTGGACCACTGCATCACCCGCGTGATGAGCTGAAGGGGACGAGCGACTGTACTCGAGAGCATGGTGGGCATGTTGTTATTACTATTTATACAGGGTTGAATGTGGTATTAGATATAGTCGGTATGTCCAGGCTTCGGAAGCCAATTTTTTATTATATTAGATAGAGCCCAGAAGAAGGCTGTCATATCCAGGCGCAAAGGGGAGACTTGGGTCGCCTTTATAAACCTTAAGGATCACCATAGCAAGGATTAACAGCCGAATCAACCGAAATCTAGGTTAACATCCTTTGACACTTTGCGTCACAGGTAGACACTCGCACTCGAGAAAGGCATGTGTGGGAGCACGGCTGCAGTCCCCAGATGCGTCATAATTTAGTATCTTCTTTTCTCTTCTTGGCTGATGTGGAAAGCAAAAATCCAGAACCCAACGGGTCCATCATTTCCTTCATGGAAGAAATGACAGAACGCCATGCGGATGATTGGTCGACTAGGTGGTACAAGAAGCCGAGAGCACCATCGCAGGTGTGCAGATTTGTCCATGCTCCAGTAAGGATTCAGTCAAGGAGCGGGGAATCATCCTATTCCCAAGGTTAGTCCTGTCCGACGAGCATGAAGAGCAACGACACTTACTTCACCAGTCAGTCAGCCAATGAGTCGCCAGTCAAATCTGTGAATCAGGGAGGTCTCAATCGGGCCGCGGTTCGGCTGTAGAACCTGGTCTGATCTGCACGGCATCCCATTCGAGAAGGGTATCAGGGTACAAAGCCAAAAAGTACAAACAAACAATTGCAGGGATTGTCTGATGAATGGAGGGGTTGAGCCACAGGTGATGATAAATGGTGTTGCGTGACAGGCGAGTAGCCAGTCGGCACCCCGCGGATACGGCAGTCTTTCCAAACAAAGAAGTTGACAAGGTAAGGAGAGAGTCTGATATTTCGGCTTTCGATAGCGGTTGATGGTCAGAAGTTTGTTTGAAAGTGTAATCTGATCATCAGTGGGGTGACCCAGAGCGGCTGATCGACGAGAGAGCTGGTCCTCTGTACCCAAAAAGCGAGGTGATAACTAAAGGCTATCAATCAAGAATAATGTGTCAAACCAAGAGGACCGCCAGGTCTGGAATCTCTTTCGATGTGCTGGGCGAATCCTTGGCTTCAAGCAGTTTCGTTGGCAATCCGTGACTTGACTCCGTGGTTCATCTGCAAACGGCCAGCTGCCAGCGTCAGAAGATAGTCACAGACAAAAGCAAGTCTCAGTACTTGTCTTGAGCTTTCTCTGCGGTAAACCGGATTGGGAGTTACTCTGTCCTCTGTCCGTATACTCTCTCCATCATCACAATTAGAAATCTCCCCGACCCAGCATTGCTTTTGATGGCCTGTGTGGGTGGCACTCATAGTGATTGTTGCACAGGACTGGGTTGAATTGAGTCCGTGATTCATCCTTGCCCAAAGAATGAACGTCTCTGGGTTAGTGGCGTCGATGACTTTTCTACCGCCGTGGCTTTACACCTTGGAAACGTGGAGAAGAAAGAGTTGGTTCGGAGAAAATAATTGCTTTGTGCAAGGACCGTCATATGACATGATGTCGCAGAGTTAATTCTGTCCGAGCAAAGTCCGATGCCAGAGTTAGTCAAGGCTCCGGTATGGTTGCATGGTTGCAGATGGGATGGCTCATTAGGTCTGCACGGTGACAGAAGTCTATTGCGAATATAGATTGACTACCCAGAATTAAGACAGTCATCACTGTAACAGAATGTAGCCTCACTGTCTTTCAATCGACTTCCATACGGTGTTGTTCCTCTCGTACGCCAGACTCCCTATCGTGACCCTCACGCTATAAATACAGATACTCAATAGATCCCTCTTCTTCAGCCGGCCTGAGAATTGACTCAGGATGTAGTAGTCACCCAGCCACGTGGAGCTGGACCACATCAGCTAAGCCAATCCTACCACGAGGTAACATTCCCCAGATCATGTTCCTGTGAAGTGCGTTAGCTGTTCGTCACAACCATCGGGTAGCAATGCGTAGGAAACAGACATACCTTGATGTACTCGCTACCCTTCTCCAGGTATTCTTCCCGTGACACAGAAGAGTTTCTTAGATCTGGTCCAGACGCCCATTGTGCAGCCCCCTTCCAGGCATCAAGAATAGGATCGGCAGCCCGACGCACGTTCAGTGGCGCATCCACGGGAAGGAAAGCCCGGAGTTCTCTGCGGAGTCGCTCGTCAAATCCCTGGAAAAGGGTGTTCCCTCCCGTCAGAAACACATCGCGGAGAAGCTTGGCTTGGTCTTCGGGGTTGGAGAACCGCTGCGTCACGACGTCCGCAGCGATCTCGATGAGGCCCGCCTGGTCGATCCCCGCAATCGACGGCTTGAAGACGACTTCGGGGACTCGGATCCGCTCGACGTTCAGATGGAGCTGGTGAGCCTCCCGCTGGCTCTCTGGATCAAACGGCCAGGGTCCACGCAGGAACACATGCACTAAACTCTTGGTCCAGTCCGACTGCGCCGCAAGGGTGTGGTTTTCCGTAAAGTCCGGATCGTGCTCCAGCAGCTCGTTCTCAACACTAGTGAGCATCCCTCCGAGGTCCTCCTCCTCCTCTTCATCACTCTGTTCCCCGGTGGCCACAGTCCGATAAACGCCCCAATCTTCGTCGTTGGCTCCGAAATCATCATCATCCCCCCCCCTCCTTCGCTTCTTGGGCCCGTCGGCGGCCAGATTGGCGAGCGTCTTCATACGCATCTGGCTGGCAAGCGACTTACGGTTACCCAAATCAGCCTTCATCCGATCGCGCTCTTTGATCCTCTGAATGATGTTCTGATAGAAAGTCAGCAAAAGTTCAGTTCCCAGAGGCCGACGCAGAAATGGCAAACCTGGCGAGCAGCTCTCCGTTCCGCCACCCAGTTCTCAAAGTCATTCTCGCGCTTTTCGCGATCAAGTCGCTCTTCTTCCTCCTGCCGTATCTTCTCCCGCTCTTTCTCGGCCTTGGCACGTTGCCGTGCCTCGACATTCGACTTCATGAGACGCTGGTGGCGTTTCTCCTTCAGACCGGCTTCATCCAACTCTTCATCAGGAATATCAAGGAGTGGGAAAGACATATCTTCTGGCGGCTCCTCAGTCTCCTCCACTCCTAGATCTCGATTGCGGGAGCGCTTGATGGATCGCTCCAAGTCGCGAATCAGTCGATCAAGGTGTGCTTCATCCTTGAGGTCTTCCGCATCCAGAATGCGCCGTGCTTCCTTCTTGGTCTCGGATGCAAGCCCACGCTGTAGGTCTTTCCAATATTCCAGCTCCTGTTCCTTCTTCATGAGTTTCTCCAGTCGCATCTTTGCAGCTTGTTCCTGTAACCGTCGCCCGCTCTCCTTCTTTCGCTCGGCAATTCGCGCAAGCTCTTCTTCCGTCTTTTCCGGCACCACATGCTCCGTGAAAGGGTACTGGATCACATGATCTCTGTCTTCAAGTCCGGTCCAATCAAGATAGCTGTTTAGCTCTCGGTCATAATCCGTAGAAACGTAGCAATGTTTGTGAACCAGATCTTCCATCTGACTCTCAGTCATCCGAGCGGGGAAAGTGGGATATTTCAGCTTCATCAGCTTGAGGAGGTACTCTGATGTGTTCATGCCACCCCAGTTCAAGCGTGAGCAATTCGAGAGCAGCGCTTTCGAGTTCAGGACCGGAATGACATGGGTTGACGTGTGTGACGAGGATATGACTAGGCCATCTGTACCCTTGTTGTACCGGTAAGAAAAGAGCGAGTCAATACCGTAGGCAACGGACGGGGCAGAGTAACATTCGAAGAGGATCTCGTTCATCACTAAGCAGAGTCAGCTACAACGCCTCGCACGGACTCTGGAGATATCACACTCACTTCTCCTCGGGTAGTTGAGATTCGCAATCGGTTCCGTCATCACGATGGGTCGGTCAACTCCCCCATTCGTCCCGTCTACCCCAAGTTTGATGAACACGTAGTCCAATAAGCCTTCCATCACGTCCCAGTTGCCGACCACGCTGGTGCCGGGATCGAACGCGTACCGCAGCTGGCCACGAGTTGTAGCATCGACATAGGCGTCGTATCCGATAAACTGACATGCTTTGTTGAGTTTTCGATCCCGGTACCGGCTCACCACAGGGGGGAGAATGAAGCGTGGGGATTTGTCGAAAGACCAACCGGCTTTGAGGAGGCTTGACCCTGTATTAAAACAGTGGTTAGTCTCACACTCTAGTAATCTAGCCAAAGCATGCAATGGATCCATAACGAACCATTGTCAATCACAATAGCACTCGCGTCGGGGTTGGATTTGCTGCGCTCATATCCATCGGGTTGCGGCGGATGGTATCCTTTAAACGGATTATCTTGAACATTATAAACGCTTGGCGGAGGTTTCGCAGCGTTCTTTTCATTCGATGTAATCGCGAGGCGACCTGGAAGGAAGGTCTGCACAGATATGATCGTCATGGCGACTTCTCGTCAAATCGAATGGGGAGCAGTAACTCAGAGCGGCGAACGATTTTACCGCATGATTCGGTGAGTCGCAGATGGAATGCGCTGAGTATGAATCAAGGTTAGTATTTATGTGTCGCGTGCGATGCCGGTTTGTGTCTCAGAGGAGGAATTGGATGGGATTGAACGCGATGGAGGGAGGAAATAATCTTAAGCTTCAGATCCCCAGCTTGTTCGGCGGAGAGGGAAGAGACTCCGACAACGTTTGTACGATGCCAAGGTTGGATGCCTCAGGCGACAACTCCACCTATATCAAACATTCTTCCCGTTCCTTTGTTGATGATGAACAGGATGCGCTGCTGGGTGTAAGGGCGCTATCTGAGTTAAATTTGATTGAGCATCTTATTATTACTATATGCCTTACGCCAAATTTATCCAAAAAAACCCTAATTTGAGAAAAGGAAGAATCAAAACATATGTATAAAGTCATCAATCATTAAGTTGGGCGTATGATAGGGATGGATGTATGCCACATAACAATTACGATGGCTCCTTCAAATTCTCGGTAGCTAATTCAGTCAGCGAGATCTCACTACATAGAATACGTGAGCTCATACCTTCCAAGTGGAAAAGAACGTTTGACTGATAGTTCTTGAACATCTGTGCGACAAGTTCCACATTCATGTTCTGGATGTTGGCCTCCTAGGACATAGTAAGCATCAATCCACTATCGAAAGACTGCCATGTACATACCTGAAGACTCTTGTTCATGACCATAATAGACTCATTGAGTTTTTCCTGGCGATGTCAGCCATACAAGCCTCACCGTGTGTGATCTCAGTGACATACAATATTGGTGATGATTCGAGACAGCAGCAGGGCCTGCTGATGTTCATGTGGGCTCTCCTGAAGATGGATGTCAGTCCAGCCCCCAAGCTGAGTGACGAACAATGGGCTTTCAGCCATACTTACCATTTCTGACGAGGATGTTCTAAATATGCTTGATTTGATACAGAGCCGATGTTTGTTTGTTGCTTGACGGATATCAAAGAGTGGTTAGTCACGTGATGGGGATAATATCCGTTACATGCAACGACAGAATGCTCAGAGTAATTGTCAGAAGCTTTTAAAGAAGACCCATCCAAATAAAATCGCATATTAAAATTAACTCTCGAGTTAGCCTAGATTATTCAACCCGATTGACTGACGTTCGGAATATTGTCGCAAGATCGGTTCCTACAATCTCACACGGCAGTAAACGACCATGGTCCAGACACCTTAATCTTTCGCGGCCTTACGATTTCGATTCTCTACAGCATCAGTTCAGCACATCTGTCCTCAATCCCATCAACCACTTCATACAGCTAAAACCCGTTCATCATGGCCCCTCCAACGCCTGCCGAGATCCAAAAGCACCAGCAGCTGGTTGATCGCCTTGACATTGCCCGGGTTCCGCGCCCCTTCCGCAATCCCAACTGGCGGCCATCGCAGCGTCGCAACAAGAACGTCAAACAGCTCATTTCCGAAAACTCCAGAAAAGAGGCATCGGTAATGGCAACACAAGCCAACTCCGGCGCATCAACTCCCCTGCAACCCGGTACCGATGGCAGCGAGACACCCGTTGACAGCACAGCACGCACAAACATCGCCCAGGCCGCGCAGAACCTGTCGACCCTCGTCCTAGAGAAGAACGCGAGAGCCATAGCATCATCGGGACCGTCAGTGACATACACAAATATTGAATCCGCTCCGTCACTACATCCGTCGGCGCATACTCGCTATTGCGATATCACCGGGCTCCCAGCGCCCTATACCGATCCCAAGACCCGGCTGAGATACCATGATAAAGAGGTGTTTGGGGTCATCCGAACGTTGGCCCAGGGGGTTCCAGAGAGTTACCTGGAGCTGAGGGGGGCTCATGTCGTGTTGAAGTAGGGGTTTAGTCTTGGTGTGCCTTTTATGATAATTCTACGACTTTGGATTCTGCACCTGAAGCAGGTACGTTACAGGAAACCACATCAAGAAGACCACGTTCTAACTCATGTTTGCTATGTAGTGCTACCTGCGAAATACTGGTGAATGTACGACCAACACAGTCAAGCCCTTTCCACCCGCCGTGCCCCTTTCGAGACAGGTTCAAGAAAGCGCTCCGGCTTATTCGTGATCTTTTTTTCATATGAAGTATCGATCTTCGCCTTGTGCTGATGCACTCGACTATTACCGACGCTCCACGGACGGAACGTCAGTTACAGCATCCGGGGATGCTGTCGTCGCGGCGTATGCTATGATTGCATTTGGCATAATGCCAGGGAATTGGAGGGGACAAATAATCATGCGGAGGTTCCACTGCCATGTAACAAGATGACCCTGTGGTAGTCTTTAGTTCAATACCCAACGTTTGTTTTGAGCATTTTGTTTGGAACATCAACCCAAATATTGGTAGTCATAGTGGCTGAAAGTTTTGATCGTAGTCTAATATTTGTGGTGCTAATCCAAATGAGCTGCAATCAGCCAATGCCTCCTGCCATAATGCTCATAGCACATCGGTAGTGTTTGGGATTCGAAAGACGATCGAGCAAAAGGAAGTGAGAAAATCCACGGTTGTGCAGGTTTTGATGGTGTGCCTTAGGCCAACTGACCGCTCACCCAAGTAGGGCTAGAGCCAACCTAGAACCCAAAACAGATGTGGCAGAAACGGAAATGTTGGGAGGATCCATTTTGTTTACTGCGATTGAGGAAGCAATTGCAAAAGTTCCGTCTAGTTGAAGCTGGATTCGATCACGATCGCGCAATCTGTCTAAATCGAACACCTGTCGTTGCAAACTACTGAAGACGTCGTCCCCTTGCTCCCTTGAGAGACCCTTATCTTGACTCCCGCGCATTTACCGAAGCCTATTTCGATTCCGTTTCCATATCCGTTCGACTGTGTGAACAAATCCGGTCCCAAATATAGATATCGAGTTTCGGATTTCTCGCTTGTCGGCATCGACTGAGCTGAATTTCCTTCAATAATTTGTGCACATACGTACAGCCAACCTTCAAGATGCCCGCTATGTGGCTCTCAGACAATCAGAGTAAGAGCACCCTGCTGCCTCCATTGTGCGGTCGGAGCAACTGCTAACGTGTATACTAGAGATCGGGGTGATCTTCTGTTCTGCAGGTAGGTGAAGATGTAACTCCATGCGACATCTAGCCTGGAATCTCCCGCTCCGCGCGTTCGTGGAGACCGTATTATCCAGTGACTGACCGCGGTGTGTTATAGGGGGCCTGTTTCTGTTCGGAGGTGTTCTGATGTTCTTTGATCGCTCGCTGTATGTGTCCTCTTCCTATTCTTTCGCAGGCGTTGCACGTACTAATCTGTTCCGATTCTGCGCAGACTTGCGATGGGCAACGTACGTTCTTCCTCATCTACTCTCCGGAGCTGTCGCTGGCCGCAGAAGCCTTGATGATACCCGATGACTAACCCCCAAACCAGATCTTATTCCTCATCGGCTTGACATTGATCATCGGTCTCCAAAGGACATTCGCATTCTTCTCGCGACGCCAGAAACTCAAGGGCACCGCTGCCTTCGCGGCGGGCATCCTCCTGATTCTATTCCGCTGGCCACTGACCGGGTTTCTGATCGAGCTATACGGCCTTTTTATCCTCTTCGGCGACTTCCTTGTCACCATCGGACAGTTTGCCGGCAACATCCCCGTGGTGGGCCCTTATATCAGAACGGCGCTGGAGACACTGGCCGGTGGACGATCGAACGCAGAACTGCCGGTCTGAGTCTGAACACCTGACGCAGAAGCGAAAGGAAATGAGCGATTTTAAGACGATAGATTCAGAAAAGGTATCAACGACGTTACGTGTACGACTACGCAGACATGTATGATTCCGACGGCCGACACGGCATGCACTGGACTTGACTGTGACCACGGTCCTCCTGTTATGGGTCCTAGGTTCGGTCGAAAGGGATTTGGGATGTGATATACAATCTTATATTTTGTAATTAATAATAACGGCGTCTTGGTGGGCAACCTCTCTCGCCGATTCAGTTCTTCATTTGTTTTTTTTTTTTTTTTGTACGAGTAAATAGCCCAATTTGAAGTATCAGGCAGATTGCTATTCAGAACAGGAGGAGTGTGACCCTACGCCATGAAACTATAAAAAATCAGGAAAATGTACCAAGACCAGTACATATTGAACATATCTACGTGCTATGAACAACATCGAGTAAAACAGGACGCTGAGAAGAAAGGGTCACCATCGTAGTCTCACATTCGGGCCAGACAGGTAGTTGGTACAGCGCTTGTCTGCCGTTATCAAAAGTTCGAACAAAAGACAAAAACTTTATTTATTTTCTGCTACATCGTCATCGTTCACCGGGGGTTGTTGATGTAGTCAACGAGGTTCTCGACGACGGTTGCAGCATTGGTGGTCTGGACGGCCTCGCCGTGGTGAGCGACCATGACGCAAGAAACGGCCTTGACGACGACGATGCCCTCCTTGCCCTGTAGGTCCAGCACTGTTAGCATTCATCGCACTCCACGTAATTTCGCATAGCCCTTCCAGACTATAATCCACAGGGAAAGGGGTAGGCATACCTTCTTGCCGTAGAGACTGCGGTCATCAGCCTTGATAGCGACGAACTTGTCACCACCGACAGTGAAGCCGGTCTGGAAAGCGCTGCCGGGGCTGGCGAAAGCAGCCTTCAGGCCGGCGATTTCCTCCTTCGAGATCTAAAGACAAAGGCTCGAGTTAATGGCGCGTAACCGAAGGCGGGGTGTTAGGCTGATGTCGTCGGGAGCTCCGCCAGGATGCAATATAGATGGATGGATCGGTCTTGCGCTGACCGCTGTGTCATACCTTGAAGGTGGGGGACTGGGCCTCAACGTCGGAGATGTCATAGCTCAAAATAGCGGCCTTGTCGAACTGGCCGGATCCCATCAAACTAGAAGCCGAGCTACGTCAGAGATAGATGCGGATGGCGAGCGAGAGGAGGAGATGCTGATGCGGCGAGAGCGGGGTTACAGAATGGCATACCTGGAATCGACATATCCTGCGCGGCAGAAACGGAACGTTAGCGTTATCCATATGTGTGGAAGCTCTTATGCGATTGCAAAATCGACAAAGCAATCATCTTGGGCTCGGGATGCCATCATCATACCTTGCCAAACTGCGGAGTGCTGACCCATGGTGGCGGTCGGGTAAACAATGAACGGGACTGAGCGGATAAGGAGAGCTAAATGAGCGGGATGTCAGATGGAACGGAAGGCCAAGAGAGATGCATCAACAGGGATCACACGAACAGGAAGATAGGGAGAGGGAAAGAGAGAATAGATGCGGTAGTTGTAGGAGTATTAGATAGATCGATAGATAGGTGTTGTGGGATGAAGAGGGGGGGGAAGACAGAGCAAGTTGAAGTTGCAGGTGATATTTAGGATATTTAGAGAGAGTGAGGGAAGTGACTAGGAGAGAGGTGGGGCTGTGGTGGGCAAAATCCATGCCCCGCCATGCTGTTGCGATGGTGAATTGGTGATACTACAACAACACCCATAGAGTCAGTCAGGGATGGATAGACCTCAAACCCCGAACTGATAAGGCTCTATTTCTTCGGGCGTGCGACTCTTCATGGGGAAATAGAGCTATCTCTCTCATATTGCGCCCATTTCTCGGAACTCTCCATGCTTCAAGTTGTCTCGACGATACTGTCCCTTTGTCACCGGCTACAGCATCATAAAGGCGGTGGAACAACGGGTCTCCGCCGTGGTTAATTAACTATGACCACTTCTTCGTTATTATTCGGAAGATAGTTTGATATGCTACATTTCTGCTATGCTTCACTTGGTACAAGTGCCATGCCACAGTTCCACTCTGGGCTCCTTAGCAGGACATTGGCGCCTTCAAAAGATCTGCAAAGTTAGTTTTCTGTTCTCTCCATGAGTCCATAGTCATAGTTATCTACTGCGTAGAGCTCTCTTGTCTTGCCATATCCTCATACGGTCGGGGCCTCACCGCCTGTTCTGGATACATCTATCCGTATATTGACGGAGTACAAACGGCTACTGGAGTAGTGCTCCGTATTCATCGTCGCTTGAGCATATCTGTAGTCGGCGGTGCCATTGAGAAGTATCCATATGAAGCTGACATTCATTCTGCTGTGGGAAAGGCACGTGTTTGTCATCAGTTATCAGTCACGCGTTGATCATGTGCTGCTAGGCCTCTTCGGGTCTCCTTGTGTATACTCTCTAGAAGAAAGACAAGACCAGCATCTCTCCGTCAAAATATGAAGGACTTCGATCCTGACAACTCAAAGACAGGAAAAGGCTACATCGGGCACAATGCATTCAGTTCATCTCAGGGTTGAGCGCCCAGTCCAGAGCCACCCAGCCGTAATGTCCGTGCCTAGGATTTTGATCACAAAGGTCCTTATATGAGCTTTCGTATACAACAAGGCAGACTTGCGAGCAATTTCGCTTTTCAAGTTCTACTCTCCCCGGCTGACCTCGAACCCAGTTCATTCCCCTGCGAACACGTTGACGAGTCGGCTCCGGTGTGAAAAGAAATCTCAACTGGTAGGAGACGGAGCAGCCCAACGATCTTCAAGGAGCAGGGTACCTGCTTTCGAAGAAGCACACCTCCTGCAACCAATCGATTACGCAATATGACAACTTCATATACTCGTGGAGTCTTTTTTCGCATTTTGCTCATACTTCTGCGAGAACATATCCAGTTTTGAAAAAAAGGTTCGATCAACTCGCAGCACAGACAACATTGTTACAGAAGGACAGCCGCCATTGAACCCTGGCCACTACAGTCGAAATATTTTAGCCCTTTTGGCTGTCTCTTGCTACCTCAGATAAACTCGACCTCAATACCCTATGGGACTAGTATCGCGGTTGGATCGAGATCATTGGTTGATCCACCGTGTTTCAGGATGAATGAAACTGTATGCCTTTAATGATTCGGAGTATCATGGCGGGAGGCTGAGAATCCCGCCATTTCTCGTTAGTTATTGGACACTGGGCGGAAACCCCCAAACTCCCACATCCGTGGTTCTTGATGGAGTACATCGAAGGAGGCCAGCAATTCTCCGATACTCGTTTGCAAATATCTCACGGACTATTTCATGCTATCCGATGGCATGTGTGTGTGTGCGCTAATTGAACCAATGTCCTCATATCTACCCCTTTAAGCATCGAAAAGCAGGCTTTAGAGCGGAACTTGTACCAAAGAATGTCTGATTCTCTCTTGTCTCTGAACAGCGCTAAATGCCTTGTTGTCCAAGCCTCTAAGGAGCCTGATGGCGTCGTCAAATCTACATTTAATCTAAATGCTGACACTAGCAAGCCCCCTACCAGCGGTTTAATCCAAAGGCAGTCAATGGATGATGTTCGAGTGCCTGAAGATCCACAATGGCGACCAGGCATAATATTATTGTCTACGGAGTAGATCATCTTATATTATTATCAGCCCTGAGACCACTTCCTGAGTTGTTGCTGCTGTTGCTTTCTCTTCCGCCGTTACTTGCGCCCGTTTGCTGTGGCCTTCTGGAAGGCTGTCCATTCTTTACCGATTTAATTCTAAGACTGCGTCTAGGTTACACTCTTTACCTCTTTTTCATTCTTTTGACCTTTGATTTTAACCTTTCTTCCTTTCTTTCGTTCGTACGTTCATTTATCCTTTACTCCCTTGATCTTGCGGGTGAGATCTACCAGCGTTGTGGCCCGATATCCTCTGAACATGGCCCGAGGAATGTTCTCAGGAAAGTTGCGCAGCCCACAAGCGACAGCTGGGAGCATCTCAAACCCGGTCTTGAAATATACAGATGCATTACCCCGGACTGACCTGCGCGATATCGAGAATGTTGCGAACACATCTCGTCCTGCAAACCGCGCCGTTGCGCAGTGGGACTTTCAGCGGCCAAGAATAGCAGATACACGTAACTTGATCAGAAAAGGAGCAGGCCCTACCCCCGGCTTCGATTTTCGAGTTGCCGTCCCACCGGATGAGGCGCTGCCTTCTCCCCAGACTTCTGAGCACGATCCAAACGTGAACATGATCGGAATCGCTCTAGGGAGTCCACGGATGATCGAGCCGCAGACTATGCTTTCGCAAATGGAAGAACGACCGCCAGTTCCGAGCACAAAAAGCCCCGAGCAAACGCCGCCTCTACAGCGCAAGCCGAGTAAGTGGAGAAAGATTGGAGGCCTGTTCAAAGCGAAGAATGCTATGACGCCGGATGCGAACCAGCCGTTTTATCAAGTTCGCTGCGGAGAGGAGTGGCCTTTTCAGGAATCCACTCATTCTATTGACTCTCAAAATCAGGAGAAAGTGAAGCATGCTCCCGAGGCACCTTCCCATGCGGAAGTATGGCCTTGCTTCGAGTCTGAGAATGACTCTAAGGACAGCAACAACTCCAATCAGTCGGCGACTGCAATTCAGGACCTAACTCGGGATAACCAGTTGGTCCCGGCTGCGAAACTCCGTTGTGCAGGACCATTGTTGCATGTGGACATTCCCGACGTGCAGCTGGAGAGGTACAGCGTTATGTTCGGCGGTCTGCTGAATAAGAACGAACCCTCACTGCTGAACAGACGAAGCAAGACCTTGGACGACATCACTATTCCAACGCAGACAGAGGTATAATATCAACCATCATCCAACACGCATCTCCCCTGACTAACATTGAACTAGACGTCATCTCTCGCCTCGCCAGATTTGCCTCTCCCTCAACGACGGGCAACTTCGCCGCGACCAAGACTTCCCAACTTCAATTTGTTTCCAGCACAAGCGCCTGTGAGCAAGGCCTCGAAGGTCCTGGGTTCCCAGAATATACCACGGGGTGTCAGTCCGGTTCACCGCAGCCAGAACTCCCTCTCGCAATCTGGCTCGGTGACTCCTACAAACGAACAGAGTCGCTTCGTTCTGATGGTGCATAGCCCATCAGTCAAGTCACCCATGTCGCATCAGCCCAAAGACTCCGTCTCGTCTGCAATCTCCTCTGACCCGATCGATCCCGCGGAGGAGCAGCGCCTCCTGGAACGGCTGAAGCAAACAAAAGCCTACGTTAACACCGAAGAAGAACCTGAATGGGAGATCATCAGCAAGAACCTTGCCAAGGAGATGCCGACCAGCACCTCGACCCCAATCACAAACCTACACCCCGTCCCAATCCCTGCTCCCAAGCAGAGATTTCCTCTCGCCCTAACCATCAACACCCAAGTCCCCCCCTCCGAAGCAGGCAGTGCGGACCCCGCCTCCGCCTCCGCCTCCGCCTCCGCCGCCTCCTCCCCGCTCCTCTCCCCCCTCAACTCCGCGACCCGCGAAAGAACCGAGCGGATGAGATCAGTGTCGCGATCAAGCTCACGATCTCCAGCCCCACAATCCGCCATCTCCCACGCCTCATCTACACGCATGCCCCTCAGCGACGAAAACGACAGCGAAGAAACCGACACCATCGAGCGCATCGACTCCATCCCCAAGATCGAGGTCTCCATCGCGCGATCTATGTCTATTTCGCGCGGCAAGAAGCAGATTCTTGTCCCCATCGGGCCGCGGCCAGATCGACTGAGCCCGGACGAGCGGCTTGTCGTCCGTCGGGCGAAGACGCCGCAGGTGAGGGATGCGCATTACGGCCATCGGCATGGGAATTCGCAGGACGCGCAGATCGAGACTATTTAACCTTTACAAACTGGGAAGAGGGAAAGAAAAAAAAAAAAAAAAAGAAAGAAAGAAAGAAAAAGAGAATTTCTCTTTGTTTCTTTGAACAACGGAAAACATATCAACCAGTGGAATGGAGCGGAGTTGTTTGAGCGCAGGAAGCCGCTTTTCGGATTCTTTTTTTTTTTTCTTTCTGTTGTGTCGTTGACGACCTGATTTTCCTTTTCTTACATTCCCTTCTATTAAGCCTTTGCATGTACATGCAAAGGCACTTCTTTTTTTTTTCCTTAATTTGGCGGTGGAAGATCGACTTTTATTCTTGTGGGTATATTCTGAGGGCGGTTTGGTATAGGCGACGGATTGGATTAAGGGTGCAATTGAAGATCTATTAATCAAACTCAAGTATTTGCTAATGAGGTTTCGCTACTTACATACATTATGTACATCTTCGGCGTGAAATTAAAATCTCTAGTTGGTAGGCATGTTCCGAAATATATATGCATACTCAAAACGTGTATTTCGAATTTCGCGACACCGTCTCGAAGGATCTATACACATCTATCTATCTACTAATATATATATTCTTCCCTCAACTCTTCTCAGGAACATTCGACGACTCCGGCAAACTCTGCGTCTCCGGCGTCAAACGCACCTCCACATTCGGCAACACCCACTCCATCCCGGGATACGTATCACTAATGAGCTTAACATTGACACCACCGCCGGCTGCGCCCGTATACTGCGCCAAGACATCGCGAGGAAACTTAACAGACGAGCGGACGGTGAGGAGGGGTCCATTCGCGTTCTTCTGGCCCCTGCCCGACGAGGAGTGCTGGCTGGAGCCGGCGCCGTTGCGATGGCGGTTCATTTTATCCCTTGGGGGCCAGGAGACGCGCTTCAGGGCGAGGAGCTCGCCGTCTGCGCCGTTGGCGGCGGCGGTGCAGACGAGGAGGAAGAAGCCTTCTGTTTGGGGCTTGGGGAATCGCGGGGCGTAGACCCTGTAATCTGGGTTTGTGGGGGTGTTGCGGCGGGTTAGGGATATGGTGATGCCGGTTGACGAGACGTTGGCGATGGATAGGGAGATTTGGGGTAGGAAAGAGGCGGCTTTGGTGAACTGCGCGGCGGTGGAGAGCGGCAGTTGCAATTTTCTCGCGAGAGAGGAAATAGAAGATGTGGGTAGCGCGGAAAGTGCTGCGAGGGAGCCTGGGAGGGCTTGCGGCTTGCTTGCGGGGTCGATGCCCGGGAGGATCGAGAGGGCGTTGTCCTCGGGCCATCTGGCCGATTTGATACTTTGGAGCAGACTCATGAGCTGTTCGCAGGCGCGAAGGTAGCCTAGCTCGGCCATGATGTCGATTGATGCTTGGATGATACGAATACCCTGGTCGAGAACAGAGGTCTGGTCACCGACGTAATCGGAAATGGGAAGATCGATGCGCGACATGTATGCTTGGAGGAGCAGGAAGGCCTTGACATGCGGATCCCAGAGCGGGAGGTCACCCATGGGCTCGACCGACAAGGGGAGGTTGCGAGTCAGCTCAGCATTGATTAAATCTTCGTTGTGTCTGACGGGCAGCTCGTCGAATTCCGTTGCAGAGCACATCCAGCTAAGCACATCGTGGAACGTGGGGTTGGGTTTCGCGTGCGACATCAGATACCGCACGGTCTTGTGCGAGAGGTAGTAATAACTCATGATCTTGCCAAAGGGCGTCGAGTCCACCTCACCAGTGGCCGAGTCGAACACCACACAAGACGACTCTGCCAGCTCACCAAGGGAATTGTCCACCAAGTCAATCATGAACTCCTGGGCGATAGCCTGGGCAGCCATTGTGTTGTGCTCTTCGGCGGATATCTCCAGCCCGTAGTACGAGGGATTCTTGTGCAGTCTGCGGAAGAAGAATGTCCACGTTAAGTAATCAAGAGCGTCTTGCTTCGTCGTCACTGTACCAGCAGAGACCTCGGCTCCCAAATGGTTGTCCAGGACCTTGTGCAGGGTAGACTCAACGGGGAAGCCAGTGTGCAGGAAATGCTTATAGAAGGCTTTCTTCGAGTCTTGAGTGAAGATACGTGCAATACCCGACGTGTCGAATTGCGGACGTCCAGCACGACCCAACATCTGCAGGACGTCAGTCAGATCCATGTCTCTGTAACCTTCGATCTTCGCATCGAAGAACTGCGTGCCCTTGACGACGACAAGATGCGCCGGAAGATTAACACCCCACGCAAGGGTGCTTGTTGCCACAAGAATCTGGATCTTGTTGTTCGCGAACAATTCCTCCGCCAGCTGTCGGTCAGACTCGACAAGACCGGCATGGTGCAAGCCAATACCGAAACTGAGCGCCTCGCGCAACGCTTCATCCTTTACTCGGGCCAGGTTCAGCTCGAGGTCTTCTTCCGACACTCGGACGAAGCGACGCGGGTTATCTTCCATACCGCAGTAGTTGATCAGGTCCTTCGCGGTCAGTCGGGTCTGTCTGCGGGAAGCGACGAAGACAATGACGGGCTTCTCAGGCGAATGGCTCTTAATCGCAAGGAAGGTTGGACGGTTCATGGACTGCATCAGCGGAGAGAATCCCCGTTGCTCGGGGAAGCCATCGATGTAGATCTCAAGAGGTACCGGACGCACGGAGTGCCGGAAATTGTACAGTCCTTCCTTGACTCCCAGCCAGTTTGCCAAGTCCGTGGCATTCGCACAGGCGGTCGACATACCCATAAGTCGAACCGATCCTTCGGACTGTGAGGCGATGTAGTTCATACGAGACACGATGATTTCCAGAATTGGGCCACGGTCACCACCCAAAAGATGAATCTCGTCGATGATGACCAAACTCACTTTCCGCACGTAGTCTCTAGTCTGCCAGCTACGCGAGATACCGTCCCATTTCTCAGGCGTTGTGATGATGATATCCGCGTCTCGGATCGTCCTTGTATCAGGAGTATTGTCACCAGTCAACTCCACCAGTTTCAAGCCCATGGGGCCTGTGAGACGCTTGCCCCAGTCCTGGACTCGTTCACGGACGAGTGCTTTCATTGGCGCAATGTACACGACCTTAGATCCAGGCTTCTCCCTGAATGCCCACCACATCGCCAACTCGGCGGCAACCGTTTTTCCACTACCAGTGGGCGAACCAAGCAGAACGTTGGCTGAGGTGTGGTACAGCATATGGAAGATCTGGGTCTGCATTGGGTTGAAAAACTGGAAGCGCTGGCCGTAAAGTTCTTCAAGGATTGGGTTTTGCAGCGCAGAGATAGGCAATGGCTGGAGATTGAGCAGGTCAGTGTACACGCTCTCCGTGTCTGGACGGATCAAGTGTTGAAACGAGACAGGCGTGACTGTTTCCGCTCCTAGCCATCGGTCAGAAATTGCGCGGACATAGATCTGACTCGGCAGCGGATCTGAGAGAGGGATGGTAAAGTTAAGCTCATGCTCATCATGTAGCTTCTTCCGACTGAGAATAAAGTATTCGTGGTGGTAGATCTCCGATGTTTCCGAATTCTCAACCCAGATCCAGTACGACTCCGACGCCCCATGATGCCTATCATTCCAAGAAAATTCGGGATACAAGCAGAGTCGGATTCGCAGTACGTCACGATTCAAAGGAGCGATTTCGGCCTCCACACTCAGAGTGGGAAAATTGTCCAGCAGTTTGGCCAAAGTTTTTCCCATCCGCTGATTGTGCACGAGCTGGCCGATCTCCGCGACATCCATGTCCCTCATGGATTCCAGTGATGACGACGGCAGCTTTTCGTCAAGGTTCTTGAGAATCGGCTGAGGGAGATCGAACTGGTGGAAAGGATGGTCAAAAGGCCAGATTTGCTTCTCGATAGACTTGCAGAGCGACAATAGCACCTGACATTGGTATCCCCAGCGGCGGTTCAGTGCAATCATGAAGAGGGCTCGGCAGATACGTGCAGCATTTTGCGCTACGTAACCCATATCAGAGACCAGCGCGAAATCTTCAAGCTTAGCGCGGGAAATGTAGGACTGCAGAAGAATGTTGGTCTTCGCATGAGGCGAGTCATTACCCCCCTCGACTTCTGTCTGAATAGCTTCATCGCGCAGCCGGTCCAGCTCCTTCGACTCATTGTCTCGAGCTTGGATGTTGTCGAATTCGCCGCTCATACTGATCATCTTGAGCACGTCCGCTTCACCCGAGCGAGGGCGCATCATATCATTGAATATTTCGACACTGGTCTGCAAGACATAATACTGGCTTGCAATACGGCCCACATCTTTCGCGCGCAGTTCTTCGGTCTTCTCGTTGAAGATGATCATCTGACTCTTCTGCAGCACTCGTGCGGCCTGGATGATCAGCTGGCGCCGTCTCTGCACCAACATCGGATCGTCGCGAATCTCAGCAAAGTCAATGCCGTAATTCCGCGGCTCACGTAACATGCGAACAAAAAGATAGGAGTAGCCCAGCCATTGCACCGCTTCGGGGACGGAGGTAACGGTGCCAAGCGAGATCTCAGCATTCAAATTGTCCACAAGCCGGCTAGAAAACCTGGACTCAATCGGCTGCTGGGAGGTCACTGCGTTTAGGTAGTGATGCAATTTGTCGTGCGTGGTGCAGATGAAACCAATACCGGTATCCTGGAATTGAGGACGTCCAGCACGACCGAAGATCTGCAGGACATCCAGAATACCAAGATCGACAAATTTACCCTCCTGTGGGTTATACAGCTGCGTACCCTTGATGACGACGGCGGCAGCCGGAAGATTGACACCCCAGGCAAGAGTGGCGGTACAGCAGAGCACCTTAATGAGGCCTTCAGAGAACATGCGCTCCATTAAGTTGCGGTCACTCCGAGTCATTCCAGCATGGTGCGTGCCGAAGCCGCTAGCAAACAAGTCTCTCAACTCACGCGCGCGGGCATGTTTCATATCGCGCAGGGCGTTCGAGTAATTTTCATGCTCATGGCAGCTGAAGAGATTCTCGCAGCCGTTCTCGACGGCCATTTGACGTAGCATTCGAGCCGTAAGCACCGTATCTTTGCGCGAGTGCACAAAAACCATGATCTGATGCCCACGCTCGAGCATTTCGCGGACCTTTTCAAACGCCACGACGTCCAGGTTTTCGCGGGATTGCTTAGAGCCTGGCTTTCCTTTGACACCGATGAAATGTTGTTCTAGAGGGACCGGTCTGAATGATCCATCGAAGAAGAACAAACCAGCCATTTTATTCACTTTTAGGAAATCTGCCACGTCGATGTAGTTTGGCAATGTAGCGGACAACCCCACAATCCGAATAAGGGACTGAGTGCTTTCAACCTGGCGTTGCGTTCGGGCGACCAAGGACTCGATGACAGCACCACGTTCATCATGAAGCATGTGGACTTCATCAATGATCAACAAACGCACCTTCTGTACAAGTTCCGTATCTCCGGTGCTCTTCCGGGTCACGACATCCCACTTCTCAGGCGTGGTGACGATGATCTGTGTTTCAACAATCTCACGCTTGGTCAGCTGCATGTCTCCCGTCAGTTCCCTGACTCGGATCCCAAGCCATGCAAGTCTTTTCCCAAGCTTTTCTGTTACTTCTGCGGCGAGAGCCTTCATCGGCGCCACGTAAACGATCTTGAAGTCATCCACCTGGACGGCGAACTCTGTAGCGTCTGGCTGCTCGATGGGATTGGGGACGGTGTTCTTGCCGATTGTATTGAGAATCGTCAGCATGGCAGCATCCGTCTTACCGGCACCGGTTGGAGCACAAATGAGCATGTTTTCGCTAGTTTTGTACGCTACATCATAGAGCAAGCTCTGCATTCGATTCAAAGACTTGTAGCCCTTGAAAGTCCCCTGACACAGGCCATCCAATGACATAATCTCAACCAGCTTCTGTCCCGCACCGAGCGTGCCGACCCTCGAAGCCGGGATCTCGAATTCGGTATACTTTGGCTCATCGATCTGCTTGCTGCCAACAGGAAGACCATATCTCTTTCCTCCCAGCGCAAGGGTATTCCGCGAGTCGTGCGACTTGAAGACATGCGGGTATTTCGGTTCCTGCCTAGTCTGAGCGGGTAGTAGCGGGGCATGCTTATGTTCGAAGTCCTGCTGCCACAAAACCTGTTCACGCTCCGCCCTCGTCTGCAGTCTACCGGCTATCAACCCATCCGTCTGTGCCTCCGTCTTCGAGGCCATGGACGCGAGAATCTCCGCACGGTGTCCGATCAGCTCGATGACGAAGTCGAGATCGTCGAAGCCCACGATCTCAGCCAGCGACATCTGCAGCTCATCGTCGCCGCTGTCCGTCGCTAGGGAGGCCGTGATCTGCTGCGCGAGCTCGTGTGCGTCCATGCCGGGCTTCTGTAGCGTGATGACCTGGCATTTCTCCTCCAGCCATGTTTGATCGTAAGGCGACGTTGAGGGAGGGAGAGGCACGCCGTGGACGTCGTCGAAGTCTTCGCTGCTTTCGTCGTCGGAGCTGATGATATCCCAGATATCGTCTACAGTGCCCGGAGAAGAATAGTCATCGTCGAGATCGAGGTCCAAGTCGCTTCCGTAGCTGAGCTGGTTTTTGGTGGGGTCTTTGGGAAGCTTCAATGCGGCAATCGCCTCGCGCATGGCGGTCAGTTGGGTGAGCCACTGTGACTCGATGGGAGCTGTTCCGTCCATCTTGACAGATATGTGAGGATAGAATTGTGAGAAAGAGAATGCACGAGGGTATTGATGCGTAATTAAAGCTGATGGTGGTGGAGAGATTGGAGTTTGTCAGGAATCAGGATGAGTCGAGCTGACTAGATAAGATCTGGTGGCCTGGGGCATCCACTGTATCCACATTCCAGTCCCCACAACTCCATCCACCTCATGAGTCAAGAGTGAGTCGATCCGAGGTATTGCTTGAAGTGAATTCCAGCATGCATATTGCGATTATGTAACAAAAGCAAGCATTCAGGAACTGACAGGCGATTAGAAAATGCAAGCGAATCGGCAGTGGATAGGCCATTATACCTATTCTTGTCATTTCTCTAGTTCTAATCTGAAATTGTACATACGTCGTGCCTTCTAGGTCCAATTCGCCGGCATGTGTCACATCCTCATATCCCAATTTACACAAACAGAACACCCCCACCGTCTCTCAGTAAAATCCTACATGGCCCCATTCCACGAGATATAATGCTCCAACTTGCCAAGACACGCGTCAGTCGCCATGAGATGCGAGCACCTGGGAGTCTTCTCAGCACGCTAAAACAAGCCCGAGAGCTTCGTAAGACACTTCGCACAGCTCCGATAGAAGTAATCCCATCTTGGCCAATGTATTTACGATGCTGATAGCAGCGGCAAGCGAGCCGATTGATCTTGTGGAAATCAGCTCCAGAGCTGCACCTGCCTGATTCAAGATGAATCACCATGCCCGAGGAAGACTTGAAGAGTGAAAAACAGCCGCGGCACTCCATGGTTTTTGGCTGGTGACACAGTTAGTGCTGTGGGAAGCTGTTTAGCGCCATTGCTACAGGGCTGTGGAGCACATGGAGAGAATCAACATACCATCCGCAGATTGTTCTCATTGTTGAAGTATCCACCGTAGGGGGGGCACAGATAGCGGTAGTCGACGCGGCGGCCCGCCAGTTCCCATACCATGTTGAATCGAGGTCTGTGGCGACCTTGTGTGCAATTGTGGCTGCGGTTAGGCGAGAAATACAGGCGGGTTTTCCTTCGCAGCTGGCGACACGAGGACTCAGGTACATGTTTCGCATCATTTATGGCGACTCGTGAACCGACAGTGATTGAAAAGGGCACTTCTGGTTGTGAAGAATCTCGAGCAGAGCTGACATTCATAGTTCACGCCGTCGAAGGCCAAACCCGGTCCTAGAGCGACATGTCGATATGCTTGGGAGATACGGCAGAAACTAAAGAACGCTCGTGTGCCAAGTCAGGATAAATAGGCAGGTAGTCGAGATTATCAGGCGAATTACAGCTTAGATAGTAGATCGAATAATTTACAAAGAGAAGCCGTCTGTATGCTCACGCAAGTGACATGTCATATGTAAACCGAGGCCAGCTACCAGCAATATTGACAGAAGATTATTCTGTTGACCTGGATATGAAGTGAATTCTCCAAGACTCTAGAGGAAGATAGCGGTCTTGGCAATAGAGACTGTGAATGCAAATCTTGTGGATTGGTGCATCCGGTCGAAGAACAACAGACAGTGAGGAAAGTGGAACTGTGGAGTATCTGGATAATCGGAGGAGCGGGACCACATGTGGCTTTAATCTACCTGATCAACGTGGTCTCCACAGATTGCATCTAGAGTCTGGAATCTGGACACTATAGGCTGTGACAATCATGTAGTATACAATCCGGGGGTATGGGAAAGAATGGAGGGAAGAAGGGGATATGGAATGATCATCGGCCACCAGAGAATGTTGTCGGGAGGAGAGAGTGGCTCTGACCTGGACTTCTCACTGATTGAACCGTGCCGAGGTACAATGAATACACCGTCCGTATGCAATAGCTAAAGAATCGACTAGATCCAGGACAATGACTATTTGGACATTCAAATGATTTACAGACAACGTCTCTTAACTCCAGGAACAAAAAGACAGACGACCAGTATGTCGCATGCAGCCGTAATTAGGATCAAGGGCAAACAAAAATGGGGTATATGCATGAAAAATTCTACCAGAAATTCGAGCTCCCGTAAACATCCTGATAGCATTGGAAAGCCTCGGGGCAGAAGACGGGATCCTTCCCGAAAATGATATGCCAGCTGAACTCCATGATCCAAGCGGTGACGGTATCCGGCAGTTTGTTGTTGAGAACCCAGTCGTAGTATCGTTGGTAGTCGCTCAGAGGTCGCTTGAGGACCTGATCTCGCGACACGGCGAACTGCGAGCAGCAGGGGGCCCCGATGACTTCGGGGATGTCGGTGTTGTTGAAGAGGTCGACCCAAGCTTGGGCATACGCTCGCTCGTTTGGCTTTCCTGGCCGGGGCGGATCGTCCAGCGGTCTGATCTCATCCGGACAGCCGGGGGTTTCCTGACAGCGAAGATTGACATAGCCGCTCTTTTGGACGAAGTCGGCCTGCAGCGCTCGGATCGAGTCCACGTTGCTGTAGTCCATGGTATCCGTGTGCCAGGCCGCGGGCCAGCCGGCCTTGTGGCTATGGAGGAAAACAATCATTGAAGGGAGGTCGTTGTAGTGGTCGACGATGTATTGGAGGTAGGCAAGGCTTTCGCGTCCTTTGTTCTTGGGAGTGCGTCGCGGGGCGTTCGGATCGTCGACGGTGTAGATGAAATTGCGCCATCTGGGCGGAATTAGTCTCCGGACCAGAGTCTCGAATATTGCCAGGATGTACTCACTCTCCTAGATCAATGCCCACCCAAGCCGTATCTTCCCTGCTCAGTTTGGCTATTACAATCACTCTGTCGTTGGGAACGATGATCGGAGTGGTCTCGAAAGTGGGCGTGGACGGCTCCTTTCCTGCTGTGGGTGTCGCGTATATCATTTCTTGGTGGCTCGCCGGGGTGACGACCGGTTCAGGGAGACTTTCCTCTGGCACATTGGTGAACTGCCAAAGGGACTGCACCAGCGAGTCATCCTGGATTGTGTTGAGATGACGCTTGATCAGGAAGAAGGTGAGGATCAGTAGGGCGGCTGACCCGACTCGATATGAGAGTCTCATTTCATAATATCTGCTGTGGCGTATTTAAATAAAAATCTACTGGGGGCAAAAGAGTGGACTGCCGAGCTGGTGAAATTGTTGCCCATGCAAGGAAGGAAAAAGAAGGGGTCACGAACGTGGAAGAGTTTGGGGAATATTTAGTGAATAAATGAGTGTACGTAAGAGAAGAAAACTCAAGTGAGACAAATGAGAAGATAAAAAGAAAAGAAGAATAAGAGAAATAATGGACCCTGAAACAGCGTGGGAAACCCCCGAAAATTGGCTGACTGTTGACACCTGCGAGGGTGACCTGGATGCGATGCTTATCAGAGGAAGAAGCTTTTAGCTTTTTTTTTTTTTTTTTTTTTTTTCTTCTTCTATGGAGCGGGATTCGCAAGCTGAACCGGGCGCCGATCTCTAGGGGCCGGACAGTTAATCAATTATTATTACGGAAATCGGAGTAGACTAGTCAGTAGTCAGTAGGTTGATAATTATTAATCTTAATAATCGGCCTTGAAACTATCAGTTATGCTGACAGGGATCGAGATTAAAAAAGGAGATCATTTGCTGTTTCCTGTGTTCAAGGTGAGTACCGCTTTTATGAGGATGACGAGGACATCCAATCTACTGTGTAAGCACACAAACTACCTCAGAGCTCAATGCTTCGACGATAAAGGATTTCCCATTGGTGCTTCAGCAGGTGCATAAGTGTTCATAGATAGTTAGCGATAACACCGAGCAGCCCTCGATCTGACAAGTCTTCTCATCAATAAGTGAAGTGAGATTGTCCTAGCAGTCGAGACCCCTATTCGCCATTGCTACAAATCCGCTTCCCGTCAACGAAAGTCATCACTAGAACTGGCCATCCCGGTACATATACTCCAAGGTTTCCCACAACCCCAGAATCTACAGACGGCCAGTCGAGGATCAAATCGTGACCTACGGCGTAGCCTTACGGAATTGCGCCATCGGCATAGGGACAAAGCCGCTACCTTGATCAACAACTGTACTCAACCTCTGGCATATCTATTACCTCGTGGTCTTCTAGGAGCGAAAAAGCGGCGTGCATGTTGGGCCTGGATGAAATCTAAAAGAAGCGTCAGTAATCAGTACGTAGTATTCAAGAAGCACAGAATATCAATGCCGCTTCTCATGATGACGACGTACCAATCGCGGTAGTCCTTAGTCGGGGAAAAATGCCGATCCAAGCATCAAACTGAACGACAAGATCTTCAGCATTCGTAACATCTGCCCGGCGAGGGAATTGGGTCATTGGTCACAGCGGCCGCCGGTCGTTCGTCCTTCCTAGGAAGAACAAGGGCCGACCGGAGAAAGTATTGAGCAGATAATAAATAGGTAGTCGACGCAATGCAGCTATCCAAGACTGGTGAGTGGTCGCGACTGTCAACTGTGGCATGAGAATAACTCTATCGTGAAGATCCAGCACTGATATGGGTATGATCCACCAGCCGACGAGTCTATCTCAAACACTCCGTGTCGCACAATGTCACTGGCCCGATTGGCAGCAAATGGAGTCTTGTCTGATGTTGAACTCTGGACTCTGAAAAAGTTTCCCTCGGGATATGGATTTGATTGACTGTATAGTAACCAGTTAGTGTATTCGTATTCTGTGTAGTTATCGAGACAATCATGTCCGTTCACTTATTCAACCGAATTCAACCGAAGTTACGTACTGGCTAAATCCAGGTCAACACCGCAGATCAACATATATATGCCCCCTCACGGGCATTAAAAACACGACAAGTACATGGAAAACCCTTCTATGTGTTCAAAGTCCCCTCTACCCATCTTCAGCCAGGATACGCCAATCAACACTCCGCTTGATTGCCTATCATAATAATATCACCCCGCCCCGCGGATTTCTCGATCACCCAGGGCACTCACTGGCTTTGACACAATCTCTCGTAAAGTCTAACGTGGCCAGAAGGAAGGAAGTAGGATAGTGATGGGGTGCTGATGCCGGTATGACATGACAAGTTGGACGTTGTCCTACGTTGGCTTTGGGCTTCTGTAGGGTATGGGTATGGTTAAGGATGGGTGGTATAACCAAGGGACGGGAGTGTGATTAGTTAGATACAGTAGTATTATTCATCGGGATCGATAAACATATGTCATACGCTTAAAGTCATTGTGACTGCATTGATGAAGTGCTCGGTAGATAACAGAAACCCTGGAAGAAATACAAATCCCATCTATCAAACATGCTAGATCCAAATCAACCTGCCCAAGCAAAGCGATAAACACACCCTGAACCGTAACATTGGAAAGAAAGAAGAAAAAAGAAAGAAAAACGCCATCCACTCAAAATCACAAACGCTCGAGAGATGCATCACTACCATGAAGATGGAGAAAACCCGCAACTGAAGGGGGAAAAACAAAAAAAGTTCAACAACACCTCCCCTTCTTCTTCGCAACCTCCATCAACTCCTCCCCATCATCCCCAATACTACTCGGCGGAAACCCAAGCCAACTCCTGCGCTTGTCGCCGTGTCCCAGCCGGAAACTCCCACTTCCATCCAGACTGTTCAACGATGACACAACACCATCGATTCCGGGCGTCGTGCCCTGCGAGGTGATATTCCCAGCCTCGCGCTTATTCCGCTGCTCGACTAGCTTCCGCGTAATGACACGGAACACCTCTTCAATCCCCTCGCCATCCTTGGCGGAGATCTCATGGCAGCAGTCCCACCCGATATCCTGGCCCCAGAAGCCACTGCTGCGCTTGCTATCGGGGCTCTGCAGCGCACTGCCCGGGAACCCGCATCCTATCCCAGACCCCGACGCAGACCCCATCGTTGCCGTAGGCGGCGGCGTCGACGCACGGCTCGGATACAGCTGCTCGGCGACATACGCGATGGTGCGCTCAAAGGGGACGCGGCGGCGGGAGGGGTCCAGCGCGACGATATCGGACTTTGTGCCGACAACGTGGATGACGATGGGGTCGTCGCCGTGCAGATTATTCTTGAGCTCGAGCAGCCAGCCGGTCATCTCGTGGAAGCTCTGCTCGTCGGTGATGTCGTAGCAGAGCAGGCAGGCGTTGGCGCCGCGGTAGTACAGGCGCGAGATACTGCGGAAGCGCTCCTGACCAGCGGTGTCCCAGATCTGTAGGCGCACGACCGTGTCGGACGTGGTGTCGAGCACGCGTTTGGTGATGAACGAGGCGCCCACCGTCGAGGTGATGGTTGCGGGGCTGAAGGCGTTCTTCACATAGCGCTGGACGAGGGAGGTCTTGCCGACTCCTGGGAAGGGGACTGGGTGTTAGCGACGGGGAGCAATGTGGCGGCTGCAGCACAGTCCAATGGGGGATTTATATGAAATTAACATACCTTGCGAGCCCAGCACAACGATCTTCGCCTCGAGAGAGGAGCTCATGGCGGGGTAGACACGATAGCGGGGGGGCGCACGGAGAACAGCCTTTGCATGATCCAGCAGGAGAAATTTCCCGGGGGAAATCAAGTCGCAATGGGCGCAGATGCTCGACAGGGAGCTAGAGCTGTAGCCTGTATGTATGTAGCACCGGCAGGAGAATTCTAGACCCGCGACGTTCGAGTCTACGCGAGGTACCGGACACGCTGTGGCGCGGGACTGATTGGGCTGGCTTATGGGCGCTTTATCCGGTCGGATGGAGAGTGAGAGAGATTTCGCGAGAAATCAGTTATCAAAGAATTTGCATCCTCGAAATATATGCAAAGATTAATTAGTAGATCACGTCAATGGACATAAATGATTAGTCCTCATACTAAAAAAAAAAAAAAAAAAAAAAAGAGCAAGCCTTTCTTCAATACCCCAAACAATCAGGTTTTGTACTTGGCTGTGTGTGGTCTCAGATCAATAATCAGGGTGAAGAGAACGGACTCCTTACATTCCCCCAACCACTTCATGAAACCAGATAGAAATGCTAGACGAACTGAATTTGTACGAGGTCAGGGAATAAATAGGAAAATAGTAAGGTGCAGATGGAAATACATGCGAATAGGTAGTTCTGAAGCCGGACGGGTGCTTGGTAATGAATGACTCGTCTTGAGGCTGAGCCAGCTGACTGGAAGGAAAGATGACAATGTGACTCGAAAAATCAGGCTCTGAACAAACCACGGACGGAGTAGGTCCATCCATCATCGTCTATCGTGTAGTGGCATAGATAGTTGCCTACGGGCACCGGTGAGAATAATGCCTCTATTTACTGGACAGCTTTGGTTTACACAAATCCCGATGATGTTGATGGAGATTCAAGAAACCATCTCCCTTGCACAACCAGGCCCAAGTGCTATCTATCTATCTATATACTTCAATACGCCGGGTCGGAGAACAATACTCAAGATGAAACTAATGAAGTCTATTTCAAAGTCTATGGCGACTCTAATGGTATCAAAGCGTCCATACTGCCATCAAGAAACAATGTACAAAAAAGGGCCTCCCAGTGTCATAACCTCCAAGATCTGTCCTACAGTAGGACCGCAAAGGGGTAGTCGCAAAAATCACAAGAAAAAAACAGGATATGTATCAAAAGACGCTGCACCCAGAAACCAGACCGGGGCAGTCTTGAGCATTCATGACGGTGTCAAACTCGTCCGGCTGAATTCCATCGGCAAAAGCTCCAGCTCGGCCAAGGAAACCAGAGAAAAGAGGCATAACAAGCATGTTTCATCAGAAGATAGCAAAACTTCATAAACGGGAATTTTTTCACAAAGAAAGGATCAGACTCAGGCATATTACTGAGTACTCTCCAAGCGCTCGGCAAGGTTATGCTCGGCATGAGCCTTCTCCATGTCATCGATGGAGTCGCTAGAACCATACTTGGCAGCCTCGACTTCGATCTCGTGGTCTTCCAGCTTGGGCAGTTCCTTGGAAGCCTTGACATAGCTGATGTTCTCAGCATAACCCTTGGCGAAGATAAGATCGATTTCTTCCAGACTTCGGTTGGCGGTTTCCGGGTAGAAGAACCAGATCACGGGAATGAACAGGGCATTCATAGCCGCAAAGAAGAGATAGGTACCCCAGCCGATGTTGGCGATCATGACCGGTGTGATCATGACGACCGTGAAGTTGAAAAGCCAGTTGCTGCAGGTAGAGACAGCGTTGGCCTTGGCTCTGGTCTTGATAGGAGACAGCTCAGCGGGGTACAGCCAGGGCAGAGGCAGCCAAGCAGCACCAAAGGCGGCCATGTACAGGAAGAGACCAAATACAGCGCCCTTGGAGGTCTCCTCGTCACCGGGAATCAAGCAAGCGAACGTGATGACCATGGAGATGGCCTGGAGGAAAGAACCTCCCAGGAAGAGCTTGCGACGGCCGATCTTCTCAATGAAGAACCAGGAGAATGTGGCGAAGATGGAATAGACGATCATGTTGATACCACCAATCAGCAAGGCCATATCGTTAGTCTGGTTGAGGGATTCCTTCAGCAACACGGGGAGATAGTAGATGACCGCGTTGCAACCGCCAAGCTGCTGGAAGATCTGAGAAGAGGAGCCAACAAGCATACGACGGAAATGCTGGGTACGGCCACCAGTGAGCAGATCCTTGAATCGGGTCTTCTGACCAGCACCAGAACTGTCATGGGAGGTTAGCATCCATGCCACATATCCGATAGAATTGAGGAGAACTTACGCCCTGATGGACTCGATGACGAGCTGCTTCTGAACCTGGGTTTCGGGATCATCAATCTCGCGGCCAGCCAAGGCAGCGAGCACACGCTCGCCCTCCTGGATGCGATCCTTGGAGATCAGATAGCGAGGGGAATCAGGCAAGAAGAACATGCCAACAATGATGATAATACCGAAGAAAATCTGGAAAGCGATGGGGAAACGCCAAACCAGATCATCCGGACCGTAGTGGGCGCCGAAATCGATCCAGTATGCGATGGCGGTACCGATGGCAATCACACCACCCTCAATACAGATCAACAGACCACGGTTGCTGGTCTTGGAGCACTCGGCCTGGTAGGTGGGGATGGTCGATGTGTTCATGCCGTTTCCGATACCGGTGATAACACGACCGATGAAGAATTGGAGGAGCGGGATGTGTCCGACAAACGAGGTAACCTGGATAATGACACCAATGATCATGACAATCGCACCGGAGAAGATCATCCAGCGACGACCCGTGCGATCACCAAAGATCAGAGCGAATAAGGCACCCGCCAAACAGCCTACAGTTACGATTGTTAGACATGCGAAGGTAAACGAAGCAGGAAGAATAACCTACCAAGTTCGTAGACAGCGGTCACCAGGGCCTGCATTGTCGAATCGTCCTTGGTAGCAGTGAACACCTTGGCGAAGGCATCGTCACTGATGATACCCGACATGACACCCTCTTATCTTCGAGTTAGCTTGGATGGGCCTTCTCATGCAATCCCCTCGAGAGGGTCAACACTTACGGTCATATCCGAACAGCAAGAAACCCATTGTGGCCACAGTTGACACTGCCAACGATAGTGGCCGGCCAGACAGGCCAGCATATGAAGGCGGCATGATGAGAAGAAGGTGTGTAGAAATGGGGATAGAAGGACGGTCAAGGCAGATATGACAACCAAGGATCTTCAGAAGCTGTCTTCCTTGAGAAAGAAACGGGAGAAGGAAAGGAGTATAATGCTATGAACTGGAAGAGACACAAGTAACAGAACGTGGAGAAGTCGGTGGGGGGATGGGGGGGATATTTCTACTTCTCCAGAAACTGAAAGTCGACGACCTGCAGTGACCACCAAGTGCATACTTGCATCTCCCATAATCCCATCATTTTCTTCCCCGAGTCGATACCAAAAAACAATACTCCACCGACCTAGGGTATGGCCTGTGGAGCCGGGGGGACTGAATGCATCAATAATCGTAGGTTAAGCATTTTTTCTTTAGTACTGTGTATTAGCCACGACCCACTGTGGGTTCGAGATGGACACGGCGGATGACATCACAAAAGGCTCCATCACTGAAGCAGTACTCGGTATAGGCTATAGCATCCGCAGAGGAGAACGGAGGATGAGCGATGACAAAACAGATTGAAGATGGGGATTGAGATACTCGAAACTAAACAAAAAAAGAGGGTCTTGTTGGGAGTGCTGGGCATCGTCATTGGCGTCGCCGCCGTTGGACATCCCACCCTGGACCACAATTGTGCATTCCGTGGCCACTTTGTGTAGGGCCGAAGTCTTTGTCTGTCCGTCTGTCCTACACTCCCAGGCACTATCCACTATCCAATAATGCCCTGTCCTACTCCTACTCCTACGGTCATCCACCGAGGCTCTTCTATGTCCCGTCTCCACCAGCTTATCGTTCTCTCATTCATCGGCCGCATGAGGAAATACGTACTCCGTATGTCCGCTGACACTTGGGAGGGTTCAACCGTCCACTCACAAACTCGTGACGGGTCACCCAGACGTGGAGTACAGCTGGGAAGACCTACCCTTCTCGAGTCAGTCGAGTGCCGCTGCTGGGTGGCCACTCAACCAGGCAACTAAAACGAGTGGAAGATCGATCCCACGGGGGTTCTGCACGTGCTTTGGGGATGAGATAATCAAGAGAACCCTCAACCAGCAACCAGAATCTGTGGGATCCAAATGTGATTTGTTTTCCTGAGTCTTCTGGGGATTCGCATCTCAGGGGGGTTTTCTCCATTCCTACCCGTCCATCTGTGCTGCACAGTGTAGAGTGTACCAAAGGGGGTGGGGGGAAAGAAAGAAAAGAAAAAGAAAATGGAAGCGATCGCAATATTTGCATATTATTTAGGTCAGATTGAAGATCATCAACGCCATCCCGTGCTCAGCCCCTTCTTCGGGTCGCAGTCATCATTGATCAAGTACCATCTACTACATCGATAGTAGCGACGGGAAGCCGTCATCGTCTCCCGACCATACCTAGCGTCATGGACTCATGGTATCTGCAAGGCGGCTGCATCGCCGCATAATAATTAGTGATGTTGCGACACCTGACATGTCTCTCAGCCCGTCAGCCAACAATCACAGAAGACAGAACACCTCTCGTTGGAGGCCTAACCTGGTTGTGGTGGAGGATGGTGCAAGGCTATGATTTGGTGCCGAAATTTCTGAATGCATGGGACGCATGCGGTCCTTAGTCCTCCTTCCTTCGGTCCTGAGAAGGGGGGCAGTCCTCCACTTTTTCTCGCATTCCTGAGATCCACTACTTAAGATTATCTGGATCGGCTTATTATCAAATTTATCCAATTGATTAATCTGGTGATAATTTCCCCAATCCCCAGGCTTCGCAAGTTGGGTACATTCTCCTCCTTTATTTCGCCTACACCGAACCAGCCGTAGTCCGTCCCGAGTTGCCAATTGCCATCCACATCACAAGCGAATATGAGTCCACCCTCCACAGAGTGACCACCGGTATTGCAACCAACTGAAACCCCAAGCCCGAGTGGTTCTCTAGTGCATATTTCGCGAAGAGTAATGGCCGAATAATGGTTCGACCCTGCGCGACCGTCGACAGAAGCACGCCGATACAACAGACCCCCTCGATGACGGCGAGTTGGATTCCTAGATCGCAGCCTCTTATGTCAAGCTTCATGCAGAAACTGATTTTGAATTCGCATCGCCCGCCAACAGTGGCGTTTCGAGATGATTCCCAAGCAGCAGCAACGATACTATGAATACTATCACTGCGACGTCAACAGAAAAGCAGAGTTTTTATTTTTTTTTTCGTCGTTGGTTTCTGACTCTTGTCTCGAGTCTCCAAGCGCCAAGCGCCAAGCGCGGCCAGCAAACCGGAAAAGAAACCTGAAGCTCAACGATCCTTTATCTTGGTGGAATCAAGAGTCGGACAAGTGAGCTCGGCGCTCAATGCCTCGGGTTCCAACTTCCATGACGCTGCCAGTCTGCCACGCACCATGTCGATCAGTGGTTCAGAGTTTTGCAATTAGCCTGTTCAGGTCTGCGTCGTGGTTGGCTCAGAAAGAGATCGGAGGGGCTACCTGGACGGTGGGCGATGGTGTCTACCAACCACAGAATAGCTTCAGTCAGAATCTTCATCTGTCCCGTGCAATCACAGTTCGTAGATAGTATTACCCTCAGTGACTCCATTATCCATTCTCAACGACCTACTGGATGAATTTATACGGTGTAGTGTATTACCTCGACATGGTTGTGCCTGTGCCTGTCCCTGACTGCCCTGTTCCGACTCCCGAGTCGTGGAAAATAGAGTCGGAGATGCGTCGTGTGGCGTCATGCCATGTGTTAAGGCCAAAGACACTTTGATGAGGCTTCGGATAACGACGTAAGTGGCACACCTTAATTCTCACACATTGATATCCATGGCTTTGCCATCAACAACATTGAATATTGATACTTGATGGTTTCAAGTGACGCTGGAGATGATCCCTTATAGATAAGAGTTTTACAAATATCTGAATTGTCTTGTCATCGGTCTCGATGGAGCCACTAAGTCCGCATTGTCCTGTGACTTTTCGGTCAGCCTCTTAATACTACCCTTAAACAGACAACCTAGCTACAAACAAAAACGAGTGACGTTATACCCCCAAATACTACACTTTCACGGTCGTCGGGTATTTTGTAGAGCTTCTATCATTCTACCCTTGCCTCACGGGTGACATGCTTGTAAAATGTAGATCCTCGCATCAGCTTTCTCGGTTTCTTACGTTGACTCAAGCCAACCTAGCCAAGATACAACTATGCAAAAGCCAAAAGGTCTGCTGTTTCAGACTGGATAATGATCAATAATCCCCTCTTGTGGAGCAGACATGGAGTACAAACTACAAAGTACCGCACGATTCGGGTCCGATAGAACAAACTAACTGACTAAGAGACATACCAGCGAATAATATTCATTAATGAGTGTTAATACATGCGAATGCCGCTTGATGAACGCATCTTCCTCGGAAGAAGTTCGGGCTTGGACCTTAACACATTTAACCGGCCTAGGAAGGTAAATGGAACACCAAGAGTCCGTATGACTTGGAACAGCGCAGGCCGACCGTTCACGAATTAGTCGGCTTTTGCTTCCAAGACTCGGGAACCCCGTTGGGTGCCAGTGCTCGAATCTTCAACGATTTTATACCAACAACGCCGGGTGTCTACAAGGTACTGACTGTCCCAGGCAGCTAGAGTCATAGAGGAGAAAATGAGCCCAAGTTATTTCTAAAGACTACTCTACATCCACCACCCTCATGCGGGCTGTACTGTCGAGACAGAACAAAGTGCAGTTATGCACTGAATAAGCTGAGTCAGCAGTTCATTGGATCGAGTATTCCGCAGACGGAGACAGCCAACAAGGCTAGTGGAGACTGGAGGTATGCAAGAATATGCAGAGAAGCAATATTCAATATCCTCATCCACATTCTCGTCAGTAACGTGCTTATAAACAAGGCAGCGTCAGTGAATTTGCCGTGCCTCATGAATCTCGTGGATGCATCATAGTGTGGGCTGTGGATAGATGGATGCACAGTCGCACTGAAAGCGGTTGGCTTCGGCATAGTCGGTACCGAAGCCAATGCGACTTGCCGTGGCCCGTGAGTTATCTCAGGAGATATTCCGACGGAGTCAGTAAGTGGAAATGAGAATCAGTTCGACTTGATTGGACCTGAGATTATATCGGATATCCAGACGTTGTATCTAGATCGCATTCTGACCACTACACAGAAGGACAGATGCTCTCGAATCTTGGGCAATGACATGCTGCTTGAAACCTGAGTCTCCTTGCCAACAAAGTCTCGCACTCTCGCTTGCATGATCAGACTCATGAAGATCTAGACGTACTAAGCAGAGACTGGGAATCGCCTGGCCGTTTCTTGCTGCATGTGTCTGCATGTTGGTTGTTGCCATCCAACTTCGTAGACCGTATAAAATCTTTACCTCCGTTCTTCTCGACAACAATATCGGAGTAAGGGTCTCTTGCTGTTAAGAGTAGTGCATTGCAGCAACAACGTAGTCTATGTTTCCATGTGGTGACTTGGCTGCTGTGTGACATCAAGAAGGTGAATATCACGTGATCTCAGTATAGAATCCTGGCCCCCAAGCCCCAAGGTCTTGGATGTGAGCGTGCTTTGACAATTTGGAGGTAAGAATATATTAATCTTCAAGTTGATATCAGTCGAAAGCTTATCCTTTACAATACCCGTCGTTCATTCAAGGCGACCATGCCACCCGAGCATCCCTTGGCTGCAATCGGCCGAGAGGAAACAACATCGCCCGAAATCCGAATGTCCTCCCCGCAAACTGCTTCTAGCTTTTCCCCCCAAAGCCGAAGGTCGCATCTCTTCCGGTACCCCAACATCCATTTCTCGACCAACGACTGTCCCCGGATTTCTGCTGAATCTGTCCTAATTTGCTGCTGATTGTACCGAGGCGCTCCAGGCCCTGTAGATTACCACATTTTATTTGCGGGCTTCTGATTTTTTGAGTCTTGAACCTCATACTTCACCACTAGAGCTCACTTGTGAAGTGGGGAACTGTTCGGAGTTCACAGCGCTTGGTATCTCTTCTATCGACCGACTTGCATCTCTTCGAAGACTTTATATCGTTGCTAATACCCCAACTTTCATTTCTACCCTCTTTTGCTTCAATTTCCCATCCCATCTACCATCATAGTCGTCATCATGGCTCAAGGCAAGCTCACTGGCGCAGACGTCGCCAAGCACAATTCCAAGGACTCTTGCTGGGTCATTGTTCACGGGAAAGCGTACGATGTTACAGAATTTCTACCAGGTATACTTATCTTCGACATAAGAGTCATCTACTACCCTAGCTAAACTGATTCGGTGCAGAGCATCCTGGTGGTCAGAAGATTATTCTCAAGTACGCTGGCAAAGATGCAACCGAGGAGTTCGAGCCCATCCACCCTCCCGACACATTGGACAAATACCTGGATCAGTCGAAACATCTGGGAGAGGTAGACATGGCGACTGTTGAGCAGGAGGAGAAGACTCAAGATCCGGAGGAGACAGATCGTCAGGAACGAATCAAGACAATGCCCCCGCTGCAGGCCTGCTACAACTTGATGGACTTCGAGACAGTCGCACGGAGTGTGATGAAGAAGACCGCTTGGGCTTACTACTCGAGTGGTGCCGATGACGAGATTGTACGTGACCACGCTATCGATGTGGTGAAATACCAGTGTCCGACTAACCAGAGAACTACAGACTCTGCGTGAAAACCACAATGCCTTCCACAAGATCTGGTTTCGTCCACGGGTACTAGTCGATGTGGAAAACGTCGACTTCAGCACAACGATGCTGGGGACCAAGGTCTCCATGCCCTTCTACGTGACTGCTACTGCGCTTGGGAAGCTGGGCAACCCAGAGGGTGAAGTCGTGTTGACTCGTGCGGCTCACAAGCACAACGTCGTCCAGATGATTCCCACTCTGGCATCATGTTCATTCGACGAAATCGTGGACGCCCGTCAGGGAGATCAGGTACAATGGCTGCAACTCTATGTGAACAAAGACCGCGAGATTACTAAGCGGATCGTGCAACACGCCGAGGCACGTGGCTGCAAGGGTCTCTTCATCACCGTCGATGCCCCGCAACTCGGCCGCCGCGAGAAGGACATGCGATCCAAGTTCTCCGATGCCGGCTCGAGTGTCCAGGCAAGCAGCGGCGACGACGTTGACCGCTCACAGGGCGCAGCGCGCGCCATCTCATCCTTCATCGATCCCTCCCTCTCCTGGAAGGATATCCCCTGGTTCAAGTCCATCACCAAGATGCCCATCATCCTCAAGGGCGTCCAGTGCGTGGAGGATGTCCTACGGGCCGTCGAAGCCGGCGTGGACGGCGTGGTCCTCTCCAACCACGGCGGTCGTCAGCTCGAGTTCGCGCGGTCCGCCATCGAGGTCCTCGCCGAGGTGATGCCCGCGCTTCGCGAGCGCGGTTGGGAGAAGAAGATCGAAGTCTACGTCGACGGGGGAGTGCGGCGCGCCACCGACATCCTCAAGGCTCTCTGCCTCGGCGCTCAGGGGGTAGGCATCGGCCGCCCGTTCCTATACGCCATGTCCGCGTACGGGCAGCCGGGCGTGGAGCGAGCCATGCAGCTTCTCAGGGATGAGATGGAAATGAACATGCGCCTGATCGGAGCCAGGACGATCGAGGAGCTGAACCCGAGTCTGATCGATGTGCGCGGCCTAACGGGCGGCCACCACGCGCCCGTGCCGTCGGACACACTCACTCTCGGCGCGTACGACCCGCTCCAGGCGCCGCGCTTCAGCGAGAAATCCAAGCTGTAGAGAGCGAGTCGCAAACCGGCTCATGATATATATGTATATATATATAAACCAATTTATTCCACCCTCGATCAGCTATCGCGGCTGGAGTGTACGCTAATGGAAGTCATGATTGGGCAGGTCAATCGCTGTACATAGAATCAACCTAAGAATAGGAATGGGAGAGTGGTGCCGAACCAAAGCTGCATCGAGCATCAAATCATTAAATCTTTTCCCCAGTATCTATGTACACTTTCCTACCTACTCCTTCTCCTAGGCCTTGTTTTTTATTTTTTTTTACAAAACCACCACCTGCGGTTTATTTCCCAACCGCCCCGTATTCCCCTTCATACAAGCCGCATTCACCATCCACCCACAACCCCGATTCTCCCCACCCCAGACCCTCGCCCACACAACACCCATAACGCCATATAGCAGCACACGCGCGGAATCGGCCCACCCGCGCACATCCCACAAGTCCCTCAGCAAGCCGAGCAGCGCCGAGAAGCCCGGAAGGCGGGCGCGCGGCCTGCGCGCGGCACACAGGCGCTCCCAGGCGCGCTGCGCCTCGTCCCAGTACACGGCCTCGCGGCCGGAGTTTTCGTGGACGTGGCCGAAGACGTGCAGGGCGGGGCGGACGCGCCATGTTTCGGCGAGGAGGAAGGGGCAGCCGGTGGAGTAGACGGGGGAGAGGTCGAGATGGGACTGCGGCGGAGTGTGGGTGATGAGGATGTCGGTTTCCGGGGGGACGGTGCCGGACCAGGCGTCGTGGTGCGAGGGATAGGTGAAGGCGTGTTCGGGGCCGAGGGGGACGATGGCAGGGATTTGGGGGGCGCCGTAGAGGGTGAGGGAGCGGGGGCGGGTAGTGGTGGTGGATGTTGTTGTTGAGGAGGAGGAGGAGGGTGCTGGTGGGAAGGAGAGAGTGACGGAGGAGTGTTGGAGGTAGTGGATGGTTCCCCAGTTGATGCGGTGGAGGCCGTCTAGGTCGTCGATTGAGCGGATAGAGGCGGCGGAGGAGGATGAGGAAGACAGATCACGGTCCTCGTCGCGTCGGGAGCGCACGTCGAAGTAGCTATCGTGGTTGCCGCAGATGACGACCTTGTGAGGATGCGGCAGCTTCTGCAGCCAGTCGACGGCGGCTTGGATCTCGCGGATGCTGCCGTCATTAGAGAGGTCGCCGGCATGGATGAGGAGATCGCCGTCCGGGACGTCGCTCCACTCTAGGGTATGTGTGTCGGAGATGCAGACGACGCGGATGGCGCGCGCATTGGGGGGAGGTAGTCGCGGTGGTCCGCGGAGTCGGAGCAGGAGATGGTGGAGGGGATAGAGGAATGCAGTCAGAGGTGACGCAAAGAGGTAATCTAGTGCCGGCCGACGATCAAAGGGAGTAGACATGTTTGAAGTCCCCGAGGAGTCCAAGTTGTGTATGAACCGTTGAGATGAGGGAGTGGGTTGGAAGTAGATGTTGACTGAGAAGAGAGCTACACCTCAGGCTACAGCTACAGCTACAATACACGCCTTTACCCCAATCAAGGCATTGTGGAGAAGGCGTGACGTTGCTGTTGTTGTCGCCTCGACTCACTTAATCCGAAATACTTCTTCCTAGACCACTACAACTGTTTTTAAAGTGAAACAACTTCATCGAATAAACGCGCAACTTGTGAATATGTCTTACTTTGTCTGGATCGCATTTAAATCGATTCGTATTTATGTCTCCCTTCAGCAGATTCCCCAAGCGGAGCCTTCCTACCGTTCTCCACAGCTGACAGTCGGAATTATGCATACCTAACCACTAACCAGGTCTTGAGTCTGGGCACAATAATATCAGATCCTCTTCAAAGGCCTCGAAGAAAGATGCAAATGGCGTCCACATTCTTACGGCAACGATTATCATCACTCGCTCTCATGAAACTCTGCAAGCATGGGTACATAACTTGGAGCTGCTTGTCTCAACAACAGACTGGAATACATGACTGTCCAGTCTGATTCGTTGATACGGACCACGTACTGACTGACCTTTCCACCTAAGCTGAAGACCTTATACGTCTCCAACTGCCAGATCATTTGTCATTGATGGGCCACCTTTCACGGGCTTGAGCCAACTGCATGGTAGGCCATTTGGCTCGAATTGAAGGTTTTCGTGATGATGGGACGCTGCAAAACTGTGCATGGACGTCCAGCCCTTTGGCTGGTGATAGGACTGACTGCGAGACAGTACTCCGCTCAAATGCGGCCGTTTGGTTGTTACGAATCCCACAGGCGATCAAATGAAGTTCGAGCCAACGAACGAGGAATTGTCATCCCACAAGATGATGGATTCATTCGATTCTGGCCTCCGTGGAAGGATTACATACTCCGTGCCATGTACTGGGCTACATGCATATGTAGCTTCAGGTACATAAACATCTCAGCCGAATCACCAGGAATGTTACACAGCCGGGGGATTGATCAAACGAGGGCCAGAACCATAGGCTCGTCGCCATTACATCATGATCAAATTCCAGCCGAAGAATGGACGAGGGAAGAGTGTTCTCAAATGTAGATATTCGTCCAGTTGAGCCAGCAAGAGGCCTCGTTTGAGGTTCCTGTGAGGTTCGGAGAGCATCGAGGAAGAAATATCGGCCAAGCGGCTGAGATTGTTTCTCTAGTTTGATTAAACAGACTTCAGTGATAGGAATGAGAAATCAAGAACCCTAAGAAAGGCTTTGTTACAATCCAGCTGTCAAGAGCTCGATTAACATCGAATTCCGATGGGAGCAACCGATAGATCCGGGGAAACACAGTGCATCCTCTGCTGGATAACCATCATCATCATTATCATCATCACCACACGATTTCAGCTACAAAACCTTGGCCCATCCTCCTCCAACAAATGGATCAATGAGATGGATGAATCTGTTCTATCGTCATCTTTCCACTCATCCGCCTCGTTCCTGACTCCTCATCGCCTGTCTTCCATTTCCTCTCTCGCCTCCCGGACATATACGGAGGTGGCTATCGTAGTGGCATCAGCAATCCGAGTCTACCTACTTCTCCGGGCAACAATTGGATTCTATGCCGATCTAGCTGCACCTGTTAAAAGATCCGCTTATTTTCTCCTTCATCCCAGTTGGGATTTGCCACATCCGTCCGGCTTGTGCCTTGTTGGCTTGCTGTCAACACATCGGCTGCTGTTTGCGGACATTCCTCCATTGGGGGATCCTCAACCAGGTACTACTACTCTACTGGCTTTTCTTCACTATTTTCCCTTTATCCTCGCGACTACGATCGTTGTTGAGTTTCTGGCTTCATCCTCCTCTCTTCAATGTGCTTTTTGTAGACAAGGCTTCAAGGCGATTGGAGTTTAGACCGTCCAAGCATTGGTTCCAGTCCCGTGTGAATATATTGTATGTGTCCAGGCTTATCGTTTGCGTCATATCCAGCATCTCTCTCTTCTTCATCGTTCAAGGGTCCTCTGGATGGTCAATATCGTCTGGTCTGATCATTAGCAATTTTCCTCATCAACCTTTCTGCTTGTCGAGCTCAATCTTAAGCTCCGAACACTCCATACGATCGGCATCCTTTTGGCTTATCATCTGGCTTGTCGCAGTCACCTTTCCGTTGCGGTCGCGGGCGCTTGAGACCACCAGCAACGACAACCCCTCATAGTCTTCGCACAATAATCGCATCCGCCCCTTCGCCGCCAGACGCAACTTGGCTGGACTTCTTCGTCCTTCTTATTGCTGCTCTCTTTAACTCCAACCTACAACCCGAAAAAGTCTCGCCTTCTCGCTCTTTTCGCCCTTTTTCTCCGGCCCAACAACCGCCTGAGTGCCCCTCCTCGACCCTACCGATCCCTCAAATCATATTTCTCCCTCCTCCTCCTCCCGACCGGAACCGATTTTTTCACCCTATCCCATTCCCATTTCCCATAATGGACGGGGTAGATATCACCAAGGCTGTGATCAACAAGGGGAAACAGATGGCCAGCGTTGCTGCAAATGCTGCAAATGTCAATGGCGGTAAGAAGAGGAGAAAAGGGACCGATCTGAAGCCGATCGTCACCAACGACGCCGCCTCTTCTGCCATCGATCAATCTGCCATCAATAGTGAGGGGTATGCTTCTTGCTTTCTCTCTGCGCGAGCTTCTTTTTTTTTTGTGTTTCTTTCTGAGTGAATACTTGCTTCATCCTTCTTCTTCTTCTTCTTCTTCTTCTTCTTCCATCTTCTATTTTCGTCACCCGTCATCCTGCTTTACAGCGCTTTTTGCATTTTTCTTCCTAACCAAATATGAGTAGCAGGGTCCCCGTCAAGGCCGCATATGATGTCCCGCCATCGCGCTCAGGTTCTTCATCGTCCGGAGAAGAAGTCGAAACTACCGCCGAGGAGGAAGATTCGGAGGACTACTGCAAGGGCGGTTATCATCCAGTCCAGGTGGGCGAAACATACAACAACGGTCGCTACGTTGTCGTGCGCAAATTGGGCTGGGGTCATTTCTCCACCGTCTGGTTGTCCCGCGATACTACCACGGGGAAACACGTCGCGTTGAAGGTCGTCCGCTCCGCCGCCCACTACACCGAAACCGCAATCGATGAAATCAAACTGCTCAACAAGATCGTTCAAGCGAAACCTTCGCATCCCGGTCGGAAACATGTCGTCAGCCTCCTCGATTCGTTTGAACACAAGGGCCCGAACGGTGTACATGTGTGCATGGTATTTGAGGTATTGGGCGAGAATCTGTTGGGGTTGATCAAGCGCTGGAACCATCGGGGTATTCCAATGCCTCTGGTGAAGCAGATCACCAAACAGGTGCTGTTGGGCTTGGATTATCTTCACCGGGAATGCGGCATCATCCACACCGACTTGAAACCGGAGAACGTTCTGATTGAAATTGGCGATGTGGAGCAGATCGTGCAGGCCTATGTCAAAGAGGAGGCCAAGAAGGAGAACAAAGAGGATAACCGCAACGGTCGACGCCGGAGAAGGACTCTGATCACTGGGAGCCAGCCTCTGCCCAGTCCGCTGAACACCAGCTTCGGCCACCATGATTTCAAGCACAGCTCCCAACATTCTCACAGCAGTCTCAGCCAGGTGATCAACGAATCGTCAAGTAAGTTCCATCGCGCGTTCGACTGTGGCTTGTTTCAGGGCACGTCACTGATGATTTGCAGACACATCTGCCCAGGAGAACACATCGATGAAGGAGTTATTAGGGATTAAGGAGGACGAGAAGCAGAAAGAGAGAGAGAAGACTGCGTATGTGGAGATTGAATCGAGTGTGCAAATCTTGATGGACTGACATCTGGTAGTGACTTGTTGGAACGGGAGGTTTCTGGAATCTCGCTGGACAAGTCGTCCTCAAAAGAAGAAGGTGAAGACCCGCTTTGCGATATCATCTCAGTGAAGATCGCGGACCTTGGAAATGCATGCTGGGTGGGACACCATTTCACCAACGATATTCAAACGCGACAATATCGGTCTCCAGAGGTCATCTTGGGGTCCAAATGGGGTGCCAGTACAGATATCTGGAGCATGGCTTGTATGGTACGTTTCAGGGAAATATGTCTACGTTGTCCCAGTTCATGTCTAATAATTCGCAGGTCTTTGAACTTATTACAGGCGATTACCTCTTTGATCCGCAGTCAGGGACAAAGTACGGCAAAGATGACGACCATATTGCACAGATCATCGAGCTGCTTGGCCCGTTTCCCAAATCAATCTGTCTCGCTGGAAAGTGGTCACAGGAGATCTTCAACCGCAAAGGCGAGCTGCGCAATATCCATCGGCTACGCCATTGGGCGTTGCCCGATGTCCTGCGGGAGAAATACCATTTCACAGTGGAAGAGAGTATGCGCATCAGCGAATTTCTGTTACCGATGCTGGAGTTGCCACCTGAAAAACGCGCCAATGCCGGTGGTATGGCGTCTCACGAGTGGCTGAGTGACACACCTGGTATGAAAGGGGTGGGTCTGGGTATATCGCCTGGAACCAAAGGCGAGGGAATTGATGGATGGGCTTCTGAGATCAAGAAGCGATGATCTATGCAGAGGCAAAAGCATACCCAGACATCAGTTGAGTGACGATCTCTTCCTATCTACCTGTCTCTTTTCTTCTTCTCTTTCTTCTTTATAAGTGTGGATCTTCGTCTTTATTTTTGGTGCTTTTTTGGCCGCCTGACTGGGTATTTTACGATTCGATCTCCTTGTCATATGATGCCGAGTGTCCTTCCTTTTCTCCTATCTCTCTCTCTCTCTCTCTCTCTCTCTGCATAGAGTCCCGACCATCCGTCCCCTCCTATACTCCCAAGCCATTCTGAGTTTGTCCTTGCAAGGCCAGCCTGAGGCCATGTCTTCCTTTAGATGTCGGGGAAACCACTATCCTTTGATCTTTTACACGCAGACACTTGATTCCGCACATGTCCCAGGGAGTTTCCTTCATCGAAACCAGTTGAAGCGTTACTACCATTCCAAATTTCATGGATATAACTCGAAACATGTGAACAGGCTCTGGAATAGAGGGTCTGGATATGAATGAATGAGATGCGATCAAGAACCGACTTTAGTACCCGGCAAGAGGTCTGACTGGGTGCTCACAGTCGCGTAGAACGGATCCTCTTCAGCCAGCGCTTTACTCTTCTTCAAGATCCGATACTTCTTCTTCGTCTTCCTCCCCAGGCAACCGATCCGGAAACCATCCATACCGCGCAAGATCCACGTAGAATTCGCCCATACTATCCGTCTCGACCTCAACGCCCTCCTGGCGCAGCACCTCCGCCTGGCGCTCAGCACTACCAGGCCCACTACACCGATCAGCCAAAGCCCGCCCTCTACTACACTATTAACCAACGTACCGGTGCGAGATCATGCCCTTAGAATTAATCACCCGCTGCCAGGGCACATTGCCAGCGTGGAAATAACTCGAAGGCTCCGACGGCAAATGTTTGAGACAAATGCCCACCTGCCGGGGTCTTTTGGCTATCATGAATCAGCCACTACTTATTCAAAGAAAATGTAGCTCGGAGCTGGAAGCCCGACGTACGTTCACCAAGCAGCAGGGCGATGTGCCCGTAGGACGTCACTTTGCCAGCGGGGATAGCTTGCACGGCTTCGTAGACGGCGTTGAACCACCATTCTGCCTCATCGGAGCGGGGCATGTCGATCATTCAAAATGATGGGGAGTAGATCATATCATTACTCCTAGTCCCATTATCGTGAGTTCGTGAACCTGCAAGTCGTGGTCGGAGGAGGGTATCGTATTTGCATCAGACTACGGAATACGGACTAGCTGTCGAGGATTTAGAAAAAGAACCGGCGAAACAAAACTCCGATTATCTAATCTCTATCCTACCATGATAACCACCAGCTCCTCCCAAGCTCCTGTCTTGCATCCATACCATCAAATTTCAAAACGCAACACAACGCCAACACAAACCCCCAAAATGCCCTCCTCTTCACTCGCCGAATACCTCGCCAAGAACTACCTCACGGCGGACCCAGCTACCGAACGCCCCAAAAAGAAACGCAAGAAGACCAAACACGCCGACACCGCCGCCGCCGGCCTGATCATCGCCGACGACGACCCGCCCGATCTACGGACCGCCGGGTCCCAATTCGACGAGGGCGACGAGAGCCCAGCCGTCGTGAGCTCGGCGCGGAGCGCGGAGTTCCGGCGCGCGAAGAAGTCGAACTGGAAGACTATTGGCGGGGCGGAGGAGCAGGATGCGGCGGACGCGATCATCGCGTCTGCGGCGGCGGAGAACGCGGCGCGGCGCGGGGAGGGCGAGGATGGGGAGGATGATGCGCCGGCTGTAGTGGAGGGAGCGGAGGAGGAGGAGGAGGAGGATGGGGGATTGCGGATGGAGTCCGGGGCGCGGGCGGGGTTGCAGACGGCGGCGCAGACGGCGGCGATGGTGGCGGCGCAGGAGCGGCGGAAGCGGGTGGAGGCGGCGCGGAATGCAGAGCGGCCGGCGGAGGCGCAGGAGACGATCTACCGTGATGCGTCTGGGCGGATCATCAACGTAGCGATGAAGCGGGCGGAGGCGCGGCGGGCGGAGCAGGAGAAGCGCGAGAAGGAGGAGGCGGCGAAGGAGGCGCTGATGGGTGATGTGCAGCGGCGGGAGCGCGAGGTGCGGCGGCAGGAGATCCAGGAGGCGCGGGCGATGCCGCTTGCGCGGACGATTGAGGACGAGTCGCTGAATGAGGAGTTGAAGTCGCAGGCGCGGTGGAATGATCCCGCCGCGCAGTTCCTGACCAAGTCCACCGGGCCGGGAGTGAGTGTGACGGGACAGCCGCTGTACAAGGGGGCGTTTCAGCCGAATCGGTATGGTATCCGGCCGGGACACCGGTGGGATGGGGTGGACCGGAGTAATGGGTTTGAGAAGGAGTGGTTTGCGGCGAGGAACAAGAAGGGGAGAATGGAGGCGTTGGATTACCAATGGCAGATGGATGAGTGATGCATCGATCTTCAGTTGTTCACAGGAGTTGGGCTTGGCGATCATTCGGTGCTGGACACCGATGATACCACGATTTCGATATTGACCTCTGCACCCTAGCAATGCAGCAGGTCATCACAAGAATAGCCTTCACTGATTAAACCTATCCGACAAAACGGATACCGACGTTCCTCAAGGCAGTTTCCGCATGTCGACAACTGTCCACGATCCAACAGGCCGCGATGGAGCAGAGGGGCCTCACGACCTTGCAGGGTTTTCAGGCAACAAACTAGATGTTGGCGTCCGACCACTCTATCCCTCACGGCCGTCAAGAAGAATCTGTCTGCGCTGTGTATGAACTGGAGCGGACGACTTCACCTGTTGTCCTCGATCTCATTTCGGATGATGATTGTCTACCAATGCATGTATCCAGCTCTGGCGGATTCTTGGACAATAGTAATACCTATCTAGCTTATCTAAAGATTTACCAAACAAGAAACATGAATCTTGTGTTTATCGTTGTAGTCCGTGTGGCTACTGAGCTTTTTTACCGACACCCAAAGAAAAGCATCGTAGCGAGCCGATCAAACCACGGCGTCGGTGAATTCCGAATGCCATCGCCCAAGATCCATATTCAAACCAACGATCCAAGCGCATTCAGTAAGAAACACTTCAAGTCTCCACCGGTGGCTCAAAGTTCCTGTCTTTCATATGAGGCTTCTTCTGCCTTCTGATCCAGCACACGTGTCACATTGACCCCAAAGGCCGTCAACTCCACCTTCCCAAACATACCAGTCTTCTCATCCTTATCCCAGAAAACAACATCACTGAACTGTCTGCCTGCATATGTCATGCGATCTACGTCAGTGAGGTAGAAGTCATCCCACACGGCCGTGGAAGCCTCTTTGTCAACCACGTTCGCGATCCTCCATACCTCTCCTACCTGTTTCTCCTCGTCTCTGTAGAGGCCGGAGGGAATCAACTGAGCGTGGAAGGCTGTGCTCGTAGGGGAAAGGAAGCGCTCGGATACAAAATCGAGCACGTCTGTGGAGTTTACAACCCACTCGCTGATCTCGAGGCCATGAGTCGGCGTGTACGTTAGTGTGAATTTGGCGCCCCCTTCTGCAGACGCGGATTTGTATGATCCCACATACGTCTCCCCCACCTGCCGCGCAGCAAGCTCATCAGCCGCGCGGATCAGTGGGACGGTCAGCATCTCCCGCACCTCATCCAGGAACCACCGGTCCCCAGCGGTGAAAATGGTGATGCCAAGGTCATACTCCGGCACAAGGAGGACCAGCGTCCTGTACCCCGGGTGCCCGCCTTCCTTGGTAAAGAACGTCACTGGCCTGCCTCCACACGCCTGGCCGCCGTCCGCTAGAAGGATCTTGTCCGTGCGGAAGATCTCCCACGGCATGCCGTAGAAGTTGCCCATCCCTGCCATAAAGGAGCCAGGGAGCAGCCAGTTTAGCTTCGTATCGGCGATGTCCCTGTAGTTCGCGAGGATGTAGCGGAGGAAGGTCGACATGTCCTTCGAGGGCACGTATAGGCCGCCCGAGGGGTTCTCCACGCCCATGTCAACGTCGAAGTACCATGAGTCGCCCTTGGGGAGCACGGAGACGCTGTCCGGGGGTGTGGCGAAGGATGACTGGGACATGCCTAGGGGCTGGAGGATGGAGGTCGTGATGTATTCCTCGTAGGTGGTGCCGGTCACGTTTGCGAGCACGAGACCCAGCAGCTCGAAGGCGATGTTGGAATATGTCGATTTGGCATTTGGTGCGAACAAGGCCGGTCTGCTTGCTAGGATATCGAGTAGTTCCTCGGTGCAGGAATGGGGGTCCTTGTGAGAATCGCATTTCGGCAGAGCGTCTGGGGTCCAGTTGCGCGGGACGCCAGAGAGTTGGCTTGCCAGAGATTGGAGTGTTATTTTGTCCCACTGCATGCTACCGGCAATTTCATTTCTGCGGTCGCGAGGGAGGTACTTATCCACCGTGTCTGTGAGGGAGAGGTTCTCGGCGGCATGTTGCTGGAGTATCCCCAGCACAGTAAAGACCTTGGTGATGCTTGCGATGCGATAGCGACTGGTCTCATCGACGGTCTCAGCTCCAGGTCGGGTGGCATTCTTCTCCTTTGCTGTATGGAACGTCGACCATAATGTAGAATTTGATGAGGTCACCTCGATTGAATAAGATGATCTATTGAGGTCTGTAGAGCTGCGGACAAGAGTCGACAGCGCGGCTTCGACTTTGCCGAGGGTCTCCCATATCTCGGAGGCCTGGCGGTTGTAACCTGGAGGTGGGTAGAAGGGGGACTGTGTGTTACATGCTGCCAGTATGCAGGGGATGAGACTCGGAAGTATGAGGAGAGACTTAATGACCATGATGATTGATATTATTATAGCCTATGTATATTGAAATTCAGCAGGATGTAGATATCAGAGACCTTCATCTAACTTAGTCTGCATGACTTTGGAGCTATTTTTATTATTAATCCTCCTCTTCGTATCCCTGCAAATCGAGAGGGTTTGTGACCCGTCAAGTATGTTCCTTGCATGTCGGCTTGTTGATGTTGCTGCTATTTTAGTTATGCCTGGTAGTTCTTATGGTCCATCTATCTGAGGACTCAAGTATAGCTAAAAAGAAAGAATGGAGACAGAGGTGGTATCCGTATGACAAGGACCTGGTATGTATACTGATGGCAATGAATCACCTGACTCACACTGACTTACGGGTTGAGACAGAAAGACGGTGCCCATCAGATAGATATAGATAAATATATATATATATATACTCATTGGTAGATTCTCAAAAACGAAGTCAAAGAAGAACCCAATGAGTGTTACAGCCTTCTGAATCAACTGATGTAAAATCAACACCCCAACCAAAAACCCCCACAGCAACAGCTGAGCAACAGCTGATCAAAGCAAGTCATCCGGAGGCAGCAAGAATGGCTGAATCCTATCACAGACGCAAGCTGCGGGGAGGAGTGACAGATGAGCGACTAGATCGTCCAATCCGTCAAGGCAGATTGCTGATAGCTGTACTTCACCAACAATCTCCGAGCCTCCTTATCAGCAGCGTCATGGGTATGTTGCACATGCGATGACTCAGGCTAGCTCGCATCTCCTCCTGAGTAAGATGGATAAATGCATGTCTGGAGCTGCCAGTCACACTTGGAACATGGAAGTTAACAAAGAGCCAACGACGTCAGGTTTCCTTCTGAGTCACCCGGACAGGAAATGAAATCGAAAAGTCAATACTGGAAGCCGAGGAATGTGCCTGAGGCTGGGGAGGATCGGCGCAATGACATCGAGGCAATCAGCTCATCCCTCTCACACCGGGGTCCTAGTTTGGTATAATCTGTGTACAAGATGGCTGATGATGATTCTATTGACGGTGGCTCCAGTGCAATCCTTACCAAGTACCATGGTTGCCGGACGTTTGATTGTGGCGTTTGGGAGAAGAACCTCAGTACTGGGGTTTCCTCCAGGTTCGATAAGAATCAAAAAAATCAGGGGCGAATGTGGAGGAAATGGGGGTGAGGGGGAAAATCGGGGATCGATCTCTGGAAACAAGTACTTGTACGGAGAGTATCTACACAGTTGACACTGGACAGTCAGATCGCGCATCGCGGATGCGACAATAATAACAATACTGATAAGAGAGGAAAAAATACCTCGACAATGTAGATACTCTGTAGGATGGGAGACAATAATCTGCCTGGATAATCAGCAGAGAAGCTGGGCGTGTCGCAATCAGCAGCGCCTCCTGCGTCCTCGTGCTGCCGGCGGCGCATGCGGATGGTTGATAGGAACAGAGATAATGAACAACGCCCCCCTTCTCTCCAAGAATCTCATAGATAGTCTACTAAGAGTAAAAAAGACCCAGCCGGGTGCTTTTGTTCCGTCCTGGTTCTTTCTCTTTGCACCATTTATTGGTCTTTCATATCCATGGTTACCGTTGCCGCTGAGCGATCCCGTTCTAGCGAAAGCCTGCTATCTATTCATTGATGACTGGATACCAAACAGGGTGACTCAGACAAAGGCCGTCCTATAATCAAAGCACCGACTCTGGATCACGCCTTTAGATCCGTTAGATCCATTATTATTCATCAGCCTTCTATTCCCTCTCATATCCCATCGCATCTGCCTCTTCAACATCCCCAGATACCCTATTGTTGTCTGTCGGCAAACACTGTCCAGCCTTCCTTATACCCGCACATATATCGCGACCCCCATTTCCCATAATCCACCATAGACTTCTCCCATCTCCAACACCCCTCAACAACCTAATCATCATGGGATCTGAGACGTTCATCAACAATGACCTGCGCCGGGCTGGCACCGAAGCAAAGAGGCAGCATGACCGCAAGGCGAAGTGGGCTCACGGTGGTCGAAGTGCGCTACCCCGACAGAACTTGGTGACGCCTTTCCTGCCCTTAACTCGTCCTGCGAAGCCAGCGCACCGCCATATCCCGTACGTTGTCCTTGTTGTACCATGACACGGAGAAGTCCCGAAAGCAGGCTAACCCCATGACCAGCGTCCTGAAGCGCGCAAACCAACATAACATCAACCAGCTCGCCCGATATTCCCAGATGGCCCTACGTCACGATATTCGAGAGATTCTCGACAGCGGTCCGTCGGATTCGTCGAGTGGCGAGGAAGTCGAGGGTCCCACGGTGGTCGAGACACACCCGGCTATCGTGCAGGATGAGCAAGATGATCTGCTGTATCCATTCGAGGTGTCCGCCCAGACCATCCTGTCTGACGCGGTGAACAAGGCCGTCGAGAAGTTCGAGACGAAGGAGACAGAGAAACTGGTCAGGGAGTACGAGATCGTTGTACACGAAAGCGAGATGGGCGGCGGTTATCTCGCGGACGATGATTTCGAGCTGATCGATCGCACCGAGCTGTGATCTGTTCAGCAGGGATCGTTCTCAGCTTGTTACTTCTTGTGGCGTTCGACTGCTTCTCATCGTGCTTGGGAGTTTGGTTAGATATTGGTCGTCTCGTTCACTTTCAAGATGTTGGCTTCATGATTAGCATGCTTTCGAGGGATTGGTTAATTGTTCATTGCAAGTAGGTGCAGACAGGGACTTGCTAAGCTGGAGTTGTGTTGGTTGTCTTCCTGCTGCCCTTGTTCTTTTTTATTAGGCTTATGATCATGACTGTAGTCGCCAGACAGATTGTTCTATACCCATAATAGTATCATTTACCGCAATCATCGCAGTGTACGATCTCTTTCAGTTGATGCCACATGAAGAACACATTTTGGATTTGTGTAGGTGGATGGAAAAGAAAAAAAGCTTTTCGCTTGTTAGACATACACAGTACATGGGTTGGGCACTAATCGTGATGATTTGCGAGTCGCGACCGGGGAATTCCAGCACTGTGCGGGGCACACAAAGAACCATCGCTGCATAATAATTGAAGCTTGGGTCATTATGATTGTAGAATAATATAAATCATGATCATTTCAATTCGCTGGAGTTATCGAGATTATCTGTTCATAAAAGCAAGACATAGGTCAGTCTTGTACCTACTATTCCTGTAGGTACCTCTTTAGTAGTGAAGTATTTTGTAGGCATTGGATATGTATTCAAAGCATTGTCACGTGCATATAGATCAACAAGGTCTCAAGAGCTCCTCGCTGCTTTCCTGCAGCGAAATGCAGCCACTAGCCGTCGATATGACTGGGAGTTAGTTGCAGTCTAGTAAATCTAGGAAGGATTGTAGATACTCCATGGCAGAGAAGGAAATAGATCCTATTCCGTTATGGCTTCCACGGATTGCTTCTAAGAACAATCTCAGAGGCCATACAAGAACTCGCCAGACTAACCCGTTCTGGCGATACTCCACAGTCTAAACAAAGAATGATAAAAGTCGTCGTCTGAGCGACGGGCCAGCCAAATACTGTCAGAATCTTGAATATCGATGTCTTCAAACATCCATCTCGTTCTCTTATCGACTTCCTATTTCCTCTGCCAATATTGAAGAGCAAGATGGAGAAACGCACCGCAGAGAGTCCGATGGACTTTGAATGGCAGTCCCGGGCGCCTGGCGACGTCACGTCGCCCTTCTACCAGCTCGGTCTGCAGCACGACAATCAGAAAAAGCGTGAGTGCTCGCCCTTAATCCATCACTATATAGAAGACCGAGACGTCTAACCTATCCACAGGCCCTCATAGTATCTTCGATTCGCCCCAGAAGAAAGAGATGCCGGCTCTGCGTGCTCCCAACTCCCAACCCTTCCTATTCTCCCAGAACCCATCACAAACATCATCGAAGAATCCCAAATCGCATTTCGGACAGTCGGCATTCATGACACCGCGCAAATTCGACTTGGATTTCTCTTCCGGAGCTGAAAATCTGTCTTCCCCCGAGAACGCCGACAACGAGGATACACCGGAACAACCGACGAAAGCGGGCCACCGAAACTCGTTATTCGGCATGTATGGAAAGTTTGCGCCCAGTCCAGGACGTGGGGAAATCCCCCGAATGAACCACTACTCCCATGCGCTGGCCAGACGGGTACAAAAGCGGCGACGGAGGGATAAGGCGCTCGGGCAACAGCTGCGGAAGGATGAAAGCGATGATGAGAGCGACCGGCCGAGCAGCAGCGAGGGACAACTGGTCAATATGAAGAACGTGGGACGGAAAGGGAGCCAGGAGGGACAGTCGTCATCACGGCTATCGTCGTTCTCGGAGTTCTTCTCCTTGCTTGAGGCGCACCCTAACGTTCCCAGTATTCTTTCGTGGTGGGCGCAGCTAGTCGTGAACCTGTCGCTGTTCTCGCTTGCGGTCTACGTTGTGTTCGGGTTTGTCTCGGCCATCCGGGCTGAATTCGAGCAGGCCGCGGAGGAGGTGTCGGACACGATTTTGGCGGAGATGGCTGTCTGTACGAAGAACTACGTGGACAACAGATGTATGAGTGGAGACCGACTACCTGCGCTGGAGACGATCTGCGAGAACTGGGAGCGCTGCATGAACCGTGATCCGGCCAAGGTTGGACGCGCCAAGGTGTCGGCACATACCATGGCGATTATCATCAACAGCTTCATCGATCCGATCAGCTGGAAGGCAATTGTATGTGTTGTACCCTTTCGATTGTTGATGTGTTTATGCTAACCGTTACCTGCAGATGTTCTTCCTCGCTACTATCTCGACAGTCACCGTTGTCAGCAACTGGTCCTTCCGTTCCTTCAGAAACCGCTTCAGTCAACACGAATATGCTCCACCACCTCCTTCTTTCTCTCGTCAACCCTCAGGTCAACATCATCCATCAATGCCCCCGTCGCAATATTCCCTACAACAGAACCCAGGGTTTGGATACGAGGAACCTAACCAGGGGGCTATCGCGAATGTTGACGCGAAGCCAGACGCCCCCTTGATGCTGGAGCATCCACAGATGGGATTTGTAATGGGCCGCAGTCGTGAGCGAGAGTCTCACATGCGGACTCCAAGTCCAGTCAAACGAAGGCATCTTTTGTGAAAGGTGGCTCTTGTCTTTCCTTCCGGCCGTTTCCTTTACCCTTATCAATTGCATCAGCGGATGGATTCATGGCGTTTCACTATTATATCTTCCATTCCCCACTGTAATTATTCCCTTTTTCTTCCTTTTCTGTTCAATAGAGACATGCATTGTACTAGATTAACCTTAGTACCACGGAGTCCCATTTAATTCCTTGAACCACGCAGTGTTGAGCTCTATTATCAGAGGTACCCTCTGTTACTATAATACTTCCCTTTTGACATAAATCCAAATGTCTGTCAATTGGAGCTTGACCTCTTTCCGGTGATTCCAATATGACGTCGAATTATCGGTGCCGTGCCACACAGGATCAGATCACAGCACTGAAAGAGTCTTCAATCTTCGGACCTACACTCGGTGATCTTGTCCCATTAAGTGATATGGGCTATCAGGGCAAAGCGTGTTAGGTCGATTTGCCTCAATCTGCCCTTCTCGCGGAATTGAGATCCGAACAACTGCTGTGCCCCAAGCAAAGCAAATAGGAAAGGAGATGCGGTCGAATAATCGAAACAATGAATACTCGAGGGCAAATCTCATTCATACTGACGTATATGGATGCCCATATTAAAAGTTGAAGTATAGTTGAACTGCTCAAGCAAGCCAACACCAACATTCTGTATAGTTTCCGATACTGTTAGACGCACATGTTATATTGCCTCGTGAGGTTACTAAGAACTTCGAGCAATAAATATACTCAGAACAATCATCAAAAATGGCCCCCGGAAGTCAGCAGGAGAAATTCAACCTCATCATCGTCTCGAACCGCCTTCCTCTCTCCGTCAAACGCTTCGACGGCTCGTACCAGTCCAGGCTTTCGAGCGGAGGGCTGGTCACGTCGTTGTCTGGTTTAACAAAGTCAACCGAGTTTCGTTGGTTTGGCTGGCCCGGTATTGAAGTCGCAGAGAAGAAAGATCAAGAGAAGGTAGCGAAGAGCCTCGACGAGCACAATGCCGTCGCGATCTTCCTGGACACAAACCTGGCAAACGAGCATTACAATAAGTTCTCAAGTAAGTGACTCACTCTCATAACATGTATTACATCGTTTTATTCCTGCTCATCCGTTCTGCGCCCCTACAGATTCAATCCTCTGGCCAATCCTGCATTACCAATCTGGTGTCGTCTTCGACGACGGCCCATGGCAAGCCTACAAGCGCGTCAATGAGCTCTTCGCCGATGCCGTGGCTGAGGAAGCCACAAAGGGAAGTCTGATCTGGGTCCACGATTACCATCTCATGCTATTGCCGAAGCTGCTGCGCCAGCGGCTCAACAAGCACAAACCATGCGCCATCGGGTTCTCCCTGCACACGCCGTTCCCCGCAGGGGATTTCTGGAGAGCGCTTCCTGTCCGCAATGATCTGCTCGAGGGGATCCTCGCGAGCGACCTGATAGGATTCCATACGGATGAATACAAGCAGAATTTTATCCAGAGTTGTGCTCAGGCGCTGTAAGTGGGCTGATTCGAGTTTCAATGGGAGCCACGGGTATCTGACCAGGAACAGAGGGGCTTGTACGGAGATCCCCGGCAGGATCCAGTATAAGGATCGTCTAGTCGAGGCGGATAAGTTTGTTGTGGGTATTGATCCGCAGAAGTTCACAGATACGTTGAAGAAGCCGGAGGTGCAGGACCGAATCAAGCAGCTGGAGGAGAAATACAGCGGAATGAAGGTCATCATCGGTGTGGATCGACTGGACTACATTAAGGGACTTACGCAGAAGCTGAAGGGTTACGACTACTTCTTGGATCGCGACCCGGAGCTGAGGAACAAGGTGGTGCTGATTCAGGTCGCTGTCCCGAGTCGCGAGGATGTCAAGGAGTATCAAGACTTGGAAACGGAACTCAGCACGATAGCAGGGAAGATCAACGGGAAACACTGTTTGTCATCGTCCTGCTCGCGGCCTAGGCGCGAGCTATGGAATGCAGATGCTGACCTATGTGATACTCACCAGCTACGCCGGATGGAACGCCTCTGCTCTATATGCATCGCTCTGTGCCCTTCGACGAACTCACGGCGCTCTACTCCATTGCGGATGTTTGTCTGCTCACTTCTACTCGAGATGGAATGAATCTCGTCTCGTTTGAATACGTTGCGTGTCAGGATGAGAGGCATGGTGTTCTGGTCCTCTCCGAATTTGCAGGTGCTGCGTCCTTCATGAAAGAGGGCAGTGTTAGCTTCCATCCTGCGAACACAAACGAGCTGTCAGATGCTATCTACAAAGCCGTCACAATGGGTGAGGAAGAGAGGAAGGAGAAGTACCAAAAACTACGGGACTTCATTGAGACCAATACCAGGTGAGCCTATCGAGAATTGATGAGGTCTTCAACCTGCTAAGCTGCGTTTAGTGCTCGATGGGGAGAGAAGTTCATCGAGAGGTTGTCAACACGCATCTAGAAGTTCTTGAGGTAATGTGCCTAGTAGATAGGCAACCTAAAGCGGATCAGACCGATCAGAATGTATATTACGCACTCAAGACTCAAGATAGAATAGTATTGCAAAACATCAGGTTCCATGGAAACTCCCTGAGCTGCCTAAATTTCCCCCAAGTCCGTTGTGAAGAGCAAGAGCAGAAGGTAGGCAATACTACCATGAGGCAGGCAGCTCTCTGTCCATTACTTGGATCTGGCATAGGCAACACAAGCACCACAACGCTTGAACTGAAATATTCAAAGGTTAACAGGACATCGCTTCTCTCATATGGCCCCCAAAGTAGAAATAGAAACAGCTCTAGGCAGTTTCCAACAAGTCCCGCTGTGACTGGAGATCCATACTACGGATGCTGTCGCCTGTCCCCTCAGCCATGAATCCTAATGTCAGACCCCTGATATTGGATGGATTCTTACAGTGCTGATAGTCACCTCCGTCAATAGGTAGTAGTTTAGTCGGGCAATAAGTTGTAGATTAGGTAGCGTCTTCGAGTTCGGGTCCTTGACGCTCCGAAGTTGGCAAGCAAGCGCCCAGCCTCTCTTTCCACACAGTGGTCATGTCTTCGCTAGGAGAGAAATGAGCATATTACAACATACAACAGCAGAATTTCGCGCAGCTTTAACACCTTGCAAGCTAATGGAGCAGATACAGTGGATACTACTGTTGGTATTAGCCAATGGCTGGTTATCTAGCGCGAGCTGTAGCAGGTCTCGCGGAGAAATGAGTGAATAGCTTCATGATGCTAGCGCCTTGACCGCGTTCGATTGCAACGGGTTGCTACTACCTCCTGCCACTTCAACGCCATTATTGACTTCATAGCCAGGCTGCAACGCGACATCAGTGAATGCTTTCGCTTAGCAGGCTCGACGTTTAGCGCGTATCTACCCTGCGACGCTCAGGTATAAATCCCCCCTTCTTCGTCCTCTTCCCCCCTTCGACCTCTTCTCTCTTTCAACTCTCTTTCCCTCTCTGCTTCTCTCTCAATCTCAACACAGCATCTTCTTCTTGTCTTCTCTCTCAAAACTCTCTTCCTCTTCCTTCTCATAACACCTTCGAAGACACGCATCTGCTCAACATTGAACGACATTCGTCTGGTTGAGAATGATAGAAGCTAAGTCCCCTATTCCATTTCCTCTCTTTTGCCCATCCTCATATTCTCCCTTTTCCCCCACCATCCACAAGAAAGACACTCTGCTCGCTCCTCGCCTCCTTGTGGAAGTGTGCACTGGTTTTTCGCGGACGAGAGTTGGAGTTCACTTAAGGGAGTGTCCGAAGCGATACAGTAAGCCTCCCAGGCCTCAGGGCAACCTGAGTCACCTTGTGCTCCGTACAGCTCAATATGACTCTGCTTCCGGTCAGTACATGCTTTTGAAGGTTGAGTACGCCCTATACCAAAAGAGTGCTGTTGACCATGCCCGGGATACAACGTTTCGGCGCCGGCCATCTGTATCACAGTCTCTGGGGGACAAGATTTCAACCGACCCCTTGGAAGAAGAGAGTTCAGTCAAGTATTGTTCCAATTGTTGGAGGCCTCACTCTTTGGAAGTATCAAGAGCAGTCGCTTGTTGCATGGTCCCCCCTTCTTCTGCCCACTCCTTCTCCTTATACTTAGCAGTTGGACCTTCAGCTGATAGCTTTCCAGACCCTCTAGTGAGTACGAGAACCTGACATACAATGGACATCGAGGGGATGTGAGGAATATGGTTTTCCTCCTTTTGCCCGTCTTGTGTTACTTTGTATAGAATGAATGGCAGTTTATGCTTCGAATTCTTAAAACATATACTGGGAAACCATCAATCATCTCTGCGTGTTCTTCTTTCATACTGGTTCCTTTGAGCAGTATTCAGACGACACTGTAGTAGAATCACCTCTGTATGATCTTGAACATTCAATCGTAGCTTCCACAATTTTTAATCTGATTAGGCTACACTTCTGTAATACGCAGTGTCTCTCGAAAATGAGATCAAACACACCTGCTTCAGGGATCGAGACATACAGGACCGCAGTATAGCTTTACCTAAGCAAGCATCATTCTTTCTTTCTCAGCATGGCTATCAATCTCATACTGTCGTTTTCGTCTTGAGACTGTCATTCAGGTAATGCCAGGCTCCAACCCGCCCTTTTTGCCTTCCGTGTATAGAAAGATCATAGTGACGACCCCAATCTTATCTCTAGATGATATCGACCACGCACGGCCTGGCATCATATACTCTAACTTCCAGTGTAGAGCTGTATGAGGTGTGTTTGAAATCGTGCTGACAGTCATCATAAGAAGAACTCCTTCGGCTCACGTCTCCTTGACTGTTTGTCTACACACCTCCACCAACACTCTACTACCTTTTGCCTCCTACAGTGCGGAAATTTCTTGAGAGTGATGATCTTGCCCGAAGTGTTTCGCTCCTGCTCATTTGACATCTTCTGGTAAAGAGGCTTCCCTTTAACCACATAATCACATCAGACGACGGAGATGAAACTTGGTCTGAACAGCAGGTAGAGTTGTTTTTTACAAGCGTCCTGCGATGGATTTTCAGACTTGAAACTCATATTAACATGTAATTCAATTGGAATAGGCCCTCTATTCTTCCGCTATCGTTGAATACCCATACGTGCGCTCTGAATCGCAATATTTCGATCTCAGCGTTCCTCACTTCCTGCTATACTCCTGCGATAGCCTGAGCAACTATTTCCTGCCTCAATCTCCCGATGATCGCACAGAACGTATAGCAGTGGTCTATGCTGAAGACATGATGAACACTCTGATTGACTTCATCAAGCCAATCAGGCGATAATAGTACAAGTAGGTCTTTGGGCTGCGCAAGCCACGGATCCTCTCCATGGTGTCTTAAACTATCTTTTCTTGCCACCTGCTCACCCTGTGATATTGCAGCAATCCCGGCACCTGATTGCAATGAGGCATGTCTACACTAATCTTGGCAGACGGTACCTGAAACGTTTGTGTAAGTGTTAGTAGGTCTGATAAGAGTTGACAGTGACTATCTTTAGTCATGCCTCAGCCTCAACCCTGACCAAGTCACCCGTACCTTAATGCTTCGTATCTGGTTTCATCCGGTGTTATAATCCCAGGTCAAACATATTGAGCTTCAGCATGAACGTTCCCAATGACTTTGTTTGTTTTACTGCACACGCTCTCATTGGAACACATTCCTGTTTCTGTGTTGCAGGAAGGTTCGCAATTTGCATCTCGTTCATCCATAACAGTTTAGTCCAATTCCCTTGCTCTGCTAACCAGCTTCTCGGGGCCCCGTCGGTGCAAATTCTCAGATGACGCTTATGTTTCCTCAGAACAGGATCGAATCGGATTGCTTTACCGACATGTGCTATCGAACTGTATTGTCGGGGCCAATCACCTTCCTCAACTAGGAGCCCGTTTCGCCAAGACATGGTATAAAAGAGTTCCATGATTGCGAGACGGGCAAAGGGTGACATTGTTCGGCTTTCTGTCCATCAACGGAAAGATCGTCACAGAATAGAGTCTACTCGGGCCCTGGGGATGTCTTGTGTCAGGTTTCTCCGTGAGGACCTGATTGGGTACATCCAGCAAAGCCAAGATTGCCGAGACGATGGTTAAATTGCTGGGGACTTCGCCTGTCCAACCAGCGTTGTTGCAAAGTCAGTATATGCGTTATCGTTGTAACCCAAGATCCCGCCGTCTCTTGGTTCTGATATACTCAGGGTGTCCTACTATTGTGTCATTATTTTTTTGACTTTACTTTCACGTTATAGAGCCTTATCTGTGAGGAGGAGATGATACCGATCGACCGCACCGTCTATATCCGTCGGGGACAGATTCATGTAGTATCTATGAAGAAAGGAGACCCTGTCGACCTTCCTAGAGTGCAATGTGCATCGACTTGGCGCATCAGAGGACACCATGGATGGCCTTGGCAACGCATGTTATATGGAGGGAGGAGCTCGGGATAGAGGAGGGGGGAGCGACATAAAAGGTAGCACAAGACACGTTTTTCCAGAGCTCATCCTCCCACCGACCCACAAGATTCTCTGCCTAGAAGAAAGAGAAACCAAAGCCTCGCAACCATGAAATTCTCGGCCCTCTCATTGCTTCATCTGGCTTGCGCCGCTACGGCCAGCCAGGGCGAGTTCGCCATGAACCGTCTGATGAGCACCAAGCTGAATCATTGGTCCAAGGCTCGGACCCAGGGTATGTTCGACGCGAACCGCTACCCAGATCTGGGTAAGCAGAAGTGCGCCAATGGAACGGCCGGAGAATACTCTTGCGAGAACGTCGATCTGCTTGGGTTCCTCAGCCATCAGGCTATGGGCAGCGAGACCCGCGAGGGCAATGACATCTGGGGTATGTTTCTATTGTGTGGGAGGATCACCGTTCCAGATAGCTAAGTCATGCAGGTTGGACGTCTCCTAACGACCGCGAATTTGGCATCGTCGGCCAAAGCGACGGTACAGCCTTTGTTGAGGTGCACAAAGATGGAAGCATTGACTACCTCGGCCGGCTGCCAACCCAGACCCAGAGTAGCCCATGGAGAGACATGAAGGTCATCGGTGACCATGTCTATATCGGATCCGAAGCGAATGGTCACGGACTGCAAGTTTTCGACCTCAAGAAGGTGAGTTGACCAGCGAGAATACATACAGAGCCTCGAATGATTTCTGACTAATGATTTGTTGCGTTTAGCTCCTGGAGCTGGATGCGAACGAGCCAACCACCTTTTCGATCTCCAAGGATCTCAAGGCTTGGTACAAGGGATTTGGTAGCTCCCACAACATTGTTGCTCACCCCGAGACCAACATGATTTACGCTGTTGGAACCGACAGAACTCTTAGCTGCCGCGGAGGTCTGTGGATGGTCGATGTTTCTAACCCGGCCAAGCCAACCTCGCCCGGCTGCGTGAGCCAGGACGGCTATGTGCATGATGGTATGTTACTTCACATTGATGAAGACTGCTTCACAGCTGACCATGCACTACAGCTCAATGTGTCATCTACAAGGGACCCGACACCAAGTACAACGGACGCGAGATTTGCTTCAATTATAACGAGAAAGCCCTCACCATCGTCGACGTGACCAACAAAAAGGCGCCCAAGCAGATCTCGAAGACCTCCTACACCGGATTCGCCTACACCCACCAAGGCTGGGTGATCGATCCCAACGACATGTCCTACCTGCTGCTCGACGATGAGCTGGATGAGACTGACAAGACTGGAATTGCCGCCAACGGCCACACCACGACCTACATCTTCGACATCAAGAACCTCGCCAGCCCCAAGCACACCGGGTCCTACCAGTCGCCTGTCAAGTCTATCGATCACAACCAGTACGTCGTCAACGGTCTCTCTTACCAGTCCAACTATGGTAGCGGTCTGCGCATTGTCGATGTTAGCTCCGTTGCTCAGGATCCCACTGGCAAGGAGTTCAAGCAGGTCGGCTTCTTCGACTGCCACCCCGAGGATGATGCTCAGGGTGGTGAGGTTAAGTTCTTCGGCAGCTGGAGCGTGTACCCATACTTCAAGAGCGGAAGCATCCTGCTGAACAGCATTGAGCGTGGTGTTTACTCTCTGAAGTACAACGGCGCGAAGTAATTGCTTCCATGGCAGATTTTGTCAGTCAATATGGGGGTGGGGGTGATCAGGCCTTGACCTATGATCAACAGACTTGCATGGAGGCATTGTTGGCAAAATTGTATCTGCTGCATCGAAAAGGGTGGCTTCTAATTTGGTCAATATTGGAGTTTGACGGGAAAATATTGTTAGGAACTTGTCCAAACTACATAATGAAGATGTTACGATCGTGGACCGAGGCGAGGAATACCGAGGCGGATGTTTGTATATTCTCCGCAACATGACTTGAGATACGTTCAAGCCGTTTAAGTAGGTAATGAACTACTCTTGACTGTTTTTCAACACTCCAGCGGCTCCGAGTAGAAAACTACAATCGGCATGATGGCTTTTCCTTGAACAGCACGATATACACCATGGAAGAGAACAATTTCTCATTGAAGGCTCCTATGAACCATCCATTTCTTGTTATGTCTGCATCTACTGCTCCAATTCAGGCTTATATTATAGAACTTCGAATAGCGCACGCCCCTATGCCCCCCGGCGATATAGCTAATAAGAAATAGAAACGGGTTTACTTTGACTCTATTGACTTTGCTCCGTCTGCGGCTCACAAAGTAACTAATAATAGCACTATCCAAACCGGCACAGTCCACCTTGTTCGTGAGGGTTCCGCATCCCTACGCGGCAATTCCCAACGTCAGTAATGCCACTGGCGATGCCAACGAAAGGTTTTCATGACAATAAAGGCTCAAGTACAGAAGTTGGGAAGATTCCTCTTACCCAGGCCACCAAAACTGGGGATGAGAACCATCCCAAACAGCGAAGAAGGGAGTAGGAAAAGTTAAAACATTAAAGGTGGTGGAAGGTCATTAATAGATGTGGTTATAAAAGGTAACATAAAGAATAAGCTTTTCGAAGTATAGGAGACTGAGGATGAATTGTCTTTGGTATTCTTAGCTAATTCAAAGTAGTCCAAATCCACCCTTGTTTAGGATAAGTTAATAGTTAATGCTTTTTCGGCTGTCATTCTTTACTACATGCAGGCTGCAGCAGGGGACAAATGACAATTTGACCAAGCTGAAGCCAAACATCAGATTATACCCTTCTTGCCAGGAGGCTAGCGAAATACTTGCCTTATTTCTGTTGCTGTCTTGGGGATCATCAACAGAACTTTGATTGAGCCCTTATAGACTGCTGCTTAGTTTAGGGTACTCTGCAATAACATTAATTCTTATGTCAACTTATTATAATTTCCTCTTGTGGAAGGCTGGATAGTAAAAGTAGGGGAAGCAGAGAGCAAACCAAAGAAAAGGTATTCTTGTATATAGAATAATCAGATATACATGGCCACATGACAAGGTAGTAAGACATAATGGTGCTGCTTAACATGGTGATAATAAAAATATTAACAACCATAGATCAAGCTACAGTTTCTCATTATTCAGATGACATCAAGTGTTATAACACTATCTATACCAGAATTAAGGGTTTAGTGAAAACGCAGGCTGCTTTGAGTTTTGTGGTGAACTTTAACACATCAAGCACATCTAGGCCTTGACTGTTTTACACTGGCCACACTAGGAGAACACTCAAGCAGCTTAACTATGCCTGTTTCTAATCAAATCCCAAGATTAGGTCTAGTTTTTGACTGGCATGCACTGGCATGATGAAGGTAACCATAGGTTTTGTATCTTTTGCACCCGTTAACAATTTCTATAATGAGCTTCCAAGATTCCTTATGAAAGAAATAGGTTATCAGAGGGGAAACTAAGGTGATAGACACCATTCAAATTAATACTAAGTTTAAAGAAGGTGATAGTAAGGTAGTCTGAAAGATAGCCAGGGATTTTATAAAGTGTAGAGGCTAGGGAGCCCACGCACAGTACTGAAAGAGGCAGGTAGTGAGGCCCAAACTGCAGCAGAACAGACCATTTAGTTTAAACAGCACCTCACCAGCAACATATTAATATGATGGGATTGGGGTAGTGCATCAATAATGAACTTCTCTTTTACCAAATTAAGGTCTTATACTACTTGGCCAGATGGTCAAAAGGTAATTAGGTGGTTTCACTAGAGTAGCCACCTATTCAATCCTGAAATCTAGAATAAACAAGCTTCCAGAGTCTCTTAGGGAAGTAGAGAAGTAGTATAAGTATACTTGCCCCTATGCTGGTAGATAATGATGACATAGCAAGTAAGGAGCTGGAGATGGTAGTATAAGAAACACAACATCTAATTAGTTGCCTGATAATAAATATGATGTGAGCTCAGGACTTAGAAGTCTTCTGAATATAGAGTTATTTTCAGTGATGTTATCTCATGGAAAGATTTCTTTGAAGATCTTTCAACTTAGGGGTGGCTTTCTTTGAATTGTCTTTAGTACATATAAGCTTCCAAAAGAGACAGAAGAGGAAGTATAATACATTCTTGATTTAGGGAATCCATGTATTGATTAAACAGAGAGAAAGGCTCATCATGCTATAGAATGAAGGGTTAAATTCTATGCACTTTATACCCTTTTAGTCAAGTTCTGAGGTCACCTAAGAAGATAGGCTAATGCTTTAGTTATCCTCACCTTAATCATGGGATCTCTGCTATGGAATACTCTTCGACAGAGTAATAAGGACTAAGGTCCATATTTAGTGATGTGATCATACTGGAAAGTATTACTGCCATCTAACTCGAGGTACTATCTAACTGCTGTCATATATACAGGACTTGTTGAAGGGAATGAAGATAAAGAAGGATTCTGGTCCTGACTCAATCCATCTGATGCATTGAATTAATCATCCAATTCAATCTGACGCCGGGCCTGCACAAGTCAATCATAAGAGCACATTGGTGCAAAATGAAAGTCAATGCATAGCTTCAATTCTGGAAGAAATACGAAGCCCTTGTCTAATCATCTGAACCAAAGACAGAGTCAGAGGCAATAACCGCAATGGCAGCAATCTGAAGGACGATTAGCATGAAGGATCTTCGACAAAGATACGATACGACTATGGGCATCCTGACCAGCGATACATCTACACCCGGTGTGACAATCACATCCAATACCGGCCGGTAATTGCGTCGCGAGCTCGCCATCAACGCAAGCTTCTTGTTATGCTGGATGCTCTCACGCACCTCGGCCACCTTCCTATCGCCGTCGACGACATCAAATGACTCTAAGACATGACCATGCCGCTCGATCTCGAGCGTCACCTCTTTATCCTCCTCACGCTTCGACTCGACAGCAGCAGCATTCCGAAAGGAGATATTAAAGTTCCCAAACGCGGCAGCGCCAAACGAAAGTCGTGGACTCCCCGTAGCCATATTCGTGATCTTACTTCCCGGTAGCGTGATGCACCACGCATTCCGCAGCGAGATCTTGCGATGCAGCTCAAACAACGGCAGCCCCGATGCATCCCGGAACTCGCGGCAGGAGCGTCCGCTGAACTTGCGCCCGCTCGCCGTGAACTGTACCTGTCCTTCTTCATCCTCGATTCTGTACGCGGCGGCGGACTGCGCGTCGCCCTGCGGCTTGAGGATAAGAGCTGCTCGCTCGGCAGTGATGTATTCGCTGCGGATGGCGATTGGGCGGTCTGGTCCCCTCAGGGTCTTACGCGGCTTGGGGGAGGTGACACGGTTTAGCCTGGCTTGTGCGTAGGATCCTGACATGGTGGTGATTCTGGGGTGTGCGGGAAGGGTCTTTGGTCTGTGATGGGGAGTGGTTTTTATACGCGGTCAATAAATCCCTCAAGCAGGGGTTGATTGGTGAGACCCCAGTATGAGGCAACAATTAGAACATGTGATCCTGCCTTAGTGTATAGATTAGTTAAACAGACTATTCCTAAATTACTCACTCTAAGGCATCCCTCCCGGCTTAGTTCTCCTCTGTTTATCCTCCATCTTCAATTTCAGCGCGTCGAGCCCGGCATTGAGGTCGCGGAATGCCGAATTCTATGCAACTTCTATAACAAGAGATTACTTACTCTGCTACCAAAGATGACCAGAGCAGCATTTTCAACAAATCCATTGATGATTCTTAGATGCTGTGGAATACATGGAGCGAGAAGCAGGAAACAAAGGATTGCAAATATCTTTCCTCGGATCTAGGTCAGGTCCTTCTAAGTTACCCTCATGCTTCGTGGCTAGAGTATAGTCCCTTTTGTGGATGCAGTGATTGCATGAGCTGAACAAATTAGCCTGAAGAACGGGTATATCCCCATAGATATGATATTAAGGTGTCAAAAGTTGATGATGGCGCCCATGTCTTTCAATTTCGTCATCATATATTCTACTGACTTACCTCTGTGTCAGCATCTGTCATCACCATCTGCACAGCTATATCGATGAAAACGACCGCAGCTGCAACTTTATGGGCTCTGGTTGCTTCCAATGAAGAGTAAACTTATCTGCCTGTCTAGAGACCTGCTGGTTTGTTTGTGATAGCTTTGCCTAAAAAAGATGCAGGGTTCTGGTGCAGGTCAGTCCAAGCTTTCGGTATAGTGGACGCTAAGTCACCTGTTAGCCATCCTTTGCACTTTACGAGACGCAAGTTAGATCATGAGCCCATACGTGTGCAATATCAAGTCGACCTATTGATATCATTTCTCTTGTCACTATTAATCAATCTGTGTTGATGGTGGTCATGTATGTCTTTCTGTCATTGATTCGATTGCTGATGCGTCGCAGGCAGCTAGCTCCATTGACTGTCAGCCATCTGGGTCTGGGGACATATCTAGCCCGTTTATTCCTTCGCTCGAATGTTGATACTAGATAGGTAGGTGTTTCAACCTGGTTCAACATTTTAGACCTTGCAATCCTCCTCATCCCCTTGGCTGACTAAACGTCCACTGAAAGAACCCGTGCTCCTCCACCCGGACGCCCACCATATCTTCCTTGCTTCCCGTAAAGCATTCCTGCACCGGGGGGACAGTCCCCACCGACTCGAGATCTGATGCGCCAGGAGTGAGCAACGGACTACCCGAGCCGCTGTTGGCTGTCAGAGAGGGTAATGAGCTTGACTTTTTTGTCTCGCCGTCTGTACTCTCCTTCTCGTCCTTCTTCACCCACGCAGCCTCCTGCTCAACCGCATCCTTTACCACCAAGAGACATCTGGATTAATCTTGAGGAACTCTAGGTGTTGTGCTAGCATCACCCGCAAGGGTTTCTCTGCAGCGACTGAGGACACCAGTGGGGTGTAGAGCTAGCTATCCGCGGGCACTGCCTTGTCCGGGGCAATGGACTCCTCCAGAATGCAGTGGGAGTTGCCCCCCCCCCCCCGCGCCCCCCGAAGCCGAAACTGTTGACACTTGCCCTTCGGACCTGGCCCTCGGCCACCAGCCACAGCTTCCGAGCGGTCGAAATCTCCAGGTGATCGAAATACAGGGCGACCTTGGGGCAGAGGTTTTGGAAATGTAAGTTCAGCAGCATGGTTTGGTTCCTCAACGCCAGTGCAGTGCCAATTAGACTGGCGAGGCCCGCCGTGTCCTCTGTGTGACCGATCACCGTCTTGTTGGGACCCACCGCGACATCCCACATGGCACAGAGATCACCCATGCCGAGCGCGGGCGCGAGGCCATCATCTTTCTGTAATCCTGAAGCTCAGTCTTGAATGTTAAATGAGGTGTACAGAAGGAAGTGGGTGTCATTCCGACATGACGTCAAGTTCAGTCGTATCGATTCTCTCTCGTTATTCACTAACTGTCTCTAGAAATGTACAGTGCTCGCGGGATTAGCGAGATCCCTAGCTGGGCATTATATAGACAAGAAGAAAAGAAGGGGGAAAAAACAGGTCTATATAGGTTCAATATAATATTCATCAATACCCGGGGCGCGGATCTTTTGGAGCATCGATCTCTCTTTCTCCCTCAAGCCCAACCCAGCCGAGCCGACAGGACCAAGGCGAGAAACTCGAATCCCGTGCGGAGGACCGCCCACCACAGTCCCAACCCCAAGAACCCCATGAGCCGATTCAGCAAGATCATTCGCTGGGCGTAGTAATTGGCCTCGCGGTCGCGCTCGGCCTGGGTGATCTCCCCGCGCCAGACCCGGTCCATTTGCAGGGAGTGCTGGGCCGCCTGCTCGGACGCCTTGCCGAGATGCGACCGGAAGCCCGTGAAGGCGTCGCCGACCAGCACGAGGCGCCCATCAAAAATGCTCGGGGTCGTGCACTGCGCCTCGCCCACCTTGGTCACGAACACCCGCGACGTCAGTGAGACCGCCTCCGCCAGCGGCGCGGTCATCTGCGGCAGGTACCGCGCCAGCTGGGCCTGCCAGACCGCCGGATTGACCAGTCCACGCGGCACCGTGTTGGTGTGCACTTTTCCGTGGATGTCGGTGAAGATCAGTTGCATTTCCGGGGAGCCCTCGGGGACGAAGAAGTACCAAACCCAGTTCAGGAGGCGATTGCCAGGCTCGACATGGCCGCTTTCGGTGGGGATCAGATAGCTACATGGTTTTGTGAGGTTGTTAGTTTTTTTTTTTTCTCGTTCTTTTGGGTTTTTGAGTTTTTTCATTCCCCGTCGGCTGGAACCCTCTGTGGGTGGAAGGGGGAAGGGAGAAGAGGAAATTGGTGTCGAGTTGGCCATTTCAAGGTACAAATGGATGGTGCGCACCTGATGAAATATGTCCCCCTGAGCAGGGTGAAATTCAAGCGATTGAAGAAATACTCCACGGTCTGCGGCGACAGCAACTTCTCCGGCACGGTCCCCCGCCACGCGATGTAACCCGCGTACTCCTTGCGGGTGGGGACCTGCAGCAACTGCCGCACGGTGGAGTGCACGCCGTCGGCAGCGATGACCTGGCGGGCACTGACCTCCCCGACTGCCCCAGTGGTGACGTCTACAAAGGAAACGTGTACGAGGCCCTGGGCACGGTCGTATCGCACGCCCGTCACCTTCTGGCCCGGGCGGTACTGGACGGCGCCGTCACCGGGGCGGGGCGCGGGCGGCTTCGGGACGGCGGCGGAGGCTAACCCGTCAAAGTTGGCGCGCAGGATCAGGTACAGGCAGCCCCAGTTGCTCATGTTGTGGGCCGAGCGGATGTTGGCCACACGGAGGCGGCGGCGCCAGGCGGCGCTCATGAATTCGGTCGGGATCGCAGCGGGCCGGCCGGTGGCGTCGTACCGGTCTAGCAGCGCCATCACGCTGGGGCCGATCGAGACCCCCGATTCGTGGCTGTGTCGGTCCTTGGACGGGTCCTGTTCCAGCACCGTCACATTGCTGCCGTGCCGTTTGAGCTGGAGTCCTTGCAGCAGACCCGCGACCGAGCCGCCGATCTGTGATTTTAGCGGGGGTTAGTAGTAAAACCGAGCAGTTGGGGGAGTAGAGAGAGGAGAGTAGAAAGAGACTGCAAGCAAGACAGGAACACGAACAATGATCACCGATTCAGGAACCATCTTTTCCTTTCCTGTCTGTTGTTGCCTTGGAAGCGTACGTATGTCAGGGCAATGGCGTAGCAAGCGAGCGGGTTATACGGTAGGATCGATCCCAACCGATTTGCAGATGGGAAAGTCGGGTAGAGTAGCTCGTGAGCTAGCAGAGAACGTGAGAAGAAGAGGGGAGAGGAGGGATCGCGAAGTGACAGATTGGGGGAAAAGCAGACGAGTTGATATAAAGATATGACCTACAAAGGATCCCCACCTGCATGGTGTTAGTGATCCCATATGGTCGGAGGATTACATGGCATGAGGGTTGTATTTCCCCCGATCACCGAGACAAGACAATACCCCTTTGGGCCAAGTTGTGTTTCGGATCTCCGAACATCTCCCTTTTCAGGGTGCATGCATGCATGCATGCATGCATTACAGGTCCTCGGTCCTAACGGTTCCATGTCGAAGGTTATTTGCCATTGAGTTTGTTTCTAATCTCATCAGAACACCTTCAGCAGCCCCCGCATCAAGTGTTCTAGCACATCTATCTTGTGTCGCAGTTGTCTACCGTGTTCCCTCATTGTCTGATATAAGTGCTTATTCATCAACTCCAGGATTGAGCCTTGCTGGCATCCACCTGGCCATGACCCTGCACAGGAATCGTAGAGACTAGGATTACTATCCCCTATATTTTAATTACTCTCCTGAGCTCTATTTTCTAAGGTGATGTAGATTTATTTATTCTAGAGTCTGGATAGAGTTATAGAAAGTTAGGAGGATTAATTACTGTTAAGCTAAAGGTAGGAGATCTAGAGAGGAAGAAAAGAAAGAGAGATAAGAGTATATAACTTCAGGGCCAGCACCGCCCATGAAGAAAGCCCGTTCGCGTACTCCCGCACCGCGTGTCTGGATGCCTCGCTGGGGGCCTTGCACATTCAGCAGGTCCTCGATGAGGAAACCTGTCCAGGCGGCCAGCTCCATGAGATGCGCTGGCGCAATACCTCCAGTATGAGCCACCTGTTTCTGACAGTGATGATGATCCTCTGCTCGCTGCTGCACCGGGGCCAACCGCTCAGCAAGCGCACGGAGGTCCTGGCCGCGTTACGGCAGGCACGAACGATCTGGATGCGACGTAGTACGTCCTCCCGAGAGGCGAAGCGCGCGACGGAGATCGCCAGCCTCACCCTTGCGCGTGCCGGGGACGGAAAAGGGAACGGGAGTCATGCGGTCGAGGAGGATGCGGTGGATGGAGGCCAGCAGAACATGGCGATCCACGGCGCTTCCACCATTACCAGCAGTGACTATACGACCGGGTTGGGGGTGACAAACCGGTCGCAACCCGTGGATTTTAATGGATGTGAGTTCCATCGGCATGTTTCTTCTCGCCTTTCTGTGTCCGATCCTAATTTGTTTTCCTTGATAGCCGACCGAGGTATGATGCCATCTCTATTAGGGCCGTGCCCGCCACCACAGTACGCAGGACTGGATGATTCTGTTCCCATGATGGACGATTGGCTACAGATGCAATTGTTAGATACCCAGGAGACTGATGTGTTCTTCTCTGAATGATTCATGACGGCTCTCTTCTTGTCCGTTAAGCATCGGCGCCCCCTACCTCTCTGAGCGAATTTACCGGCAATTGTTTTTTTGTTTTCCAAATATTTATAGTACAACACATACAGGTCTCCATACCCTGGCTGGCTTTGCACGACAGGCCCATTGAACACACCACGCTATGAATTAAGATAGATATACACATTGAGCACACCTCCTAAGTTTATGAATCGGTATGTATTACGAAAGCTTGGACCGGCTGATATTTCCTGCCGGTCGTGCCTATCATAGACATATTTTCTCTAGTGAGGCATTCTTGTCCTATTCCATGGCCGAATATGTAGGTATTAAAATTGGTCCGAGGTGGATTCGGTGCAGCATTACGCCTGCCACTGCCATTTCCAACGGTAAAGCGCGAATCAACGCAATATATACATCTTCTATACATCTTCCAGCACATACGACCACAGGGTGTGGAGAACAGGGCTTCCCGTCCGCTCAGCCGTACTTAAGCCACACGCCGGCCGGTTAGTAGTTGGGTGGGTGACCACCAGCGAATCCCGGCTGTTGTATGTTTTTTCATCAATTTTTTTTTTTTGTTTTGATATCTTCTTGCTTGATATGTTGAAACAGTAAAGGCAAGTGGCTTGGGGTGCTTAATCAAGCCATGGGCGAAAAATCTATTCCTGTAAGTCCTGATTACTTGATTCAGGTCAGGTCCCCCTGGTACGTATCATCATGGGATGAGTTTTAACGCAGCTGATCGTCTTTGCTAATTATAGCGGTGGAAGGAGATGCGACTTATTCGGAGTTGCGATTCCCGAAACGGGGAGACTAGCCTTAAGCCTTAATAAGCCCGCATCTCTCTCGGCCCCTCCTCCCGCACCGGCCCGCCGCCGTACACAGTATATGCGCCCACGATCTCCGAACGCGCGGGAGGATCCGAAATCTTCGGTACAAGAGCCCCTATCCGAGTTCACTTCCCCTTGTAAAGTATGGTACTTTCCTAAATATTATTTCTCTTTTGGTTAGGTGTTGCCTTGTCTCTCTGCTAAGCAAAAATCAGCTCCCCTCACAATGGTCCCTCCACCGCGCTTTACCCCCCTCACCCACGTGAATCTCAGTCGGGCGGCGGCCCCTCGGCCTACCGCGACAACAGCAACAGCTACTAAGAGATCCGGCTCCCCTGCTTCCCCCTCGTCGGCGATCTTCCGTCAACAGTGCTGCAGTACCAGCAGCAGAGCTCTCGCAACCCTCTCGCCGCACAATCGACCCTCCTTGCCACAGACCTTCTCCTCCGGCCCCGGGTCGCAGCACTTCCATTCCTCGATCGCTATGTCGACTTCCATGCCGGCCACCCACGGCCACAGTGAGGCTTGCTGTAACATCCCCCCCGTCGTCGCCGACGGATACATCCCGAAAGGATCGTACGAACAGCACGGCGGTCTCAAGACATGTCAGTTCTTTTTTCCCTCTCTCTTTTCCGGTCTACTCCTCTCCTTGCCTTATCCAGCGCTAACCCAAACAATGGAAGCATAGACGTGACCGGTCCTGCCGACGCCACAAAAGGCATCATCTCCATCTTTGATATCTTCGGCTACTTCAACCAAACGCTCCAGGGCGCCGACATCCTCGCCACGGGGGATGCGCAGCGGCAGTACAAGCTCTTCATGCCGGATTGGTTCAAGAGGAACCCGTGTCCTATCGAGTGGTGAGTTGCTTTTGTCTTCAAATTCCCTTTACCTCCTCTTTCCGTCCTGGTTTTGATTGATCTTTGCAAGCTATTTCCCTCTCTTCTAACAGATGTCCCATACGCGATATGTAGGTACCCCCCGGACACCGAGGAGAAGCAAAAGAATCTCCGCAACTGGTTCGGTCAGCACGCCCCTAATAGCGTGGCCGATGCATTGCCCGAGTATGTGCGGGCGGTGCAAGCGGCGAACCCTTCCATTCAATCCTGGGGATTGATTGGGGTGAGTTTTCAACCTTTCTTTCTTCCCTTGATCTGGATCGTTTTTTAAGGGGCTGTTCTTCCTCTTCCTTCTCCCCTTAACCGAAGAAAGAAAGAAAGAAAGAAAATAATGACAGAAATAGTTCTGCTGGGGCGGCAAAGTGACCGAGCTCATCACCTCCAACCCTTCCATTAACCCCTTCCGCATCGCCGCCACCGCCCACCCAGCCATGATCGATCCGGCCGGCGCGGCGCAGATCGCCGTGCCCTATATCCTCCTGGCTTCGTCGGAAGAGCGCGCGGAGACGGTCCAAGCCTTCGAGCAGGGCCTTCAGGTGCCGCACCACGTCGAGACCTTCGGCGACCAGGTGCATGGGTGGATGGCTGCGCGCGCGGATCTGCGCGATCCCCGGGTCCGGGAGGAGTACCTGCGCGGATACCGGACGGTGCTGAAGTTCTTTGAGGAGCATTGGGATTGAGCGCGCGGTATCGCGGGGTTAAATTACTCTGTGAGGAGTGACGTTGTCGCTGGTTGACTGTATCCATCCAGCATTGGACTCGAAGTAATAGAGGGCACTTTCTATGGGATGTAAAGGGAGTTGCAGAGAACATTGATCCGTGATGGAAGTATATGGCTGTCCCCACTAGTGTCAGAAACCTATAGTCGACGTAGTTTTCTTCGTAGCTTTGCTTTTCGAGATCGGAAGAGGGTATCTTCCCTCTGCTTCTGTAAGTTGGTGAGCAAAGGCAGAGAGGTAGCCTGATAATGGATGAATAGGAAATACACTGGTCTTAGCTACCCTACTGTGCCCTGGAGGTGATGATATTCTTTCCATCTTCCTTTTGACCGCCCGCTGAACGATTGAAAAGTGGAAACTCGTCTTTATCTATAATCGCTAGTCAATTACGGCTTCCATGTGTTCTAACTTCTGTATAGTCGACGAGGCGCAAGTAGTGAAGGATAATAGATTGATACCCCAGGCCCACTCCCGCCGCGCCCCCGCCCACTATCCGGAAGTCCCATTGGTGAAAGTACGTAGTAAACCTATAGTATCGGTTTCTATAGAGTCTGTGGGGATTAGCTGCCCCAGTCAATCGGCATAGTGCAACACACACTAACTAGCATAATCCATCCCCGTATTTATATCTACTAGGGAGGAGCTAGGATAGGAGAACAAGAGGACACACCTCTATATCTGAGTTATATGCTCATATCTATCAGTATTTGTATTTACCCCAATTACATAGCTACGACATATTTCTATCCAAGAGAGCAGAGAGGGAGTTCAAGAGAAAAGAACAAAAGATATTCTAAACGCAAAAACATACATACAACAGCCAGGATTCGCTGGTGGTCACCCACCCAACTACTAACCGGCCGGCGTGTGGCTTCAATGCGGCCAGAAGTCGGGTGGGTGCTACTCTAGGTGAGCTTAGGGTGAGGCTGCTTTATGGTCACATGGTTTAAGGTGAGGAGGGTGAGTGCACAATAGAGAGGGTGAGCAGGCTCACCCACCTGCCCATCCTCCTAGCTATGGATCTTCTACTCCGTACTATACCTCTTGATTGGCTATTGGAAGCTAGTGCTTATGGTGGAAACTCTCCATAGCCACATAAGATATTCCTACAATATTGCTGCCTAAAGATCAGAGTGTAGGTGGTAACATGTGAACAAGGCTCATGTCCAGGGCCTATTACTATAGGTTCTGGCAGTGAACTGTAAGTACTAAACCAGGAATAGTAGATGATTCACTATCATTTATTGGCAAGGAATACTACAGTGGCGTGGGAGGATTTCCCTTTCCTGACCGGAAGTTCCTGTTTACTCCAGCGAAGTTCCCCTTTTCCGATGATGTTTTCGTTGTTTCATGACCGCAACTTCCTGTTTACTGAAAGTTCCCCTTTCCTGACCCCAGGCCCCCTTAGTTCCTCAGAAGTTCTACAAAAGCTCTTGATATCTAATTACCAATTATTGGATGAGACTTTATAGGTTGTCTCTAATCAGTTCTAACCTATTTACAACATGTCAGATAAGAAACGTCAACAACAAAAATTATGGAAGAAAGAACATAGAATGCGGCAGAAAATGCTCCATATCCCAGACTGTGTTCATTAGGGCTCATATAGTTTGGATTTTCCAACATTCACCAACACAGGTATCATTAAGCTCCAGAATTTTATACATGAGTTGGATGATAAAGCAAAGTGGGCAATTTCAAGAGAGGAGATTATTGCAGAATTTATGCGGCGTCTCCATACATCTAAGCATCCACTTGAGATGATTGCCTTGGTACTGTCAATCTTTCCGATGTCAGTGGGGATATCATTCTTTTGAAAGACTCACAGGCTCTAAATAAATCACTTAGTGAGAGGTTCAATAGGCCACTACTTCATTATGCTTCATTATCTGGGGAATCACTTACTGGTCACAAACTAAGCTTAGATGTATTTTAGACACACCTTTGTGAGCAACCCAACAAGATGATTGATGCATATGACTACTCTGTGGTTGAGCCTTCTTTGAGAACATGAAGAATAATAATACAGAAAGTTTTATCACATTAGGAGCGTCCAGAGTATGAACAGCATGCCATCAATCTCCTAGATATTAAGAACAGAATTAGGGACTTCTGCCCAACTGAAATAATCCAACATGACCTTTATTCCAAAATATCTCAGTCAACTCAGGATAATTTTGGAAAAACAAATTCAAACTAGGCAAATACACAACAGGAATTCTTTCTGCTCAGTGGAGCAAATGCAATATCATCTATCCATGTGGACAATGGAGCTCAGCTTACCTGGATTCTGATTCTTAAAGGACGGAAGATATGGTACTTTCCATAAAAAGTAACAAATGATGCTGTTCGATTACTGGCCTTTGCAGGGTCTCAATGGTCCCAGGGATATGAAGAAGGCTAGGCAAGGATTGAGCTATGCCCAGGTGATCTTTTGTAAGCTTATTTGTTCAGTATTCAAGCGTCCTGCTAATATCTCTCTTAGAATTATGCCCCCCAGTTGTCCGCATGCAGTCTTTACTCCAGATGACTGCCTTGCTGTTGGTGGTAATTTCTATACAACTGCACATCTTGGATCAACACTGCGTGGGCTTAAACTTCAAGAAGATTATCCTGAAATCTGTAACGAAGACCTACGACCAGACTTTTATAAACTTCTCAGAAGTATCTTTGAGAACATGAGTGACATCAGTTCTACACAGCAGGCTGATATCCTATCTTCCTCTTCTTTGTTCTTGGACACATTGGATGCAGCATATTTAGCCACACTCCTTAAAACAAACAGGCGAGGCAGTTACTCCCATGGCCTAAATGATCACCACTCTAGGGTTTGTGAACGACTTGAATCGCAATTGACTAACCAGAATCATCATCTTATGCAAACTCGCACACTCTTCATTAGTGCTCTTGATGGCTTCCAGAAAAGAATTACGAAGAGTTGGGAAGGCGAGTGATAAATCTTTTGTCACTGTTTCACTTTGTTTTTGAAAGGGGCGAGAAGAAAGGAAAGTTGGCCCTTACCTCCCTTTCGCCATTGTCGTCTGCTTCTCATATATGTCTATCGATAGCTTTATTGTTCTAATTATTACCAGAGATTCAAAATTTTGGAGTGGTGTTGCGGAGCGGTATCGAATTTCGAAGGGGGGTGCATAGTTCATCTAGGCCAGTCCCTTGACTTAGGTATTGATTTAATTGGGCCTGTTTGAAGCTGTGCCAGGATTGTCTTGCTGAGCTGATCATATAAGATCCTAATATGTCATCCTTGAAGGACGTTTTCATCTCTCTTGTGTACTTGCCAAAAGTATTTTAAAGAAATTGCTCCTTTCGTGCCTCCGCATTTGCCTCCACGCAGTGGATATTGTTGTGTATTAGGTAGCCCAGGCTGGTGCATCTGGCTGAGTGTCCTTTTGGATGGTGTATTGGCTCGCTGCCTTGACCATTTAGCTGGAGATAGAGGTGCTTTCCCTCCTCTACTTGAGATACTTCTGAAAGCTTTCACCCAGTCATTCCCTCAACCATGCTTCCCCCCCCCCTCTCTCTCTACCTTTCCCTTTGTCTGCGCCACACTCTCAAATCCGCCCACCCATCCCCTCTTTACCCCGATAGGCCGCGAGCCTAGACCCCAGGGGTAGACAGACCTACCCTCAACGAATAGCGAGCCCACTGCACTACGCAGGGGCTCCTACGAATCAGCGGAGAAATACCGCTCGCCCACCTATCCGTCACCGTCCAAACGTCGGGAAGGCAGACGGTCAACTGGCCTAGTGCCTTGCATATACTCAAGTCGCTCTCTACGGTTGCACATTTGTATAGTCTCACACACACACACACAATTTGTACATAAAATTCCATAGCTTAGCGCGTCCTCATGCCCCAAGGGAGGAAGCCAGGCTACGCCTGGCCTCCGCCGGACTGAAACAATACTACTACTACTACTACCCTCAACCATGCTTATTATGTTTACTGTCTTTCCCTGTGAGTTATAGGCACCCAGCCGCTGATTCACAGAAGGCTCAGCAGGGATAGATATCTGGAGCTATCAGCACCCATTCCTTGGACTGCTAAAGGTAGCACTTCTCAACCCCAATTAATTCTTCTACTTGGACTCCGATACTTGGGTATACTAGCTGCGAGTGACCGGGGTTGGACTCTCCAGTGCTCCTCAACTTGAGCATGCCGCTGGAAGAAGCTTCTGGCCAATTCAATTCCTTGAAGCATTTACGCACCTTCATTTTCATTTTATTTATGGACTTATAATTGGGGCAGACAATTTGTTAAAATCTTATTAATTTATGAAACAATCTCACTTAAAATTTATTTAGTAGTATTATGAGTTTGCGACTTTGAAAAATGGAATCTAATTACCTTACAGTCTAGATTAGATACCATTACTCACCTCCATTAAATACTTCTCTGAATGTTCTTCTTTCAGACCATCTTTGCTGAGACCATTGCCCCCTTCTTCTCAGGATGACGGTGCACACCACCCACAGACTTAATGGATCTTAGCCCCTGACTGTTGTTACTTTCAGCACAGGAACAACACTGTATACCATTATTTTCGACTTGTAGATGTCCTATTCTGATATAGATTAGGGCTTGTAATTATCTCCTAACCAAAAACTCGAACAGTTAGTCAAGAGAGATCCCTGTTATAGAGACTTTCTTAATATAACTAATATTAGTGTATTGCCGAAGCACTCCCCATCTGTGAATTATTAAAATATGTGACATGATTATATAGAATCTTACTTACACCCAGTCTGCAGAATGATAAAATTCCTATGGTTTCATAAAATCCTTTGGAAGCCATATGTAACCTTTCATCTCATTAATTAGTGGAAAACCATCATTGATGCAAAACTTAATTAAATCCAAGACTTTTGCAAAAGCTTTTCATGTATACCAGAGAGGTTTATAGAAAGGTCCACATTGATATACTTGCTATATTAGCTGAAGGT